GTTGCTAGCCACAAGCGCTCACTCATCAAGGCCGCAGATAAGCCCAAGGTCAATGTCGACAATGTTGCCAATGATCTCACAGCCAAGGTTGCTAGTCACAAGCGCTCGCTCATCAAGGCCGCAGATAAGCCCAAGGTCAACGTTGACAATGTTGCCAATGACCTCACAGCCAAGGTTGCTAGCCACAAGCGTCAAGATGATGGAGATGGAGGTGATGAAGGTGCTGAAAGTCTAATCCAAGGTTTGTTTCCTGCCAAGCGCGAAGACCTCTCGCCAGCCGTGGACCTTGTAGGCCAAGTACTTGACTCACAGATGTCTGGCGTCACAAAGCGACAAAACTCCCCAGTAGTCAATGATATTATAGACGGACTGACTGGTTCAGAAGGTGCCTTTAAGAAACGCACACTTGCGTCTGGCGGCAAAGGTGGCCTTCTCGGCGGTACCCTTATTCCTGGTGTCTTGAAACGTCAGTTTGGCGATGAAAGCGACGGCGTTCTCGGAGGTGCTATCATTCCTGGCCTCTTGAAACGCCAAGTGGGGCTCCTAGATGATGTGCTTAACAATAATCCTCTTGATGCTAGCGGCGATGTTGGCCTTAAAAAGCGCCAACCAAATGGTTTAGTCCCTGACAGTCTTGACCTCGAAAGTGTTCCTGAACTTAAGAAGCGAGGAGACTGCGACTGTGAAGATGATGATGACAACGATGATGATGATGACAACGACGACGACGACGACGACGATGATGATGATGATGATGATGATGATGATGATGATGACGATGATGATGATGATGATGATGACAACGACGACGATGATGATGATGATGACAACGACGATGATGATGATTGCGACGACGACGACGGTGATGATGATGATGATGATGATGACGACGATGAGGACTGCGATAGTGGCGATGCTACCATTAGCGCTGCAAACTGCCTCAATGCCAATGTTGATAACGTTGCCAACGACGCTGACGTCCATGTTCTCAAGAGAGCAGTGCACAGTCGAATCAACGGTGAACAGATGGGAAAGCGACGCCTGCCTTCCGCTTAAATTGATGCTTCTCCAATCAAGATTGTCATTGGCAAGATGCATATAGTCCATCTGCCAAAACTTAAATTACCTTCCAATTCTCGTTTTTCTCATCTCGCGATATATACTCTAATTTCGCGATAGTAACTTTAAGTGATTTTTCAATATCTGGTATATATTACAATATCAATAATAAAATTATGGAAACATTATACTATGGCATAGAATTTTAAGCAGACAGATAACTTGAAGCCGTCTGCAACTTCTTCAGTTTAGGCTATAGCTATCAATGCATCGATTGTTCAAATCGATATTAGACGGTGGGGTGCCCACTTTATTTTTCGCAGTCCAGGATATGCTGGATGTTACTCCCACTTTTGTTCTCCTTTGAATTGATATAGACTGCATTTGCCCTTAAGGGCCGCTCCTGCAAGGCATGACATAGCCTTCAATACTAACGGTAGTAGCTTCAACTCCTATGTTTAATGCAAGGGTGCCTGAATAATGGAGCATTGTGCTGCGCCGCCCCAATGTGCCTCAAGGATCTAGACATCCTAAAAGTTTGAGCGTCAAAAATATCCACATGCGGCCACAGCTCCCCTGAATGTCATCTAGAGCCTATTCCCTTAACAGCTAAAGAGCTTTACCAGTAACGCAACCAAATATCAAGAGTAACGAATCATAGAAAACCTTTTATTACAGATTTGATGACCTTTGAGGCTCTATGCTCTGCTCTACAAAGCCAAAAATCCATTTCCGCCTCCTTATACCAATGTGTTTAGTCGCTCAGCAACAGACAGTTGCGTCCGCGTCATGTTTGCAAGGTAGACGACCATCAACAGATCTTGCAAGTGTGAGTTGAACATCTTTTCGAATGAAGTGGCATCAACCTTGGGGACAACAGAGACAGAGTCCATAATATAGCGACCGATGGCATTATTTGCAGGTTCCTTGCCGTTCTATAATGTATGTAACATGTGAGTAGTCGATTTCAAAAGTACAATGTAGAGTCGCATCATTTGAGAAACAATTTTCTTACCAAAACTTGTTGGACGTATTGGCTAACTCTCTCAAGCATCTCTTGAACCTTTGCGATGGCAATCTCAAGATGATCCATATCTGACAACAAGGAGGCAGTGCGCTCATCAGAGTTTTTGGCAGTAGCAAGGATCTCCACTTTAAAAAACAGAGGTGGCATTAGTACACTAATTCATTTGCCTGATAATTTCACAGCATTAGAACTTACATCCGCTTCGCTCAGCATCGAAATATCTAACTTCGCAAGGCACAGGGAGGAACATGCAGTTGCCAGACTTTGCAGAAACACCAACTGGTGCACTAGAGGTGGAATGACATGCTGTCAGTAGAGGTGTACAACAAAATGCGAGTAAAAAAAATCAGATCAGAGAGTAGTTCGTACCTGATGTGGGTTTGGAGACCCATAGTTTGGGTACCCTTGACAGCGAGATCTGTGTCCATTGTCAGATGAACAGCCTGGAAAGGAGCTACTTCGCTTGAATAGAAATCTTGGATAAGAGCAGAGTAGCTGTTGAGCTGCGATCCTGTGGCATACCAGCCAACAATGACTTCTTTGGGATTGACACGTTGATGCAATTCAAACATGGCACGGTGGTGCTCCATATCGACGGCAACTTCACTATCGTTCTCTTGATGGGGAACGTTGAAGCAGTTTCTGATCTCAACTTCGGTACCGTCATCGCTGCGAACACCGAGCAATGTACCAATGACTCTTTCTTGGCCTTCATTACGACGAAGGTAGTGATCAAGGATCGAAAAGAGGACAACAGGATTGATGACACAAGTGAATGGTCGGAATGCTGGCACTCCTGATGTCGATGTGAGATGTAGAGTCGATGACTTTGTTGATAGAGGCATTTCTAGTGTGTATAGAGAGAATCTGCGATTGGGCCACAGTTGATTTTTTTTTTTTTTTTTCTGTGGGTCAAAGTTTCCAGCACAGCACAAACTTGCCAGCATAAGCCTCCAAAATTTCAGCACGCGACGTCATCGCCGAATAGGAAACAGAATTTCCTCATCAAAAAAAACCCCTTTTATAATTGTCAAGTTGCTACATACACCAAACATAATTTGTGAACGTAGCCTTTTTATTCATACCGTCTTATAAAGCCATCGCGTCCTGAACAGACAATACCTCGAAGCCCGGCGACACCTTTGCTCGTGATCCTCATACTGTAGACTGGATCAACGTCATATCCCGTATACTCTACTTCAATGCTTGCTTTTGAAGTGTTCATAATGGTTTCCAAAGAACTTGTTTCGAATAAGCTGCCGTCGGCTATTTAGGTTGGGTTAATATCGTCCTGTGCTCGCAATGCTTTACTCAATGCTATATTTTGTATATTTACCAGTAGCTACACAAAGCGTAAGCTCTCCGTTATCGTTCAACTTGAATCCTAGCTGCTGGATACCATTTTCATCTCTCTGGCATCTCACTGCCGGCGTCCTATTCAAACAGCGTATTAAGCATTCCACCTTTTCCTGTTTCTTGTATTGGCTGGTGTTACTTACTTCATGTCCTTAATATCGTATATCTCAATTATGCCCTTTGAACTACCAATAGCGATAACCCCTCGTTCCGGATGGTAAGCACAGCAAGTGGCTTCGCCATCGAAAGGTTGAGTCCTGAAAACCTGTAGTCACTTGTTTTAAGTGCCTATACTTTGACCTTTGAGATTGCAACAAATGCAAGCTTCCTACCTCCTTTTTTGTCCCAAGATCAAAAGCTTGCAAGAAGCCATCTGAAACAGCCGCTAGCACTAGTTTATTCTTCGTAGACACTTCACGAGGATCTACATAAAATTGAGATACTTAGGCACCATTTCCTCTCGCCTCTCTATGTCACAATAATACTCACCTGTATTTAACTCGCTATCTTCGCTTCTCCATATATCTGGTAGGACGCCTATTGCTATAGCATTGACACAACTAGCGCACGTTATGGTTGACAGGGTTGTACCAGATCCTGAAAAGTTGGCCTGTAGGTCAGAGACGTGGGAAGTATTTGGGCAAAAGACGATTATACTGCAAAGCAACTTACCACATTCCCACAAGCGAATGGTTCCATCCTTTGACGATGCTAAAATGGACATCAATGTTTGAGCCAACAGAAACATAGCATAACTATTTCGCAATTGAACTCACACAGAACATTTCGCCCTCGGTCAACCATGGCGGTGGATGTTATAGCTGTGAAAACAATTTTTTTTTAGATCATTGAATGCAGGAGTACAATAAGATGCATCGATATGCACATACCTGCTGTATGGCCCTTCAAAGTAACTGGATTACTTCCGTCTAATACAGACCATATCTTGACTTGGAAATCAGTTGCTCCGGAGAGTAGTACTGAGCGAAGATCAACAAAACAATAAAAAAAGAAGCCGTGTTCCTACATTGACATACCTTGCCCACTAGGAAAAAATTCAAGAGTTGTCACTTCGCCAATGTGGCCATTGAGTTCTCGCTACGCAGTGGTAGCATTAGTGGCGATGACCCTGTTTCAAGTACTGTCATATAAAAATACGTACATGAATGTGCCCATTCACCAGATCGCCAACTTTGATGAAAGTATCGGTGGCTGTAGCGTACAATTCGTTATTGGGAGAAATATCCATGCAGTTGAGCTGTAGTTCAAAAATGCACATTAGCACAAGTCATTGTGTTCGCGTCACAGTGTCAGCATCATTTCTCACCGGTTTCGGTATTCTGGAGCTGGTTGCAAATGGAGCGTATTCAATAATGAACCCCTTCACAGTGGTCTTTTTAATACCTATTCCAGGACACGCAATTTGAAGTGTTCTCTGCACAAAAAAAGGGTGAATAAGAGACGCTTGGACGTCGTCATTGACGTGGTCAAGCAAGCTTACGTCGTTATGAAGCTGAACGTCCACACCGGACTCTCCAATCACTGTGAAATCTTTCTGAGGACCTTTTCCAGCGGAAACTCTCGCCTTGCCATGCATTGACTCTTGATCTATGCAAATCACCGATTCAGTCTGAATTCCAAAACCCAAGATCTAAGGTGTGGCAACTTACATTTACAGTAGCATGATATCCAAAAAGCTTCTTCTTGAATCTTATTGCTGGAGACATCCTGAATGACAGCTTGCCAATCTGGCTGAACTGTAACGTGCGCTAAATGTTGGACTTGGCTCATGAATTCGTAATACTGGGAAAACGTATGCACGACACCGTCAATTTTTCTCGTTCCCATTATGGAAACCTCCAATCCCCGTTTTTCCTGACTTGCAACAATCGTTGTGCCATTTTTTTTTTCATACTTTTTGAAAAAATGCTAGTGATGCAAGTACCATCACCATCGTTATATGCTTAAAGGTTTCAATTCCATTGGATGTTGAAGCTGATGTCTAGATATAACCTTTACTATCTTCGATACACCTTTTCTTCAAAATCAGTAACGCGAATCGTTAACCGCTATGGTTACTTATAGTCAGAGCAAAGTGACTCAATGCTCATCAAAAAAAGCATACATGCTTACTCAATCTCCATCTATAAGCCAGCTTGAGTAACGGAAGGAGTGTCGGCAGCAAGGAAAAACGTTTGCGCAGAGTCGGGATGTAAAGATAAAAGGCCCTTAAATTCAATCTGAGACTCAGCAAATAGGAAGCATCAAAAGACTTTTTTTGAATGGCTCAAATCGTTTTTATTACATTTGTATGGAGGTTTCAAAATGATTCTCTGTTGGTAAATAATATATGGCAGTTATATACAGCTGGCAATTAAAATCAAAAACACGGGTATATGCAAAAAGGTGTGAGGTCATAACCTCGTCGGTCTAGTTCAATCATAGTGTTTGACATCGTCTGATTGTGCACTGGGTTCTACCCGAGGTAGATAGCTTGGCCTAGGGACATAGTATACTACGGAATCAGGGTACTGATTGAAAAGATCTTGCAGTTGTTCAGGTTCAGCCCAAGTCGGGTGTTGAAGAATATAAAATATTGCGTTTGGATATCTATTCATCATGTCAGGTAATTCAGCCCCTGTGAATTGCATGGTACTTTTGTTGGACGTAGATGCTATTGATGTGGATGCGTCGCCTTCTGTGGAATCGTCGATTGCGTAACAAACGGTGTCTAATTCGAGATTCTGTATGTACTGTGGATTACTTGCACTGATACGAAGCGGTCGGTGAATGGCAAAATAAACCATATCATGTTCGCTCATTCCTGGTGGTGGGTCTGTATCGTGATCAGATTTCTCGATCTCGTCATCAGAAAGCTGAAAATCAAACTGAATGTCCTCTGTACCATTGTACACAGTTAGTGATGACCATTTCACAACCTACAAAGACCAGCGCGCAGTCGTACCTGGGGTAAGAGGATAGGATATATCACTGTAGTGTGGTGGCGGAGAAGCGACTTTCGAAGAGATGGAAGAATGTGAAGGAGAGAACATTGATAACAATCAGCGGAAGGATTAAATATGTGTAGGTCAATGTTTTTTTTTTTTAGGTAATTTTTCAGAGTCCTTTGGAATAGCTCGCTTTTTCAACAGAGAAAGAGAAAAAAAAAAATTGCTTCGGAGACCTTGGGTTGAGTTTTATGTACTTTGAGCTGAGCAATTCCGCGGCTTTCCATCTTTTCCCAGAAACCCACGTGTGGAATCAGAAACATCAATCTGAAAAGCCAAAAACTATATATCCTCTTCAAGATATTTCAACATAACCCATGGTATAGGCGGCTGCTTGGTTTTTATTGAACTTGGTAAAGGGAATTGCTTCAAGGAGCTTCTACTATGACACATAAGTACGTCCTTATCACCATGTGTGTGAACCTCATTTTTCCACAAACCCAGTTTGGTACGTAACTCAGAGTCTACGTGCGAAGGAATGGAACTTTTTTTTATTACACAGCGTCTATGGAGATACATATTCCCCAAGTTACATATCTTCTTCCGCGAACGTTATTCAGAGATATACGCAGATGGGTTAATTGGGTTGTACTTTGGGGTGTGCAAATATTTCGGATACTACTCGTGTGGGTTGGACGTTGTCACACACGTAAGCGTGGGTACTGCTGGGGAAGGATTGGCTATATATTTTTTTATTTGGAGATACAGTGGTGCAGATGAATCTTGATACTATCAGACGATGAAAAGCTGCAACCCAAGCGAAAGGGAGAAATATCTCCTGGCACCCAACATATCCATCCACAAAATCTGCAGTTTGCCACCTCGCTGGATACGTCTCGCTACATCAATCAGCAAAAGTGGATTGGCTGGGGGCCCTTGTCTCGGTTTTGAAGCCGCTTGACGGAATACTTAGAATTTGACCAACTACCCTATCAGTAAATCAAGGCTAAGCAACCTCAACGGCTGATTTGTCATGATATAGCTCGCTTGACGATTTATGACAATGAGACCCTCCTCTTTGAGGTCCTTTGGAATCTGTGCTAATCCCTACCATGGAAAAAAGCTGTATTGTATCTTGAAAAGGAGGGCTGTTGCGGTTTCTGACCAAGTTCTTTGAGAGTGTGTAATAGTAAATGAGGTCGTTTTAGAAAGGTAATAGTGATAGCGTGTCACGCCACCTCCACTCTCCTCCCGTCCCCACTTCTTAACCGTCATGCGCCAATACTGCTCTACGCATTTTCAACTTTCCAAGTACTTAGCATAGGTTACTGTGGAATATAACCACGACTTGATTTCAATACCATTGTTCATTTATAAGAGAAAAAACGCTCATGGTTGGAACATAGAATAATTTTAAGAACCGAACGAGTGGGGCTGAAAGCGAAAAACGTGCTGACTAGCGTGCTAATTTTCCCGGCGGAAAATCCGCGTGGTCTGCGTGGCCGTGGGCATGGCAAGAAACATGGCTCTGAACACACGCGCGTGGGGTAAATATGATGGAGAAATGATAATATATAGTTTTTCTTTTTTATTTTATCTATCATCATAGTTGCAATTATTGTATGGTAAAAATGCAAAACACGCCAAGTCTTTTTCTTATAGTAAGAATATCGGTCGTACTGTTCCTTAGTAAGTCGACCTCAGTTTCACAAGGTGGTCCTTCTTCACCTAAACTAAGAGTTTGGTTTTTTTTTTTTTCACAACCAAAAATATGAGCTAACTGTTGAGAGGAAGTACACTTCTTTACTTAGCTTTGCCAACCAGAAACAGCGTATGCCTTCCAAGATCGGCAACCATTTTCTTTCTCTTTCTTGAAAATTGAAACGTAGTTTTTCTACTTGAGTGTACAACAAGTGGTTTTGCTGAAAGCTACTCGTGGACTACAGTACTTTTCATCGGGCGTTGCCGCACTCATCGTGTGACACCGAACTTCCCCCGCATCTTACGATGGAGAGTGTCCTTGGGTAACAGCTGATGAGATCAGTTGGGGAAACTCCAGTTTTGTAAGTAGATATTGAGGCTTTATCATGATCTGTACAAGTAAGACGAGACTTATGGTTTTGGTCAGCCACTGCACTGTATTCCACAGGACTGGAGCTGAGTGGTCGACATCATAGCAGACCTGTGTTTCGGTAGGGCGGAGGTTCGTAGCTTTCGACTTTTCCCAGACACAGCTTTTTTTTTTTCTTCGAGATTGCCATTGTCGACCCAACCATTCGAGTTTATAGCTTACTTACACAAACACTTACTTCTACAGTGTTTTACTGCTTTATACCGTCTTAATAGATTCTTTACCGCTTGTCATGACATTTGCAAATGCTACAATAAAAGTCATGCCATTTCTCTCCTGTGAAATCACCGCGCGTTGGCGATCGACATTTCTCAGCTCGAGAGCCTTCTGGTTCCAGCTCCTCTATCGTCATATGCTTTTCTGTGTCGCCGTTGGCGTAGCGTTCAGAGAGCGTGCCTTTCCTTTTTCTCCGCATATTACTCTTTTCGCGAACGATATGCAAGCTGGGGTTTGTGTAATTATTTTTCATGTCATAACTTCAGATCTATAGATCTGCATTGATAACCGCATATGTGTATAGAAGACATACAGGATCAGTAAAATTTCATAATGTACATACTTTAATTTGCCTTCTGCTTTGAATTTGGCTATATTTGTCGTATGGTCTAGCGCGAAAACGTTCGCCAAAGCAACATCATGCCCGTCTGATCTACCCAATGGATTGGCTTTCAGTACGCACGTAACGATCGAGATGTACTTTCCCCAGAGTGAAATTGTAGTACAATGGCATGGCGGCCATAATTAATTGGTGTCGTCCCATTTCATTTCCCCACACTCTTTAAACACCTCATGGCCATCACACTGTTCCCAGCCAATCGGGAAGTAGCGGGCAATATGAAAATGATTTTGTGGCCTTGTGGGTAATTAATGAATGCCGCGGGACGCTGCTAATCCCATGCTGCTGCATTCAGGTAGCACATTAGGATGACAAGCTCTGGATCATTTTGCTTAAAAACCCCCACACACATCTCTTTGGTTCAGGGCATTCATCAAAATCCAATGCATCCAAAGAACTTGGTATCCTGGCTGGTATCCTTGGCTATCATTGTCGGTTCGGTCATTGCCGCCGTCCCGACTTCTCCGGTGAAACTCAATTACTATACGTACCAAAATAGCGTATTCAGTGGACAAATCTACGTTAGTATCGTTTTTGATGGCACTGCGAATCATTTCGGTTACTGATTTAGTGTGTTCTTTAGGTCCAAAACATTGCTTACACCAAGGTTGTGACGGTAATTTGGGCTGATGCTAGTAACAATTGGAGTGGCTATTCCACCCCCGCTTCATTCTACCAAAGCATCTCTGGTACCAGCTATGAATATTGGAACTTTACCACCACTATTGGATCATCTGGAATTTCACAGTTCTACATCCAGGTACATACATCTTGCCGAATTGAACACATATGATTTGTTTTATGCTCATGCATTCCCATCTCACGTACAGTATCAAGTCAATGGAAATACCTACTATGATAACAATAGTGGATATGGCACCAACTACCGTAAGCTGAAATTTCTACCCTTGAAAAGCTTGAAAGATCAGTTTGCTGACAATGTACCCGTTTTCCAGCTGTGACCGCTACGACTTCTTCCAGCAGTAGCAGCTCTTCTACCACAAAGGCTTCCACTACTGGCACCACTGCCACTACCACCACTTCTGCATCCACCACTGCATCCACCACTGCTGCAGCTAGCACTGGCATTGCTTCTTGGGTCAATAATGAGGCTTCTATTAGTTACAATATCATGTATGGTAATATTGATATAGCTGGTACTGCTCCTGGATTTATCGCTGCCTCCCGTATGTGTCGTATCTTTGTACTTGTCTTTGATTTGATCATTTCAGCAGATGGACATTAATCACTTCTTTCTTTTAAAATTTTTCTCTCTATTAGCAAGCACCTCCAGTCCTGATTATTACTATGCCTGGGTCCGTGATTCTGCCTTGACTATGCATGTTGTGGTCAACCAATTCAACACAACTGGCGCCAAGAACAGTACTATCTCCAAGATCATCACAGACTATGTTACTTTCCAAGCCAACACTCAAACAGAATCAACTCCCTGCAACTGCCTTGGTGAGCCTAAATTCAACCCTGATGGCTCAGCTTACACTGGTGCCTGGGGAAGGTGAGTCTCCCGACCGGATTACCACTGGGTAATCACCCAACAATGAATAACCGATTTTTATATATTGTATGATAGACCTCAAAATGATGGACCTGCCGAACGTGCAATTACTTTAATCAAGTTTGCCGACAGCTGGATTGGACAGGGAAACAATGCTACCTACATCAGCAACACTGTTAATACTGGTTTGTATTTTTTTTTAAACAGACTACTGGTTATAAATGGGCTTGGACCACTAACATAAACCCGCTGTCACCAGTCATCTTCAAAGATTTGAATTATATTACCACCGTTTGGAGTAATACTTGCTTTGATCTGTGGGAAGAAGTCAACGCCTTGCATTTCTTCACTCTGATGGTCCAACGCCGTGCTCTGCTTGCTGGTGCAGAGTATGCTGCTCGTGTTGGTTATTCAAACAACTACTCTACTGTTGCCGCAAGCATTGCCACCAAAATCGATACCTTTTGGTCCTCTTCCTCAGGCATTATTCAAACTGCACAAAACTATGTCAGCGGTGTCAGTTACAAGTCTTCTGGTTTGGATGTTGCTGTCCTATTGGCTGCCATCCATGGAGGAAATGGCGATGGTAAGTAATTGCTGTATAGTTTACTCTATGCTACGTTAATCTTAACCCAAATCACTTTCTATGCATACACAGGCTTCTACACATCATCTTCTGACAAGGTATGTTCAAGAATATTTCGATTTTTTATCTCATATTTTGATAGTATCTGATATCATGTTCACTTTGATACTTACCATTCCATCTTCTTGACAGATCCTTGCTACTTCTCTCAAGATTAAGAGCTCTTTTGCTAGCTTATATGGAATCAATTCAAACACCAGCGTTGGAACAGCTATTGGCCGATACCCAGAGGATCAGTACAATGGTGTTGGCACCTCACAAGGCAATCCATGGTTCCTCTCCACTGTTTTATACGCCGAACTGTACTATCGTGCCATTTTGGAATGGAAGGCCGCTGGCAAGATTACGGTGACATCTATCAGTCAACCATTTTTCGCTCAGTTTTATAGCTCTGCAGCTTCTGGAGACGTCTATACTAGCACTTCCACTCAGTTCAGCACCATCACCACTGGAGTAGCCAACGCAGCTGATCTCGTTTTCGCGCGTGTCCAAAAGCATGCCAATACAGACGGAGCTCTCAGCGAAGAATTCGACCGCACCTCTGGATTTGAAACTGGCGCTGTCAAGTTGACATGGAGTCACGCTGCGTTTATTACTGCTGCTTTGGCCCGCTCAGGAACTCCCAGTTTCTAAAGTCAACGTCTATTTGCGGTTTTATGTGACAGTCATGATGTTTATTGAACAGACGCCGATAGCTATAAAAAAAATAAAGTAATATGGATAATGCCTTTAAATTTAGTGAAAGGTTTTGCTTGGAGAAGCTTTTTCAGAGTTTTTGTCAGTCAAACGAAAGGAAAGTCCTCCCAAATGAGCAAAAAAAATTGCCTGTAAAATCCCATTTTTGGCAACCCTACTCAACTGGCTTCGCTCATTTTCTTTGCTCTTTCACACCGAGCATTCCGAATCATACAAACATGTCCGACATGTCGGAAAAGAGGGCTCACCAAACCCTCGATCAGAGCTCAATGATCAATCTAAACTCTTCATGGACGAGCTATAAAGGTTAGTCAAAAGCTCTGGACCACCACCCATTCCTCTTTGTCATGTCACACCCATCAACGACATGCAACCCTTCATCCACCCTATACTTTTGCATACGACACTGTTTCCATGATTTACGGACGCATGGTCATCTTCCGTGGTGAAGATCCATCTACACTCTGTCGCCCGTTTCTTCGCTTGCTTCACTAATCTCCGGACCCACCGACCTCACATGGTGCAGTTTGATAACTAACACACCTTCTTTTGGAACTTGCAGGAGCTTGGTCTACTACTATATTTATCATCGTCGCACTCAAGATGTTGTTTTCTATCATACCTGGTATTACACCGGAGGCCAGTTGGACGTTAACCAACGTTGTATTCAACATGGTAAGTCGGAGGAGGGGGGTTATGCATCGGTTGGAAAGGAAACTGGGCTGCTGCGGCATTCTCATCCGTATGAGACAGACCATTGTTTAACATGGCACACTTAAATCTCAATGTTTTTCTTTTTTCGGATGTTTAGGGTCACTTCATTATGTTCCATTGGGTACAAGGTATTCCATTCGAAAATAACCAAGGCGCTTACGATGGCCTTACGCTATGGGAACAAATAGACGGAGGTGTTCAGTTTACAGATACGAGAAAGTTTTTCACGGCTGTTCCAATCTTGCTGTAAGTTGTTTCTGCCACGTATACCTCAAAATTTTATGCTCTCCGCTGACTCTGTCATAGATTCCTTTTGAGTACCCATTACACGCATTATGATATGGTGACCTTTGCCATCAACTTCTCGGTCCTTTTGGTGGTCTTGGTCGCCAAGTTGCCTGCCATGCATAAAGTACGAGTATTCGGCATCAACAAGATGGATGAGGATATGGATTAATCATGCCCTACGGTCCCCTTTTCTTTTATTATTATTCTACTCTCTTTCAAATAGCCTCACTCCCTGGTATTTTCCTCGCCCACTCCCCCCCATCTTTTACGCTGCATTGCCTCTCTTTGGTTGATGGTTTTTTTTTTCACTTTTTAAAATATAGCACGGTTGATTTTGCATGCTCTGTCTTATATTAAGTGTGTTGGGTCCACGTGCAGGTCAATGATATGCTGCCACGCGGAGCTGGCAGCCGATCTTTACTTTCACAAGGTGTGTTGGCCGATGTTTGTTTGGGTTAAGGCGACACGCGTGATAGTAAGCAGCAGGAATGCGAGGGTAATTTGATTCGCTGTTGGTTGGTACATGGATGCTTACAATATGGTATGATCTTCTCGATTGAATGACTTTGTGCAACAGACATTATTAAAGGCTATATGATGTTTCATATAGCTTCCTTTGAATCGACGAGGTGTTCGATAGTAAAGGAAGGGTTGAAGCGTATCATTAATATGATTTAGCAGACGCCTATGAATTAATTGAATTGGCCTGCCAATCAAACCTGTATTGAAACATTTTAAAATAAACAGTCACTGCTCAACAGATTTCTTTACCCAAAAAAAAAAAAAAAGCTTTGCTAACACTCGCCGTTCATTTCAAAGAGTCAGCAATGTCACAGCAACCAGGACAGGAAGATCCTCACCCATTACGTGACTTCAAGGAATATCAAAATGCACTTTTCACAGCGCTGACGGGTGCAACAAGAGCCGCTAATGCTATTCCCATTGCCGATCTCGGTTACTTTCGTTCGCTGGATCGAGGATTTGCAAAGACTTTGGATAGCTGTAGTGAGAAAGTCCTCAAGCTCAGTAACAACATGCTCAAATATGCCAGTGTTGAAGAAGCAGAAGCAGCTCCTCGATTCTACGATATAGACGATGTTATGGATCGCTTCAATATCGCTATCGATGTGGTGGACAATTTGCTCGAGAAAGCTGTAAGTCAATGACGTTCGTTGTCCTCAGGGAAACCTTGTTTTTATTGACCAAAAGTATAGGATGTTGGGTTGGATGAATTACGAGGACAGCGAAATAGAACTGAACCTATCATGAACCAAACTTCTCCAGTTGTGGCTCAAGTCGCAACCAAGGTATGCCCTCATCTTTTTCTCGAACTCGCCATGCACTTTGTTATATTCACATCTGACGTTGTCTTTTTGTTCAATTCATTGCAGGGAAAAGCTGACTATAAGATGCTTCACGCTCAAAATATCATACGGCCGCAGCTGCGATTCAAGGATACCATAGACAATTCTTCCAACACGCCATTCATACCGAAACTTACATTCAAACCACACAGCAAAACTCCACTAGATCCCCGTAAGTTGTAGCATATGCTTTCCAAAGCCAACCCCCCCCCAATTGGATCAAAAGCAATTAAACCCATTGTTTCGTTATAGGCATCACCGAATTGCAATCGCTTTCACTCACATCATCGCATAAATCAGACGAAATATTAGCCGCTTCGTCTTTAGCTCACCCATATGAATATGAAATCAAACATATTGAATACCCAGAGCAACTATTCGAAGAAAAGCCTGAACAAATCTACACTCCATTCGACGACACCAAAGCAACTTGGGTTGATAACGAAGAAACATTGAAGGAGATGTGTAGCAAGCTTGAAGCCGCCACGGAAATTGCAGTGGATCTTGAACATCACGATTACCGATCATTCCAAGGTTTCGTTTGCTTGATGCAAATCAGTACTCGTGACGAGGATTTTATTGTGGATACACTGGAAATCAGAGATAAGCTGTGGATGCTGAACAGCGCTTTCACCGACCCCAATATCGTCAAGGTGATGCACGGTGCCACCAGTGACATTATTTGGCTTCAACGCGATTTCGGACTCTATGTCGTTGATCTCTTTGATACTTATCATGCTTCCAAGATGCTCGAGCTCCCCGGACATGGTCTTGCTTATTTATTGAAGCATTATTGTGATGTGGATGCCGATAAGAAATATCAAATGGCTGATTGGCGAATCCGACCGCTTCCCACCGAGATGTTAAAGTATGCCCGCAGTGACACGCATTATCTGTTGTACATTTTCGATCGTATGCGACGTGAGCTGTTGGAACGAGGAAACGCCAACCATAATTTAATGCGAAAAGTGCTTGCTGATTCCGAAGAGACCAGTGTACGAAAGCACGAGAAGGATGTGTATGATAGCGAATACGGCACTGGATTCAACGGCTGGCGCAATCTGTTGTCCAAGTGGAAGACGGCGATCAATGCTCAGCAATTTGCTGTGTTCAAGGCTATCCACGCATGGAGAGATCAAACGGCGAGAGATGAGGACGAGTCGGTTCGATACGTCCTTCCCAACCACATGATCTTCTCCCTTTTGGACAAGATGCCCACCGATAGCACAGGTGTTATTGGATGTTGTAACCCTGTTCCGCCTTTGGTTCGCATGCACTCCCACGACATTGCCCTTGCCATTCAACGGGCTAAAATGAGTACGGGAGATAAGAAATCCATTGTCAGTTTGGAAAGCATGCCTGCACCACGACATACTCGATATGCCGATGAGGATACCGACATGCCCGAAATACGACAAGAGGATCGCCAAAAGCTTGAAGGCAGACCAGCTGTCAAGGACGTCGATCCTAAATTGTTTGATTTGGCTTTGATCGAGGAACAGCGTCAACTTAATTACCAACACTTGGCCAAACCCGAATCATTCCTTTTCGGCACCACGACTCACATCGAAGTGAGCAGTGATGTGTCATCCAAGCAGGCTGCGGACCGTATACGAATGTCGCTACGACTCAGCGTACCTGGTATTGAAGATGCCATCCTCCACACCGAAGGTGTCATGGAAGAGCCAGCTGAACATGTGTATACCAGTAAGACCGACAGGGTAACCAAAGAAGAGGTTAAACCAGTGAAGCCAAAGGATTCTGATATCATTGTCGTGAGGGAGACCCCCAAGAAGCGCACCAGAGCTGAAGAATTGCAAGAAGATGAAGAAGATGAATCGTCCCCTGCCGCCAGTGGATCGTCAGCCACCGATGATGAGGATGCAGCCCGTCAAAAGGAACTCAAGCGTGAACGCAAGAAGGCTCGCAAGGCACACATGAAAGCGCAACGCCAAGCTGAAGCCGAACAAGAAAAACAATCCTTCGAAGCGTTCCAGTATGACTCTGCCAAACTATCGCATGAGGACGCGGCGTCCAGTTCTAAGAAGAAGCGAGGAGGTCCCAATGTATTCAATCCTTACGGTCAAGTGGTTGATGCAAAGGTATGTGCAAGCAATCTATCTATGTTTCCTGAATATCGGGGTCAAAGCCTAAACCATCATGTTTTTTTTTTATCCAGTTCAAAAAACAGCCCAAGGTAGCGTCTGCGACAAAAAAGGCGGACAAAGCCATGACGTTCAAAAAATAGCTTAAGAAATTGTAGAAAGAATAATAAAAAAAAAAGAAGGCTTCTCACGTAGAGAGACAACGGATAACATTTTCCATTTTGCCACCAGAGAGAAAAAGGACAATTATATGGTAAAGGCTAGGTTCACAGAGTTTTGAACTATCAAAACAACGAAGGATTGGCAGCATAATAAAGGGTAAATTACCGTAAGGCAACGTTTGTGTGTACACCAAGCGAAGCGTGCAATAAGTAAGTATAAAACCGGAAGAAACGAAAGTGCAGCACATGGTAAAATGGTTACGTGCGAGGGAATGGAGAGAAAGGAAGAGTGATTTGTATATACTGAAAAGAAAAAATGACTCGTCAAAGGAGATGTAAGTTGAGAAGATTTGCCTGCTTTAAAGTAATGTAGTGTTCATTCATCCCCTGGTCTTTTTTTTTTTTTGGTTGTGGGGGGGGGGTTTTTTTCATCTTCTTCTCTGATAGGGGTTGGATGGCAGTGTATATATAGCAAGCTTTCTCAGAGGCGGGAGTAAAGGTTCAAAGCTGCGGGAATCAATCAAAGTAAAGAGGAGGGTATCTGTCATATAGTTGCCTTTTCACTGGGCTCTTCTTGACCGATATTTGGATCTAGCACTAGTCTCACGTCGTCTACATGAGTCAAGTCCGTCAAGAAGTCAGTCATGTCGGTGAGTTCAGTGTCGTGTGGATCGTTAAACCAAGAAGACACAGGAATCGCATTTTCATTATGGAATATATAACTGGCAGGTGAGTTATCTATTATGATGGTGCTCGGTAAGTCACGGCCAAGTCGGGACAAGTCCTTGACAAAGTTGCCCATATGGTTACAGCACGATTCTCGGAATAGCCGATGATCGACAACGTTGTGAATGTCCAGGTGATCCAACACAGGGTCAGCATACTAAAATACAATGGGTATGAGCAGGTTTCTTTTTCAGCGAGGGGCCCAATCAATCGGCTGCTCTAGTCTGTGATGATCCTTTTTTTTTTCGCACCAGGTAATAAACAAAAGATATCTCTTACCGTAGCTAAGCTCGCAGTGAACACTACGATTTCATAAATCTCTCCCATCCTTCGCATAAAATTGTCCACTCCCGGTCTCTTGAGTACATAGACGTTATGCACTTGATTATCGATGACAATGGGAATGATAAAGTCGGCATCTTCCACCTCCTGAAAAGTCAAAGCAAATATTAGAAACAAGCGAGGTTTACTCCAATTTCCGTGTCCATGTCCGTACCTTGAACGAAGAATGGATCAAAGTTTCATCCATGTCTAACACCAGGCACTTTTTATTCTTGTGCTTTTCCGCTAATGGAGGTAATAACCAGGTATCTGCATTTGGCTGAGGAGACATTCCAAAAAATAAAAAAAATGTTAAGGTACGGAACGGAAAGAAATCCCATTGAAAGCCATGCAACGTTACCTCTGAAGCGTGACGAGTAGCAGAATCAGCTTCCCAGTCCTCTTGAACAACGTCCTGTTTTGCCCTTTCGTCCAATATGCTGTTGCTGGAATTAGGGTTGAGGATTTTCTCGCCATGTCTCTCTTGTTGGAACGGTGTAAATGCACAGCAAAAAAGTAAGGACATGAAACCAGCTGATTTGGAAGTGGTTTTGCTGGCGATGGAAGCAGCAGGCGATGTGGGCGACTTTAAGGCATTCAAGGATTCCACTGTTCCATCAAAAAAAAAAAAAAAAGATTAACATAAAAGTTTAGGATAATGCATCATCACACTATCTAGATGTGCTTGCTCCATACCTTTCTTCTCATTGTGTGATGGTGGCTTCTTTTCCTTGATGACTTTCCGATCGGACTTCTTCCAAAAGTGTCGCAGGAGGCCCGAAGCCTTGCGTGAGGGTTGTGTGGCGGGAATGGTTGTTATTGTGAATGGGAAGGAAAAGAGGAAAGGTCAAGCCAACACAGGAAAAGAGAGAAAAGGTTCCCAATAATAATCAGGCCCAAAGATTTTCCCTTTCACCCACTTCCACCCACCCACGCAATCTTGCGCTATTTTGTATCCTAACCTTCATTCTTTCCCCTTGCCTCTACGCAGGCTATCTCTGTCATGGACATACTCGCTTTTCGTTGATCTGCTTCGGTCAAAAGCTCGGTATTACCGATTCGTTACACATATCGTATTGTGGACATTGAGATGGCACCTAAATTGTTAGTCCGCATCATTGGTATTGGCACTCGCTTGCTCACGCCACAGAGACACCATAAGTATACATCTTGTCTTGGAATTCAATACGCTCGGTTCACTTCTTGACCTCGATAACCCAGCTGAAAGTTCAATTTTTGTCCGATGGCCACATATTTATCTGTTGCATTCCTCACGTAAAATGTGCAAACCATAGCTTTTGGAACAGAGTAGCTTTTTGGGAAAGCAGGATGGATCGGTGGTGGGTGATTGTTTGCATGATCTCTTCCACCTCCTTTGCCCGCGCACGCCTTCGTCCGTTGGTTTTTCCCCTGTTTTTTATTTTTATAAAGATGGATCCAAGTTTTTTTTGTATGAGAAAATGTTTCAAGACTACGCTATGATTACCAACGCTTGGAAGTTGGCAAACTCTAAAACGTGGGGTAAAGGCCGGCATCACACGACTGCAAAGGTTCCCAAGACCATGTCTTTTATACCAAATATAGTTTAAGCTTGCCCTGCTAGCTAGGCGACACATATAAAATGCAGAACTCAAGCTGCTTGCACTTCTATTCCCTCTTTTGCTGCATAACATGGACAATTCATCACCACCACAGGAAGAGCAAATCAAGTCTGACCCTCCTGCTGAGACTAAACCATCCTTTGGCCAGCGTGTCAAACGTTGGTTGTGGCAAAAGCCAGATCAGCATCAAAATGCATGGAAACTTATCACCAACTTGACGCCGGCTCAGAGACTGACCTTCACAGCTGGTAAGTGGGTACGGTACGCATAGGGTAGTGCGCATGCATACTAAACCGTCGTCGCAGCTTTCTTGGGTTGGACTCTGGATGCACTGGATTATTTCTCTGTCTCTTTGACAGCCACTGCCATCGCAAAGGACTTTGGCGTGCAAGTGAGTGATGTGACCAGTGCCATTACAACCACCCTCATGTTGCGGCCCATAGGTGCCCTGATTTTTGGTGCTGCTGCAGATAGATGGGGTCGTCGTTGGCCGTTGATCATCGATATCGTTCTCTTCTCTATCATCAATCTGGCCAGTGGCTTCGCTCCTAACCTCCCTACCTTCATCGGCCTCCGTGCTGTGTTTGGTATTTGTATGGGCGGTGAATGGGGTCTTGGAGCCTCTCTGGCCTTGGAAGCCCTGCCGGTGGAAGCCCGTGGTATTTTCTCTGGTATCCTGCAGGAAGGCTATGCTGCTGGTTATTTGCTGGCAACGCTACTTAATTACGGAATTGTTGCTCAAGGAGGAAAATCATGGAGAGCTTTGTTCTGGACAGGCGCCGGTATTGGCTTGCTCGCCGTCTTCATTCGAGTGTTTGTTCCGGAATCCGAAACGTTTCAAAAGACAGCCGAGGCCCGTAAAGCGAGCGGAGTGACCTACTGGCAGGAAGTGAAAACTGTGCTTCGAACCAAATACCTACGCCTCATTTACATGGTCGTCCTTATGGTAAGTGCAGCATCAAAAGATGGGGGGAGTGTTATGAAGTGTTGGGTTTCTGTCGACTCAGTTTGGAGATTTGGCTTCAAAGTTTTTCCCCGCTGTATATGAAAATTGATTGCTTTATTTGGTGTTTATAGTCCTTCTTCAATTTCATGAGCCATGGATCTCAGGATCTTTGTAAGTAACTATAGGCAGTGCAGTGCCAGAAGCAAAATCACCCATCTAAAAATAACCCCCCATGTACTAGATCCATCCTTCTTAACCAAGCAACTCGGCTATACCGCAGAGCAACAGACAGTCACGAGTGTGATCTATAATATTGGTGCTATTATGGGAGGTACTATTGTGGGTTATTTCTCACAATACTTTGGCAGAAAGCGTTCTATTATCGTATGCGCTATTGTCGGTGGGGCTATTATCCCTCTGTGGGTATTTGCTCCCAACATTGCCAGTCTTCAGTTCGGAGCATGGTTGATGCAGTTTTGCGTCCAAGGCGCCTGGGGTAAGCGAAACAAGAATCAGCGGTCAATAAACACTGCCAGGCATAATGTATCAGCAACCTAACCACCCTCTTCAACAAGGTGTCATTCCTGCTCATCTGACTGAATTATCACCACCAGCCTTCCGTGGTATCATGCCAGGTAAGAAACTTATCTTTTTTTCTAACCGCTGCCGAACATCGGTCTAACTGGATTATGTAGGTTTGTCGTACCAACTCGGTAATTTGGTAAGTCAATGTTCTGGATTAAATGATGTTGTTTCGCATTATCTGACAACCCGTCTTGTTGCAGGTGTCTGCTGCTAGCGCCCAAATCGAAGCCACGATTGGTGAACATTACCCTGTTCGTAACGCTGATGGAACCCTAAAGCACGACGCAACTGGAGCTACCATTCCAGATTATGGCTTGACCCAAGCTATTTTCATGGGATGTGTCTTTGCCGGTGTTATTATTACCAGTATGTATTGGGCTGCTGGAATGAGTGTTTTGACTTTCCGAAGGACGAAAAAATAACCTTACTGCCTGTCACTAATCCACCATTTGTCCCTTTTTTTTTATAGCTGCTGTTGGTATGGAAGAACGCGGAAAGGACTTCAACGCCCATTTGGTCACCAACCCAACCACGGGCGAGGCCATTGGAGAGGAAGACATCAACGCTGGTCGTGAAGAGGATGGCCAGGAAGAAGCTGCTCATAAGGAGCGAACTTCTGATGTTTCGTACACTGATGATGACAAACGAGTGGAGCAAATTGAAGTAAAATAGCTGCGCATGCTGTGAATGTTATTGTAATATCATCGTCTGTTATGAGAACTATTAGTAAATAAATGAATATTCTTGCTGTGATAACTTCTACCCCAATGGAATGGGATCACTGGAGCAACAACGCGAAGGAATATCATTATGTTGTGTAAGTAATTTAGACTTTGGTGGTGGTCATGCGTACGGTAAAAATGGCTCAGATTGGGCATTTTTACCTAAGCAAGTTCCTGTGGGCTGTTTTATGACCAACTTGACTTATGCCGACCATCAAAAAATTGTGCTGTTAAAGTAACAACCACCTGCATGAAACCGAGCTGTACCTTTGTTATAATGTTCAATTGACTGAACCAGGTATTTCTCTTTCAAGGTATAATAGTCCGCTATGGCCTGCGTTTCCCTCACTATCACCCAATAAAGCATTTAAATCCAGCGACCCTCAAGTCAATTTGTCTCAATAGCACCTCATGAAGGTACCAACGTTAAACAAGTATGCATGAACACAGTTGGACATTGCAGGATGTTGATACCATTACACTTTGCGGCATGGACCATCTATACCTTCACAGCCATCATTTGCTACTTCTAAAATTACGCAATATCCACCCCATAGTCGAAGAAAAGCACATGAAATTATGGCGAATTGAAATTTTTTTAGCATTGGACGCAAATACAATGCCGCGAGGCAAACCGATAGATTATAAACTCTGTTGATTAATTCATAATCTTCGAAAACTGTAAAGTCAGGAACCAACTACATTCCTTTCCCCCACACTCTCTTTTTTTTTACATTATGAAATTGTTGGCGGTATGCCTTGGCGCTCTGGTATCACAGGTAATATGCTCATCGGCAGCAACCGAAGTCTTCATACGAAAACCCAGCTTTTGGTTAGCAAAGAATATTTTCATCTCCGTGATGATACCCGATATATCGTCCCACACCACTTGGGTGCTGGAAATTGGACAGGAGCTAGCTTCACGAGGCCATAACGTTACCTTTCTTTGCACGACTGGAAGTGAAAAGTATCTACGAGACTACCCTAATATCAACCTCTTGACAATGGGTGAATCGCCTCTGGTCATTAATCGAACGCAAGCTGCAGAACTGCAAGAAGATTCGTCAGAGATGTTCAAGTTTCAGAAATGGTTTTTTAGGACGCTCAATAGCAATTTACGGTCAGAGTTTAAGCAGTACTCTGAATATATTGCAAAATACAAACCAGATGTCTTTCTGTGTGACCATTTTGCAGATAGCTGCATGCGCGCTGCTGAAGAGCATGAAATTCCATTCATTGCCACTTCCACCACGGCCAGAGGCCCTGTAAGAGTCAAAGGTAAGTCTGTCTGTCGGAAGGGATCATGGCAAGTTTGAAAGACTGAATGTAATTAATCAACGCTTGAAAATTTCATACCATTACCCAATCATTTTACAGACGCAGACGCACCTTTCCTCAACGACCTCATGCTAGGAGAACCCACCACGGAGTATCAATCGATATGGTTGAGATTTCTCAACCGATACATCCTAGAGAATGTTATCCAGGGTATGGCCTCGTCTCTATTGAACGAAAATACTCCTGTGCGCAAAGACCTGGGACTCAAGTCAGCCAAATATGTCTTCTCTCGCAAGATGGACGATTCTGTCAAGCTGATCAACAACTTCTTTGGCTTGGAGCCGGCAAGACCTCTTGGCCCTTTGGTACGTTTTATTGGTCCCATCATGGCTTCCAGCTACCCATCGTTGGACGACACTACGGCTGCATTTCTAGAATCTCATCAAAAAGTAGCTTATGTGTCTTTTGGTCACCACGCATCACCAGTGGTAATGGACATCACAAAAGTGCTAATAGCACTATTCGACTCCGTAGAATCCGGCGTCCTTGACGGCTTTATGTGGGCCAGCGTTAGTCTTCCTACCTTCCCTGGGCATATAGTCAGCTCAAGTGGTGCAATATATAATGTGACAGATATGATCCAAAACGGTGCAAAATATGAACACTACAGGTTTACAACGTGGGCCGCTCAATTCGCCATCTTAGCGCATCCTTCCACTGCGCTGTTCCTGACACACGGTGGTGCCAACTCCATCTTTGAAAGTCTCTATTCCGGCACCAAGATGCTGGTTCACCCCTTTTTCACCGATCAGCCACAAAATGCAAGGATGCTTCAGTTGGCTGGAGCAGCGCTTACTTATAATCGAAAAACCACCAAGGCAACGGAAATAGCAGATCTACTTCGCAGAGTTGTTGAAGATGACGATCATATGTTTCAAAAGAACGTCAGCCGGCTGTCGGCTATAGTGCAGTTGAGAGCTGCGGATGCCATTCGGAACGGCGCGGCGGTGGTGGAAGAAGTTTTATTTTCATCCGATGAAGACGACCTACCTCATCTTTACGTGGCATCACGCAATATGAACTACCTCAAGGCCAACAACATTGACATAACGCTTCTTCTTGTCGCCATCGTCGGTGGCATCATGGCTAGCATCTTCATAATAGTCAAGCAATTAATCACTTACCTTATTGCTTGCAGTAATGCCAAGACCAAGCTGGAGTAGTCAGAGAACGTTGAACCATGGTCGCCTCTTATGTTAACAACCATTTCCAGAATTTTGTTTGTCATCGGTTTCCTATGCGCTACAAATACAATATCTTAATCAATTATAGTAGGCGCTCGTCAGTTGGAAATGCGTTTTGGGTGCTTTGAATGCATTTTAGTGAAGATGTGGTTGGTGTTGGCAACCGTACGACGGCAAAGAAACCGCCTGTGTTTTCTCTTCTATTAGGCAGTCGCAATGCCTCCTATCTATTCATTTGCTCTCCTTTGTGGGGTAAACCATCAAAGGCTCTTCCTTTTGTCATACCTTTCGGCAGCGTGTGGCAATGTCCACTTCAACTGATATGGATGTAAGAAGGTCCGAGATCCCCTAACCGAGATAAAAAATAAACGAGCTCATTTGTTGGTTGGAGTTTTATTGTAGTGGGTGGTGATGAATAAATGACCAAACGGTCCAGAAAAATCTTTGCGGCTAGCAAGAGCTACATAGCTAGCGGCATAACGATGTAGAATAGCCGTGCGTATAAGTGGACGTTAACAGCCGAGGTAAACGAGAATCATTTTGACAGGCTTGAGTGACTTGGTAATCGACGTATAAATCGAGCAATGTGCTGTCAGCTGACATATGCCTTACCAGCAAAACGTCGTTCTGAGCGAACCACCAAGTCTCAAAACGCAATCATGTCAATGCTTCAGAATTTACCTCTCGAGATTATCTTTAATATAATAAGCTATGTAGACGCCAAAGATCTTGTGTCAATAGTTCGTTTGAATCGATGGTGGGCAATACGATTCTATGACATGAGTCGAAAACTAGTCCTTGACACACTGGAAAGAGGTTGGATAGTACGAGTAAGTCGCCTTGATAATGACGAAGCCGTCCTGTTCTGTCTATCCTGATACGTTAACATGCCTCTTCTAAAGAATACCCTAGAGACAATGGACGACGTAGGAGACTCAGAAAGTACAGCCACTGTCTGTGGGATTTCGCTCGTTACCGTCCTGGATCACGTCGAACCTCTGACACTGAACTTGATCTTCAATTTACATGAAATCGCTCTCGATGGCTTCACTATACTGCCGCAACATCCAGAAAACCCGCCCTGTGTAAATCTTAAATATAATGGGCAAAACTCGGTCAGTGTTCAATTGACTTTTATCGGACGAAATACCAGTAGCAATCGTATAACCTGGATTGAACAACTGGATCCAGTCGACTGTATATTGGATACCTCCAAGGTTAGCGAGGAACACACAGAATCGTCTCCTTGGAACTCCAATATGCGAGTATCCACTTCACCAGAAGTTTTCGTCACATACAGCCTTATTAGTACATCAGCAGACCCTACCTCCCAAACTGCGCAGGCAGTCCTTGATACCCACGGGCAAAGAGAAATATCTGAAGAAGATGCGCCATATCTCCTGCGATTGGATAAGTTAGTATGTTCCTACAAGTGGTGGATATCAAAAGTTGAAGAGGCGGAGTCCGAGGCAAAACGATCCGTCGCCAATGACATGAACATATGGTAGATTTAACATGAAACTTCTTTTTATGGCATGTATCGAATGCTTGGTATAAAAGGCAGACATAGAGGGTTTTGTACAAATACAAGAAAGAGCTTGGAATTGCTTCCACTTGATGTTATTGTGATGTGTCATATAAATGAAGGGCTCCTTCGTTATTGCTAGTCACGCCTGCAGCAGCCAATACTGGAGAAGTATCGATATTGAGAGCTTCGATGCAGTTCAGCTTAGCCATTGCAATCTTGCTTTGTTGTATCGGAGCTTCTGTCTCCAACGATCCTAAATTCCATAATGCCAATTGACCGTTCGCTGAACCTGACCACAGCAATGGCTCCGTGGTGGGATTGACATATGCCCTAAAATGGCCATTCAGGGAGATAGCGTAAAGGAGTTAACTACTACTGTGACAAAGTTAAAACGTTGGAAAAAAGGGAGAGGGTCTTACAAGCTGTTCACAAGTGTGCCATGAGCATCATTCAGTCTTTTGACAGACACCTTTTTAGACTTGGCTTCGAGTTTGATCACTTGGACAGAGCCGTCGCCTAAACCAGCGGCTACCCAAGTACCATCATGGTTTATTCGCAATGAATAAACGAAAGGAGGGTTTACCATTTGGTGGGCGGTCGGATCGGTCTGATCTGAAAAAGGCGATATATTGTTTGTCAAATACTATACATAATCAAGATGTTCGCAAATTCGCATTCAACCTACTTGTATCGTAGCTTGTTACCATACTGCCCCGTGAAATATCCCATTGGCAAATAGTATTATCCATGCCTCCTGACCACAGTTCCCAAGGCTTTTTCGGTCTGAAGCAAGCTGCCATGCATAGCTGTACATTGTTGTTGGTAAGGAAAAAATTGGTAGTGAGAACCAAGCTAAGCAGGTGGATAAACCTACATTTTTATGTTTGCTTCGAAACTGTTTGTATAGCTTGTGTGATTCAAGATCAATCACCTTGACTTCACCACGGTCATCAGCTGTACATAAAAATGTATTCTTCTCATTTATATCTATCTGATTGCGAGCAAGAAAAAGTGATGATAAAATCAGTAGGTTTTTCATCCGAGGTATGAGCGTGGGTCTTTATTTACTCACTGTGTTGATCTCATCTTCAGAGAATTCATATTCTTTGGACGCTTCAGATAGAATCATGTCCGAGTTTCTCATATCAAACACAAGGACCTTCATAGCAAAGTTAAATTGATTGATCACACAGTGCTGATTCCTTGTAGCAACCCAAATTATATTGAAGAGAAAAATTTCATGGTTGTTACCTTGGATCCAACCGCCATATAGAATTGGGATATGCTTGCTTTGGATGCGAATCGTACGCTGCTAACTGCTGCCCCTTGTTTTGCAAACGCTTTAACGGCCTTACCCGTTCTAACATCCCATATTCTACAAGTTTCGTCCTCTAACAGGCCATGTAACGCATTACAAACTCAATTCCACAACCTTTGCTCCATGTGCATGTCAACTACCAACCTGATCCGGAAGCCAACAAACTCCCGCCAATGAAAGATTTGCTGGAATGGTCAAGGCAAATAACAGAGCGTTTGTGCCCTTTAAGCTGCTGTAACGGCGTCCAGTCTGGCATACTGTCGAGAGATCCAACACACACTGACTGACTGGTAAAAACGCAGTCAATCGCTGAGCGTGAAACTCATTTTTTAAAAAACAATGCGCGCGTAATTAAGAAGCGAAAGAAGGGTTTTAATTCTATGTGCAAAAAAGAAAGCTCTTGTAATTTCTTTTAATATCATTTTTGGGGATTATCGTTCAAATTTTCTCTTTTTTGTATTTTTGACTTCGTTCGTGGTGCGGATGGGGGAATAGCGAGTTTTTCATGCTTGGGGGTGTTTTTCTTCAAAGTATGCTGGACGTTGGTCTGGTTTTCTTATTTGAAGGTTATTGTTTAACGCTCAGCCATCTCGGCAGCTTCTTCCATTCCTCCTTGAGGGCCACCACCACCGGATCTCTTGGAAACACCAGAGACAATATCGTCAACTCGCAAAAGCAAGCATGCGGATTCAATGGCAGTCTTGACAGTTTGGACCTTGACGGCATTGGGTTCCCAGATACCATAGTCCTTCATGTCGACCACCTTGCCATTGTGACCGTCAATACCGAACGAGTGTTCGCCGTTGGCATGCTTAGCTCGGAGCTCGGTAAGGACCTTGATGGCGTTTCCACCACAGTTTTGAATCAAGGTGCGGGGGATGACTTCCAAAGCATCGGACACAGAGCGATAAGGCCATTGTTCAATACCTTCAACCAACTTGGCTTTCTCAGCAAGTTTGACGCTGATGGCCATTTCAGTAGCACCACCACCTGGTGCAAGACGAGGGTTGAAGAAAACGTTACGAGCAACGCACATGGCATCTTGCAAGTTACGCTCGACCTCATTGATGATATCCTTGCTAGGACCTCGGAGGATGATAGAGCATGCCTTGGGGTCCTTGCATTTGGTCAAGAAAGTGAAGTATTCGTCACCAATCTTTTCAATGTTGAACAGACCGCATCTGGTACCGACGTCGCTTTCGCGCAAATCATCCACTCGGTTGACAATGGTGGCTCCAGTAGCACGAGCGATACGGTTGTTATCCGTCTTACGAACACGACGGATGGCAGTGATGTTGGCCTTGACGAAGTAGTGTTGTGCGAGATCTGTACACGGAAAAGTGTCAGCAAACCATGACACCCAAATTCATATTAAAACCAATCAACCCCCACCTGAAACACCCTTTTCGGTGAAAACAAGATCAGGCTTAAGCTCAATGATCTTTTCACACATGGTCTTGACCTGTTCTTCTTCGATTTCCAAAATACGGTTCCAGTCGGCCTCCTTTGTGATTTCAATGTTGGTTTGAGATTCACCCTTCTTGTATTCCAATGGGCAATCCAAAAGGACAACACGGGGGTTTTCGATACGACGACGCATTTTAGGGTGGGTAACGTCCTTGTTGAGGATCAAGCCATCCAAAACCTTAGATTCCTCGATCTCACCACCGGGGATCTTTTCAACACGTGCATATCGCTTAATATCAACCTCGCGTTGACCAGTAGCTTCATCTTCCATGGCGACAGTTCGAACAGCATCGAGAGCAAGGTTGCACATGAGATCGCTCCAACGGCTGACAAATTTGGTGCCGAGCGATGACTTGACAAGAGCAAGCATCTCATCCTGATTGTTGACGTCGACAGGGACGGAAATGTCATCGATGACCTGAAGAGCGTCTTCCAAAGCCTTCTTCATAGCACTGATGATGACAATGGGATGAACGTTGCGTTGAACGTGAGGAAGAGCTTGAGCGAGCATTTCACCAGCTAAAAGAAAAAAAAAAAAAAAAAAAGGAGGACGAAATGACAATAGATGACAGGTCAGTAACAGACTCAAGTACACCTGAGGATTAAGAGATCCATCTTACCAAGGATGATGACACTAGTGGTGCCGTCACCAACTTCCTCATCTTGTGTTCGCGAAAGCTCAACCATGCTCTTTGCAGCGGGATGAGCAACTTCGATCTCTCTAAGAATGGCGTTACCATCGTTTGTCAATAGAATGCCTCCCATAGGATCCAGCAACATCTTGAGCATGGATCGGGGGCCGAGACATGTACGAATGACATCGGCGACTGTCTGTAAAGATGAATGGATAGGATTTGCAATGCGTTAGTCATGATGAGGTGGCTCGAGTGGATAAGGGGTGGATCGGGCTGTCGCAAACGTGATGACAGTTGGGAGATCTCGAGTAACCAGGGTAGAACGTACCTTAGCAGCGGTAATGTTCGAGAGCTGGGCCTTTCGTCCAGACTCTCTCTCCATGTTTGTATTCATCACGATGACCGGTGCCTGCATCTTTGGTGTAGCGGATTGTAGACCAAAGGAATCGCTGACCTTATTATTTTGCGTCAAATAAAATTTGAGCTTGTTCTGAAAACGCGTCGCTTGTCCCGCAAATTGGCCCAAATCAGTGACGACATCAAAAAATTTACTGGGATTTTTTCATACAAAGTTTCTTGCGTCTAACGAAGATTTTAATCCAATTTCTAACCTATTATACAGTATTGTTTCGTCTATGAATCAAAATGTTTTTACGAAGGATGCTACTAGCGGTCACGCAAGCGCTAACAATGGCAAAAGCACCTCCCACCATGAAAGTCCAGCCATAGCACCAAGTGCCTTGACAGAGATAGGTTCCTTGACGGCTAGCCTCTAGATCATAGAAAGTGCCAAAGATCAAACTGAACACTTGAGTGCCAAACGCTGGGGCATACAATAGCCAACCCCTGGAATCCACATATAAAAAACAACACATTAGTTACGTTATTCCCATATATGAGCAAATTACTGCCGCCCGTCCGTACTCCTGCACACGGGCATTGCAGTGACATGTCAGAAAGAAAAAGGCCTCACCAATTTCGTGCAAACACCTACAAATGAGAAGCAGAGAAATGCAGGGATAAGTCCAAAATTCTCATATCATTATTTCCATTGCATTGCAATCTCTACTTTACCTCAACACCAAACTCGCTGGTGATAGCTGGACCGATACCGAATCCTATACCATACGTAGTCGCCACTAACATGGTGCAGGGAAGCAAGTCGTGAGGGCTATTCACATAGTAGACTCCGTAGAATAGGGTTGCTGCCAATACGATGCATGCTACAAACATAAACCATATGCGCTGAATACCAAATCGTAGTTTGAGTGAATCGGACAGGGTGCCAAAGACAATGCGTGACGCGAAATTGAAAAAGCTGTAGACCGACACATTATAGTTTCGAAGATGCTGGGCAGTCGAACCTTCTTCTTCGGGTAAGGAGGCGAGAATTTGTCCTATCTCTGCTAGATAGATATAACTTTTTTTGGAATGCTCAATAGCGTATCCCAGCGGCCTCTATCAATTGAAAGCATGTACTTACCCGACACCCAGTAGAACGAAAAGAGCAAGAAAGAGAGATAATCCAATAGGATCTGTAAAGAACTGCCAGCCAGAGACATTGGGTTCCTCGTCTTTAGGCACTACCAATAAGGGAGTTTCCTCGTCGTCCGAAGCGGCGGGGCGGCGATGAGATGTTGTCACAGCCTCGTGATCGTGTTTAAATGAGCGGACAGTGAAAGATCCAGCAATCTGTCCGACTGAAATAACGAGAGCCATGAAGATAAGGAAACCATAAGTATCGTCATCGCCTTTGTAGAAATGGTCATTGATCTGTGAAAACACAAGACCACATAGACTAACTGCTGCACTGGTCATGCCCATGGTTAAACCACGATGTGCTCTAAAATTATGGACCTGGTGATCAATTGGGAGGAGTGAGTTTCAACCACACTGTGGGAGTCCTTTTCCATTCATGACAAACCTGAGAATCAAGAGCAACCAGATAAGCTGTCGCTCCACCCACTCCTACTAGGAGTAAATAAAAGACACACAGTATGAAATAATGGGGTAGGATGCCTTCATAGGTTTGTGCTAGCAACATGAATCCAGTGAATCCGAAACAGGCAGCGATTCGCAAGGAATTGCCAGTGCCAAATGTCTCGACTAGCTTTGCACATAGAGGACCAGAGAAGCTGACACCTAGGAATGTGGCAGTGCTTACGAAGCTGTTTTCAAGAGCTGACCAGTGGAATCGCTCAGCTAATGCTGTTCCAAAGGACGGATATACATATTGAGCCCCCGATACATTAGCAACAATGAGAGCAAAGGTGAAAGATAAAGCTAATTTCCACGCTGAAGGAGAATGACCCTCAGACATTATGTGAGTGGGGGGAAAGATAAAGAGATCTCAGGAGAGCAAGACTATTCAGTTCAAATTTTGGGACAGGCTTTTTTTTTATATATGACGAAAGGAATTACAGTAATTTGAAGCCAAATTCAAATCTACTTCTTCTCGGCTTGAGACTTGAGAACCTTCTTGACAATCTTTTGCTCCTCAATCAAGAATGCGCGAACAATTCTGTTGCGAACGCAGTGTGAGCAGCGGGATCCACCGTAGGCGCGGCTGACGGTCTTCTTGGTCTTGGAGACCTGAGCGTACTCACGGGGACGGAGAGCAATAACCTGTGGGGATTCCGTCATTAGTATGCCATGCTATGTATTTCTACACATTAAAGTCGTAGCACTTACACCGGCGAGCTTGTCACCGCAGTCACCGCAACGGGGAGCAGTAGCGGGCTTCTTCTCATATTGAAGGTTGAGGTTACCGCCTATAGTGGTAAAATTTCAGTTAATGAGCGTTCTCCATTCCATACTCATAATCAAAATCGGTGCATACCAGGAGTCTTGACGACTCTAGTTCTGTTGGAGCGGGTGTTGTAGGAAAGACGGCGTCTGTAAGTAACTCTGGGAGCCATTGCTGATTCAAGTTATCGGTCGAATGTGATTTAGGCACCGGGTGAAAATGAAGATAATGTCGAAGTTCACGTAAATGGTAGGTGGACGATAATGGATGGATGGAAACGTATTGTTAGTTGATGATTCGAATGATGGATGGATGGATTCGTTAGATGTTTTACCTATACAACGAAAAAGGGAAGGAAAGATGTCGGCAGGCTTCAGCACACCATAAAACCTGGGCGGGCGGGGAATAGCAGGCAGACTTTTGGACGGACTTTCAAAAATGGGGGTCCTTTTCGACAAAACGGAAGGGTAAAAGACGAATGTTCCAAAGTGTACAAATGAATCAACGAACTTCCATAACAGCGTTCTGTAATATAAAACGAACATTATCCACAAAACCAATTATCAATAGACCTCCCTTAACTCCAAAACAAAATGAAGTCATTCAAAACAATCAAGACATTCTTTCCTCCTACATGGTACCGGGAAAGCTGAAAAAATTCTTCAAGTCTCGGCCCACCCGAAGCCAAGTGGTAGAAACAGAGACTGTAAGCGAGCGTATCTGGCTAAAACGGAACAATGATCCTTTGTTTAACCCTATGCATGTTATACAATCTAGATCTCTTCCCCCAGTACAACGTTTCGAGCAGCCAGGCCTCGTAAACTAACCGAACAAAGATTCAGTGACCCACCATCGATTGCACAACAGCAACTTGCACAACGAATAGAGCGAGCTATTCTCAAGATGAATGCCAGCGAAGCGCTTCCTTCCCGATTTGTTACACCAGAACATATCAGGGTAGTTGGTGTAAGTACCACCCAGCTTTTCATCTCTCTCTTCTCATCTCAAAGCGTTAACATTTGCCTTAATTGTATATACCTTTTGGATGTCCCTTCCTCCTGCAGGTGAAAGCATTGTCTAATTTACAAAAATGTCACGTGTACTGGCGACCGTGTGGAGATGCCAAACAGACGGTAAGTAGCCATTCATCCGCTTTTGCAAGGTACAAAGTACCAAATAGAGTTATTCATTCTTCACTACTAGGATCAAACAAAGCAGGCGCTGAAGACGTATCAACCCGTACTCACTAGGCTCATCCAAAACCATGCTCATATGCGACGACCTGTGGCCATAAAGTACATTGAAGACCGTGATGGAGAGGAACTTGAAAGTATCTTTAAGCAACTCAGTCAAGAGGAACAAGAGCCAGAAAACTCCCTAAAAAGTCAATAAATACCACTTCTCTGTATCTTGCTGTAGAGAATTCCCCCACCGAGAAAAAAATAGAAAAAGTATAAAAGGTTCTCCTTAGTGTATTTAATGTTTGCACGCGCCACATTGGTTAAATCCACCACAACTCGTTTGTTCCCGCGCTTCATGTCTACTTCTACATTACTCGCCGATCGCCAAGCTGCCGTTGCTCGTCTCGAAGCCAAAACCTTCTTTGAACAACTTACCAAGAATGAAAAGCTCTATGCTCATTACATGGCCAAAGCTTCATTTGCTGGCAGCCGAATCATTCTGGCCCAAACCAACCCACATGGTCCCGAGATTTTTGATCTCATTCAATCTGTCTTCACCACCAAGGATGGCCGCATGGTCGACATAGACCAGCTACAAAAAGACAGGTATAGAGCCCATAGCTGAGCTGATTGTCCCTCCCCCATTCTTACACCTTTTTTTTTTTGGGTACCAGTGGCGTGTCCAAAGAATCGTTCGAGGACTTTGTTCAATATGCTACGCAATTTCTTGGCAACATGAGCAATTATCGCTCCTTTGGCGACCGCAAGTTCATTCCCCGAGTATCTGCCCAAGACATTCAGCGCATTGTTGAGGCCAGTGCTCACGGTCCAAAGGCATTGGCATTATGGGAGTCCACAAAAGAAGAAATCTTCAGCGTTGAACCCAGCGCCAAGGCACTTCTTGGCTTTCCAGAAGATGGTCATGTTTCTGGCTACTATAGTTCCAACATCACTAAGGCAGACATTAAACTGGTTCAAGACTATTGCGAAAAAATCCCACTGGATCCTCTCAATACCAGGTAACGGAAATGGAATCACAAACGTGATCGATTTTAAAACTCTATTTGACATGTCTTTTCCCCACGTTTCACACAGGCTATTCAAAGACGAACAAGGCTACCATCTGCGAATTGCTTCAGCGGTTGCCAAAGATCCAGAATCTCATACATTGCCCAACGGAGCCTCTCTTACAGTGCAATATGGTGATTTTAGTGAATATATGGCCGAAGTGGCCAAGAACATCAAGGCAGCCATACCGTTTGCAGCCAATGAAAATCAAAAGGCCATGCTGAACCATTATTTCCAATCCTTTGAGTCGGGATCTATAGATGAACATAAGGAGTCCCAGCGATATTGGCTGAAGGACGTTGGCCCTGTGGTTGAAACCAACATTGGATTCATCGAGACGTACCGTGACCCGCAAGGTGTACGTGCGGAATGGGAAGGTTTTGTTGCCATGGTGAACAAGAGCCAAACCGAAAAGTTTGAAAATCTCGTCAAGAACGCTCCCAATTTCATCTCACGCCTACCCTGGCCCAAGGACTTTGAACGGTCCGTCATTAACAATGCTCCCGACTTCACGTCCTTGGAAGTCCTCAACTTCGCAACAGCAGGTCTACCAGCGGGTATCAATATTCCCAACTATTCTGATATCACACAAGTTTTGGGCTCCAAGAATGTCTCCCTTGGCAACGTTTTGACAGCACACGCACCGACTATTCGATTCCCGTTTGTGCGAGATGAAGATTATGACATGTATATCAAATATCGTCTTCAGGCTTTCGAGGTCCAAGTTGGTACGCACGAATTGGGTCATGGTACTGGCATATTGTTTACTGAAGACGCAAGTGGCACCCGTAATTTTGGCGATCATATCATCAATCCCCTGACCAATCAACCTATTCAACATTGGTACCAATCTGGCCAAAACTTTAATTCCGTGTTCAAAAACATTGCTTCTTCCTATGAAGAGTGTCGCGCTGAAGCTATTGCCATGGTGCTCATTCCTCACCTGGATATACAAGCCATTTTCGGGCACGAAGGTGAAGAGGCTGAGGATGTCATCTTCACCAGTTATCTCAACATGGCGCGAGCAGGTCTGACTGCGCTTGAATTGTATGACCCGCGAGCTAAAAAGGTAGGCTTTTATTTTATTTTGGGAGGCGTTCGTAAGCTGAAGATATCTTTGTGGGACTGCATGGGATTTATTTTTAACCTTTTGAATAATTTTTTTGGGATGATAGTGGGGTCAAGCTCATAGTCAAGCTCGCTATGCTATCCTTCAAGTCATGATCGAAGCCAAGTTAGCTGAAATTGTATACACCGATAATAACCAGAACCTTGAAGTACACGTCGATCGATCCAAGATTAGAAGTGTGGGCGTCCCTGCTATAGCCGACTTTTTAAACAAACTCCAAGTCTACAAGGCTACAGCAGATGAACAGGCTGGTACTGACTTTTACAACAAGTGGACGAGTGTCCCTGAGAGCTGGCATGCCTACCGCGAAATCGTCATTGCTAAAAAGTTGCCTGATCGTGTGTACGTCCAAGCCAACACTGTCATTAAAGACGATGACACGGTTGAATTGTTGGAATACGACGCTTCTCCAGCTGGCATGATTCAAAGCGTTATTGAGAGAAAACTATGAAGAAAGAATGTTGTTAATAAAAACGGATGAGTCTCCCCCCAGAGAAAGGTTACACTGAACTTGTCTATATTTATTGCTAGAGTATTTTCTTCCAACTGCTCCGTTTTTATTTTCTTTTGCTTGGATGCATGGCTCAGCAATCACTGCCCTACAATCAGCAATTGGGTTTACCGAACTCTAATGTGCCTTGGCGAGCAGGCCATGCAGCAGGTAAGGACGCTTCTGCTTTTATTTTAAGCGTTCGTTTCAAACTCGCTCACTCTTTTTTTTTGGTGGGTGGTCAGTGTTCCAACCACCCTATGTGATCGTGTACGGTGGTGTCAAAGATCCAACCGCCAATAATTCTGGCACCTTGACAGGATCAGACGACGTTTGGGCATGGAATGTCAATGGTTCATGGTATAACCCGCAACCCATTGTACAGACTACCTCAGGTACTTTGCTACCTCAGGTATTATTTCAAGCCCTCAATTTACCCAGCCAAGGTCAAATGCTGGCTATCGTTAGCAACACCACAGGAGGATCAACCATTGGTACACTTCAAGTCTTGGACACTACGTCTTGGTCATGGAGTTTTCCACCACCCCGTAAGTTCATTTAGTTTCATGTGCTGCAGCACATCATTTTGCAATATATATATATTTATATTATCCTGTGGTATGTGGCCAAAATAAAACTAATCTCAGCTATGACCCTGTTTATCCATCCTTAGAAGTGCAACCGCCTACACGAACCCAAGGCTTCTCTGCCATCATCGTTAATAACACCGTTTATTCCTATGGAGGCTCTTCCGTCGACGTGAATGGTCTCATCCAATCTAACTCGGTTCAAAATACCTTATCATCAATGGACGCCAACTCCTTTTCATGGAGTAATGCGCCTAATGGTCCCGCCTTAACTGAACACGCGTCATGTTATCTTCCCAAGTGTAACTGTATGATTACTTTTGGCGGCTCGTCTACTGGAGTTGCCAATGAAGTACTAAGCGATGTTAATATTTACAACCTGGGATCGAGTACGTGGAATCTAAACTACGCCGTGGGCTCGGTTGGCGGAGCGTCTCCCGGCCCAAGACGACTGCACACCGCCACATGTCTGACCGATAAAGCGATTATCTATGGTGGTGGTACGAACCAACCGGTCGATAACGATGTTTGGATCTTGGATGCCAGTGCCTGGCCGACTTTAACTTGGCTACGGCAAGATACAAACAAGGCGAATGGCCCCAGTATGCGAATGGGTTCGTACAAAATTTGCTGTACTGATGAGAAGGTTGTGATAACATGTAATTCTCATTTCCTACCACCCGTTTGTATTTTTAGGTCACTCCGCCGTTTATGACAGCTCCTCCAAAAATATCTATTTCTACGGAGGGTGGGGTCCTAGTGCTACCAACGATAATAATATGTATGTGTTAAACAGCAATAACTGGACCTGGTCATCCGTACCCAGTACTGGTTATCCTACGGCGACCACGTCGTCCAATAGCCCTCCCTCAGCTTCATCAACGAATAACACGCCACCTACAACTGGTCATAGTTCCCTCAACACTACTCCCATCATTGCTGGTTCTGTTGTGGGTGGTGTTGTTGCCATTGCCGCCATTATCCTTGGCATCGTCCTTTATCGCCGACATCAAAATAATAAGTATATCGTAACAGACAAGGAAGTGTTTGTCCGCGAAGGCTTTCCTCCAGATTCCTTTAAGGATGGGAGTAGCAAAAATCTGACGGAACACGGAAACAGCTCTTTCGGAATGACGGAACCCACCAACCAAAATGTAGTCAATACTAGCAATCGACACTCAACTGCCTGGACGCTTAGTACCATGAACGATTCCGTTGGTCGAATGGGTACTATGTCTGAACTTGGCGATCGAAATTCTCGCTTCTTATCCGGCGTGCTGGAGATGATGCCACCTATAGCCCACAATGATTCAGAAGGTTTAAGCCGGGATTCGAATGACTCTGGACGAAGGAGCCCGTTCGATCGAAACTCTCATCCCAGCAACGGATTTTTGCAATTTCAGGGACCTGGTCAAACTCCCAATGAATTCGATAGTTATGAGCGACAAAAGCCCAACGAATATTCTAGAGCCATTACATCACCACATGCCAATCACAGTGTTAACATTGATCACCGCTTGAGCCAACCTATTAGCTATCATGAAGGCGCTCCTCTCAGCAGCAGTATGGAAGTATTCCGCAGCAGTATGAATACCACCAGTGATATGGTTGCTCCTGTGATGATTACACATGCCATTGCAAAGCAGACGGATAATACCATCCCACCTGCGGCCAACTCACAAAATGTGGACGACGATGAGGCATGGACCTTTGCTGATTCTTTATCGTTCAATGGTGATGGACCTCCACCTATTCGATACATACCTCCTTCTGGATCCAGTCGACACTTCAGCGTAGCCACTACGTCGTCATCTCCCAGTGCTGCCTTGTATGCATCCAAACATTTGAGTCGAAGCACAATACCACTGACCCATCATCAGCACTCCAGCGTTCCTGTTGCCCGACCTGCCACGCCGCCCAGTGCTTCATTGCCCAATCTATCCACCTCCAGTGTGCCAAGCACGGGTGGTAGTGATATTTACCGCGCTGTCAGTCCCCTGGATATGCTAGCAACTTTAGGAAATATGCCAGATACCAGCGAAGTGGTCATTGAATCCCCCCGCGATAGCGTGGCACCAGAAAGTAGTCGCCAATCAAGTTCAGATGTACTCTCGACTCCGGAAAGCGAAATTCGGACGCCTTCCGAAGCTACATCCGGATTTATCGCAAGTCTTCCTGGAAGGTATACCGCGGACCTTGAACGATCGACAATTGAAGGTCCCTCCAATAGCGTTATCTTTGTTCAAACTACGGATAATCATACACCAAGAACCATCAAATGGTTTGGTAGACGAGAAGCTTGGGAGCGGGAATGTCGCACTTTGATGAAGCTTCGCTCACCTTATGTGGTCGAGCTGGTAGAAGTCCTGACCATTCAAAACCAGAAGAACAAGACTCAGCCGTCGGAGGAAGAAAATGTTCAATACGCGACGGTGATGGAATGTCTGGATGAAACCCTTGGGTCTATTATCCGTCATGCTCGACGCAACAAAAGACGAGCCCCAGGTTTGCATGCCATCATCAAGGAAATTACAGAAAGTCTTGGATGGTGCCACTCACGAGGTATTGCATTCTGTGACCTCAAACCAAGTAATGTAATGCACAATCGTCGTAATGGGCACTGGAAACTCATCGACTTTGAAGCAAGTCGTACCATTGGAGAAGAACTGGTTGGTGTAATTACTCCTCGATACTGTCCACCCGAGGTGGCTCGTGCAACAACTTATGGTCTCGAAGGAGCCAACGGTGTTGTGGCGGCTGCAAGCATCGATATGTGGGCTTTGGGATGTGTGGTTTATGAACTGGAGACCAACAGTCCTCTGTTCCCTAATAATATTACGGATTCTACCATTCTACACTTCATTTCACATCCCTCTAGCACGACACCAGCCCTCAATAACGGACTGCGATGGAACGATGAGTGCGAGCTGGAAATTCCTGGATTGGATAGTCTCATACAAGACAGTCATTCGCGCACTTTAATTCGCACCCTTCTTAGCCGAGATCCAGCAAAGCGAAGCGATGTTGCTTCTGTTCTGGTAAGTACACAGGCTTTTTTTTGCAAAGTTGACTTTCGAATGGCAATATGTTTTGACAGTACCTACATTTTAGCGATCAACTTACCTGAGACAAGCTCAACAATTGCCTCAACGAACTCCCAGTCAACGCGGTCAGCGCCATACCGTGGATGTTGTAAACAATGTTCTGCCTCAAACTGCAGACATTGTCACAAAGGACTCCCTTCCGACTGAAGGACCATGATATCACTGACTTTTTCTATACACACATTCATTTGTTTCCTTCTACATGTTTTTGTTTGGGCTCTATCATTTTACAACTGCACACACAGTCCCTTTCTCTTCTCATCACCTTGTTATTTGTATCAAATTCTGCTATTTTTCCAACATGGAAGTACATAGACAAAGACAATCTGTAGTTTTAGCAATCATTTACTTCAACATTCATTTACTTCAAGAAAAAAAAAACCACTAACATTTATATCACATTCCCCAATTTATCTGGGCGGCGTATTATTATTTTGTTCCAGTGCTGTCATTGATGGCTAAATGCTTGCTTTTACCTTTTCCATCCTATATTCCATGGTGATAGTCCGTACAACCTGGTGTCTTGTCGGCCTTGCCGCAGCATCCATATTGCAATTCAATGTACCAGGTCGAAGCTCCAAATCAAAAGAGGAAGAAAGTATATCAGAATGCGTAGTTTGTCGGGTTCATGAAAAACTAGCACAATAGACGCACTTACCGTAAGCTTCGCTTTGTCAGACTGGGAGCCATTATTTTTCAGTCCAGACTCTAGTGAAAAGATAGCCGTCGAACATGGCTTAGGTAGGACTCTAAGATACGCGAATGATCCGCCAATGCGTGATGATATTGATAACATGGTATAACCCAAATATCAGCTGCGTTGGAACAGCTACAGACAAGGGGCGATTGTTTCCAGCTTGCTACTGCTGCGTTGAAACAAGGCTGTACTGCCATGGACACTTTGTCTATCTCCAAAATCCAATGTATGGGCAAAGAAAAGGGTTTTTATCGCAAAATATGCTTGCTTGTCGCCATTGAACCTCCCTCTCCATTTTCGTTAACAGATGCAGTAGCTTTGACCAAGTGTGAGCTGGATACAGCGAGTCAGTCACTTCCGCCGGAATGCGCCAGCATAACATCTGAACAAAGTCTTTTGCAGTGTATTAGGTATTTGCACCTAACCAACTCGTTTCTGTAGCCTCTTTGTCTGACCAGAGAATTGGAGATAGGTCACTAGCTCAAGTACCGCAATGGTGGACATCCTACAGTGGTAAATGACTATCAATTTGATTTGCAGATGATCCGTTTGAAGAGGTAATTATTAAAATGCATTTACTAGGTTATCTTCGACAAGTAGGTCTGTATTGCCCATATGACAGGTTCATGCATAGTTTTTTAAGTAATGCGATATGCTAAAACCCCACTAGTTTCTATGTGCTATGCAATGAGACACTTTATTGAACGAGGTAAGTGTTTAACAGAGGTATTGGGCTTGCTTCAATAAAGGAGATATTCTACTTATCCGTCTCGACCGTACTTGAGATATTTTGCTAAAATTGCATCGAAACATCACTGTCAATCAATTAATCAACTACGATATTCTACGACAGCAACAACAAGGCCTCATTTATCAGTACAGGAAAGAACAACAATCAATGGAAAGACTGAAAAACATACAGGTGGAAATCGAAAGGTCGTTGAAACAAAATCAGGCAAGTTAAACATTTTTTTACTTGTTTTCAGTCTGATTCATTGGAAATGATGTGTTCAGACTCCAACAGGAATACTCCAAGATACAAACCGATGAACTTCACCGTGCACAAAAACAAGCTACCGAACTACAGAACACACTTTCCCAACTCGCTGATGAATACAGTATAGCTATGGATCAGATAGTCGATATGGCCCTGCAAAAAATGACAAGTGTCGCAGAAAGAGAAGAGGAAATAACCAATCATGTGAGTGACCGCAATGTCAATCAGCATTCTTATATTATGGCTCAAAGGTTCTGTAGGTCATTGGTGAATTCGAAGTCTATAAATCACTTGTCATGGGTGCGCTTGAAGAAGCTGGGTCAATGCACAGCGATATACATACTGTATTGGACAAATTAGAGGTGAACTAACGAATGGCTGTTGTCGTTTTAGCCGCCCTCTCCTTACACAAGTGTCATTTTAGTCTCACGAAGTGCGACTGCTAGAAGGATTGGAAGATTCTGTCGACAAGATAAACACTACCATGTATCAAATGACGGAGAGGTTCACAACACAACTGCAAGGAACATGTCTTTACTCCAATTTACTCCCTTTCAACTGGCTCAAGTCCATCGTTTACCACATACAGCATGGTTTCACGCTGACCATGGGTAACCATTCATTATGTTAGCTTTAACAAGGCATATAAACTACTAATTGATCAATATCATAGCGAAAGCGGTGTCAGTCTTACTGATTACTATCACTCCATTAGCCGTTTTACTGCAGGGGTTGAGACGTGAATTCGTCTGGTATTTGTTGACTGTAGGCAAGGGATATTCGCTGGTATGGAGTATCGGCTTTTAGCTCAACAATCATTGACTTGTCTTCTGATACCATTAGTCTGGCTCTCTATATGGTTACACATTTCTTCCAATATCCTTGGGTGTATACTGGTGTACATCCTGCTTCATGTAAGCTGAGCGGTATAAAGGACCGTTTTTTTTTTTTTTTTTTTTTTTTTTTTTTTTTTTACATGGCGCACTAATACAGCTCCATCACTCTATGTTCGTGTAAAAGGTTGGAGTTACATCCATGGCAGAGGTGCTGGTGTGGTTATGGATTACGCAGATGCTGACGACTTCATCTTGGGATAACTAATAGCGGAATACCGACCTGTTCCAAAGCATAGGTGTAAATAGATATAAAGCACTCTTTATTCATTCTTCGTTGTTTGTATGAGTTAAATTGGGGGCAAAGAAAAGAAAAAACTTGTTATGATGGAAAATGCAGCAAATAATCAATGGACGAATAAAAAGAAATGATCGAGAAACATAGAATGATACGGACTATTACACCCTTGTGGCTAGTATCTCGTTCTTGGTATCGCGTGATTCGCTTGTATCAATTTCTCTAAATTGGCCAGTCTCAGTTGAGCTCTCACCGTGGAAGACGCTTTCCCTACGATCCAAGAGTTTCTCGAGATCTTCATCAGAAATGACCTTATCCCCTTGAGCGACAATTTGCACTTGTTCGCCGTCTTCAGATGCTAAAATATCAGCCAGTTCTCGTAATGATGTTTCACGTTCCCTCTTCTCGGAAGGTGTCAAGGAGGCCACGGGTGCTCTGAATTTGCTGCTGTGAATCACGAGCTTTTCAAGACGTCTCTTTGCAGTTGCACGTTCTAATATCTTGGCTTCAACAGTGTTAGCAGCCACAAATCTATAGATAAGTACAGGTTTAGTCTGTCCGATACGATGCACTCTGTCTTGTGCTTGAAGATCCATTTGAGGATTCTAAATGATTCAAACGTGAGCAACAGTTACAGCCAGGTAACGTATGGTATCTCTTGAAAATGCGAAAACTTACCCAGTCGCTGTCAAAGATGACAACAGTATCGGCAGCAGTGAGGTTGATTCCCAAACCACCTGCGCGAGTCGACAGTAAGAAGAGACGAACATTGCTTTCGGGGTCATTAAAGTGGGCGATCTGTTGACGACGTTCTTCCTGAGAAACGCTTCCGTCCAATCGACAAATTGGCCAACCCTTGAGTTCGGTTGCCCAATCTTCCAAGATGTCCAGCATTTTGGTCATTTGTGAGAACACCAGCACCTTGTGATCGCGCTCAAAGAGAGCTGTCAATAATCGGTCCAGCAAAAGCACCTTTCCAGATTGAGCAGCAAGTTCATCGCTCAGAACAGGTTGGTTGGTAGCTCGGTCGATGGGCCAGTCGAACAGGAATGGATGATTGCACACTTTACGCAATTGCATAACAATGTTCTGCAAGTGCAAACCGTTGACTTGCTTAAGGACGGTGGATAGCTCATGCTTCTTGCCAAGTGTTGCGTTGTCAACCACTGATTCGCCTTGCTTGTTTTCTTTCCCACTAAAGAAATCTCTATCTCCAACATCTTTGTAGCTTGTAGTTTGGTTTCCTCTCCTGGATCGCCTTGGTCCATTCGTTTCATCCAACATTTCCGATTCTTCCTCCTTGTTATTGACACTTGTATCGGTCATTTGCGCCACAAGATGTTTACGCAAATCGCGACGGATGATGGCATCATACAGTTCTTTTTGTGGCTTTGTAAGCGGAGCGTACAATAAATATTCCTTCTTCCTGGGCAGAGATTTTTCCACATCAATTTTTAGACGTCGAAGCAGGAATGGTCTTAAGATCATGTGAAGTTTGGTCACTACTTTATCTTCTTCTTCTTCTTTCATGATTCTGTCGCGTCCACTTTGTTTGCTCATGTCCGAGAAATCGAACCATGATTGGAAGGTATCCAAATCGTTAAAAATCTCAGGTAGTAAGAAATTAAGTAGACTCCACAACTCCGCCAAACTATTTTGCAGTGGTGTTCCGGTTAGAAGCAAGCGGTTGGCGCTCTTGAAGCTCTTCAATTCATGAATCAACCTGCAGTTCAGGTTCTTGATTCTGTGACCTTCATCGACAACAATGTACTTCCAGGAATACTTTTGCAGAAATTTGCGATCATTCATGACAATTTCGTAGCTGGTGACGACAATTGGAAAGTCTTGCTGCATTTGCTTCTTTGGTTGAAGCTTTCGATTAATCATATGCAATCTTTCTTCTTTGGTACCGTGATACAAAAGTACATTGATACCAGGAGTGAATCTATTGAAAGTATAATGGTAATTAATAAGTGGATACAATGATAACAGCAAGGGGAAGTTGATTCTCATTACTGACCTGTGGAACTCTTGTACCCAATTAGCCAAGGTGGAAAGAGGTGTGCAAATAAGGTAGGGTCCAGCGACATTCATAGCTTTAAGATGTGCGATGAATGCAATCGTTTGGAGAGTCTGTTTGAGTGAATAAGTTAGTCAACTATGAATTCTCTGTACTCACATCGTCGGCAATAGCTAGAACACTAACCTTTCCTAAACCCATTTCATCTGCTAGAATTCCATTCAATCCGTTCTCCCACAACGTAATCAACCACTCTACACCTGCCAATTGATAGTCGCGCAAAATACCTCCAGTGACCAGAGCCGGCTGTTGGGCAGAGGCGGATGGCTTTGTTCGTTGCTCATCAGCATCCTTGGCAGCTTTATGGTCTTCTTGGATGGCTTCATCAATGTTCTTCTCTCCGACTTTTCTTCGCTTGAGGTCTTCAGTATCAATATAGTCTTCCAGATTATACCCATCTTCCTTTGCCTTTCGTTTTTTGGCGTCTGTATTCGCGCCTTTACGAGTCTTGGTGGGTGCGGCGGTAACAGCCTTTTCACCGCTTCTAGTTGTTCTAGCATTAGTTGATTGCTCTAAGGTGGGTTGTACTGGCTCTTTATCTGGTTTCGCGTTTGTCTTGGAAGCTCTTTCTTTGGCCTCCTCCTTTTGCTTTTCCATTCTCTGCCCCAATATAGTGGCATAAGCAGATGACTGCTCGAGCAAGAAGTGAAGACTTTTGAGACGGTTATCCCGGACGTTAGCGTCAAATTCTTGCTTGGCCTGATACAAAAATTGATAAATATCAGATGCTGCGTTAGCAATTTGACAAGTTACTTGACACATACCTTTGCTAGGACAGACTGTTCTTCTTCCTCAGTTGCTTTGGCAAGTTCCTCCTCCTCTTGCTTCATAGCTTCAGTTATAATATTTTCATTTTGTTCAGGTTCTCCATCACTGGCTAATGGAGTGGTCTGCGATGTTGAGACCTGTAATATACGCGGTGAGTTTAGTCATTTTGACAGTAATTTCTTAGAAACGAGCAATGCCACATACAGGTGAGGTTTCTGACTGAATCTCACTATTAGCAGTAGAGTCTACCTCAGGCTTGGCACTAGAGGCAGCGTTGTTGAGGTTACTGGAAGTCGCAGTAGACAACATGATCTGCAGCGTGGCAAAGGCGAGGTTGCTGCCAAATACTGGTTTGACTGACACAAAAGTCGCGTGTGGGACGTGGAGTTTAAATATAATTTTTTTTTTATACATTTCAATCTCGATTCATCGAATGCTATCCATCCATCCTTCTTTCCTTCTCTCATCCATCCATCCATCTATCCTATTTGAACTGTAAGTACTCATCTATCTTTCTACTGCATAGCAACACATGGACAAAGGGATGATAGCAAATGTTTACACGAGCAGCAATTTGAGGACTCGTATTGAGTCCTCGGCTGTTATGACCCTTTTTTATGTCATAGTTACACTGATTTGTCCATCGATCTGTTATTGAACGGTTTTAATTTCATTGTTTCATATTTACTAATGATTTGATTATCACAGGTAACGGCCAAGGTATTTAGTAGTGGTGGTGATTTTATTCTAGAATATGCGTGCAATAAATTACTTTTTCAATGAACAATGTGAGGTTTTGAATGCAAGCGGTTTGGTGCCTGGTTGGATATCGTAGAGAACAAAAGCATTGCAAAAGCAGGTCGTCGACCATCCTTCCACAATATTCCTAGGGTTTGTTTATTAATGAAATGGAGTCGTATTTCTTTGAGCATATCTGCTGCTTAGCAACCAATGCTCAGTGTCGCGATCGCTTTCGTCCACTAACATTGCGATCTATCCAAGTGGTATATGTTACATTCGAGGTGCCCATCAGGAAGCCATAGAAGACATTTTCTTTAGCTTATGTTCGATATCTATCAACAGCTTGTCCACAACTTGAAGGTCTTGATTATCAGCCGCCTTAAACACAGTTTTCAAAGCGGGAAACCTGCTCCAGTAATCAACTACCTCCCTGATAGCGTTCAATGAAAACTTGACGGGTGGGCGATTTTCGCAAGGAGAGTGTGCATCCAAGTCTTGTTTGAGGCGTTCCATAATGCATGCGAACATGCCCCATAAAGTTTCCCAATTCCACCCACTGTTGATGAGGAGTATACGTTGGCATGTCTGCTCAAACTCAAGAGCGTCCATCATGTCTTTGACATCACTGATTGTATGACAGACTTCTGCAAGGTCGCTCCCGAGAGATTTGCTCATCATTTTCAAATTACAGGCATTATTCCAATTGTGATTGATGGAGATGGTTGCCCCGATATTTTCAACTTGATGCCACCATCCAGATGGAACAAACAATGTTGTTCCGTCGACTTGATAAATTACTACTCGCTTTGCTTCAGAAAACCGTGGAAACTTCTTTTCATCCACATCGCGAATGTCATATACATTGTTGCCAAATTTATCTTTAAAAAGGTGTTCTTGTCCAGGCGGAAACAACGTCCAGCGCTTGACTCCACAAATGTTACTGGACCATGAATATGATCTATTTACTGGTGTTAGAGAAACCCGATTTCTTTTTACCACCAAACTTTGCAATTTACCTGTAAACATCAGCATGGAATGGTGTGAACGTCCCATCCCCTCCCATATATACAAATCGATAATCGTCTGGGTCTTCTTCGTCGCGACTTGGCCAGTACTCGTTCATCCAGTCATCTGGATCGTGTGGGAGATTAGATACAATTCTTCAAGCATAATTAAATATATTTACTTACCCTCGAATATATCTGGTACCTCATAGGCGTGATAATCCGGGAAGGCCTTCACAAAGTGCCAGTCCTTGAGGTAGTACCGTCCGGCGGACTCTTCAGCATTCGATTGCCACATTTCAATGAACTGAGCAAATGTCATGTTTCCTCGTTTTTGATCAGTAAAGTCGCGCTCTAAACAGTCTGCAACTTGTACTTGAGCAGCACCAAAAGTTTGAAACAGGAACTGGAAATTGGGTTCGGTTGTAGGATTGTGATTGTCATGGTCTCTGGTGGTCGTCTTCTTAATCGGCTGAGCCCACTCCGTGCGAGCTCTCCAAGACGCTGTCAAGGCAGGTCCGATTAAAGCTGGCTCATTCTTCAGCAGGTGCTCGGCAAGAAAGTGTTGGTACGAAGGAGGTTCAGCATAATAGGTAATATCCACTGCGTCTAATTTCCTATCAGACATCAATGGTAAACAGAAGGAAAACATTGAGCTTCCACCACCGTAGACAGAAACATTGTCTTTTTGACCAAAGCAAAGCATAATACTCTTTGAATTGTAGCTTAAAACAGTTGAATGGGTTCTATTATTTTCTATACATTGCGCTAAAGGATGAGATGATGTGTTGTGTATATTCTTGGTACATCACTTATATGTAACCATTGACTTTGAGAGTTTTCTGTCCGTAAATGACGGTATCCGCGGCCACAGATGCTGCCATCAACCATGGCAATGGCTTCTTCGACTTCAAAGCACTTCGAAAGTTTAAAAAGCTCCAAGTGAGGCACCAAGCTACGAGCAAAACTTAGAAAGATGCGTATTAAGAGCAAACAAACAAAAAGAGCTGAAAGACGTACCTGTAGCGATACCAGCACCATTTTCAGGGTCACCGACGTGAGAGACATATCCAGCACCTCCAAATATGGCTGAGAAAGCAGTGCATTGGAAGAACGACGGGACACCGGGTTTCTTAGCAACGGCTGCAGGAATGGCAAGAGCAGCTGCAATTGGGAATGAAAATGGAATTAAGAGAATGTTAGCTACTAGAGGTATTTAAAGCTTTGTTCGAGAACAATTCATTAATGAGAGGTACTACGAACACAATGCCGCCAAAGCCCATGCTGGGTATGGTGAATCTGCTAGTTTGTCCAATGAAGTCGAATTCGACATAATTGTTCTCCCAAACAAAGAGCTTGTGATAAAGTTTTGGAAAATAGCAACTCAGTTTTCGGCTTTTACATTCTGGTCTTTCAACCCCATTGAAATGCCGCAGTATACACGACGCAAGCTCGGTAGCTTGGTGGGCATTACTCCACTAACAGGAGGAAGAGGTACGAAGGACAAAGTATGGCATTTACCAAAGTGAAATCGACTTGCTAATGACTTTTACAGAACTCGAGATTTGGACCGACAAACCCGTCAGTATTGGGTCCGGAGAAACGTGGTAAACCTCGCGTCTTTTTATACCTTACGTCGATTGTCCCTTTCTTATTCTTCCATATCTTTAAAGCGATCTCCAAGTATCAGACCCAATCGTCTCTGCTATTCATTGTCGTTTTTACGCGGTACGCTTGATGTTTACAGCAACGACATTCTGACGTAAATTTCTAATACATGTAGCCCAATAGAAAGAAATACAAGGCGACGACTGGCTAATTTACTGCGAGGTATGATTAGACCTGTTCACATAACCTTAATGAAGATACGTCTAAAGCAATTTATCATAGGATCTGAGCAAGAATGGAACGTTCTGTAAGTTAATAGCGCTATGGTGATTGCCATCGGCTCCGTTAAGCTGAATAGCATCACTTACAGTTAACAAACGGAGAATGGGAAAGGACCAAAACATAATTTTGCTTGATGGCTGTACCATTCACTTGAATAGCGAGCTAGGTGCGTTTGAATGTACTTTCATTACGGTTAATCCTCTATTTCTTTTTGACTGACCTGGAGTGTACGCAGGCTATACGTTTGTTCAATCCTACCCGCCCACTTCCCATACTGAGAAGATGTACCCTGTGAACCTGGTAAGTCAGTGGCCCTGTATTCTTAAATCTTGTCAGACCACTCACATGTTTCTTTCAGGACAACGAATATAAACTGACTGAGAAACGACTTGGCTACGGATCTCAAACTAAGATTGTTCTTGCCTCAGCAATTGATCATGATACCAAACAATTTGCTTGCAAGATAATCAATATCAAGAGTCTTGTCAAGGAGCTCGCTGAAAAAGTCAAGATACAATTAGCTATCATTAGACACGTACAACATGTAAGCCATATTTTCGAATCTCCCACCAGACTGTAACCATGTCCATACTAAACGGTACATTTTACAGCCTTGCATTCTAAAGGCAATTAAGGTCAACCTACTTTCGGAAGATAATGCCTTTGTGATAATGCCGATGTAAGTAATTGTCAAATATCCTTCTCACTCATTACAGAGATACTTACCAAAACCAAAGATACCAAGGTGGCACTCTGCAGGATTTTGTTCTCCAGCGACAACGTTTACCAGAGAATGAAGCACGTTTCATCTTTTATCAACTTATTCGAGGAATTATTGTAAGCTACCGACCCTTAAATGGCATTATTCTTTATACTCTTGGGTAAAAGTTAACGAAGTTTTGTTAAAGTATTTGCACGGGCAACAGATTATTCATCGCGGTAAGTAAGCTTATAGTGTCTGAGAATTCAGGGACTGGTATTGATATTGTTTAATATCATTATAGATTTGAAGGTTGAGAAAGTTCCCTTTCGTTGTTTACTGTGCCAGTAGTGAACTTGACCCAATTGACTCCAATGATTGTTAGCCTGAAAACATTTTTCTTGCTAGGGACAAGCAGTTCCCTCGCATTGTCATTGCCGATTTTGGACTTGCCGCATGGATGACAGAAACGTCATTTCTCTCTGAAGATGTAGGAACTCTTGCGTAAGTAGCTGATATAACCCATGAGTAGAACCATTGCTGTTAAATTTACACCACAATACAGCTACAGTGCTCCCGAATTGGTGGAAGGCAAGCAATACAACGCGCAGATAGATGACTGGAGCATCGGTGCGATTTTGTATTTTTTGTTGACTAGCAGGCATGCATTTGCCTTAGATGGCGCTGAGGACGAGGATATACAAAAACTAGTCCTAAGTGGAAACTACGACACAAGTAATCCAGTTTGGCCCGAAGTTAGCAGTGAAGGTTAGTGTAGTATAATGAGAAGTATGTCTTAGTTTTATGTGTGTGACTAACATCTGCCGCCTAAACAGCCAAGAAGTTGATAGGAGAACTATTAGCAGTAGATCCCAAAACCCGTATACGAGCAGGCAGCTGTCTTCAGAGCGAATGGATTTTAAAAGACTTGGATATGCTTGAGCGGATTTATCTGGCTACGGAGTCTGAAGTTCCATAGCCATCATGTACAGCCAGCTCATAATTTTATCTCTCCAATCCAATTTATTTTTTCATATCCTTCTCCAATAACACTGTAAACTATTATACATGACTAAACCGCTGTCTACATTGCTCCCGACAACTTCTGACTATGAACAAACGTAATTTTATAAATTCCATCTTGCACATGCTGATATACAATCTGCTGGTTACTGTCGTTAATGGAACTACATCCCGCATAAATGCACACTATGTAGATTTAATATTGATTACCATGGTATGCCATTTGACTTAGAAGAGGATGAAAAATGGCTAATGACGGAAGAGAAGCTTCTTGAGCAACAAAACCAAATGCCGTCCATCCCTACAGGTAAGATTTATAGATATACCACGAATACTGCATATCACCGTGAATATAATAGATTGCGTCAAGTTGTACATCCCCAACAGGACCAACCTTCAAAAATAGGTAAAGCGTAAAAATCAATGTCTACATTATAGAATCTCGTATTGATGCTCATTTAGCATACAAAGCCATCACTAGACATGAGCCAAAAGGTTTACTGAAAAGCCAATTAACGCCGGTTATGTCGTTGCGTAAGTTAGCAATGATAGCGCTGTAAATTTCAACCTACTAAAACTGTACCTTAGCACCAAATTTCAGACCACTATTTCCTTACACTCACTTCAACCGTTTCCAATCCGAGTGTATTGACGAAGTGAGAGCTGAGACGACTACCTGCTCAATCCTTTCATCAATTCAATTAATACCGATTCCATGTAGGTTTACAGAGCTGACGGAAATTTGGTGGTATCAGGTAGATTGAAGTCAACGAATGTGAGAGTTTTGACTTGCTAATTTCCATGATCTAATGGTAAAACTTTCTCTGCAGCTCCTACCGGATCTGGTAAGACGGTGTTGTTAGAACTGGCAATTCTGCGCACACTACATCAGGAAGGCTGCCATAAAGCTATATACATTGCTCCCACAAAAGCGCTTAGCTCACAAAGAGCCAATGACTGGATAAGAAAGTTCTCTAATCTAAACTTAACATGTAAGTTTAAAGAAGCAATGCTTCAAATGGGGAACATATACTAATTCTTATTGATTCTTTGACAACAATAAAAAAAAAAGGTCAAGAGCTTACTGGTGATACTGAATACGTATCCTTTGAATACATTAAAAAATGTGATATCATGTACGTATTTATACTATAGTACGATCCTCAAACATATATTCATCTATCCAAAGTGTGACCACACCAGAAAAATGGGATTCAATGACAAGGAGGTGGACAGAGCATAGGAAACTTATGAGTCAAATGACACTGTGCATGGTAAGTAAAAGTGAGGACAACTCTTTCCACTGCTTCCAAATTTCACCAAAATCGTAAATCAGATTGACGAAGTTCATCTTGTTGGACAAACTCGTGGTGCTACCCTAGAAGCCTGCATCAGCCGAATGAAAGTAAGGCTAAAGTCAGCATCAGTGGGGTAAATTTGGTAATTTTGACTTTACTCATTTTTCATTACAAGATGGCAGTTTCGAACCAAAGAATTATAGCTTTATCTGCTACTGTACCAAATATCCAAGATGTAGCTCGTTGGTTGAATGGTATATAGGCACCTCATAAAAAAATTTAGAGGAAAGCTACAAATATAAGCTAACCATCAATATAGCAAAGCCTTTATGTTTCGGTGAAGAGTATAGACCTGTAAAGCTCTCTCGTCATGTCTACGGTATACATGATAGTGGTGGAAATCCATTCATGTTTGAGAAAAAGCTGGAGTGGAAGTTAGGTGATTCCTTGGTATCCGATATTGTCAGCACAAAGAAATTTTACTGTTTATCCCTCATAGATTGGTTGATATGATCCAAAAGCACAGTGGCGGAAAGCCGGCACTTATTGTAAGATGTTGAATTGTGGTAGACTTCCAATAGACTTCCTGTTACTGACTGCCGTTTATTAGTTCTGTTCAACAAGGAAATCAACGCAGTCATCCTGCGATGTTATCATTAAAGTCATGAAGCAAAGGAATATACCATTTTTCGGGTCAGTAGCTTTTGCAGTCTATGCTATCAGTTCCTTTCGCAATACCTAGTTAACCAAGTCATATTTCAGAAATGTTTTAAAGCCTGTTCCAAAGACAAAGGACAAAAAGTTGTTCGAATACCTACCATATGGTATCGCATTTCATCACGGTAAGATTTTCACCTAACATCCAGACTGTAGCTTCGATTATCATCTTGACTGAGAACTATGAAATCAATGCAGCTGGTCTAGATGCTGGAGATCGCCAAGTTGTTGAAAGGCTCTTTCTTGCCGGCCATCTAAACATTATAGGTCAGTTGATGGCTTAGGCTTCATAACAAAGATTTCTTTGATCTATCTAAGCATAACAAATAGCTACCACGTCGACTTTATCTGTGGGCGTAAGTGTCTTTAGCATTGGGCATTTGTCATTTCTACCTGACTTTGAATACATTATAGGTCAATTTACCAGCTCATCTTGTCATCATTAAATCCACAAGAGGTATAAAGCAGAGAGGGGTAGCATAACCGAATGGAACAGTCGTGCTGACACTATCCTAGGTTACACCGAAGGAAAATTTCAGGAGTATTCTGATCTCGAAATCTTTCAAATGATTGGTCGTGCAGGACGTCCTGGATTTGATGACTCTGGTTGTGCTGTGATCCTCACCACCACATCGCAACAAAGAAAGTATGAGACAATGTTATCCGGGCAAGGAGTACTGGAAAGCACGTAAGATAACTAATACGCTGAAAATATTGAAGAAATCATAATCATTTACAGCATGAAATAGCCTCCATCAGAACATGATTGAACACTTAAATGCTGAGATATGCTTAGGAACCATTTGTGATACTCCTTCCGGAATCTTATGGTAGGGTATCAAGCGTTGAAACCTGTTCACCTAGTTTCTTAATTGGACTCATTTAGGTCTCAACAGGTTGCGATCCACGTTTCTGTACGTTCGCGTTCAAAGGAATTCCTTTTACTACAAGCTTGGAGAAGATGCTGCCAATGTTGTCAACGTCGAAAGAATTCTCGAGAGTAAGCATTATTTTCATCGAACAGAGTCCTACATTTATTCACTTTTCAAAATAGACATCTGCCTCAAACATCTGTCGGCATTGGCATCCTCAAATATAATACAGATGAAACCAAATGAAGACCAAATTAGCTCTACAAGTCAGTGTCGTGAATTCAGAACGGAAGCGAAAGCAGTGTGCTAACCTATAGCTGTTGCAGAATATGGCGAGGCTATGGCTCGCTATTACATCAAGTATGATACAATGAAGATAATCCTTTCATCGCAACCACAATTGCAGCTCGCATCCATGGTAGGTATGACTAAAAAAGTATTTCGGACGATTGTCATTTTCAACTTATTTTCCTTCAATTAGTTTGAGTTGTTGACATCTGCAAGAGAGTTTGATGATATAAGATTTGCAACTGGCGAGAAATCAGTTTTAAACTCTCTGAACAAGCACCCCAATATTAGATATCCTATCAAAGGAAAAGTAAGCACAATCTCAGACAAAATTTACCTCTTGATGCAAGTAAGTCTAATTTTCATTGCAAAACGTGAGGGAAGTATTTTTAGTTCACATAAAGCTGAAAGGTTTCTAGGCAATTCTAGGCGGTATTCCTCTTAATGATAGTAAACTTGCCGCGGTACACAGTCGGGAGACTTTCAGAATCCATCACCAAGCTTTACGAGTGCTTCGATGTAAGTTTTTAACATTACTGAGTGCAAACTTTGAAAAGCCTTAACATATAGAAATGAGCAGGTATTACAGATTGCGTTGCGCATAACAAAGATGGGATTAGTTTAAACAGCTCAATATATTTAGCACGGTGTATCACTGCCAAAACCTGGAATGATTCAAGTCATCTATTACAGCAACTCGAAGGTATCGGACCTCAGTATGCAAAGATATTGGCGGACTCAGGTATTAAGACCTTTGGAGATTTGAAATCTTGTGATCCACGACGACTAGAAATGGTAACAACTGCACGACTTTCCTCGAGAGCAGGGACATATCTAAAAATGAATTATATATTACAGTTACTACACCGGAATCCACCATTTGGTAGCCAGGTAATGGCGTGTAATTACTTCTGCGTTCTGTGCATTTCGCACACTAAATGTCGCAAAAGTTATTGGAAGCATCAAACAAGGTACCACAATTCAAACTATCAGCAAAGCCATCGTTGCAAGTAAGCCAAATTTGCTGTCCGAGTGCCATAAAGTCCATGTTTTGAAAGTTCACAGAACTGTGGAATCCAGGGTGGCCAGTGCAAAACTATAGAGGCATACATAGAAATCGTACACCAAAGCTCCAAGAGACCTGCCTATAGCAATAACTCTTTTGCAGCCTTCTGGGCAACCACCAACCTGGGTGAACTGCTTGATTACAGAAGAATTCAGTTAGTTCAAGTCTTCTTATGAATGAAAAATCTTAAGGTGTATCTTGTTAACATACAGCTTCAGATTGCGGAAACTGGAAAAACTTGTGACGATACCAATCGACCTTCCTGAAGGCTGGCATGCGACAACCATCAAATGCTGCGTGGATAACGAGGAGTATGGTAAGCATCTAGTAAACTTATGGGATTGATAAGCTTTCACTCACACAGTCGTTAAGTCGGGCATGGTACAGAATTTACTTTAGTCCTCAATCAGACCTCAATCAACAGAAGCAACCAGGTAATTTCTTACATTTAAAGTGAATTCTTTACTTAGCAATTGAGCTTAGCGTCGTTTAGGTTTTAGATAAGCCAGGAACTTTGGGGCAATCTACAACAAATTATCCATTAGATGATGAGTTTGATTTAGATTCACCCTACTGGGATAATATTCCTGATGAGCTCTGGGAGAGTCTTAATGGTGAGTATAGAAGGCATGTTTGTGATGCATGTTACTAGGGCTGACATTAGGTCTGTCAAAGTTGAAGCGAGTGTTTCCAACACACAGTCAAACAAATCAAATCCAAAGCGTTTATCGCAATTCCATGATGGTGCAAGGGAAACGTAAGATCTCAATCCTTTGCATATTCTATATTTTAGCAATTACACATATGTCATTTTCTTATTAGATGTCAACACAAATGTAAAGATCGCCAACTGTACGTGAAAACGATGTTTAAATAGAAAATCAACCATACTGAATTATCCATTTAGCTGTGCTCATGAGTGTTGCAAAATTGGCAAACGACGCAAAGGAAAATCCGCAATCTCCAAGGCTGGAAAAAGTTCCATAGACATGAATAACCCCCTGAGCACAGCATCCGATCGGCCACCAGGCACTTTCGAAAGCAATCAGCTTCATTTACCGCAGAGGTATAACAAACCATCACAATCTATCACCCAAAAGCTGAGCTGTGAGCTATTAAAGGGTCTTCCAAATCACGGTAGCAGTCAGAATGAGAACGAAGCAGACCTGGTAAAATCCAAAGAATCGCCGACCCAGCAAGGTGTTGTATCGACCTCTTTTTCAACACCGAAACAGGCACAAGAAAGGTGCGGTCCTTTCAGTGCTTGCGATCTGACATTGATGCCTAGTTCTGTTCGCTGCCAATCTACAAATAGCTCGAATGTCGTTGAGCATAGTGCATACTCTTTCGAAAATCCCGACATCAGCTTAATGGAGTTTGATGATGGTTCAACTGTGCCAGAACAGACAGCTACGGTTCTTCAAACAAAGGTTTCCTCAACTGACTTAGATGGTGCTCATCATGTTTTGAAACAATCAAATGAAAAGATAGAATCTAACGAATTCATGGCTTTCCAGAAGTGGCTAGAAGAGTGCGTTGACGTTATTGCTGATTGATACCTTTAAACATGGAAAAATGTCCACTTCGCAGCATAGTTATGATGAATGACATTGCTTTAGTGCTTGGGCTGTAAGCTAATAATGAATTTATAATTGACTACAATAAAAAAAGTTGCACGTCAAAGCCGTGATTGTTATGTACATGATATGTAATGGTCGCTATTTGGCGCTCTGTTTATAACTACTGGTATCCAGCACTTGCTTTCCACACATTGCACAGATTCCCTTCTTATAAGCGCAACCTGGCAATTCAAAGTTAGAATTATATATAAATATACATGTCTTTTCCAATTGCATATCGTCGATTGCTTACTTTGACAATAGTTTGCTTTATCTTGATGTACTTTTGATTTGCAAATCTTGCACTTGCTTTCATATGGAGAAAACCTGAAATATGAAATATTAATAACCAGCGTCTCCAATTTAATATCAATGTAAATCAATGCGGGTGCTTACCTGGACTTTGCAGATTTTGATAACAATTTGTTCTCATTAAGCTTACGGCCCCCTTCGCCAACTGTAAATCGAGGAATGTTAAGTAAAACTAAAAAACCATGAGTGATCAAGTCGTAAATTCTAATTTCATTACCCTTTGAATTGCGAGAACCATCTTTCCACTTATCAGGTGCAGCTACTTTGGTCAGCTTCTTTTCACATTTGGCGCAAACCATTATTTTCTGATCAAGAAGCACAGTAAGCACCTCGGCTCAATTTCTTAAAGCGTCCAATGATCTATTTTTAAAGCCCGACGCGGCCCTCTTGTCATGGCTATGTGACTGGCAAGGTACGAATCGAACTCTACCGTAGATTACACCATGTCCGATGCAGCAGCAGAGATAAAGGATGACAGCCCTGTAATTGCCACCGAGCAACAGAAAAAGAAGAAGGAAAAGAAGAAGCCAAGGAAGAGAGGCTCGAAAAAGAACTTGCCCAAAACCAAAGTAGTTGTTAGACGGCTACCACCCAACATTCCTGAAGAGATTTTCAACAAATCCGTGCAACAATGGATAAGCGAAACGACGGTTGATTGGCAATTATTTGTGCCTGGCAAGCTTAGTTCTAGGTAAAAGAAGCATTCTTATTGATTATGCTTTTGGTAGTTCACAAACCTAATCTCCTCACCTCGCCATTAGCAAAGCAAAGCAGAATGTCTTTTCTCGTGCTTATTTTCACTTTCTAACTATGGAGGCTGTATTGAATTTCCATCAAGGATTTGATGGGCATTTATTTATTGATGGAAAAGGTAAGACATTACTTCCTGTCCTTCAGCATACGCATAGCAGTTGTATTGATGGCAAAACCGCAGGAAACGAATATCGCGCAGTAGTCGAATTTGCACCTTTTCAAAAGATACCAAAAGAACACAAACCAGCCGATCCACGACAAGGAACCATAGAGTCAGGTATGTGCTTTCTAGTCGCTCGAGGGAAAGTGTTTTTGCAAATTAATAACTGGAATATTACAATATAGATGCCGATTACCAAGCATTTGTTGAATCGCTGTCTGTTGTTGATGCGCCATTACCGAATGTTAACGAAAGCAAAGACGGGCTATCTAACGTGGAGAGACTTGAAAACAGGATATCTTTGATGACAGGTAAATGATAGCAGGATACTCTAAAATCTCAATCGCGCTTCGTAAACTAACCACGAACAACACAGCTCAAAACCAACTGGCGGAGCAAGCTAATAAACCAAAGACGACACCATTATTAGAGCATCTTCGTGCCCAGAAGGCTGCGCAAGCTGCGGCTAAATCCAAAGCACAAGCTTCTAAAGCTGCTGCCAAGCAAGCCAAACTTCAAGCTGCAGGAGAAGGTAAATCAAGTAAAAAGACACCTGAAGAAGCAGCGAAGAAAGCTAGCAAACGTGAAAAGGAACGTCGTAAGAAGGAGGAGAAAAAGGCAGCTGCCGCTACTGCAGCAGCAAATGGACAGCCAAGTACACCAAAATCAGCGACTCCTACCAAGGGCGACAATGAAAAACCATCCAAAAAGGAATCTAAAGCTAAAATTAATCAGCAAGGTGTGCAGCAAATTGTGAAGATCCTTGGTAGACAACCTGATAAAGATGCAAAACCGCGAGAGACAGCGAAGCCAGCACCTCAAAGTCCAGCTGCTCAACCTACAAAGCCTACCAATGCCACCGGCGAAAATGATAATGCCGAAGCTGGAACTGGCGGAGAGCTGACTCGGAAACAGAAGGAACGACAGAGACAGCAGCGCCGCGAACAAGAACGTAAACAACGACTAGAAGCTGAAGGCGAGGCATCACAACAGCCGGCAAAAGATCCATCTCAGCCAAACCCGGCCGGCCGTGGTGGTGGTAGAGGAAGTCGTGGCCGTGGATACCTTGGAAACCGAGGAGGAATGCGAGGTGGAGGTAGAGGCAATTAAAAACACGCACAAATCCAATCCAACGATTTCCGACGATATCGTACTAATTTGCCTCCTAAACACAACTCGCATACGAAAATGCCTCAAGCTGACGAAGATACAAAGGAATGCTGTAACAGGAAAGCAACTGAAACACACTTTAATTACTGTTGATGCCAGTTAACGTTTAGTTATGGCAACGGGGAGGTCTCCTAAAGACGCGAACGGTTGTTCGTCACGTGTATCATATTGGTCGTGCTTTGTCGCGTATTTCGAATTTGGGGAAAAATAAAATAATCCTTGATTCCAACCAACCAACCTACATGCTCTCCTCCAAAAGTCGTTTTACATTGACCCCACATCGACGGACGTCTCGTCGCTTCACATATGGTTTACCTCAGACAGTGACATCCACTGCAGAAACCTCGTCGACTTTGGACAATGCTACCTGCTTTGATACCTTTCAGGAACCGCTAGCCGATCTAGCTGCATCATTCGAGTTAATGCACAGTAATTTTGAACAATTGAAGCAAGTCAACGACGCTCTAGTTGATTTTAACGACGCATTTGGCGCATTTTTGTTTGGAATGACCGCGAATGGGTCATCCATAAACTGGCCACAGGTACGCTGCTGTGAAATTTGAATGAACTCATCCATGTATACATGCAACTACTAACCATCGATGCAATGGTCATATAGGCGCCCATCAATGCCTCATTCGACAGACTATCAAATAAGCAACCTTCATCACAATCACCACTCTGTAAGATTCAACTCTTAGACTCACCACCGCTCCATGTTATACCTAATGCCCACACTAACATGGCTTTCCTTTGACCCCCGTCTAGTTATGGTGGATGCTAAAGCCACTGACAATAACATCACATGGAAGCGTCCAACAACAACGAGAGCCGAGGCAAAAGTTGGAAAGGAGCAAAAGGAAGATGAGCCGACGAGGATGGCGAGAAAATTCACGCGGAAGGTACAGAGATTGAATCTTTCCCAACATTCGTCCTTACACAGACAACGGGGTTTCCTGGTATACTAAATTTCTTGGACGGTTGTACTCCAGATTGACATACGAAAGATTATTGAGCGATTACCACTGAAATTTCGGGAGCAATTGGTGAGCGTTTCTATACGTTGCTGATATCTAGTCTTGACACTGTGGATTAATGTTGATTTTTTTAACAGGAGCACACCAAAAATATGGAGACAGTATTAAAGACATTAAGAGCCTCGCCAGAAGGATTGTAAGTCACTTCATTTCATTTCATTGGTTTTGAGACGGAAAAATTTCCTTGACTTACCGAAGCGGCTATCCGGAACAAGGAATATGCAAACTATAGTGAATCAATCTGGGTTACCGAAACACCGCGCTACTGAATGCCTGAATGCTCTTGTACATAGCAAGGATGTTATTAAAGTGAACAAGAAGGTAAATAGGATGGCATTGATGTGTGGAGGATCAATGAATGAATAACTTATGCTATAATAACGCAGGGCCAATTATGTCTTTATAAGCTGGACTCTGTCCGCTTCCCATCCACTTTGGTTCAGATAAAATCTGATAAGTAATAATAAATCACGTGCATCAATTTTTATATATTTTCTCTTCGGCCGCAAGTCCTAGCTTTCCCCAGCCTACAAATTTTTTGACTCACATCATTATGCTTCGCACATTAAGCTCTAAGATTGCTCGTCCTGTACTTCAGCGACCTCTCATGGCCACTGGTACTAGAATGTATCACGAAAAGGTATGAAGGGCTCTCGAAAGAAATATTTTTTGGTTGACGTAGTAAACTTAATGACTAATCTGACTCCCACACGCAGGTTATTGACCATTACGAAAGACCCCGAAATGTTGGTTCCATGGATAAGAAAGACCCCTCAGTTGGCACTGGTCTCGTTGGAGCACCTGCCTGTGGTGATGTTATGAAGCTCCAAATTAAGGTTGACGATGTCACTGGCAAGATTACCGATGTCAAGTTCAAGACGTTCGGCTGCGGTTCTGCCATTGCTAGCAGCAGCTTTATGACTGAACGTGTCCGTGGTTTGAGCTTGGATGAGGCTGGTCAAATCAAGAACACTGAAATTGCCAAGGAACTTTGCCTACCTCCTGTTAAGCTTCATTGCTCTAGTAAGTTGTCTGTTATTCAGGATGTTCAATGCCTGAGATATATATGATATTAATGTCAAGTGTTTCTTAGTGCTTGCTGAAGATGCCATCAAGTCCGCTATCAAGGATTACAAGAAGAAGCGTGCTGCTGCTGCCGCCTCTACCCCTGCTGCCGATGCTGCTGCACCGGCTGCCGCAACCGCTTAAGATAATCCGATAACTTACATACGACCTTTTTTGTTGCTCCAAAGTTGTTCGTTCTGTATATAGTGTCAGCTTATTGCTGCAGACTACCCTTGACATTCTAAATATCCTTCTAGTGTTCTTTCCATTACTGTTAGCATGACTTCTCATCATCCATCTCTTACCGATCGCTGTTTCTGTTCATTATCGTGGTTGTCTGGTCACGCCCTCAAACTTTTACGCAGTGATAGTATGCAACAAGTAACAGTAATAAAAAAAGTCGTCATCATACAAAAATTTGAAGGAGAAGAAGGAAGATTAAATGCTTTTGTCGTAGACTTAAATAAATAGGGTACAGTATTATCACGCCACTTAATGGAATTCGGAACGTTGGATGTTTGATTGCTGAAATATCATGCACGGCTTTATATTACATTGATACCATCCGCTTATGCTTTCTGGGGTATAGCTGAATCCATACAAAGCCGTTTTGAACTATGGTGAATGCTAGATATGAACGCACTACGGCATCTCTTCAGTAAATTAGAAACAACTCTCTAACACGGTCAGTACTGTATGAAGAAAATAAAGTCATCTTGCTCCAGACACTGCAAACTCATGTGCTGTTTGTGAACCGCATGACAGTCTGGAACGATTAATCTAAAGAGTGGCCATAAGAGGGGCCATAAGAGGGGCCATTATGAACGCCTATTACTATTTTAAAGCGATGGTAGCAGATTGGCAATGAACGGCACAGCAAGCTACATAATGGAATATTTGTCATACACTTGTGGGCTTTATTAACATGCGATGAAGGCCTGAAAAGCATCCAACGAAGCTGTACCTTCGCAGACTGTTGCTGTGATTTTTTCCTAAGCATACTCATACCATGTCAATTTGTTTGTCGGACTTCTACCTTCTGTGCCTCATTCAGCCTGCTTGGCTCAATTGTACTTTTGAAAACAATCTGCCAAAGTATCGCTAAACAGCAATCATTGATGATCCAGTGCATGTAGATTCATACTCTTGCTTCTGGCTCTGCATTTCATTTTTATTCTCGAACATTTAGCGAGTTCCCACCAAGAAATGCGTTTTGATTATTGGAGAGGACCAATTTCTCCGGGAGTATGTTATGTCAGCAAGGATACATCATGTATGGTTTTTCTCAACGTTTATTTTGTACGAATTTCTAATCACGGAAACTCAAAAAGAATTATAGCGCGAAATCTGCGCCTTGTGTGTCCATGGCTCTTCTCACAGTTGATACCTACGCTGCCATTGATAGGATGAAATTCAGCCATGGTAACAGTGAAGCATGTTGTAGATATCGTCAAGGAAGTGCTTCAAAAATCAGAGTAACAAGGATTCGTCGACATTTATGAATGTCCTCTGACAGCTTGACACGTTTGGAAATTTCATTGAGCTTTTCGGATGAACCTTGGCCGGGAGACGTACGCAAGCTTAACAGCCATCGCGGCAATTGGATTGCCGCGAAGGCACTGACCCAATATTCGGCCGTTGGAATTACTTTCGACCGAGCTGAGTTTATAGCATTAAAGACTGCTGTTTGTGCTGGATAACTCAGATCAGCAGTATTTATACAAGTTACCAGAAACTACCGTTAATCGTATCAATAGTTTCCATTGAAATGTCAAAAACCATCCTCGTTACCGCTGCTACTGGCAAGATTGGAAAATATCTAGTTCCTGATCTCATAAAGAAGAATTACACCGTCCACGCACTTGTCCGATCCCTGGACTCGCCCGCTTCCTTGGAGTTGGAAGCGATGGGTACAAAGCTCTTCAAAGGAGACTTCGATGACCTTGATGCCATCAGAGCAGCTTCCAAGGGAATTGATGGTGTTCTCATCAACACTGTACCTACATATGGATCCATGAAGGAAGTGGATCAAATTCGCAATATCATTCAAGGTGCCAAAGAAGGTGGAGCTACCACTGCTGTTTACATCAGTGCATATCTCCTTGATCAAAAGGACAATTTCCCTGGTTATGGACCTAAGCATCCTATGTATCACATGAGCGAATGCAAAGCCCAAGCGGAAGCAGACTTGAAGGAAGCTGGATTTCAGTCTTGGACCGTTTTGAGACCCCCTTCCTTCATGGACAATCAATTCATGCCCCAAATTTACGAACTTCAGTGGCCACATTTGCATACCGAACACACTCTTGTAACCACATTGCCAACTACTTTCAAGTTCCCATTGATCGATCCTCTAACAATCGCAGAGTATGCAGAAGCAGCTTTTGCTGACCCCGAGCTGTTGAAATCGCAAATCATCGAGCTTGCTTCAGATACCCCTACTTTGGACGAAATGGCTGCTAAAATGACTCGCGTTATTGGCCAAGAATTTAAGGCCAAGTGCGTACCAAAAGAGGAAGCAGCTTCTGTTGGTATCTTTGCTGTACTGCCTCTATGGTGGGATGCCTTGCAGATGTTCGAGCATACCATCGACCTGAAGTCCCTCCAAACATACCCTATCAAGCTTCATACCTTTGGTGATTATCTGGAACGCAACAAGGACTGGATTGTACCCCAGTTTGAAGACAAGAAGGATGAAAACTAAGAATGGAGACATTGTTAAAGGACATAGTATTGTATTATGTATCTTTCCATACTGAGTTGTACCATTGGTAAAGCAGAAAATGTCAATATAACAATTATTTAACTCGGATCTTTGCTTTGATCGTGCTGAGCTATTGTATGATAGCAAAGAGGGGGGAAGATTTCAAAAGAAACTTTTGTTTAACTCATGTTTGGATTAGTCACACGTATCAGATCAACTGTATTTCAAGAGCGAGCGTCACAAGTGTGGGATCACCTCTCGAAACAAAGAATGTCCGGCTTTCACGTCCTGTCGGGCGGTAGATGTCTACTGCTTCCCCAGGCTACTCAACGTGCTCGCCGCGGTCAGTCGAAATTTTATATATCAAATGCTGTAGATGAACTCCATGATGGTGGCTGCCCCACTGGGAAAACTTGGAGCCCGGTTTCAGGTTGTAAAAGATATGCTTCGCCGCTGCATGGGCTATGTACAGTTGTCTTTTTCTCCTTCCCTCCAAATGATGGCGGAAATTCTGGACTTAGCTTCGTTTAGCGTCGACTTGCTTTGTGGTATTGTCCGCAGTTCGACGTTTTGCTTCATCTTTTGAAATTTTCCACTTGTACCTACTGAATGATACAGCCTTAGTTTATTGTATCACGAATTCCCTGTAGTGAGCACCTCTTATTGTAAAGTTGGATGGGTGCGCGGGCTTAGAGCATTAATATTCAGCGACAACAATCAGAGGATTTTGCAAAATTCAATAAATTTGAGAATTTAATTGTATCAGCTAATAATATGACGTCGGGCAAATTTAAATGAACGACGCTGGATGCCTTATGAACGCGTCAGCAAGAGATCTCAAGCATAGCTCACACAACTTACACCTCACACTCAAATGGCAACGTTAGAAGATAAATCACTATGGGAGAATCAGCAAGACGATGACTTGGAGGCTGAGATTTACCGGCTTTCGAACGAAGAAATCACAAACAGAGCTAGACTCTTGGAAAATGATATCAAGGTGAGCTTCTTTCCAATTCATACCACGATCGCTCAGGACAATACCTACGCCGACGTCTCCAGTAGAGGCATTTTCGAAAAAATACTAGTTGCTGTTAGCGGAATTGCAGAAATGCGGCTTTACTGAAGAATGATATTGTTCCTGCTTGTCATTTTCGCCAATCATACTTACAACTGCATATGTTACCAGGTCATGCGATCAGAACATACACGTTTGAAACATGAACAAGACTCAATGAAAGAAAAGATTAAGGAGAACAAAGAAAAGATTAAGATGAACAAACAGCTTCCATATCTTGTTGGAAATGTTGTAGAGGTTCGTATGTTGGACGCTAGCCTCACCTGCCACACGACCATAGATAATAACTCTTTTCGTCATATGCAGTTACTTGATGTGGACCCGGAAGACGAGCAAGAGGAAGACGGTGCAAATGTTGATTTAGACTCGACTAGAAAAGGAAAATGTGCTGTCATCAAGACTTCCACTCGTCAGGTATGAAGTGTTCTCAGCGTATGTCAAAAAGCTATACACTCTGTTTCTAATCAGCTACCTACGCTACAGACGATATTTTTGCCTTTGATTGGTCTTGTTGATCCTGCAACTTTGAAACCTGGTGATTTGATTGGTGTCAACAAGGACAGTTATCTTGTTCTCGACACATTGCCAGCCGAGTAAGTAAATGGTTCTGGGCTGTGTATATGAAAAGTGAAAGGGACGTCGACTAATGAATGCCAACTAGGTATGATTCTCGAGTTAAAGCTATGGAAGTTGATGAAAAGCCAACAGAAGACTATACCGATGTCGGTGGTCTTGACAAACAAATTCAGGAATTGGTCGAAGCTGTTGTTCTTCCTATGACACACGCAGATCGATTCAAGAATCTCGGTATCAAACCACCAAAGGGTGTTCTCATGTACGGTCCACCTGGTACTGGCAAGACGCTATTGGCAAGAGCATGTGCTGCTCAAACCAACTCTGCATATTTGAAATTAGCTGGCCCACAACTCGTACAGATGTTCATCGGTGATGGTGCCAAACTGGTCAGAGACGCATTCAATTTGGCAAAGGAGAAGTCACCGGCAATCATTTTTATTGATGAATTGGATGCCATTGGTACAAAGCGGTTCGACTCTGAAAAATCTGGTGATCGTGAGGTACAGCGAACGATGTTGGAACTTTTGAATCAACTGGATGGTTTCTCTTCGGACGATCGTATCAAGGTTATTGCAGCTACCAACCGTATAGATATTCTCGATCCTGCTTTGCTGCGTTCAGGTCGACTTGACCGAAAGATCGAATTTCCGCTCCCTGATGAAGAAGCTAGAGCACGTATTATACAGATCCATTCCCGCAAAATGAACGTTAGCGGTGATGTCAACTACGAAGAACTTGCCCGATGCTGTGACGAGTTTAACGGAGCCCAATGCAAAGCCATCTGTGTTGAAAGTAAGTTGCATGGGAACCCGGTAGCGTTGTTCGGAATGAACGATTTACTAATTATTTTGAACCTGTCTCTCTAGGCGGTATGTTGGCTCTTCGCCGAGGAGCTGTGGAGGTTACCCATGAAGATTTTATGGACGGTATTCAGGAAGTTCAAGCTAAGAAGAAGATGTCTTTGCAATACTATGCTTAGAACCATGCAAATAAATCAAAAACCACGTCTTTTAATCTACTTTCATTTTGACTTTGGTGACATTTTATCCTCCCACCTTCCTAAACCTTTATCCCGACCCCATCAAATATAAATTTCAGATTATCTCGCGCTGACACATTCTCCGCACAACAATAAGCTATTTGACATCATGCTGCAATCTATCATAGCTAAAAGTAAACCATTACACGCCATTCGTCGTGGAATAGGTATGAGCAGCACATTTTAGGCATTCAGAAATAAGATTTGCCCGAGAACCTAACAGATCGCTTCTCACAGCAACTACTCAATCTCCTAATATAAAACCGTTGACTGGCATTCGTGTGTTGGAGTTGGGACAGGTAATACTGAGGACTCATTCGCGAAGGCACGAGCGCCGTTAAATAAATCTCACCTGAACCTTCATAGTTGATTGCAGGACCTTTCTGTGGTACTATCTTGGGGTAAGCATATTCAAAATCAAACCACGTCGAACGTCAATTTGCTGACAATCAACTTGTTTTCGTTTATGCAAGTTATTTCGGTGCTCAAGTGGTAAGCATTACTTCGGTTTTTTATAATTTCTCAAGAACTACGCTAACGTGATCCTTAGGTCAAAGTAGAGCCACCTAAACTAGGCGATCCGCTGCGAGTGTGGAGACACTTGGATTCGGATGGTCAAAGCCCTTGGTTTAGGAGCTTGGGAAGAAACAAGAAATCAGTGTGTATTGACTTGCGCACGGAAAAAGGAAGAAGGTATGTGTATATATGTTTTGTGCAGAGCGAGTATACTACTATGTTGGTTCGCTAATGGCCATATCAGTTTGGTGAAGAAGCTGGCTGAAGAATCGGATGTTCTCATAGAAAACTTCAAACCTGGAACCATGGAGAAATGGGGTCTTGGCCCAGGTAAAGACCATCCCAAACAAGATACATTGCTTCATATCATTGCGAATGAGAAGATTGTTTAAATTCTTTTGAATATGTACTGACATTCACGACTTCCACTAGATGATCTCTACAAGACAAATCCAAAATTGATCTATACTCGTATTTCCGGTTACGGACAAACGGGACCGTATTCAAAGCGTGCAGGCTACGCATCTGTGTGTGAAGGTATGGGTGGCTTCCGTTACGTTAACGGCCATCCCAATCAGCCTCCAGTGAGACCTAACATCAGTTTGGGAGATTCTTTGGCTGGATTGCATGCTGCTTTGGGAGTGGTGATGGGGCTTCTGGCACGCCAACGCATTGGAGATTCTGGAGTTAGCAAAACAGGCCAAGTAGTCGATGTTGCTATTTATGAAAGTGTGCTAGGTATGATGGAAGGCGTCATCCCAGAGTTTGATCGATTCAATGAGGTCTGTATTGCGCGTTTCAACTACGGTTAAGTTGAGACTATACTGATTTTTTGGCCCATAATCAGATTCGCCCACCATCTGGTACTACAGTCACCGGCATTGTTCCCACCAACACTTACCCATGTGCCGATGGCAAACATGTTATTATTGGAGGCAATGGAGATAGTATCTATAAGCGCCTCATGAAGGCAGCTGGACGGGAAGACTTGGTATGTTGATTTGAAATGATACGAAACCGGCAACTCAAACTAATCTTGCACAATATTTCCAGGCTACTGCTGAATACGAGACCAACAAAGAACGTGTGATCCACCAGAAGAAGATTGACGACGCCATTGGTGAGCAATAATATGACGGTTGCCAAATTCAAATATATGTACTAAAACCTGTCCTTCAATCAGCGAGCTGGACCTCCACCTTGACTACTGATCAAGTTTTAGAAAAATTAGAAGCAGCCTCCGTACCGGCCGGTAAAATCTATGACGCTCGTGATCTTGTTAATGATGAGCACATACAAGCAAGAGGCATGATCGAAGAAGTAACGGTGGGCAGTGAACAAGACGGTCGCGGATGGCAGGTGAAGATACCTGCCATGACTCCTAAATTAGACACAACGCCTGGATCAACGGAATGGGCAGGTCCAGATCTGGGACAACACACCCATCAAATTCTTAGTGAGGTTCTTGGACTTAGCCTTGATGAAATTCAACAGCTTGAAAACGAAGGTGTTACTGGTTCCAAAAAGAAATAAATAATAGCTGTACAATGGGTAGTCTTTATAGATGCATTGGAAACAAAAAAAAAGTATAACAAGCTTGTAAACTTGTCTAAAATGGCATCTTTCCGCCAAACATGCCCTTCATCATCTTTTCCATTTGAGCCATATCAGGCATACCACCACCTCCACCTCCGCCCATGTTAGGCATACCAGGGATGTTGGGCATACCGCCACCTCCCATCATTTGTCTTGCCATCTTCTGCAGACCTTGCATACCACCTAGTAAAGCGAGGTCAATATGGCGGATAGTAGCAATGTGTAAATAACCGTTACAAGACTTACCCATTTGTTGAAGCATATGTGGGGGTATCATTGAGCTCATAGATTGTTGCATTTTGGCAATCTGTTCTGGCTTCATCTTTCGAGGATCCGTAGGCATGTTCTTGAACAAACCATCCTTGCCTCCCATAGTCTTGACCATACCCTGGAATCTCTTGTACTGGGAAAGGATCTCTTCAACCTCATGAACTGATGTACCTGAGCCTCGTGCAACGCGCACAACTCTTGTGGGTTGAGTATAGAACGGTGTAGAGTCACTATCGAGCTCTGTATCATTCATACTGTCCATGATGCACATCATGCGCTTCAAGCGCTTGGTTCCTTCTTCCTCTGAACCAGCCATCATGTCAGCGGGCATACCAGGAATGCTTCCCATCAACTTTGACAATGGTCCCATTTTTGATATTTGTTGGAACTGTTCGTACATATCTCGTAATGAGTATTGACCTATATAGAGGCGTGATGAGTTATAATGGGCATACATCGAATGGAAATTGTGCACTGGCAAATTACCTGATTCAAGGTTCTTCATCAACGTTTTATTCTGATCCAACTTAAGGTCTTGAACCTTCTCCACAAAGTCGCTCAAATCTCCCATACCCAACATTTTGCGCACAAAGGGCCGAGCTTCAAATCGATCCAAGTCGTGAAGATGTTCACCAGTACCAATGAAGACGATGGGACTTTGTGTAGCTGCAACACTGATCCATGAATTGTAAGTCATAGCCCATACTTTGTGTGCACAAACTCGTTAAGACACTTACGCAGAAATAGCACCACCACCCTTAGCATGACCATCCATCTTGGTAATAATGATAGATCCGAAATCAGCTGCTTCCTTGAAAGCACGAGCTTGGCCATCGGCAGCTTGACCGATAGTACCATCCATGACAAAGATAGTGCTGTCAGGTTCCTATGTACGTTTGAACTCGGTTAGAAACTAATGAATTCAAGTGAACAGTAACGATGTATACAACATACAATTCCAGCAGCAATCTGCTTCATTTCCTCAAACAATTCAGATTCTTGCTTGTGACGACCAGATGTATCAACAATAATGATATCGAACTTTTCAGCTTTGAATTTGTCGACACCCTCCATTGCAATAGCAACAGGATCAGTTTCGGTGTAACTGTCAGTTAAGAAGATGGAATGTCAGTATTGATTGCGATACTAAAGAGAAAACAGAAAACATAGATCAATGCAATGGTTACCTTCCGTAGTATGGGATCTTCGCCTTAGTAGCATTTTGCTTCAACTGATCGAACGCACCAGCACGGAAAGTATCGGAACATACAAGAGCAGTCTTCCAACCCTTTCTCTGGTAATGATATGCAAGCTTGGTACATGTTGTGGTTTTACCCGCACCTTGCAAACCGACCATCATAATAACATTTGCACGACCCTTCGTAGGCTTGTATGGCTCGGCACCAGGATCAACTAGATTGCAAAGCTCGTCCATAACAGTCTAATTTCGCCATAGAAAGTTGTGATCGACAAAGAAGATGAAATAGATGAGATGTAACGTTCAGATTGTTGAGAATCAGCCCACACAAATTACCTTCTGCACAAGGCGTTTCTTGTTGATGCCTGCTCCAGCCTCTTGAACATTGACAGCGGCTTTGATGTTTGTACGAAGGCGTTGAACAAGTTTGACATTGACGTCGGATGCAAGTAAGGCACCACAAATGTCTTTGAGCATGCCATCCAAGACCTAATGTTTAATGTTAGTGATGCGAGAGATTACGGCAATTAGCAGTAGTGAAAACTGTACCTGTTCATCAATCACAGGTGCCTTGTTGAGATCTGCCAAAGCAGAATTGATCTTCCTTCCAAGATCAGCTAAAACCATTGGTGTTGGAGTTGTTGAATAAAGTGTCGATTGGCGACTGCGAGCGAATTTGAGTAAGTTTATGTGGTTTTTGTGACAAAATTTTGGTCATCGCTCTTGGAAATGTCCCTGGCAGTTACCACAGCGCTGACATCCCGCTCAATCATATCAATACTACAATAATCCAGGGCTACGTAAGATAGTAATACGATATATTATGAATTGAAAAGCCTTCAAATGATGGGGCGTGAGGACTGTGCTAGCGCTATATACAGAGGGGCGAGGGAAAAAGTACGTTTAGGCAGACAAAGCATTTACATCGAACTGAAAGTCATCAAAGGGGACACGAATAAGCTGTTCATCATCGAGGTCGTTTGGTATGTCTTCGGAACCAAATACTATTGAAGACGACAATACATTAGTCCTTGTCTAAGCATGGGTTCTTAAGTATTATGATACATACCAAATTCAAATTCATCTTGCGGAAAACGATCGGTTTGGCCTTCCTCCTCTTCTTCAAACAACAATTTAATTGATGATGGTACGTCCAACAAGTGCCCAAATTCGTATACAGCATAATTTGGTTCTTGAGGAATGATAGACAAGTCAATTTCAAATTCTGGTCGGTAAGGTAACTCTGTGGCAGGCAAGAATGAGTAAAGACACAGATTTGTAAACACGAGTAGCTTGTCTTTTTCACTGTTTTTACCTTCTTCCGGTTGTGGTGCGTACTCTATCTCAGATTGATCTATTTCAGGCAGTAAAGAGCTTTCAGCTACTACTGAAGGTGACACTTTCGATGTGACATCCAGCGCTTCGCTTTTTCGATCCAGGGATTTAAAGAGCAAGTCCACAAAACTGTCTCCCTCCTTTTCCTTTGGATGTCTTATTATCGTGTCTATCTCTGAGATATGGTTCATTTCGTATGCGCGGGCATCTGGAGTATCAGTGAATGGTGACAAGTCGATGCTAAAATCCGGTTGGTACAACTCATCTGTAATAAAGTCAAAGTTAGGTCTTCACAGTATTCACAACATTCACCAATTTCTTCAGATTTTTTACCTTGAGCTCTTGGAGGCGCATATTCTACTTCAGATTCATCGACAGGACCCAGGTCTAGCTTCTTACTGACAGGCGAAGATATATCTGCGGAAACTTTCCGAAAGATATTAGATACTCCACAACTGTAAAATATGTTTCTCTCTCATTCATACCTTCGCATTCATCTTTCAAGCTCTTTTTCAACAGCTCATCCTTCTTGCGTTTTAATGGAAGCTGATTAAGAGATTTCAGAGGGTCTTTAAAGACATAGGGTTTTTTCGTGTCTGCAGGTGCATTTCAGCCAAAGTCAGTTTCATGTAAACAACGTGCATGATATCGACCACTTTGAATTCGTTCTTACTCTTTGTAGGTGTTGTTGGCGTTAGTGCAGCTCGATGGACGTCAAGTACTCGAGATTTACTAGGCGTTTGACGATTTTCTCTGTCGCGTAAACCAGTATTGGCTGGCCGCCTTGCGGGTGATTTCGTTGGTGCAGTTGATTTTGTTTCACGTATGTTGTCGTTCTTTACAGCTTGTAGTTCATTTTCTTCGTTTTTATGGCCGTGACTGAGAGTGTTTTCGTCCAGCCGCCTCAGCATGTTGAGATGGCAATTATGAGGATAAGGAAAGAAATAGCCAACAAGTCGGCGGAGTTTGTCGCTCGTTCTTGTCTTTTTGGTCATGTTTGATCAATTCAAGAAGATCTCGAGTTTAAAGGACTTGACCAATGCAGTTGGGTAAGTCTTTACTAAATGGAAAACGCAATGTGATCTCCATTTACTAAACTTGTACATAGCTTGAATGAACAAGAATTACGAGCTCGAGGGTTGGACGGGTTGGTATCGTTCATAAGCAATCACTGGCGTATCCCAAGAGAACGAACTCACTGATGTTACCAATTTAGCCTTGAAGCTGGTAGAAATGCTTTTCAGCAGTTCAACTCACTTATAATGAAGAGATCTACATCAAGGTACATACACTTGTGAACGCAAACCTTTATCGCGGCTAAAGCAAGCTGATCATTCATTAGCAGGTCTCAAAGTGCGACTCCGCCGCCTCGAGAAGAATCAAGCAGTGGATCCGTTATCTCAATACAAATGCCTGCAACTGAGCAGTGGACCAAAAGGTGAATAGAAGGAACTCTGCATTCCCTTGGTTTTGATTTATGACTGCAGCATATGAGGACTAACTCCTACATTAGCCTTGAATCCTCATGGCAAGAGTTACAAAAGAATAATAAGACAAACTATGAATTATCAGAGGTACATGGCTCACCTATCGACTATATGAGAATTCAGCATGTTGCTAATGAAACCAATAGCAAGCGCAAAAGCTTATAGACCATCTGATAAAAAAGTGCCACGATCAGGCAAAGTATTGCGAGGATTTCCAAACGGAGTGCAGCCAATTACCAGAGGTTTCTACTCAATTGAAGACAATGACGACTCTGGCTGGTATGTCTGAGCATTCTTGGAAAGTTGAGCTTGACTGATTTCACTGATGTATTACCCCCAGATGATCTGAAAGGAAAACTCGTACAGCTTGACAGAGATATTGACGATTATTGTAAGGACTATGAACAGATGGAATTTGAAGCTTGGAAGCGAACACAAGATCAAACCCTTCAGCAGTATATGTTGGATAAAAAGTACGTATTCTTATAAAAAGCCTACAGATACATGTAATGAAATGGACACGTACTGATGTAACTACGATAGGGACGACTTCTTAGTGAAGGAACACACTCTTCAGCAAAAGTACGATATGCATGTCAAGGATCTTACGGCGAAAAGGATTGAGTTGTACGAAGCAAATTTCAAAGCAGAAATAGATGATTATCGGCATCGACGAGAAAACCAAGTGTCTTCGCTGTATGGAGGTTAGTACGCATACATACTTAAGACATGTTTAGGATGCGAAGGGACTGACTGATACATGTTACTAGAACGACCAAGGATGGACAGGGTAACTCAAAGGCTTGATAATGTTACGCTGGATGCGGATGACACACACGTGCTAGATGATTTTCTGGGTGACGACGATACCAATAACAAGCCCCTAATCAAACCCACGGCAAGAAACGAAAGTGAAGATGAGGATGACGAAGACGCACCCCACGATTTAGTACAGGCAGATGAGGATTATATATCTTCATGATACAATGTTCTATGCGACCAAGATTGAAAATGACAGGTGTCAAGCTGGATGAATGTAAATACTAAATAAAAAAATCCTGTAATTTTTCCTTTTTACAATAACGAGCGTTTTTGTTCTTGGCCGATCATTTGTGAGATGCAACCCAACATACTGTCGTCTTCAATGTCTGGGCCAATGTTACCATAGGCTTCTTTGATATAAACCTTTTCTTCACTGGTCAAAAATACTGTGCGAAAGGCAGCATTTTTAGCACCGGCCAGATCCCAGGCATGTGTCGCAACCAGATAAAAATTCTTTCGATTCAGAAAAAAAAACTTCAAGTCAGTTACCAACCATAAGCACAAGTTTATGACCGATGGACAAGTTTACCTCTATGAGCTTTGTTTTCCGTATAACTGTTCGCATAAGCTCTGTATATACTCTTGGATGTGGTTTTGACAGCAGCAGGTCGTCACAAGACAAAATATTCGCACCATCGCCAAAAGCGTCCAGTATACCTGCCCGTCGCAATAACTCTTGTGTTGCTTCCTTACCGCCGTTGGTAACTGCCCAGATGTTCCAATTGCCTTGCTTCTGGAGTAGTTTAATCGCATCCAATGCGGTGGGCATAAGCTCTAGTTTTTTGAATGTGCCCATAATTTGACCAACAGAGTCCTCATTAAGCTTGATATCGTAACCTTGGGCTGAAATAGTACGCTGAAGACTGCTTCGAAGAATCACCATCAACTGGATATATGGGCCGTTATGTGAAGCAGCAAAATAGTCACGAAGTGAAGACCATAGCCAAGTATGGAACAGTCGTTTGCTTTCATCCCGCGAGGCAAGCTTTAAATGATCGTGTAGCACGTCGACAACAACGTCGAAGGCGAACAGTGTGCCTACCAGTGTCAAGAGGTAGTATCAGGTACTGCTTGTATTCAATAGAGTGCAGTTATCAACCTACCGAGAATATCAAAGGCAACAGTAGGCATGAAACCGAACAGTATTTGTCTCACGGGAAAAACAAGTGAAAAGTCAAAGGAATGTCATCATTCGCGGATAAAACCGCAGAAAGCCTCAGGAATGCCGCCATCACACGTCCCAAGTCACATGCATTGCTGAAAGAACTTTATTTGTTCAATGAAATTCAGAGCGGTATTAGCACAACAGGTCAGGGTAGTAGTATTCAAGAAACAACAATATCATATAATTTGAAGTGAATTGAGAGAGAGATTTATTATAAAGAACTGTTTGTAGTGTCACTGTGGAGACGAAAACACTGGACAAAATAGCTCGGCGACTTTTTTTACTGCGAGACGAAGCATATTCTAATATGTACAGATATTTTTCAACCAAATAATTGGAAGAGCACAGAAGCTTCTATTATGAAGGTGTTGATACAGTTAAACTGGGTCACTTAACCAGTATTCACGGTGAAAAGCCAGTGAACGCACTGACCGGCAGTCCTGGCAAATTCAGGATCAGATATTGAAAGGCAGCTCCGGCCAATACTTCAACATTACCTCATGGCTCAAGCAAAGCCCATGCGAATACCACGATTAGATTCCTTTGAAGCCAATAATGAATCCCATGACTTACTTCTCACAATACCATCGCTTAACAACCTGCCAACGGAACTCATAGTCCGCATTTTCGTTATGACGCAAAATCCCGACTTAAGGCTCGTCAACCGGCGATTCCATGAGGTATCAACTTCCAACTTGTTACGAGCTCATTACATATACTGGCACTACGGACCGTCCGAAGCCATGTCAACGGAGGCAGTACGCTGTCCTCTATTTTCAAGAAGCGTGGCAGAGATCCTGTTATCATTCGATTGCGATTTAATCCCGATAGAAGAAGGCATTGTCGACTGGGCTATGGAGCAAGGTTATATCGATTTGTGTGAGACGATATTTCGGATAATGCAGTCCAGAAATATATCACCGTTAGAGTATTATTCTATCAAAGCAGCGGAAGAAGGAAGTATTGCAGTATTTGAATTGCTAATATCTATGTTCAATACTCCCGGAAGCTTTGCTCAAGAAGCGATACTGAAATGCGCGAGTGTAGTCAACCGGATCGACTTTGTTCGTCACGTCATTGAACCGCCATATCATTTCGACCATCGATTCAAAGACGAGTATCTACTTCGACAAGCTGCCTATTCAGGATTTTTTGAACTTGTTCAACTTTTCATTTCCCATGGCAGCGATATTCATTGCAGAGGTGAAGGAGCCCTCATGGATGCTACTCACAGAGGTCACTACCAGATAACGCAACTTCTCTTGGATAACGGTGCTGATTTGCATGTCAATGAAGATTGTGCTTTACGTTTTGCTGCTGCCAAAGGACACACCGATGTTGTTAAGCTGCTACTTGATCATGGCGCATATGCCACGGCGCAGCACAGTAAAGCCCTTCGACAAGCGTCAAAATCTGGATACAAAGACGTAGTCAAGCTTTTATTGGATTCTGGGGCGGACCCTAATGCCGGTATGGGTGCACCTTTGGCAGGTGCTGCCCTCAATGGTCATCTGGATGTAGTTCGACTTTTATTAGCTCATGGAGCTAATATCGACAGTCGTGGCGGTAACCGAGCTGTCCAACTGGCCATTCGGGATGGGCACGTTGATGTTGTGCGAGAGCTCGTCAAAGCTGGAGCCAATTTAGAAAGTGAGGAAACTGTCAAGCTTTTGCAGCGCCGTGGAAGAGAGGACGTCCTGAAAGCGGTTGAAGAGCTTGGATGGCAAAACCCGGCTGGCACTTCCCGACCTGTACGTGAAGTCAGCTGAACTGTTATTTCGTCTACATGCTTTCCACTCAATTTTTTTCAACTATAATTTCTTTATTGCTTTGTATGATAGTAACATATTCTCTACACCCTACCCATGTACATTTATTCAGAGTCACTATAAAAGGGTTACTCAAGTGATCAGACACTTGTAAATAGAACTGTGCCCGTACGCCTGTACAATACGACGGCAGTACGTTTAGCAGTGCCAGACAATTGATGTATTTTGTGAGAGCAGAACATTCAGCCCGCTGATAGTCAGAGTACCCTTTGGATGATCAAAAGCGCTTTGGACACCGTACTTGGGTCTGCCATTTATCAACACAGACGTTGCAGCCGAATTGCAATTGGAAGTACCAAGGACTGTGATCTTGTCCAGGATATGAGGGTATTTAAATACGCCAGTGATAGTCAAAGACGTTTCCTTGGCAGTCATATGCGCCATGGTGTAAGAGTTACTGACATCAATAGAATGTCCGTCATCGTGGTATAAGACACCTTTGGCCAGACTGTTTTCGTCAAGTGCAATCAAGACGGACATAGGACCCTGGCTGGTTTCATGGACGGTGGTGTGAGGAGCTTGTATAGGAACGACATATCCTCCTCTTACATGTACTGGAATCTTGTTTAATGGGGCGTCCAGCTTCATATATAATCCTTTTTCTGCATCGACGACCTTCTCATGAGTATACCAATCATACCAGCGACCAGCAGGGAAGTAGGCGTGCACGAAAAAGGTGTGAGGATCAAGCACAGGGCTAATCAAGATAGCATTACCAACAAGTACTTGACGGTCAATACGGACAGCATTCTGGTCATTGGGGAAATCGAAGAACAGTGGCCTCCATACTGGACGGCCAGATTGAGATGAAGCTTGGAATTGGGTATATAAATAAGGTAATAGAGTATATCGGATGCTCAGAGCCTCTCTAGATGCATTGCTGACTGACTCCCATAAATAAGGCTCTTGGTCAACATAACCGATAGCATTATGATTACGAGCAAAAGGACTAAAAGAAGATAATCAAAGTCAGTACGGTCGGATACGCATGCTAACCATGACTACTCTACTTACTAGAAAGCTCCTAGCTGCATCCATCTCAAGCATAGTTCCTCGTTCGTATTACCGTTGAATCCTGATGAATATATTAGTTATACTTCGTATGATATACGTGGAAGGTTTAGTGAGCCCTTAGCTTACCACAGATATCAGGACCAACCAGAGGAATCCCGAACAGCTGGAAACTCATGGTTCCAGAAACACTGTGTAACAATGATTCCCAAGTAGACCAGTTATCGCCGAGCCAGTGCGCAGCATGTGCTCCTATTGTTGTTTGTCCAAAGAGTTAAGATAGCTTGAGGGTAATATGTTCGTCATAGCAATACACAAACGGCATGACTTACCGGATCCACTAAAGCTACTTCGAGTAAGAATGAATGGTCGCTCATTTGGACGGATTTCCAGCATGGCCTTTCTTGTGGCAATAGCTTCTATGTGGCCATACATGTTGTGAACATCGTATTCTAACATTCCATCACTGTGAATTGCATCGACCGCCAAGGTGTTAACGTCTAATGGCTCTCTGGAATTTCCAAAGTTGCGAATTCTATAAAATGGATCTTGCACATTGTCATATGTTCCAGCTGCAGACCCAGGTCTGTTGGGGCTACTGGGAGGTAATAGCTTTAGCACATCCTTCAGCTCTGAGTTACTACATTCGCCTTTGCACCAACTTGCAACTGAAGATAATGGTCAATTATTTAATTGTTATCAGTGGCTTTCTAAAGTTTGGCATTACCTTCGTTCATGTCAATCCATAAGCCTAGAACGACAATAGATAGAGTAGATCAAAGTATCATTAGGCATCAGTTTTCATCATACCCAGAGTAGGTCGTATGCTCAGCTTACCGTCAAGTGGAACTTGCTTTAACCAGGTCTCTATGGTGTTCTTCCACCAATGTTGAGTCTCATCGGAATGGAAATCAGGGAATACAGTATACCCTGGCCAGACTTTTCCAACCGCATATCTACCGTTTTTGTTCTTGATAAACACATCCCGCTGTATTCCTGTCTCATATGCCGGATAACCCCGTTCCACCTTAATGCCTGGATCAATGATAGCAACAATTTTCTGGTTTTGCGCTTGCAGATCCTTGACTAGCGCATTGACTTTGCTAACAGGGAACTTTTCTGGGTCGTATGTGAAGTCTTTTTGTTTATCCATGTAGTCAATGTCCAACCAAATAGCTACAGATAGTATTAGTACCGTTTCCTTTCAGCTTCTCGGTCGTTCCCTACCACCCTACTTACTGTCGAGTGGAATAGCATGTTCACGATACTTTTCCACTACCTTGCTTACGGCATCGATACTTTCAAAGCCATATCGAGAGTGATGGAATCCGAGAGCCCATTTTGGCGGCATAGCCGGGCGTCCAACCAGCTATTAGTAACATATGCTGTTGTTTCAGTATGATTGATACTACAATCGCCAAGTCCTTCATAAACATAACTTACGGCTGTGTATTGGTCGATGACATCATCTGGCGTTGGACCGGCTGTAAATCGAGTCCATTAGTACCCATGAACAAGCAGAGTCACCATTATCTTTTCCTCCTTCTAAACATTTATAGCACTCACCAAAGAAGTAAAAATCCAGAATGCCTCCAATGACTGTCATTTGATTATAATTGTTTAACAGGTTCCTTAAAATGCTTGAGGTGATAACGAAACATGTGATTGTGCCCTTACCCTTGTAGACAAGCTTGCCACCCGACATGACGATGTCCATACCATTACTATTTCTAAGGAACTGATAGTGGCATTAGCCATCAGAGGAATGATAAGTACGTCACTTATCTTTACTATACTGGAGCCGCGTGTACTTACCACTCCATGGGCTAGACCATCCGTTAGGCCAACATAGAAAGGATGTGATCCGTAGACTAACATCGAGTTTAACATTACACAATATGAAAATGGACCACAGATTATTCTCTTCCACTTACCATTTTCATCAACAGGAGAAGCTGCATCTCTTGCCCAAAGTGTCTGCCATGTATTGCGCTTGTCTCTTTCGAGGGTTCTATGCACTACCTCGCCTAAACCATATATTCTCGAATGCATGGGGATAACAGTGGAAATTTCTAAATACTGTTGCTCATAGACCAATGCATCCATGCCGGCCACGTTGGTGTCAAATATTGTTTCGTTATTATCCTTTCTTTGAACGGAAAAAGTAAATGGATTGGTTCGATAGCTGAACTTGAATTTTGAATTAGCAATACTGTTCGCTGATTGCCACTCCTCGAATTGATCGCCAGTCGGCACAAAGCGATTAGGTATTTCATATCTGTCATGATCTTCATCTGCAAGCTTGATATGTAATTGTGCATCTGTCTCAAATGAAATGGTGACCTTGAGGTTGCGTATATCAGATCCATAATGACCGCATCCTGATGAGTCCAGCAGGGAGACGGCCAAATGTATCTTGTTGCTATCAAAGGCTGCTCCAGTTACTTGGTAGCCATTACATTTTCTTTTCTTGTGAAAACAGTAAACACCGCCTTCCACATCTGATAAACAATCGGAAAACAGTTAGGGGTCAAGCCAGAAAATGATAAGCTGACAGGCAGGGTCAATTCATGGGACACAAATAAGGTACCTGACGGGGACCAGCAGCATTTTCTTGCTCTACAGTCTTTCTCACTGATTCCAATCCATCCGCAGTCTCCTCTTGCTGCAACATCCACTTCACATGTGTATGAAGTTTCGGGTTCTGGATCTTTGTAAAAGCACCATGGTTCTGACGATGTCATATTGCGAGATTTGGAAGGATTCCAGCAGCAATTCCTAACTTGGCATTCACGCTTACTTATGCCATGAAATCCGCAATCCTTCCTCGGTAGTGATAGAGAGCATATGTCTTTCGATGTTGGTTGTAGAACAATTTGGTCCGATGCATTTATGCATAAGCAATGTGCAGCCACGATCACTAGGAACAGCAGTAGGTTCTTCATAATAATTGAAGCCGTCTGCTACGCAGTAAACGAAGAAGTAGGAAGAAAAAAGAAAAGACAACGTGAATTATTCTGGTCTTTTGTTTATAGCTTTATGGGATGTCCAATTCAAGGGAATAAAATAAAAAATTTTGCTCCAAGGTCAATGGCTTGGCTTATAGCCCACATGATTAGGAGGAACCATCCCATTTAGCGATGACGAAAGCGCAAATAGATTTTTTGTTTCTAATGACATGTTTCGCGCACAAATCCGTCAGTCAATCGATAACACTTATCTCCCTTTGCAAGTTATCGTCCTACTTCTGTAGCCTCCATACCTGCTTCCAATGTTGAATTGTCCATCGTGTGACCTCGTCTTTTCCCTCCGCCCCCAGTGATCTATGAAGTCGAGACTCACATGTCGTAAGTATGACCAAAACAATAACCGGAGGTCAGTTGCTATGGAGAATGATGAGAACTCTCGAATAGAGGGAATTATTGTGTTTATTTGAGGATTCTCGATTTCTTTGTAATCGACACGTTATGTTTTGCTATTACTTCAAAAACTGAAGAAATCAATTATCATAGGGTAGTAAGTCCGAAATGGGACGCTCCCATGACCCTATGTTTTTTTCTCACTGTTTGTCTACGCGCGATACCTTCAACTGACAGGTACAAGCCTAATTGGCTTGTCGATGAGTGAAAGGTGCTGTACTCGTCATCTAATTATAATACTGCGCGAGAATATATCTAACAAAACTATTTCAGTTCAGTTGATTGCATTTGAGACTAGCATCACATCATAAAATTTTGTGAAAATCTGGGGCAAGATCGCCCACTCGAGATTTTTAGTGTTGACGGAGGCGAATTGGTAATATAATATTTTACAATAAGGTGTCAATACTCGGATAATTCAAAATTGAGTACGAGCAACATGAGTGCTGGTTTGCATTATCTATGACTTCATCATATATGTTTTACTCGATGACCATAATGGGTGACAATTGTCTAATACCAATCCGTGGTCAACATATCACAAAATCCAGGTCAGGCGAAGTTTCTACTGTCGGGTTCAGAAAAAAGGTCAGGGCAATGGATTTTTTTCTAATGCCATGAGCTTATCAAGTGTTATAAGAACAGCTAATATAATGATTCTATGCGTATTAATACCATCATGCTTATATCACATTGGGCACAGTCTGGGACACCGTCTGTAAGATAAAGTAAAAGCCATCGTTGATGGCATATTTTTATTCTTAACGCTCTTTTCATCTTGACTCGGTCATGGGCCGGCTAACGATTCTTGGGTGAGGGATTTTTAGGAGTAATGCCAAGAGTATTACTTTTTGACTGGCATTGCCCTGAACGCACGGTCCATTCGCTGAAAAAAAATAGATTCTTGCAACTGATGAGGTACATCGCAACTTCAAATTCAATATGAAAGTGTCATGGTTGTAATAGAAGATAAGTTGCTCGCATTGCTAAACCACATATTTGATCATGCTAGAGACATCGAATATGAAATATTTTTCGTCATTGATTGTAGTTAAAAAAAGAGTAATGCAGGGGTCCATAAGAGAATGGCACTTGAACGCGATTGGCAATATGTAATGAGAAATAAAAAGATATCGGGACGCTCGGTGCAACGGTAAATTTATGCCATCGTATGAGGCAAAATTCTCGAGATCCATTGTAAGCGTAGTCAAACTCAAGGTCTAATTTTACGCTATATGGGGTATCGGACATACTTATGCGCATCATTGTCTTTTTTTTTAAGCAAACGTCAAGTTTTTCTCGACGCTTATTCGTCAGAGCCTCCTAGTGAAAAGCGCCATACACATGCTATAATCTCCCAATCTTTGTATGTCAACAATTGGGATTACATTAAGATTGAAGAGCGTAGAATGCCCCTTTACTCCCTCGCTGTAACTTAATTCAGGGTTGGTTCAGAGTCTGAGTTTTTGACACATCCATTCAAGAAAATAATCAATGTATGAAGTAATGAATCACTTCTGCGTACTGTACTGTTGCTCAGTCTAGGCTCTCAATTATTGGTGCATTATTTCTGTTAACTGTCGTAACCTTCAATGATTAATTCATGCAGTAACTGAAGAGTTATTTTCAGAACAGATAGAAAATGTGTTTAATGCTGCTGCATCGGAAAACGGTTGTTAGTCACTAACGTTCAACGTGCACGTACGGCATTCTGATTTTGACCGACCAGAAAAGAAACATAGAAGGAATAAGATACTGATGTTTCCAAAGTCGAATGCGTCTTGACATCCAATTGAAATATTTGGAGAATAATCTATTTAGATAACGACTGGATATTTGAGTCAGAAGCATATGAATCGTAATGATGCGCAGTGATTTTAGAGTATCGTAAGTGCTCATATCTACAGATACCGTAACGTTCGATATTGTAATACTGAACAATGATCTAATTCCAACAATGCCTGTCCAATCTGAATTTTTCTCCTATTATCCTCACCCACCCCGTCTCCTTCCGGGACTTGTTCATTTGCTGTGCACTAGTTCTAAACAAAGCATACACTACGACATCTGAATAAGGTCGGCCAACAGTCTATATAACCATGACGACCTTGGCAGTCAAGCATGTTGCTTTCTTCTTAAATAAATAGCTTTGCTTTCAACTTCTTTTTACATCCAAGTTGCACCCGACTATACATTCTTTTTTTTTTTTGCCTTATTCAACTCCATTCTTTAATCTCAACCTTCATTTTCCCCGCACCCATTACATTACACTTTCACCTTCGTGCACATTCCCTACGAAAGTTCATTTTTCTTTCGCGCATACCATTAAATTCATCGTTTGTTTATCACTGATTAGCAAACCAGCAAGGCATTCATCATTACAAAAATGAATTCTATCAAATTCGCCAAAGGCACCACCCGCCCTCACAGCATACATGAAATTTCTACAACAACCATTCGTCCAAATGATCAACAAGACATTCAAGTTACACCTCCATCTCCTACCTTGTCTTCTTGTACGGTAGCTGCTAACCAGCCGTACGAGTTGAAGACATATCCTCAAGCATGGCTTGCACTCTTCTTGCTAGTCTGTCTCAGAGCAGCTTCAGCTGTCTTCCAGTATACATTTGCACCCATTCCCTCCGTAACAGCAGAGTACTTTGGTGTCTCCATCTCTTTCATTAACTGGCTTTCCAACGTTCAGGGAATAGTCTACGTTGTCCTTAGCTTTTTCACTGGATGGATATTTGAAAGGCTCGGGGTCAAGAAATCGGTATATGCATTATCAATTGCTTTGTTGATTTTCTGGAATGAATTAATTGATCTTTTTTTTTGGTTTTTACAGCTTATTCTCTCCGGATTTATATTGGCTGTAGGATGTTGGATTCGTTGGGTAGCAGTCCTGGTCCACCCGCCATCGTTTGCTATTACTATGATCGGCCAAATTGTGGCGGCGGCGGCTGCACCCCTCGCCTTGAACATCATGAGCATGGTAAGGGTACTCTTTAAGATGGGTATGTACATTGTCGGATGACTGATATTTTTGCATATAAAGTTCCAAAGCCTTTGGTTCACTGATAATCTACGTGCTACTGCTGGAATGTTTGTGGGTAAGTTGTCCAAAAACAAAACTTTTCTTTCCAAAGCAAACATTGTATACTCATCGTCACTTTGTAGCCTCTAATTATGGTGCTATCCTTGGCATGTTTATGATGCCTGCCATTGCTACCGGCATGGATAAGATCCCACTCACAGTACGTAAAGCACACTAGTTTTTTAGCATATACCCAAACCGTGCGAAACTTACTAACAACCTCCTTTCGACGCTTTGTTTTAGCTCATCGTTGTTGCCATCTTCGCTAGCGTTGCATTCGTTCCATTGATCTTCATGCCAGCAAAGCCTAAAACGCCGCCAAGCTATGCTCAAACCACTGATCGACCACCATTCTTTGAAGGTTTGAAGATGCTTTCCAAAAATGGCCACTTTTGGATCTTGTTTGTCATTCATGGCATCAACGTTGGTTTGAGTATGGCTCTTGCCACCATCTTCAATCAAGTCATCACACCTTATGGATACACCAACGCTCAATCCGGCCAACTCAGCGCTGTTTCCTTCTTTGCCGGCACTCTCGGTTGTTGTAAGTGTCAAAATTTTGTTGGCAGTATTTACTCGTTACCAAATCGGCTAACACATATTGTTTTTTCGAACTAGCTGTGGCTGGTCCCGTCCTTGATATGACCAAGCAGCATAAGCTGTTCCTTCGTCTAATGGCACCACTTACCCTTGCCACTTACGTCGGTTTTATTTTCATTGGTAATTATTGTAATACGTCTTCATTGCTGCCAGCTGTCGTTCATTTGCTAATCACTTTATGTAAACAGTCCAAAAAGATTCGTTCGCTGCTATCATGTTCACCTGTATTATGAATCAATTCTTCCTTTCCTTCTTGGTCCCAGTCGTAGTTGAGCTCGGTGTTGAAGGTAAATTCACCACAATTCAGATGAGGTATTCAGAGCTACCCAATGCTAACTTCCATCACAGTATCCTATCCTGTTGCAGAGTCCACTTCTAACTCTTTACTCTGGCAAGGATGTCAGCTGTTCGGCTTCATTTTTGTATTGATTATGGACCAACTTCGGGACCAGAACGGTTCCCCCAAAGACAATATGCAAAAGGCACTTATCTTCCAAGCTGCACTCATGGGAGTCTGCACTGTCCTTGCCTTTGTGTACAACGGACGTATGAACAGAACCGAAGCTATGGCCGAAGAACTGAAAGAGAGAGAACAAGAAGAGAAGGATCTCACCGAGCTCGAACCGCCACGCTTGATCAGAGAACGTCATGCATCAGTCTGTTCTACGCAATCAGATGCCACTCGTGTTGGTGATAAAGACCTTGAGAAACAAAAAGGAAAAGCCATTTGAGCTATAACACCATGGTGAAAAACTAATCCACATTAAAACAAGAAGCAAAAAAGACAATGTGCTGCTATGAAAACTAACGGATTGATGGAGCTTCTTCCGTCACTTACTTGTTGCTCCATCCGATTACACATATGAAATGTTACAACAGAGCTGTATTTACATTCAAACCTTTGTATCTGTTATATTTTAACCAATGCCTCTCATCGATAAATAAATTGATCGTAGACATTACTTTGATATTGATACCATGTCATCTGCAGGTGAGATAATGAACATTGCGAATCAGAGATGTACCACACTGATGGATGTAAACGAACGATCTTGGTTTCTACATCGCATACACTTTGCATCGCTTCTGGCGTGCCAATAAAACATTCATACTTGACGACTTCTTCCGGTAGATGGTTTTTTATCCATTCTGGAAGTAAACGAACCGTCACCCAGTGCACAATAGTCCACAATCTCGAAATTCGAAATGGGCTTCAAAAGATTTATCTAGTGTGTATGATTACTGTATATCGGACAAGAACGGAAAGCAAGACAAGGCGAAAAGGCTGTAGCAGTTGAGAAGAATATTCCAGACTACAGTCATCTCTGATATGGTGAATTATTCGTCGTAGTCATCGGAATCATCGTCGTTTTGGTATAATGACTTGGATTTCGAAGCAAATTGTATTCCAGTCTCCTTTCTCTTGATTACACCTTTGTTGGATTCAAGATACGGTCAGCTGTCATAGTCATAGGAAGCCATCCGTTAACATACACTCACCAGCATTCGCAAGTTTAAATTCAAGGAGGGAGGTTGAGAACCCATCTGTACCACCCAGTTCGTCAAATCCAACAAGCCTTTAGAGAAGAAAAGTTAATGATGCCTACGCTGATCGTTCTTTGTCCTTCCACGCATGTTACTCACTTTGACTGCGCAATTCCATCAATGAATGCCATGACGCATGGAAGAACTTGGATGTGCATTTTTTCAACTAGAAATGGTGCATTTTCTACGTTGATTTTACAAAACTTGGTCTGGTAGTGTTCTTGGGACAATCCCTATAATCATCAAACAAAAGTTCAGTGAGCCATTCTCCAGGTCGCATTCATTTATCCAGCTAATTATACCCTAAGATGCTTATCCATGATGTCGCAGCGTCGGAAATCTTTGTGAAAGAAGTGGACTACAACATACTTGGATGTGGTCGTGAGCTTCATGACTTCCTTTTCGGTAGATATTTCTTCGTAGGCACCATGATCATTTTCAATCATGTTTTGTCTCCTCGCCACCCTATTGAGAGTTGATAACGAATAAGTATTTGAATAGGATTGAAAACTACCGAAGGTTGATTCAGATCATACTCTGCTTGAATCTCCTGGAAACGACGTTCTCGAAACTGAGAAGATTCGTGATCATCTTCCTCCTCAAGTTCCCTGAATAGCGTTTCTTCATCTTCGATCTCCTCTAGAGATGGGTTACTACTGCATTTGAGATTAGCTTTTATGGTACCGTTTGGAGAAAGGATGTTCGGATTCACTTACTTTGCTGTCTCGGTCATGGCGATGGGGTATGGAATACACTTTGCGGAGATTGATACGCGATGAATTGAATTACTGCAGTGACTGTCAAACGGACAGAACAAAGAAGAAATCGTACGCAGGAAAAAAAAAAAAGGGTACTGCTCTAAATCTCCAAATGTCACTTCAAGAGGAGAATGAAGCGTTGAAACGAAGGATAAAGGAACTCGAAGAGAAGAACCAATTTTTACAACATGCTCAAGAACAAGATTTCGCCTGGCCATTTCCCTCTGAAGATCGATTATCAAACGCCGAGATCAGGAGATTCGGTCGACAGCTAATCCTCCCCGACGTCGGCATGAACGGTCAACTAAAGCTTCGAAATACTTCAATGCTGGTGGTTGGAGCAGGAGGATTAGGATCACCTATATGCCTCTACCTTGGAGGTGCTGGTGTGGGTCGCATTGGCATCATTGATCATGACGAAGTCGATGTGTCCAACCTTCATCGACAAGTGATACACGACGAGTCTAGGGTTGGGATCAACAAGGCACGCTCCGCAGCAGAGTCTATCAGAAGGTTTGTTTATATTGTACTTCATCTCCATTCTGTTCTCATGAAGTACAAGTGACCAACAAGTTCTTAATTTTCTGCTTATGTATGAAGAATCAATTCTACATGTCAAGTGATTCCCTACGACTGCGTTTTGGATAGCTCCAACGCTATGAACATTATTCCAAAGTAAGTGGATGAATTTAAAAGGGTTAATGTGGTATGATGTGGCTCTGCTCAACAAATATTTGATAGATACGACATTGTTCTCGATGCAACAGATAATGTTGCTACGCGATACTTGTTAAATGATGCATGCGTCATCGCGGGGAAGCCACTTGTTTCTGGCAGTGCGCTCAGAATGGATGGACAGGTAAAGGCATATATTTTTATATGTATTCATTATATTGGCATTTTTCAGCTAACACCAGATGATGATACAGCTCACTACCTACAATTACAATGGCGGACCTTGCTATCGGTGTCTGCACCCAACCCCACCGCCGGCAGAGACGGTTACAAATTGTTCAGATGGTGGCGTTTTAGGCGTCAGTAAGTAGCAATCGACGTAAATGCAAATTTTATCTGATGTAAGCGACAGCAGATGACATATGTCAATTTAGTTCCAGGTATCATCGGATGTATACAAGCATTACAGGCTATCAAAATTAGTATAGGTTTAGCGGGTAAGTTACTTTAGTATGATACAATGCATGGGTATAATGCCTAGTAACATCATTGTACAGCACAAGAACCTCCCAGCCTATTAATCTTTTCTGGAGCGCAACCCACTATGTTCCGTACCATGAAGCTACGACCACGCAAGAAGGACTGTGTTGTTTGTGGCGAGAACCCTAGTATAACTCAGCTCATTGACTACGTTCAATTTTGTGGGCGTGGCGCCACGGATAAGGTAAAGATCATTCGAACATGAATAGAAGCATGGTGTCATGCCCTCATAACAAATTTTCCATCGGCAGGAGGCACCGTTACAAGTCCTTGGCGCAGATGACCGCATTATGGTCGAATCGTATCAGAAATGTATCTCTGATGACCGGCCCCACTTATTATTGGACGTACGAGAACAAGTACAATACGATATCTGCAGCCTTCCCAATAGTTTACATATCCCATTACGCCAGCTAAGTAGAAGAGTGGACGAGGTCAAACAAGCTATAGAGCCTAGACAAGAGGATGGTGAGTAGATAAGGATTTTTTTTTTGTTTGCTATCGGTTATCCCATGTGAGCTAAATGTAGTAACCCCGATGGCACAGTGTATGTGATATGCCGCTTAGGTAACGACTCGCAACTGGCGGTCAAGATTTTGGAAGAGCATGGCATTCGTGCTAAAGATATCGTTGGCGGGTTACACGAATGGTCGCTTCGGATAGATACCGACTTTCCCATCTACTAAGTAAAGTAATGAGGCACTTTCATGGTGTAGATTACATTTTTGACAGTTCACCTCAGCCGTGCGTGACCGGTTCAATTGGTGGTGATTGCAATGTAAGCAGGTTTTGGCTTTGTGAAATGACAGGTGCAATATAGGGGGTCTAATGACTTTTGGCTTGGAAGTTTCTATACGATCCTGCCTGACATGAGGTTTGTGTCAGCAGAATTTTTTTTTTTATGCGGAGCTTTTTGGAGGTGGAGGGAGTTGCAAAATGTATTGGTCTTTCAATTTTGTGGGTCACAGTATTTATTCGGTTAGATTGAAGACGCGTTGCATAAGGCAGCGAAACAAGACCATGGCTCATTGATAATGAAGTGAGAAGCACGTTTGATAGAAAACTCATTTGCGACTTTGTCCCGGCAGCAAAAAAGGGAGAATATTGTTACAGTGTAAGGTCGTGGAACCAATCACAGGGCGTTCATTCGTGGGAAAGATTGCCATTCATGGAATCCTCTCGCTGAACTCCACTGTAAAAAAATATTTAAAGCAGCCTCATTCGATCGTCCGTCTCTACGGCTTTACTAAAATCCCTTTCATGAACGTACTAAGACCAAGGGTTCTACGCCTCTATAGACCACCGCCACCCTTCATTGGCCATGTTAGACACTTCGCCACTGCTCGTCCCTCGACAAAGTCGATGAATTCGTCGAGATTCGCTATCGCAACCGCTATCACGTTGGGTTCTGGTTACTTGATATTCTCCTCTGCTCGAAACCCTGCTTTATCCGAACAACAGCAACCACCGTTGTCTGCCTTTACTACTTCGACTCCTACCTCTACTTTAGCAGAGCTCGATGATATGGGCAATCGCATTGCTGTAAGATCCAAGTCTACTTATGACCTTTGGTTATCTTTGGGCATTTACAAGGTCTGTGCCTCTAGCTGGATCGTCAATTTGGCTCCTCATCTTATCTCTGCTGCTGAAAAAATGGGCCTCTCTACTCCTGTATATTGGGGCATCAAGAACAGCTTCTTTGCTTATTTCTGTGGAGGTGAAACCGCCGATGAATGTATCCCTGTGATGGAAAAATTGACAAGATCTGGCATTGGCTCTATTTTGGATTTATCAATTGAAGCTGATATAGATCACGCTGGTGACAGACAAGAGTATGCTGAAAGCGCAGAACATGTTACGCAATTGACTCTAAAGAGCGTTGGCGCCGCTGCTCAAGAAAATGGTATGGCCGCTATCAAGGTGACAGCTTTCAGCAGCCCGATGACTCTCCTCAGTTTGAACAAATGGTTCGAACATGCTCGTGAAGAATTTGCCTCTCATATGGATCAAGATGGACGTATTAATCGTAAAACTCTTTTGGATATCACTCTTAAATTGTCTATGGGTAAAAGCCAAGTGGATTTAATGCCTGAACAAGTTACCGATGTTGACTGGATTGACTACATGCGTCTGGTATCTCCTCAAAACCCCAAGGCGGAACCGGTCATGTTGGATGCAGGGGTCTCAAATGAAGACTTGGCAGACTTTAAACACTGTATTGAACGACTTGAAAGAGTATGCGACCTGGCTAAAACCAAACACGTCAAGATCATGGTCGATGCTGAACAGAGCTATTTCCAACGCACCATTGACCACATTGCCATGCTTCTTCAAGCCAAGTATAACCATCGAGCCAACGATGATGACACCAGTATGCCAGTTGTTCTCAACACCTGTAAGTATAAATTTTGTAATCATTATGAAGTATCTCAGATACCCAAAAAAAACCCCCCAAGGAAAAATTCTCCCGTTTTCTTTGTTTGAGACCGAAAGGGCCATATGACCCCACGAACCCCCACCCAATTCTTTTGTCATCATTAACCCTTGTCTTTCATACCATTTTTTATAGATCAAATGTACACTAAGGAAGCCCAATCTAAACTTGCTATCGACGTGGAACTGGCGCGACGCGAAGGATTTGTATTTGGCGCCAAACTCGTGCGAGGAGCATACATGGTATCGGAACGTAAGCGAGCAGCTGAACTTGGCATTCCAAGCCCGATTTGCGACACATTGCAAGACACGCACAATTCGTACAACGGCGGAGTTGTGTTCTTACTGAATAAGATTCATCAACACGCTATCGACACGAACCAACCTACCTCATTATCCTCCTCTCCAATCGTATTCATGGTGGCTAGCCATAACCGTGATTCCGTCAAACTGACTATCAAAGAAATGGATCGTAATGGCGTCCTTCCCCGCACTGGCGTGGTGACATTTGGACAATTGTACGGTATGCAAGATCAAATCTCATACTGTTTAGGCAAGAACGGTTACTCTATCTACAAGTATCTGCCATATGGTCAAATTCAAGAAGTTATCCCATATTTGCTTCGCCGTGCTCAAGAGAACTCGGCCATCTTCGGAGGCGGAGCAGTGACGATGGAGAGAAAATTGATGTGGGATGAAGCCAAGACACGATTGTGGGGCCAACCAACGCCAGAGGTCATCACTACGCCTGCTACCGACGGCGCTGCTGCCGCTCCTAATACATCATCCGATGGCGTCTATTAAACATTTACCCCCTTCCTCCCTTGTAACATAGTATAAATAATTTGGAATCTCTTTTTGCTAGCTGCAGCAGCACTCATTGTAAAACATTATATAAAAAAAATAAAAGAGAATGCTTCCCTTTCAACGGGCGACATCGCGTCGGACGATCATTTCTTCCTTTTGTGGTAGAGACACACCATCTGGACTCTAGTGCAACGTTGCACGCTTGCAATAGGCTATTTTAAGCTTTATGTAACGACTTGTCAAGTTTCACTCAGCGTAGAGAGCAGGGAGGATGCAATACGAGCATAGGAACAGTTTAGAAAAAAAATTAGCTCATTTTGCTTGGCATTGTAGATAGACTGTATGACATGATGAGCAAGTCATCCTTCGATCATCAGCGTCATGATCTAACTGCTAAAGAATGGACAATTTCATTTTAACTTTCGCTGAGAGGAAATACAGTTTCCTCCCCGCCCGTCAATGTATTACCTAACCGGGCACCGGAAGTAGAAAAAAATCCGCACGCCACCAAACATGGCCGTCAAGTCTTGCTTCCGAAAAGTCTTTGACAAATTGAAATAATCTCAAAAGTCTACGTTGCTGCTCATTTTTTCCCAATGCTAGTCCCAAATTAATCTTTCTATTTGTGGATCCGTCCTTCTTGATACTGAAAATCTTCCAGGATTCTTGTAGCCATGCTCTCTATGGCGACAAGCATTTCTGCCCCATCAATCCAAACCAGCTGAAGAATTCTAAGAACTTTTTTTTTTTATGGTTTCTGCCCACCTCCTACAAATTTCATCGTTCAGCGACCGCGCTGTCTACCAATGGTGTTTGCTGAGAGACTCATGACTTCAGCGGAGTGCTTATTGACATAATCAAGTGAGTCTGTTGCACTACGGGGGTAGAATGACAAATGTGTTTGGTTTCGAGTGGTGGACAAACCCGCGTTTCGAAACCTAAACATGCTGGGAAATTAGAAGTCACGCTCTTCAAAGTGAATGCCGCGCATTCTCCAACATGAATTCCACCAGGTACGCGAATTAGACGCCGCACTTCCAGGATGTCTTGCCCAGCACATGTCGGTGCTTCTATACTTGCATACTCGAATGACTCCTTTTATTCTGATGATACTATACAGGTCTAGCGTAGTTGGACGATAATCACATATTTTAATTTAAGACACCCATTCATTTGTACTGCTTGATATTTTGTAGCCTTCGTTGGCCGTCACAATAGAAGGATAGATCTTCCAGCCCCGTATTCAAGCGTACATAGAAGCGTGTGCGCCTCTTTATCAAACAGGTCAAGGATGCTTGATATAACTGATTTTTGTGCGTTTTACTTGACGAAAGGGCTGTTTGTCGTTGGAAATTTGTCAATAGAGTTCTGTTCGCTTTTGTTCGTGACTTTCTTAACCGGTGCAGTAACTTCGGCTCTAGCGAGTTTTTCATTGCTACCATGCTTCAAACCTTGCAATGCAGTCAGTCTAAATCTACCGATACAAGACACTCGCCGCCTATTGTACATTGTTGGTATTATAATCGGAAGTATGACTTGTCGCAACTGATGCACAAGCCTTCAGGTACCAGAATCGCTCACTGCTGAAGGACCATTGATCATGGCTTACCCGAACTTCAGCTACTGAGTGCCCAAAGGAAAAGAAACATTCGGCATGCCGACGAATCTCTGACAGATGAAATTTGGAGATGTACAGTCGTGACACCAACGAACAGTTTATGCTTTTTCATCCGATCGGTTGCTTTGACTTACGCAATATTCGAAACTTGCGCTTCAATTACTAACTTTTATCTATCATGCTTTTCATAAAATGGACCCGACATCAGAGTGTGGTAGACAGTTGATGCATAACTCATCTCATCGATTAGTCGCGATAAAATATCTGTATCTCAAACTTGAGAGAGGCATATGAAACGAAAGAAAAAGTTGGTGTTCGATTAATGCATGCAGGGTAAAATTGAAAATGTGGAGTAAGGCGAAGAGGGAAAAAGAAAAGAAATGCGAAGCAAATGAAAAAGCAAAACTGAGACCTCTTGCAAGTATATGCCGCATTTGCGGCATGCATAAATAGATATTGCACGGAGTTGTTGCAATATCGAATAAGATTTAACAAGGGTTGTTTGGCTTATATTTCAACATGATTATTGCGCATATTTGATGTTTGGGATATAGCGGTAATCAATCTACATTTTCTTTCACACTGTAAGCTGTGGAGAAGAACGTGGCCCATCGATGTAGCTACATCCACGCAGTGATAAAAGGACAGTATACATGTAAATGAGTCCCGTCATTTGGAGTTGATTGCGATGAAACATCGTCATCACCAAAAGGCATCCAAAGGATCAAATAAACTTTTCTGATCTTGAACACCACCTTTCACCTTTTTGAGCTCATGAGTCTCAAAGTTCTTTTAAGTCCTTTGGAGCCCATTTTATTCTGTGAAGCGCACTGAACCTCTAAAGCCCTGTTCAATATTGCAGAAGCGCCAAGTCTGGCGCACTAAGACGTTCTAAATATGCGACAGACAGAGAAACATCATTGGGATTGTTTCCGTTTGTGCGCTGACATTACGCTTTTTATAATTTTTATCAAAAGTGAGACACACTGTACACTCAGGCGAATGTACTACACAAAAAAACGAATTTTACCTATAACTTGACATTATCGGTGATAGGACTCTTGTGCAGCGAGCAGATAATGTGTTCAGTTCATTAAAGTTTCCGGTTGGGTCCCTCATGATCGACTGAACAGTTTTTTCTGTGAAGGGAATGAGTAGTAGTGAATCACATAATTTTCAATGAAGAAGTATATCGCAGGTCAATGGTGGTAAAACAGTGATGGTAGGATTTGATAAACACCAATGAGTACAACCTTGCGTGCAGTGGGTATCAATACTGGTACCTGCACTATTACTGCCCACATAAATACCAGTATACCATTAAATGTATTCCGCGGGTCATAGGATGCCATAGCTTGCCATGAGGGCCAAATGGGTGCAACATCAAAACACCGGGGGTCACACGAGGTTCGTTCTTCTACGGACAAACCACGTTGTCAAAGTTCACAGCCGGCATAATATATGGTCTACGCAGCAACTCTTTTTTACCGGCGTTCAAGCGGCGTTCAACCATAGCGTAGATTTAATAGATTGAAATGATGGAGTGGTCCTACTCATAGAGGTGCAGAGTAGCGATAATGTTGGATCGTCTCAATCAACTATTTCTATGTCGTTTGTTGCACAAAAGAAAAGAAGCTTGATCATGGCTTTGACCTTAAAGTGTATGAACAAAAGCATCTCATCAACAGTCTCAATCACTGATAAACTTTATTTGAGGAGATGGCCATCATATTCAAAGCTTGCCTTTCTCAACTCTAGAAAGAGGGCATTAAATGGAAGATGAAGATAGCAACCAGTGCCACGAGACCCATATCACTCTTTCTTTTTGAAGAAGGTGGGTTGTTGGCAAAATCTGTCGCATCTAAAGGCAGTGGTCATTCGTTCCCCCCAACATTGGACTTTGAAACACCGAAAGCTTGAAACCTTACACAAAAGCCATTTACTATGGCTATGATAATGCATCAAATTATAAATGCATGGCCGACAATTTCGATGAAGTCGCCTGTGGTCTTCCTCTCATTCAGAGTAGCAAGAAACCGAACGTTATCGAATAGAACATTCATGACGTCAATTCACGGGTGTTGATTACCAGCTCAATGGGACTACCTTTTTTCATCGGAGTACAGAGTTTGTGCCACTTCGGTCAAGTTGGCTGCTTGAAAATAAGGCTCAGGGTCAGATCCGAACATAAAGCATCATTCTTCTTCTCTCCAGTTTTATCTTTCCCATCTTACTATGAAACAACAAGCTTACATTTCCAGTTATACAGACGATGGTGGTGAAGGCGTCTACTATTACTCTTTTGAAAATGGAAAGCTAGAGTTACAGTCTCTTGCTGCCACTGCCATTAACCCAAGTTTCATGGTATTCCACCCAAACCGACAGACTGTCTATACTGTTGACGAGCATAGAGATTTCGAAGGTTCAGGTGGTGTTTCTGCATTTGAGAGAAATGCTGAAGATGGGTCTCTCAGGTTGAAGAACACTGTTACGTCGAAAGGCGCCGATCCATGCTATATTACCATCGACAATGCAGGCTCACACGTAATCGTCGCTAACTATACTGGAGGATCTGTAGCAACTTTCCCTGCACAGAGTGATGGAACTGTTGGTGAAGCTACCACCTACATCAAGCACACTGGTGAAACAAAGGTCAACCCAGCTCGCCAGGAAGGACCCCATGCTCACAGCATTAACCTCACCCCAAGTGGTAAATACGCCATTGCCCTCGATCTTGGTGCGGACAAAGCGGTTGTTTACAAGTATAGCAGTGAAAACGGAGCTTTAACAGTTGCAAACGAGTTCAAGTTCAAGGCTGGTGACGGACCTCGTCATCTTGCATTTGCCCCCTTCAATGACTCATGGCTTTATGCGGTTGCTGAACTGACAAACGATATTGTTTTCTTGGAATTTGACGAAGCAAACGAAACCCTCTATGAGATCCAACGCGTTGCAGCGCTTCCGGAAGATTTCAAGGGTGATAACCTTGCTGCAGAGATTAGCATTCTTCCCAGTGGCAAGTTCTTGTATGCTTCTATGCGTGGTCATGATAGTTTGGCCATCTTTGCTATCAACGAAAACACCGGCAAGTTGACAAAAGTCGGTCATCAACATACTGGAGGAGCTCATCCTCGTCACTTTGCTATCGACCCTACTGGCGAATATATCATTGTTGCTAACAAGGTACGTGGATATGGAGAAATGGGATGGTTAGATTGCATTTGCGGGGCTAAAGTGGGGTTGACAATGCTAACATCGTCGTTCTATTCTTTCCCAACTTACAGGATAGTCACAATTTGGTCGTCTTCAAGGTTGACCAAGACACTGGCTTGCTCACTGAAGTGCCCAACTCTCGAGTTGAACACCGACAGCCAGTGTGCATCAAGTTTTGGACCCATTAAGAAAACCTGTCAGGCATAGAAATAATACATTGGGGATCGGACGAGATGGATCATGTTTGTTTTTGTATTTGTATAATAAACGAGCAACAATATCTCAGTATGAAATGTACATAATGAAAGGGGTAAGAAGAGCCAAAACACGTGTTGTGTTCAACTGGAAAAACTATTGGGGAGGTCTATGCTGTTGGTTCAATAATTCTTGTAAACGTTGTTGAGACTAAGTAGTGTGTGGATGGGGTATGCAAAGGTTAGAACCAAAAATAAGGTCGATGGCAGATACATTGAACAGTCACTTACTTTGGATGTAAGGTAATGCATAACAGCCTCCTTAACCCAGCCTTGTTTATAGAAATCGCTCTGTCGCATCTCCTCTAAGTTGACTTGGCTTTCACCCAGGATAATCTCCAGGTCTCGCGCTTGACTTGCAATCCATTTGTTGATAAATTCCACTGGTGATTGAGCAAACTGAAGCAAAAAGTCTCGCTTAATCTTAGAATTGTTGATACTTTGCACGCATTGAACGATCTTGTCATCCAGTGCCAGAATCTCCTTTTGTGTGTTGGTGCCTGCCACAGCCGTCATCATCTTCTGCTTCAACAAGCTGTCCAATTCCACATCAATGTCGAATGCCTTTCGTGATTGATGGAATTCACGATCAACTCTATGATGGGCATATGCTGTTAGAATGTGATGGTAATCAGGAAGGTAATAGCACTGCCACAGTATAGTTACCTGATAGTATAATCAATTACGATGGGGTCAGGACGTGACAAATGTTGCTCAATAAGAGTCGGAATATGAGAGAATTGGACTTGGGAGGCGCCAAAGAGCTGATGCCATAGAGAAAATATATACGATATGAGAAATACATCACACAAACTTAATGAAATTCTAAGTTCATTCCCATACCTGTTGCAATTTCTGATCGCACTGCACAAGTCGCTTATCGTCTGCACCTTGCAATTTGTTTAGCTACAATTAAAAGAACAATGTAAGGGCTTCGTCATGGTTTACATACAGTTATCTCTAAGCGCCCCCGCACGTACCTGGATATACTTCCATATGCCAATCATGATCTGAGGCTGAGTCTCCAACTTCATGTCTAGCATTTCTGAGAGAACAGGGCTCAACTTGAACTTTGGTGGATTATAATCCATCTCAAGCAAAAGGCGTGCGTTCACTGTTGTGTCGCCTTTACGCTTTATCTCCACGCCATCATCATCCGTATTGCCTGGCTGCTTGTGCCATTCAATGATGTTTCCTTCAGGATACATATTAGGATCGCGGTCAAGCTTGACCACAATTGATCTGAAAAACGACGTAAACTTTTGCACCGGTTGTGCTTTTTTGGTAGGAATTGGTGGCTGGATGATATGGCGAAAGATGAGTATGTACATTGTGCAATTAATTGGGACCACAGCCAGGAACTTACATCAAGCAGTCTGCCTTCTATCCGTAATGTCCAAGACGGTGCACTTCCGCTGCTTAGATCAATGCCATCATCATCCATATCATTTTGTTGCTGCTGCATAGGTTGATCGGAGGCTGTGTTCGACACGAAGATTCGCAGCGTTCGCATAGTCTTTGCTGGTTTGCCCACTGCCTCTTGAATATCCAATCGTTTGCGCATAATAATCGAATCAATCTTCTTCTCAAACTCGCACAATTCAGTGTACACTTTGGATTCTGGAACGAAAGTGTCGATCTTGATGGATTCACAGTTAGCATTGGGTTGCGGTGAGATAAAATCGCTTGTCAACTGAAAATAACGAAGAGAACAAGTACCTTTGCTGGCATATTTCGTTCGGTTGGTCTCTTTTTCCTATACGATAATAAAAAGTTAATTTCGCGCCTAAAAGCACGCGACATTTAGAAGTTACCCTTACTTGATGTGTCTAGCAAGCGAATCGCCATCACCGGTGGGTCGCTTCCGGTATTGTAATTGAGCTCCTTGTGGAAGACCTGCCGGAGGTTGCTGCTGCACCTGCTGTGGTACAGGTTGCATCATTTGAGGAGGAACACCACCCGGGTGTTGAGGATAGCCAGGGATCATTTTCCGTCGATGCTGTGTTTCTTTGGTGAAAGTCCGGAGTCAGTGTACCACTTCGTGAAATCTGAAAAGTACACGTCATCGTATTTTGCACTGCAGAATTTAACTTGGTCCGCTAAAGTCACGTGCACTCATTTTCCATCCTTTTGTTCGGGTGGAGCAGCTTCCTTGAATGTCCCAGCTTACCAGTGATACACTTTAAGGGAACAGTTTCCTTCTTATTTAGATCTAATTAATTATGAATATATTTGAAATGGTTTGACTCTTTCATTTGGTGCCTTGCTTGCAATGTAATACTTCTGTTAAATTCTTATCCATTCAATGCTTCTCGATAAATGACCATAATAATAGTAAGGTCAAGGCTGGTTCACCATTTAGCAGCAGCTTAGATTCATTCATTTAATTTAATTTCAAAACGAAATACTAGATCTACAAATTCTGGAATGACAGTTACCAGTCACCTTATATATATATAATTTGCTCTCGAAAATGGAAGGAATGTTCGGTCTCATCGAACTGCGAGATATCATCTTTCTTTTTTATCCTTCGGATAACGTATCTATCTATCCATTGGTAACACATTCTGCTTATTTCATCACTGTTAATGCCTTTATCACGCTCATCGCAAGTCTACCATTATGGCAACTCATTGAGTACGAGATACACTGCTTAGCTGAGATATTAACTGTAGTATCCTTATGGAAAGGTACACGGACGTTTTCATTATTCGGTAGTGCGTCTTCTGCAAGGGATATACTCCCTGCATAGAAAATTAAAAATCGTCGGTATTGAAACAGGGTTTTTACAAGAATTTGGTATTTCAAAACGCCGAGTCGGTAATCCTTTTCAATTCTTCTAGCAAGTGACTTGAGTGGCCACACAACATGTTATACATGAACACCCACGGTCTTTTCTATACAGTGCTTATGGCTTTCGCCATCACTAATACCATTGCCTCCCGTGATAGTGATTCTTACGTTGGTGCTCATAATGCGAAGCGTAAGCTGCATAAGAGTACTTTGCCTTTGCAATACGACGCTCACCTCGAGTCCTCTGCCAAGGCTCACACGGATCAATGCCTGTTTAGCCTGTTAGAGCAGCACGAAGATATTGGAGAAAATTTGGCTAGAGGATTCTCAACATGGAATTCTGCCGTTGATGCTTGGTATGCAGGAATACAATACTATGATCCACATCGTCCAATGGACAATGCTACAAAAACAAACCGATTTACGCAAGTTGTATGGAAGGCCACTAAGAAAGTTGGTTGCTCTAAGAACACAGCGTGCATCAATGGCACTTTGATAGTGTGTTATTATAGTCCATCTGGAAACTGGATTGGAGAGTATACTAAAAATGTTATGCCGCTCATTCGACACAAACCGGAACAGCCTCAGCACACCATGGTCATTCTGTAGAAGGATTACCAAAAGGTTGAAATATCCGTCATCCACTTTTACATCAGCTTACTTTCCGCCTCATAACAGCTTTTTTTCTTCTTACACGAGGTTATAAGACACATCCCGCTGTTTATTCGCGTATGCAATGGTTGATAAGTTGACCAAACTTGATCAATGGTCATTATTGTTGGCTTTTCAAAAAATTAAATACTCTATACTACATGCTGGCCAAAGTCTGGTTTCCTTAATCTTCGTATACGACCATAGAACACCAGCCCATCTCACGATCTTCCCAATGCACACCGTCAAAATTTATCTGCAGTGTAAACCCTTGGTCCGTGTCATATTGAACCCAGCATGGCATTCTGGTATTTCCTCCACCACCTTTCTTGATAGGTTCTCCAAGTTTGGATACAACTTCATGTGCCTGTGATGAAGACAAGAGTCCTAGGGGTAAATCTCCACTATACGCCGCGAATTTGTCTTTTGGGTGTCCGTTGAATATATCTATGGAATCCAGTTGTTCGCTGCCGTCAACTATGGTGAAGCAGAAGGAGATTCCAAGACTCGGCCACGACTTGTACTTTGCATCGGGGAACACTTTGATCGCTGGCTCCATAGTGCTACCATTTGCAGCATTGCTGATAAGTTGTTGTAGCAATGGTGAATCTTCTGGTTGATGTAAGAGCTTTGACCATTCGAACGAAGCCATACAGTACAAAAGTGACTGCTTGACAAAGACCTGCGCTGGACATTTTATCCTGGATCCTGCGGCATCTCAATTGTTCATCATTTTGACATTTTTCCAAACCAGCATAAACGCGCAGGTAAGTTGTTGTCGTTCATACTTTTTCAACAATACGCACAAAAAGTCTTTTCGTTATCAAGTGGATACAAGTACCTTTTTAAAAAGAGATATACATAATATTTTTTATTCAGCTAAAGATATGTGCATACTACTACATAATACATACAACTGTCCTATTATTACAAAAGGCGGGTTTACTTCTTCTTACCGCCACCGAGAAGCTTTCCAACTCCAAGGTTTTGAAGGATCTTATCAAGTCCAAGTCCTCCAAGAAGATTGTTGACCAGTCCTCCAAGACCAAGACCATTCAAGATATTACCAAGAAGGCCTAACACGCCACTGAGGAGCAGTCCAACAGCAGCTAAGATTTGGAGCAATGGGTTTTGCAACAAATTCCATAGGGGGCTCAACTCTTTTTCAGCATGGGGCATGCCAGCAATCTTCTTCTTTGCTTTTTCAATGGTCTGGGTGACTTCACCGGTAAGGTTAGAGAGCAACTCGGCCAAGCGATATTCCTCAGGTGAAGCCTTTCTTTCAGCAGACTTTGCTTGAGCAGTTTTAGCAATCTTGCCAGTAGGGTCAAGGCCACGAATAGCACCATTGGCTTCGCCAAGAATATTAGAGCCTTCTTCAATGAGGGGGCGTACGTTTTTAACTAGGCCTTCTTCGTCGCGCTCCTTTTCTGGCTTGCGCTCCTCAGTCTCAATGTGCTCAGTGATCATCTTGAGAATGGGCTTGATTCTGTTGAGGGCTTGCTCAATGTATTCACCCATTTGACCGGCAATCTTTCGCTGTTCTTGCTCTTCAGCTTCTGCCTTCTTTTCTTCTTCGGACTTTTCAGTAGCATTATATTCTGCCTTACCAACAACGGAGCCGTTTTCATCAACAACATTGCCATCGTCGTCGACCTCCATGCCAGCAAGCTTATGACGGTTGCCCTTGATGAGCTTTCCAACCACCTCTCCAGTTGGAGAAAGAACCTTTCCAGATTCATCGACAGTGTTGGCATCATCAGGAACTTCCTTCTTGGGCTTTTCTTCTTCTTCAGTTGTTTCAGGAGGATTGAATTCAGCCTTGCCAACGAGGGTGCCGTTCTCATCAATGACATCGCCTTCTTCGTCTACCATCATGCCAGCGAGCTTATGGCGGTTGCCCTTCTTCAGCTTACCGACAACTTCGCCGGTTGGAGAAAGGATCTTTCCTGATTCATCGACAGTATTGGCATCGTCGGGAACACCAGGTTTTTCGGGAGGGTTTAGTTCTACCTTGCCGACGGAGTTACCATTTTCGTCAAGAACGTTGCCTTCTTCGTCGACCATCATGCCGGCAAGCTTATGGCGGTTGCCCTTGATGAGCTTTCCAACGATTTCTCCAGTTGGAGAAAGAACCTTGCCTGATTCATCGACAGTGTTGGCATCTTCAGGAATTTCATTCTTTGGCTTGTCTTGATCCTCGGGAGCTTGGTCTTCTGGCTTGTCTTCAGCTTCATCTTCTGGCTTGGCTTCAGCTTCATCTTCTGGGTTGGCTTCAGCTTCATCTTCTGGTTTGGCTTCAGCTTCATCTTCTGGCTTGGCTTCAGCTTCGTCTTCTGGCTTCTCCTCAGCTTGGTCTTCTGGTTTGTCCTCAGCCTGATCTTCGCCTTGGTTCTGCTCATCTTCAGGAGCATCAGCATTGGCATCTTCTTTCTTTTCTTCTTGCTCTTCTTCTGGCTTATCTTCTTGCTTCTCATCGGCTGGTGCCTCTTCGGTAGTATCAGGACGTACAGGAGCAACGCCAGCAATATAGTTGCCTTTGCTGTCAATTATAGCACCATTTTCTTTGACTCTTCGGCCGACGGCCTTCTTGCGGTTACCGGAAACGACTTCTCCAATGACATTGCCATCTTGATCAAGGACTTTTCCACTCTTGTTGACCTTGCATCCAACAAGTTTCTCTAGAAGCTCATGTTCTTCATCTTCATCTTCAGAAACGTCACTGGCTGAACCTTGATCACTGTCTTCTTCTTCATCATCATCATCATCATCATCATTATCTTGGCCAGTACCGGTTTTGTTATCTTGATGTTCCCCAGCAGACGCGTAGTCAGCCTTGCTACCGTCTTCTGGATCGTCCTCTTCCGGTTCAGAGGCAAGATCGTCATCCTCATCGCCTTGGTCTTGTCTGCGATCTAGCTTTTGCTTATGGTCTTTCTTTGAAGAAACATTTTCTTTAGTGTTCTTTGTTGCGTTATCTGAGAGGTTTCTTGATTCTTTAATAACTTTGCCGTCTCCCATTGTTGAGTAAGTGTGTAAATGTTTTGTTTCCAATCTCCGAAATGAAGGGCATTTATAACCAGGTCTCGAACAGAAAATCTGAGTTGTTCTGTCTGTCAATAATTACTTCATTCATAGATCACTTTGGTTAGGATCTTCCAATCTAAACGTCACTAAAGCTGAGACAAGGTCTGCCAAGGCTGGCCCCATTTCCGAAGCCCAAATACAGTATAGTGTTCATTGCTTACCATCAACGGAAATTCCTCCCCTTACGCATTGATACGTCAATGTACCCTGCTCTACGGGCGTTTGCAATGACGCACTAACGGCTTCTGGAACAGCTGAGACATAACGCTATTGTTGCCCTACGCTATGACGGTCTGTCCGGGAATTTCCCATCCTTATAACTCGGTTGAAATTTTGACCTTTTCGTTCGACAAGGTTCCTTTTCCTCTTTACCCACCCCCGCCACCCCTTTCACCATGCCATCTCGCTCAAGTTCAAAACAACGTCAAAAGAATGGTGTTCAGGATGGAAATAATCAGCAAATGGTACGAAGGGATCCTTCTGCTTCTCAGCAGCGCGGTGGGCAGCTTATGAAGCAGAACCAGCAAAAGAGCCCGGAAAAGGCTGAAAAGAAACCAGAGACCACTGGAGCCGTTAGGTTAGATATCAATCTTGAAGTCGAAGTTCACATTAAAGCGAGACTCCATGGAGATCTTACTCTTGCTCTTGAAATGTAAAAATTTCCTGTATTATATATACTTCTTCCCTGTCGTCGTTTATTGGGGCCAATAAATCTGTAATCTACGTAATTTGAAGCGAGATAAACGGGCATGTTTGATGAAGAGAAGATATTGATGACTTGTTCGTTGTTTTGAAAAAACAGGTGTTCTTTTAAAATTCGAGATTGCAAACCAAAAGTGAATATTGTTTGTAGCATTCATCAAAATCTCTGAAAGCGTTGTACGGTAAATGTATGGCTTTTTTTTCCAATGAGACGTTTGGCCGGGTTACTTGTTAAATCAATTTGTTAATTTTTATTCAACTTGAAGTACATTGTAGGAAAATTACAGAAAGATGGGTAGAAAAATAAGTATACAGAGGAGAGGGGATTTACTGGGGACGAGGGATGTGGATGGAGAAAGAAATTCCGGTCTTAGTAGCATCGACCTTAATAATGAGATCGCTGTCACCGTGGCGAAGACAGATATTTCCAGATTGGCCGTTTTCATCTTGGGTAACGTTGATGCCGGCGACTTCAGTGGGGTCAACCGGCTTGATTTTGCCAAACACCTTGCCATCTTCGTCAACAACATCACCTGCTTCGTTGACCTTTTTTCCCTCAACGTCGGTGATATCACCAGTGACTTTGCCCATGAGTTTTCCATCATCACCATGAACGTTTCCATTCTTATCTACAGACTTGCCAACCAGGTCTTTCAAAAGAGCTTCAGGGGCCTTGGGCTCAACTTTCACGTTGTTTTCAAGGAGACCACCCATGGAGCCATTTTCGGGCTGTGAGACTTCTTCCTTGGGCGTAGAAGGTTTTTCTGTTTGTGGGGTTTGAGCCCCATTAGGTTGTGGCTTTTCTTGAGACAACGGATTGCCTTGAGACTGTGGTTCATCAGCAGTGTTGTCTTGCTCTGCTTCAGAGTCAGACGACATCATGGACTTTTGGTTGTACTCCATAATAGCTTTCATCAGCTTTCTAGCATCATTATCGTCAAAGCCAGCTTCTTGCATGAAGTCAGTTGACAAAAAGTGTTCAGGAATGCCGAGTTGCTTGGCTTGATCCTTGGTGGTCTTCTCAAGCTGATCCTTGCCTTCAGACACCTTGTCTTTGGTTTGCTCGACAGTGTCGGAAACTTGGTTAGGAACCGCATTTTGGGATTTCTTGGTAGCACTATCTACCCCACGCTTGGCTTCTTTCTTAACAGAATCCACCGTTCCATTCAGTAGACCTCCACTACTACTGTGCTTCTTGCTCTTCTTTTCACCCTTTGATGAGCGCTTTCTGTGCTTTTCTTCGGTAGGGAGAGACTTGGTAATATCAGGCATTGGAGGGTTGTTATTATTAGGCTTTCGGCTGCGTTTTTGTTTTCTTGCTTTTGCGGGCTCTTTTGGAGGAGGTGGGGAAGGTGGTGCTTCTATTTGCTTGCGTTCTTCAGATGGGGGAATATCTGAAGGAGGAACTTTGGACTTTACGTATAAGAGTAGAAGAATAAGTAGAATTTTGAAAAATCTATCTTGGTGATAAGTTTGAAATAGAAACACTTTTTAGAGACCCCGCCATTGATACACTTTTACGTTGGGCAAGGTTTTGCCATGAAGTTATAAAGTCGTCATGTTTTTCTCATTTCTAGGCAGAAATTGAGTTAGAGCGGAGGAAAGTAATTATTACAATGTTGTGTTTAGAAACCTCTGCGTGGTAGTGCCATGCTAGGGCGTCGCAGTTTCAAGGAGGGATGGGAAAAGTGGGACAAATGACGAATTTGCCAGGCACATTTCTACAGCCGACCCGCTTTAGTGCTGTTTCTTTTTTCAGGGGATCAACAAATAATTCTTTCTCCGACGTAGAAATGGGAAAAACGGCTTGCCAATCAAGGTTTTCTAACGAAAAATAGAATGGGCTTGCACCTCCAAAGTCATAGTCGAACTTTCCTACCAATAACCCCATCCTTCTCTAGAGCATTGAATGAGCTTCTGCTGTTCTATCAATGCACGGACTAGCATGCATGCTTCCATCTGTCAAAAATCCGGTGGCCATACATTTTGGTGCCTGGTCATGGTTGATCTCTTTGCCTGTATCAACACAAGTCATGTACCCCAAAATATGAACCATTTGCTCATACTAGACCAGCGTGTCCGTTTCCCACTTGAGAACACAGGTCTCATACAACCTTTTTGAGGACTTTTTCTTTCATCATGGTTGCGAATACTGTGAACCCAAGAATAATTTTTAACACTAGCGCTCGACTCGTTCATACTTGGATGGTTGAAGATCCCTTTACGAGGATGGGCCCAGACCTGTTTTGAACTGTTCATTGGTCACTCATTACGTATAGAACGTATTGACATTACGTTTCATCTGAACCATCCTAGTATGGGCCCACATTTAGTATTTTCCATCCCGCCATCGGAGCTGTGAGCTGATCAGTTTCTTCGTTTGAGTTCTGGATTGGCGAACATTTTTCCATCATTAAGCTAACGTTTCGTCATTATTTGACAGTACTCAGGATTGGGTATTATTTCAGATATTTTAAACAAGTATTAAAACCAGTACTTATTAACACTTTTACAAAAGTAACTTCGTTTTCCTGAAAGTCTCATCGTCGAATTCTCTTACTGCTTTCCACCAGTCGAATTATATATACTCTTCTAAATGCCATCCAACACTCAAGAACAGCAACGTAATAAGCAACGACAGGCACCTACTGACTCGGAAACAGACTCACAATCTGAAGCCTACGAGAGCCAAATGGACCAAGATCTGAACTCTCAAATGGGCTCAGACAACGAGTCTGTTATGTCTGAAACTCCATCGCAAGCTGGTCGCAGAAAAAGAAATAGAAGAAGAGGCCGTAAGAACAAGAACGGCGGCCTTCCTGGTCTTGGCAACGTGGACGAAACTGCAGAGAATGCTGTTGGCACCGTCGGCAACACTGCCAACCAACTTGCCGACACTGCTGGTGGTGTCGTCAACAACGTTGCTGGCGGTGGTGACAAGGAGGGTGGCGATAAACCCCTCAGACTCAGGTTGGATTTGAACTTGGATGTTGAAATCGAACTCAAAGCAAAGGTCCATGGCGACGTTACCCTTGCTTTGTTAAGATAAGGTGCCGTTGAATACTCTTACCTAGTGATACTCTGCCCTCAATTTGTATTATAAACTGCTTTATTATTAAATGAACCAAAAAATAAAAAATATTGGTCCTATTCTTATGTTAAACAACAAGTTGAAGATGTCGAAGGAGGAAGAAGTTCTTTCACTGTGATAGTATGTTCTCTAACAAAAGATCAGTGGGAAGGTTATAGTTTTCAGCTCGTCGGCCGCTTTTTTCTTTTTCGGGTCACTTATTAGAATGAACCAAAGGATGAAACTCGTCAGTCTTTTTTTCTTATATCATAAAGCAATATAGAATGTGTTGAATATGGAAACTGAAGGCGAACGTCCATCCATAAGTGATAGTTCGTTTCCTTGTTTAACAGCAGACAGATTAGTGGGGAAGTAATAATTTTTCAGCCCGTCGGCTGCTTTTTTTTTTCTTTCCCGGTACACTTGTTAGTATGAATCAAGAAATAAAACTCATCAGGCCTTTTTCTTATCATGAAAACAGTGTTATAGAATGAAGTGAATATAGGAACTTGAGGCAAAACGTTCACTCCATGCGTTATAGTACGTTTGCATTGTTAAGAAATGGTGAACGGCGGTCATCAGCCCAAAAGATAGCTGCGTCATTATTTTTGGGCTAATTTGTTCAGAAAAGCATGAAACTCGCTAGTCTTCTCCTATGACATAAATTGAACAAATATAAACTGAAGTGAATTTGAGGGAACTCACGGCAAACATCCAGGAATGTTGGTTGGCTTGCCGTGTTCATAAAGTCCGGTTGGGCAAACCACAGTACAAATTAGCATTATACCTTTTGTTTTATTATTATGATTAATGAACCAGAGCATTAAAACATTTGTTTACTTTCAAGAAAGGGAGTGAATGAGCCGAATCTAAGATGCCAAGGCAAAGTTCCATGGTAGGCTCGTTTCTAATGGCGGTATTACACTGTTTCATTATAGTCACAACAAAAGATTATAATGCAGAATTTAGGACTAAGAAAGCATTGAAGCCACCGTTATGTCATAGAAGGAGGAGAATAATGTGAATCAATGCTGTTGGGAAGTTGCCATCCATGACTTAGCCAAGGTTCCAGAAAATTTACCGTTAAGTACAGACGAAGGGGGGGGGGATTGACCAAAATGGGTTGTGTCATCCAATATTTATTTTTTTCTGCCATCATCGCAAATTTGCATAATTCTGGCTTTCTATGTTTTCTCTCTTCCTAATGTTATCTTCTTGTATACCTTTGTAGCTTGCAGGCGAGAAAGCTTTGACCATGGCGTAAAAAACAATCGGACTAACTCGTACCACTCCGCTAATTCATAACTACGCTCGGAGCTTACCCCAGAGGTGGGCCCAAAACCCACAATTTGATGTCGAACGAGTGATTCAAGTGCGTACAACCACAACATGACGAAGACGCTGTTGAAAGCAACATAGAATGTGGTTCATGGAAGTATTCCCGTCCAGATTTTACTAGCTGTCAGTCATGTTAATTGATGAACAAAATGGGAAATGGCACCACTTTTACTACTTTAAGGAAGTTGACCCGAACAGCCAGGATCCAACCAAAACGTGGACATGCTGACTGGAGTTTCCAATACGGGTTATCAAACATCGCGATAACATGGATTTCTCGTCGCTCGCCAAGATGAGCGTTTCTCAAATTCGAATTGTATCTCCTACCAGTGTATGTCTCAAGAAAATATCGGTGGATGAAGTTAACTATATCGAAAGTAAAGGGGTGTCCACAATCATGGCAGCGAGACTGCGAAAAACTGCGAGATTACCAGGAGTGGGCTAGCAGGATGCAAAACAATACAGAGCTAATTTTTTGGCGTGGCTTCATGATTGCAACTGTGCAGAGGCTTAAACCAGTGACAAGGCTTAATATGAAAAAAAAAGGACTTCGCGGCAATAAGGCATTTGTGACCAAGTAGGTGGACCCATTTGGCTCCAAGGCCAGTCCACGTGGATACAACCTAAGCATTCAGAGGAGCATCCTTGACTGACTTCCAATCTCCTTTTTTTTTCTGCGGGACTGCCCTACTACGCATTTAAAAAAAAAACCTTGAAGCTGCCGAATACATCCAATGTTTCCATCGACTACCCGCACGCATGGTCGGCTGAACGGACCCACCAAGATGGCTGGGATAATTTCTAATCTGATATATAGGTGTTTGAATTGGGTACCTTGGATGTTATATTAAAGTGAAACTAATACAGGTACTGAATCAGAAAGAAGGCATTATAAGACTATTTGGCGCTATATTTGCCGTATATACAAGAAATTATGAGATGTGGAAAGCCACCGCAGTTACACTCGCTGCCGTTTTTTTTAACATGAGATTGTCTGGCGTATGCGGAGTTGCTGGCGGATAGTAAGTTGCTACCAAATATGGGTAATGCAAACTCAGTTGGTACGACTATCAGCTATTCGCGGTCGACGGGAGAAAAGTTTTGCCCAATCAGTCCAAAACTACCGACCTTGCGTGGCACGCGTATCAACAAACTAGCAAGGAAAAGGACTAAGGTTTGCCACCAAAATCAATTCGTCGTGAAGCGAAGTAGCTTCATGATCTTTCCATGAAGCTCTTCGGGTTAGAATCGATCCAGATAAAAAAAAGGTCTCGATGAGAAATGCAATGCACGTGCATTGTTCTTCTCAACGCCAACGGTCTACGAACCTTTAAACTTTTTGGACTACAGATATTCCATTTCAAGGACACATCGGAAACTTGGGGGAACGTGGATGTCGGTGCGCTGAATGATTGGATACTTTTGTTTTCAAGTAATATAGCATATAAAGGGGTCCAAGTCTCGAGGAAGTAGATTTCTGTTCCTCATTGCAACCGTTGTATATCAATATGGCTGACGCTTCCAACTATAATGGACCCAATACTTTGGAGTCCTTGGACAACCGCTCCTTTTCTCGCCACCATTTGAAAGCTATTTTGGTCTCTGGTGTTGGTTTCTTGGCTGATCAATATGATTTGCAAAGTATCAACATTCTCACTACCATCATCGGCTACACCTACTTCGCTGGCAACAACAATGCTATTCCCACCACTCCTGGTTCTCTCTTGTCAGCCGCCGCTACTGTTGGTGCTATTGCTGGTCAAGTCATCTTCGGTATCTTGGCTGATAGATACGGAAGAAAGAAAATGTACGGTATTGAACTTATGATCATCATTATTGGTACCGTTGGTGCCTCCCTTTCCGCCAACACTGCTGGTGGTGTCTCTGTTGTTGCTATTCTTTGCTTCTGGCGTCTTTTCCAAGGTTTGGGTATCGGTGCCGATTACCCTATGTCTGCTACCATTGCTGCTGAGTTTGCCAACAAGCAACGCAGAGGTACTATGTTGGCTGCTGTTTTCTCTATGCAAGGTTTCGGTACCGTCGGTGCCTACATTGTTGCCATCATCTTCTTGTACATCTTCAAGGATACCATTGAAACCGACCCCGCTGCTCTCGATCACGTCTGGCGTATCGTTGTTGTAAGTATACTATGCAAACCAAAAAAAAAAACATTTTTATTCCCAAAATGAATGTACACTCAACGTTTTTACTTAACTCTTTCTAGGCCTTCGGTATCGTTCCCTGCTTGGCTGCCCTTTACTACCGTCTTACCATCCCTGAGTCCCCTCGTTACACCATGAAGGTCCTCAAGGATACTGAAGCTGCCGAGAGAGACATGAACACTTACTTCAACACCGAAGGTGTCAACAAGGTCATTGATGATAACGATGGCAAGTACATCTCCCACAAGGATGAACAAACCGCTAGCTGGGAAGAATTCAAGATCTACTTCTCCAAGCCCAAGAACGCCAAGCTTCTCTTCGGTACTTGTGCCAACTGGTTCCTTATTGATATCGCTGTCTATGGTCTTTCCTTGAACCAGTCTACTATCATTAGCAAGATCGGTTATGCTACTGGTAGCACCATGTTTGACAAGGTCTCCAACTTGATCATCGGTAACATCATTGTCGTCTTGGCTGGTAACTTGCCTGGTTACTGGCTCTCCATTGCCCTCATTGAAATTGTTGGTCGTCGTGGTCTCCAGCTCATTGGTTTCATCATGCTTACCATCATCTATGTCATCTTGTCTGCTGCTTACACCGCCATTCTTGCTCACTCCGTTGGTGCTTTCATCTTCTTGTATGCCTTGGGTTACCTCTTCATCAACATGGGTCCTAACACCACCACCTTCATCATCCCCGTTGAAATCTACCCCACCCGTGTCCGTGCCACTGCCCACGGTATCTCTGCTGCCTGCGGTAAGGTCGGTGCTGCCGTTGCTTCTTTCGGTTTCTCCTATGCCGTCAAGTCCAGCATTGGTGTCCAAGGTACTTTGGGAATCTTGGCCGGATGCATGTTCCTCGGTGCCGTCTGCACTTTCTTCTTCACTCCCGAAACTAAGGGTCTTACCTTGGCTGAAGATGAAGATGATGATGCTACCGTTGCTCCCGCTTCCCACCCCAACGTCAACGAAGTCGAGCGTATTGATGAGAAGGACGTTTAATTTCAATTTAATTAAGTACTGCAGCTAGCCTGTAAAATTAAATATATGCATTATTCATAAATAATTTTTCGAGCTTCCTCCCATATAAAAAGAAGCTCTCACCCCCCATTTAATGTTTTGCTTACTTGTAAGGAATATAAAATCACTTTATTAATTCTAAGACTTTTTTTTTTTTTTTGGGCTTCCATCTTTCTTGTGTATGTTGGATAATACGACTGATCAAAGACAATGGAGTTGTCGACTTCGCCGGCTGCTGCTGATCCGACGCCTTCAGGCAATTGGGTGAAGCCGCAATAGATCCCATTGGCTTCTTCATGCCAACCTTGTTTAAAGTTGGCTGATTACCGGGGTTTGATGGTATTGTCAGCCTAGACAATGGCCCTCATAACGTAAATTTGTAATAGTGGGATTGGAGAACTCCTTTGATCTACACTCTTCAATGACCGCTCATTATTTTGTTTGCGACTGAGTTTTGCACAGTGTGTTTTCAATGGTGGCCGCTTGGCTTTCATTTGAAGAAGCGACTGGCATCAGTATAAAACAAAACCGCCTCTGACTACTACGGATCACCAGAAATCTGGTTTGTCCTGAGAACTACCTTATAACTGAGGTTCCATACTATTAGAACAACACGTTCTGATCTGACGAATCTTCGTAACCATTCTAACCGCTAACGTGAGATTCCCTCGTTGTTTCTAGGTTGGTAGTATTGCAATGTATCAGATCAGCTCTCGGATTCTGTGACCACTCCCACGTGAGGTGCCATATTGTCTCTCAAGGGCTGAGGAAACGACGCATTCCTTAGTTTTGAAAAGCTGAAACGATTCGTTTCGCAATGTTAGACCATCATGTAGATTTAAAAAGCAAAAGATATAAAAGCCGTTCTACAGACTGTCAAACTGATCCTCATTATTATTATTTTTTTACCATCATTGACGTAATCAATATCCCCCTCAGCCCCTCCATCGAAGCAATGGCTATCCATTCCATTCCATTCCATACTTGCTCAATGTATATCCTTCCACCAATGTTCTTCGTATTCTATTAGCTTGCCTACTCCTTCCCGTGCACTACTTACCCACGCACACTCCGCCATGAATTTCTAAGGAATTCTGCGTTTCCCAGGGAGAACATTGTTCACCATCACTCTTTTGTTGAAGCTTTCTGGTGGCGTATGGTTTATCAGCTGTTTACGAATTGTAAATGGATAAAAGCTGTTGCACACATTTGATATGGAGTCGAATTGCAAGTCCAGGATGATTACTATCATTGCGAGGACGAGTACAAAGTGCTGCGGGCGGCGCCAAAGATAGGCAGGCAACAGATCGAATGCTTTGATCGCGAACGAGGCGCAAGTGAATGTGGCGGCGCCAAATCGACAGTTGGTTCGTCATCATCAGTCAGCAAAATGCGAAATAAAGCAGTTCAATGGGGGTTACGTTAGGGAAACGATCCCATACGGTTACAAGTTCGAAATCACACGACGCGACACGACATGACATGACATGACAGAAAGATTTGAAGGTTCGAATCAAAACACCGCCCACAACGTACGATGTTAGACCGTCATGGTCGTACGATTGCTGCAGAGGGGATACTAGACAACAGCATTGACGTTTTCTGCACTCGTAACTTTTCAATCATGCTTTGCCTTGCGCCCCCGCGGCGTCTCGCCATGTTGCCTCGGATGAAGTGTTCCATGCGCCGCCATATGTTGGACACAGGTTTGAAACTTTGTATTTACTACGATCGTCTAAAAAGATCATCATCGCCACATCCCAAGATTTGTGTACACCGCGCCCGCTCCACCTTTCTGTTTTTAGTGTTTAGTTTAAACGTTTCTTTTCTTGACATGCCGCTCGCTCATATTCTGAAACCTTTTTCCAACATGCTATAAACAATTGCCTCTCTTGGCCCACGGAATAGACCATTTCTGACTTGAAAAATTAGAGTTTGAGTGGAAAAGCGCATTGATCGAATTAATGAAGCGCTGTACAGGACATCGACCACTTGGACGGAGTATCGAAAATCATGCATTATTGGTTGTCTATCTATGCTAGCGTTATGACAAAACTAAATGAAAGTGATCATAAAACTTGGTGTAGCCATGGTTTCTGCCAAAGTTTCCCATAATAATGGTGTATACTGCCCCCATGGCGCGGTTACTGGAAATAGCCAAGGCCATGCCAGTTCCTTTAATGGATGTTACTTACTGGCAGGTAATTTGGGTTCGTCTAGATGTTGGATGATGCAAATATCGCTTTTGGAAACTGAAAGCGCAAACGACATGTGTCGATACTAGCGTCTGACCAGATAACTTACGCATTGAAATTGCTTTTGTTGATCGACGAGAAAGCCTCCATACTAACCATGACCAATGGTCATTGTTAATGAGTGGAACATGATTAGACCTTTGACTCATTCTTCATTGACGACCGAAAGGCACCCATTCCTCGGACATGCCAGTTTAAAATGGTATAATTGTGTTACCAGCGTTCATCATGCTGTGACACCATGATGGGTTATCGGTCCGTTCGCGCGCCTACAGTGCACTGGAAGGAAAAGGAACCCATGCAGAAACTCAAGTTGTGCATAGCAGGCACCATTGCATCATCTGTGGGACCGCGTGAAAGCAGGAGGATGAAGGGAGGGTTGGGGGGTGGCGTGTGCATTATGATGGGCTCGGCCGCTTTGACTCGGCGGGCAACCTTGGGGATGGCTCGTAGTTTGGTGTACAGAAAGCAACAGCAAAACAAATAGACGACTTTTAGTATTGCACATGTGGGGTATCAAGCCCTTTTCTTGTTGGATTTATTTACTCAAAAATCGTGTTTATCAGATCACATTTCTTTTTTTTTTCGAAATGGGGGGGGGGGCAGCAGTAGAAGACAAAGCAAAGGGAAAAAAATACAAAGTCAGAAATTCACATTGGTCTAATGAACATACATTTGAGGCATCATATCGTTAGGCTGTTGAGAGAAGAAAGAATTCCATTCAGAGGGCGAGACTTCGCCGTGAATCTTAGTACGTTTGCTGTCCTTGGACGGAGCAGGATTGATATTCTTCATATGTTTCTTGACATACCATGCCAGCTTCGTCTAAATTAAAAATAAAGAAAAAAAGTACCAACCGAACGAATACGGAAAAAGTCTCCCAGTTAGTGGTTGTGTATACGTGTGTGATCGAAAAATTCGATGTAACCAAGTATTACACTTACTCTATGTGCACGTTTAGGATTCAAAAACGATAGAGAACATTCGAAAATCTCTGGAATGAAGACACGTTCACCATCAATTTTACGGTTCTTACGATAAAGATATTCAATGCGATAGGTAAAGCGCCATTGATGATAAGTGTTGTCTGCCGCCGATAGGTCGGAGGCCAACATGGTCTTTTGACCGGTATGCTTTAAGGAAATAGAGCCTGCTTTCTCCAAGTAATCATAATGGTGGTCATCGCCGATAGTAATGAGTCTGAGACATGGTCGTTTAAGTCCGAACATGAGATTGTAGATATCAGGATGGGTGGTAGGTTCTGCTTCGTAAGGCTTAAAGCGAATAACATTGGTGAGGGTATTGTAAGAATCGAATGTCCATAGCGGGTTGCACATGCGGTGGCCTGAACTCGATGCAGCGCAGAAAGGTTTAATCAAATTAAAAATAACAATCAATCATAATAGAAAAAAAAGGCAAGATAGTGAGTTGGGGCGGTTCAAACAGTCCTGAATGAAATGGTGAATGCCAACCTTCTTGGTCAATCCACATCACCAAGTGTTGTTCACGAAAACTATGGGCAACCACCTGACCAGCAGTAGCGTTCCATACAGTGGATACGGGCATAATAGTGTATAGCTCTTCATTGGAGAGATATTCCAAGATATGCCTTAGAAGCTTATGCGGTAGTGTGCTTATTGGTGACATGGGCGAGCAGGTGGTGGACTGGGACTGGGACTGGGTGTATTCGGGGGGTTAGGAGAGGAGGGACTCAAAGGTAAACAGGAAAAGGGTAAGTAAAAAGAAGAGGGTCTCACAAAAAGTGGCGGACCGATATCTTCCCAGACCTGGCCTCCCTTCGTCCTTTGGGTGCGAACTCATGACTTGGGGGGGGGGGGGGGGGGGAGGAGGGACTCAAAGGTAAACAGGAAAAGGGTAAGTAAAAAGAAGAGGGTCTCACAAAAAGTGGCGGACCGATATCTTCCCAGACCTGGCCTCCCTTCGTCCTTTGGGTGCGAACTCATGACTTGGGGGGGGGGGAGGGGGGTCAGGTTAGCATCGCCATTTTGACGCGCGCAAGTTTTTCAAGCCTCATCTCCCTAAGATACATACAACAGACGCACACACCGCCAACATGTACACACTGTCTGTATTACTGGTCTCTGACCTCCTTAAACTTTCTTATGCCTTGCGTGTGCCCGCGCGATTGGAATTCATAGTACTCCTTGTCGAATTCGCATACATCCCTAATGAGTTTTTTGTTGGCTTCCTCCCTAATATAAAGTCTCTTGAGGAATAGGGTCACCTGTCAAATCATACAGTGACGATCCTGACCATATTGTTCAAAAGTCCCCTGCTCCATCCAACTTCTTTAAAGACACCAACTTGTCTCTCTTGCATCGTTTTCTTCTTTCGTTGATTTTTTTTTAAAGTTTACATATTTTATTGAACAATTAATCATCGGAAACAGGACAAAAGACATATATATAAGTCGCTTTCTCCAGCCCCATCCCAACATTGCATTCCATTACCAAACCAATCTATGACCACTATGCCCAACCTCGACGACGTCTTGGAATCTTCTCCTTCAGAGTCTACTACTTCCCCTACTGGCGAATGGAAACCTCCTCCGGTAAAACATCACACGATTTTGCCTATTGATTTGATTTTATTTTGGTTGCTTGCTGACACCTAACAATCAGGGACACATGGATTCATTTTATACCCGCCTGTTGAAACTTTCATTCCCAGACAGTATTTCTGCCATCGAATATTGTCGTGAACTAAGCTCGCAGTACGGCTTTACCGTTAAGCAGGAAGCATCCTCCAATAGGGTAAGTCTGCCTGACAGCTCTCTTTCCCCCCAAAAAAACACTCCCATTGACCTGGTTTTTTTTTTTTTCCCTTTGCAGAACATTTACGTTTACTGCTCTAGAGAAGGTGTACCTGACTCACAACGTAATCCAAAACCATCTCCTCAAAGAAAACGCCCTTCCAAGCGATGCGATTGCCGCTGGAGGATAGTACTGTTTGAAAACGATCAAGAACGTTGGGAATTTAGAAAGTCTGTAAATGCAGCATCATCTGAACATAACCACGAGATGATGCACCCTGACGATATGGTCAAGAGCTGGCCTAAAGAAGTCACCGATATGATTGTGGACCTGGCCAGAAAACGATGGGCAACTCACGAAATCCGCTCCTACGTTCAAAATGAATTTCAAAGCATTATTTGGAACGAAAGAAGATTTTACAATCGTCTTTCTGAAGAAAGGAAGAAAATCAAGCACAGAGAAACGGTAGACCGGGTTCAAAGACTAACTAACATCACCACAAGACTATGCACCGTAGCTGCTGCTAGTGACGAGTGGACAAATCACGCAGAGCAAGAATTGATCAAATTGTTCAATTCATGTTGTCAATTCGCTCATATCGTACCCGACTCTATTCCATCTCCTATTGAATCATCTCCCTTGACGGATGATGGCACCGATGGCTCTTTATCGCTTAGCCCAGCCTCTCAGACCATGGGCGATATGCGATCCCATACACCGCTGATGTCATCTTACAATGATTGCGAGGAAGCTCTCATGTCCCCCACCAAGAGAAGACGTGTTCTATCCATTGTGCCACCCAGCAGCAATGGTCACCACCACCACTCGTCACATCACAAAGAAGGCTCCAGAGGATCCCAAGCTGTGACCATTCCATCTTACACCATTCATGTCAAGTCTCAAGCTATCAGAACGTCCAGTACAGCAGATAATTCCATTCGAAGAACCCAGCACTCCAAATCTCCATCCAATGTTCTGTATACTCCTGAATCGCCTGCCAGTACTACGAGCATGCATCAAACACAACAACCCTTTGTGTCTCCCACCACACCTACTTCCATGCATTCTACAAGCTCTTCTGCAAGACCTGATGTACCAATGCATATGCAAGGACAATATAATTTGTATCAACAACCTTATGATAACAACTCTTTCCAACTCACAAGCCCCATGCCAGGATATATGCAATTCCAATCATACAGCACAATGCAACATCCCCCTGCAGGCAGTGGGAACTTTAACATGATGGATGATGGAATGATCATTCCTCAACGTACTCGATCATTGCCACCCCAACATCACCCATCCAATACTCCTGCAGGTAGAGAATCACAACAACAACAACAGCAACAGCATTTGGTAGATTATCGATCATTTCCGTTACATGGACATAGCGAGCACTTGCGATTGAAACATGAGCCAGATGTTGACCTGCACTCTGGTAACATGCAACCACATAACCCAGATATGCTTCCCGCTGTTGGCCAGACTGCTAGCCACTGGTGACAATTTAAGGCACCTGAAGAAAAACCCATGATAGAGCTGGTTCTCTTTGCTTGGCTTGCACGCGGGCAATCCTATCCAATGTGACAGAAAAAGGGGAGGGACCGTACTAGCCAAGCATCCAGAAGCCAAAAGAAAACAAAAACTCACTACAACGTACCAAGATCTGTGCAATCACCTTTAACCCGAATTTATGCAATTTGATATTCGCTGCTTGCCACCTACTTCTCTATTTTTCGTCTTACTCTCACGCACTCTTTTGTTATCTTTCTCTCTCACACAAAACTCCTCACTGTTTCTTTTAATACTTAATGACACTCTTATGGTCTATTCCCCAATTTTTTTTTTATTTCATTCTTCTAAAGTGTTCTTTTCACTTCTTCTTTTACATTATTGCACTTATTATTATTTCTGTGACATATTCTTCTTGCCTATAAAACTCTTTCCATGAAAGGCTCGGACCTTCTCATTGGCCAATATTTTTTTCATAAAAAAAAGGAACCAAATTTTCGCTTGCACAACGTTGTGTGGCCCGAACAGAAGTTATCATCACCACCTGATTATGTCATCTCAAGCGGAGACATTCCATCAAACGCATCCACTGGAAGAATCAGTTGTTCGAAAGTTTCTAGAAAAGAAACTGGGTGTCAAACCACTATCTGTTACCTCACCGCCAGAAATTTGGGCAGCATACCATAAAATTTATGTCGCCACATTTGAGCACTCTGGAGACTTATTTCTTCGCGTGTCCAAGCCAGCCATTCCCGAATGGAAGACAAGAAACGAAGTGGCATGCATAACCTGGGCTCGACAACATATTCCCGCCTGCCCTACACCTGAAGTTGTCGCTTGGAGCGCGACGACCGACGAGCTGGGATATGAATATGTGTTACTGCGCCGCATGCCAGGGCGTGATCTCGGAGCCATATACCTAGACTTGACGGAAGATGACATGACCAATGTCATTCGCCAGGTTGCTGACATGTGCATTGCCATGGCCAAGTTGCCATTTGACAAAATAGGCGGTCTGACCATCAGTGATACTGGCGTTATCGAGCCTGGGCCGGTTATCGAAGAGACGTCGTATGAGATGGATCATTTCCAACAGTTCTGGAAGGACGACCATCCTGATGTGCGGTTTGAACAATTGCAACTAGGAGGGCCATTTGAAAACATCACCGCTTATTTCATAGCTCGACTCCAGCGCGACTTGTTCGTTCTGGCTGCTCACAAACGATGTGCTCGTCTTCGCGAAACCTTAGATCCCCTTATTCGAGAATTGTTGAACTCCTTGTCCCACACCGAGGTTCAAAAGCATCTCGATAGCAAACCCCTTGTCATGGCTCATCAAGACTTGCATCTCGGCAACTTGCTGTGGGAGCACCATCTCACGGGAGTCTTAGACTGGGAATTTTCTGGTATCACGCCTATAGACCAGTGGATTCGACGTAATACATTTCAAGGGTTTTCTCAAGACATCAATGATCGGGCGGTCAAATGGAAACAACAGCTTGCGGAGGAAATCAAAGCAAAGGCCCCGGAAATCTCGGATATGCTACACATGGCTCCCATCAAAGATAAACTTCTTACACTGATCAGTCTTACCTACTGGATCGTTCATTGCACCGTTACAGATACACAAGCCGACGACCGCAAGGCGTGGCTGCAAAGATTTACCAACACATTGGCCGATTACAAAGCCATCGTTCAAGAGCTGAAATAGTTGTTTTAATGGAATGGCAAACAAGATTATTTAGTGTGAAGAGTTATATAGTAATTTTGAACATCGTGTAATGTAATGTTATGTTTTAACTGTAGTGTAGACTAAGAACGTTCGTGTAAGTGCACGTTGTGTACAGTAGCGAAAAAAAAAAAAATAGTTGCCAATACACCCCAAGCCATGCTGTCCTTTTGTTTTGTTTCGCTTCATTGGCCTGTAGCATTATCGGGCGGTGGTTGCTGACCGACAGCATCATATAGGACCATCTGCTTTGCACAACAGGATTGGAATGCACCTGCAACTTGCGGTTGCGAATAATCAGCAATGACACAGCCTCGAATCTGACCAACCACGTCACGAACAAGCTTTCCGTTGGACTGCGAGCAACAGGCATTCGTAGGTGTTTTGTCCGTCAGTGTGACGGGTTCGCCACAATTGACCATCGAACCAGGGTTCACTTGAGCCCAGGAGGGATGCACAGCGCCCATGACCAGGCACAGCAACAGAATGAGACAATGCTCCATTGAAGCCATAAGAAAGGAGAGAAAAGATAATTAAAAAAGACAAAAAGGTACTATACAACCCACCCTTGGCTTCTCTCAGTTGGGATGCGTGGAATGCGCTAAGGAGGATTGCATGCAAGGAGGGAGAACGTGCAACGTCTGTGGGGGACCTGACGAAACGTTTGGACTTTTGCAATGGCAACATGAAAAAGGAGCGCAGTAAAGGAGCCAAAGTCCCGATCATTGAACCTGCAGGATACTGTTTTTTACTCCCTGCTTGCCCTGATGCCACTTGCTTGTTTTCTCCTGAATAAAACAACCCACTCCCAATATCATTTAAAAAAAAAATGACGTTTCATGTTTGGTATAATAATAACTTGGTAAGTTTATAAAGAGCAATTATAAAGACATAAACCCATGTATGGTCAATAAGGAAGAATCGTTTCATTTAGGGTTGGCGCTAGTTTGGTTTAGTGGGATGATACATATACAAAGTGGTTTTGTGTTGGGTAAAAGGAGTAGAAAATATATCTATAAGATTTAGTCACCGGCGTTAGGCTTTTGGAATTCGATTGGAGTATTGGGTTTTTGCGCCGCAGCATCATGATGGAACGCAGTAGGGTTGGACATAGGAACGGGCAAAGGATGGGAAGTATTGTTGTTGGAAGTAGGGTTGGATGCGAATTCCCCAGAACTGTCGTTATGGAGACTGATGGAGGTTTTCTGTCCATTGTTCCAAGGGGCGTTTTGCTGATAATATGGGGGAGCACTATCATATGCATTGTTGGAAAAGTAAGCTCTGTGTGAATCCGTTCCTGGGAGCGGGTATACAGAGGTTTTCTGCGGCTCTCCCTTGCGCTTTCGGTTTCTCAACCAGGCGAATGCCGCCAACGCCGCTAGAATCAATACCAATGCTACACCTCCTACGCTCCCGCCTATGATGGCACTAGTGTTAGTCTTGCCACCACCGTTCCCGCCACCTCCGTTGGAGCCTTTACCACCGCCACTGCTAGATGTGTTGCCGTTTGAACCATTGGTATTATCTATCCCATCACCAGAATTTTGTGTGCTGGGTTGATCAGATCCTGGAGCAGGCGCTGGTAAAATTCCAGTGTTGGTATAATTTAAATTCTTTGGCGTATAGTTGGTTTGCCATGCCCATCCTGCTGTATCTAGGGCATATACTCCGTTGTCTAGACTGCTTGCGCCTGTCTGTCCATACATAATGAACATTTGCGTACCCACCATGATAGCTATACGAGGTAATGATTTAGATGAGTAGGTGCATAATTCAGGAGGATTCCAAGCAAAAAGAGTTAGAAAAGGTCGACTGTCTTACCTGTATGCGCTAATCTTCCTGATGGGGCTGTGCCTGTGGTGGTTGGAACGGTCCAAGCTAAGTTGGTTTGCTTCATGTCCAACACAGCGATGTCGGAGAGAAACTTTCCATTTCCACCATCGCCTCCGTGTACAATGACTTTGTCATCATAAGCTAAGGAGAAAAAGTGATGCAAATGTTTAGTTTTCTTTTTTTTACGTCCTATTGATATTTCAAAATCAATCAATCCATCTTTGCATCACTCACTGGAAACAACAGTATGTGCTAAACGAGGAACAGGGTTTGATCCAGATAACGTTGCATTCTGCCAATATAATTCAATTAGATGATTCGTCAAGGTTTTCTTCTTCATTTGAAGCAATTCATATATGATGTGACATACCATCGATGTATAAGTTCCTGAGTTGGTATCAAATACGAGGACTTCTGTTAAAGGAATGGAGTTTCCAGCACCGTCCGATCCACCTAGAATAACCATGCGACCATCGCTGAGCATAGCTACAGCATGGCTTTGGCGGCCTCCACCGGGGGCTGAACCGCCGACTTCGCTCCAGCTGTTACCATATTGCAATCTCCAGGTAGTATTGAAAAGCCAGCTAGAGCCAGAGACTTGTGGTTCTCCTCCAAAGATATAGCCATCGCCAGTAGCAAGGTGTGAAATGCCACTGGCTGAATCACGTGGTTCCGGCCACTGTCCTGTAGTTTGAGGATTGACTGTCCAGTTGTAGTGAGTGGTGTTGAACATGTACAAGGTTGAAATTTCTACTCGGCCAGAAGAGTTGGATATCTGGCCACCAAACATATAGAAGCCACTGTTATTGTATCCTCCGAAGAAATTGGCTTGGCCTTCAAGATTGAAAAGGTTAATATGAAATGAGAATCACAGTACATTGACCATGGAATAGTACCTAGTACGGCAGGTGAGCCAGGCATGGTGCCACTGTCAGCTTCATATGGTGGGTTAGATAGCTGAAAGGATTGGTCAATGGGCAAGACGATCATTTCGTTGGTGGCTGGTCCGGGGACGTTATTGAGGACAGATGTATAGCCACCCTGAACAAAGATTCTAAAAAACATCAATCAATATCGAGAGAAGACGTTTACCTTGATAGCAATGAAATCACTCTGTGTTGGGTACTTACTTGTTGCCAATCAACACACCCATGGCAGATGCTCTTCCTACCGCCGTATAAGCATGTGCTACGCAGGCAAACCCGCATATTGCTATCAACAATTGATTTGCTAATAACATAGATTGAGAAAATGTATGTTTTTAAAGAAAGAGAGAAAGAAAAGGGTAAAAGATATGTTAGTCCTAATGATTTATGTTACTAAATGGCTTTCTCACCACGCTTCCCATATGAAGACGAGCAGTAGTCATTCTATTGTCGATAAGGAAGGACGCCGATCTAGTATGGAAATCCTGGCTTACCGACCGAACTAAAGGATGTCATACTTGGTATCGTAGACAAATAAGAACAAGGAGCCTACTACCGTATCATGACACGACCATTACGCGCATCCCCAATTTGGATCTGTGTACTACCTTGGTATTGACCAACATCAGTCTCTGTTCTTCGAAGAAAGAAAAAAGGAGAGTCACGCAAAGAAAAGCTTTACATCGTGGTGGAGTATTCATCCCTAGCGTTGTTCTAAGAATATGCCATTCTGGCCTCATGAGAGAACTTGAACGAAGTCCCCATTGGATACCCCGGCTCTTGGGATGTGCACTATTCCCTAAACTGACAGTAACCGCTTAGGAGACGATGGTATGTTTGGTGCAGACTTCTGTAAACAGATATTTACCAGCCCGGCGTTACTTGCTGAAAATGATTGTTTGTTACAGCCTCCCAGATCAGTGTTGGTATGGATGTGCAAGCTTAGCAAAGTTCGGTAGCGTTTGACGAAACCAGGCTGACATTAATCAAAGCGCCTAACGATGAATGAGACCAAAAAGCGCTTTTCGTGAAATCCCGCTCATCACCTAATAATCAACATTGAGCCTACAAAGCCTTTATGGCGGGGGTTCAAGCGCGATATCTACGCTGCGGTATAAGTGCCTATTGCTCTGTCGATCAGTTAGATGGACTGCCATTGGTACATTGCACAACGCTAAACTAACCAATTGCCACATTTCCAGCCACAAGGTTACGACACCTCCAGCAAAAGCACTAGTAGCAGTCCAAGTTCGTCTCATATTTGCTGTGTGAAGAAACTTTGGGGACGGAGTGTGTTGTTTCGGATAGAGAGGTTGTGATTTACTTGACAGAATAAGGGATAATATCGAAGAGATTTGCGATGTTCTGGAATATTAGGGCTTTTTTCCTTCCACAAGAATCTGGAACTACAGTATAATTGTATTCTATTAGTATAAAAGGACTATGTATTATGAATATACCCTTACTGCTTCGCTCATTTCCTTCGAGCAATAGTGCGATGCTTCAAATTTCTCCATGACTCAGCCAAATTTGGGGCAACTCCGCTAAACGCTAATTTCTGCCCCGCAATCAGTTTTTATTCTGCTGACTACCGACTTTTTCTTCTTTGTTCACATACTCCCAACTCTAAACACCATGCAAACTTACACTGCTGAACAAGTTGCTGCTCACAACAACGACAAAGACTGCTGGATTATTGTTGATAACAAGGTCTTCGATGTCACAAAGTTCCTTGGCGAACACCCTGGTAAGACCCCCACGTAACGCGATTAAATAGACTCCACAGACATGGCTGACACTCAGTTGAAATAGGTGGTAAGAAAATTCTTTTGAAGGTCGCTGGAAAGGATGCTTCCAAGCAGTTTGCACAATTCCATAATGCCCAAATCATGGAAAACGTTGGTCTGCCACTGCAGATTGGCGTCATCGGAGGAGCTGCCCAGCAAGCCAAGCCAGAGAAGGCTAAGCCCGTTGCCGAAGCTGGTAACCGTGTTGGCGATATGATCCCCTACGGTGACCCCACTGACTGCCAGGACTGGAACAGGTGAGAATTGGAAGAAATGTGTGACAAAACGGACTTTGGATACTGATTGTATTGTAGCCCTTACTACAACGAGAGCCACTACAAGCTTCGCAGAGAGCTGCGAGCTTTCGTCGAGAAGGAGTTGATGCCTAACTGCCACATGTGGAGCGAGAACAAGGAGATTCCTCGCGAGGTCATTAAGAAATGCGCTGAATTCGGAATCTTGGGTGCCGCCTGTGGTCATGTTCCCGAGGAATATTTGCCATACGGCTTGCCTGCTGGAATCAACCCCAAGGACTGGGATGCTTTCCATGAAATGATTGTCATTGACGAAATTGCTCGCTGCGGATCAGGAGGTTTGCTTTGGGGTTTGCAAGGAGTAAGTTACGAAGTCAAAATAAGACGCAGGCGATTTTGAATTGATCCTCGGCTAAGTTAACTGACTGTCTTATTTTTTTATCATTGACAGGGTTTGTCCATCGGTTTGCCTCCTGTTCTTTTGTTTGGATCAAAGTACCTTCAGGATAAGGTCGCTAGAGATTGCTTGGCCGGTGATAAGCGCATCTGCTTGGGTATCACTGAACCTCATGCCGGATCAGACGTTGCTGGTCTCAAGACAGAAGCTAAGGATATGGGTGATCACTATCTTGTCAACGGTGAGAAGAAGTGGATTACCCAAGGTTATGAAGCCGATTATTTCACTGTTGCCTGCCGTACCGGAGGTAATGGTATGGCTGGTGTGTCTCTCCTCCTTATTGAGAGATCCATGCCTGGTGTGACCACTCGCAAGATGGATGTTATGGGTATGTTCGGAAGTGGAACTTCTTACATTACCTTTGAAGATGTCAAGGTGCCCAAGAGCAACCTTATTGGCAAGGAGAACGACGGTTTCAAGTATATTATGTACAACTTCAACCACGAGCGATTGGGTATCATCATGCAAGCCACTCGTTTGGCTCGCGTCTGCACTGAGGAAGCCTTCAAGGTATCTATCGGCTTTCCTCAAGTTATTTTTTGAGACTGAAAGACTAGTCGTTAACGATTTGCATTTTCTTCATCTTTAGTATGCCAATAAGCGCATGGTCTTTGGAAAGAAGTTGATCGACCAGCCCGTTATTAGAAACAAGCTCGGACACATGGTTCGTCAGGTAGAAGCCACCCACGCTTGGTTAGAAAGCACCTTGTACCAAATCAACACTATGCCTGCTCAAGTTCAGCCTATTCGTCTTGGTGGACCTATTGCTCTACTCAAGGCTCAATCCACCCAGACCTTTGAGTTCTGTGCTCGTGAAGCTGCTCAAATTTTCGGTGGTCTCTCCTATACCCGTGGAGGACAGGGTGAAAAGATTGAACGTTTGTACCGTGAAGTGAGAGCCTATGCTATTCCCGGCGGTAGTGAAGAAATTATGCTTGATCTCGGTGTTAGACAAGCTCAGAAGGTAGCAGCTCTGAACAACGCTAAGTTGTAAACGGCGTAGTCAATGCTCCAACTCCATCATGTACATTAGCCATCCAATAAATCATATGTGGTAAAATAATATATTTATTTCGTTCATCTGCACACTATACTAAAAGGCAGGAAATAGATCTTATGATGTTTACAGAGTAATATATTCATATATGCGCTCTCTTATATGAGGCTCGACATTGTAAGTCTATACCGTTTAATTTACTCGCTTCTTGAAGGAAACGCTACCCATGGGCATACCAGTGAAGTACGTTGGTATAGTGATTTCCGAGTCAGCAGTCATCTCATAGTTATGCAGAATGTTGGATATGGTGATCTTCATGCTGTTAACAGCCATAAAGCGACCTGGGCAAGCATGCCTAGCGAAAGAATCGATAGTTAGTGTCTTGAGGTTTTCCAAAATTCTAGGAGTTATTCTTGCTTGAAAATGTCACTTACTTGCCAAGTCCAAAGAAAAGATTATCGTTTCCAATTCGGACAGCTTGCTTGGCCGATTCTACATATCGCCAAGGCTGGAATTCCTCAACACTCTCACCTTGGAGTTCAACATTTCTACCAATATCCCACATGTTAACGTAGACGTTTTGGCCAGGTGGAATAACATAACCGTTACTAAGCGTAATATCGTGGTTGGAAACGTTCTTGTGTTGCAATTGAAGATCAGTGCTTCTCATTCGGAAAACTTCACGGATGAAGCTATCCAATTTTGTCAACTTCCTGAGTACATCATAGGTAAATTTGATTTCCTGGTCCTTGGTACCTTCCTCTTCAAGAGCCGCTCGCTGTTCTGCCAGGAGCTCATCCATGTATTGAGGATGCTTCATCAAATAGTAAAGCGCATGAGTGGTATTCTCAGTGGTGGTGTGGATGGAGACAAAGACTAGGATAAACATCCAGTTGATGATAAAGTCTGTATATGACGCACCCCAATTCTGGTTTGGATCATGTTGCTCAATGATGATTTGAAGCATATCGTGCTAATGGTTATGTGTTTTAGTAATCACGATCAGAATACTGCAGCATAGAAACGAACGTTAAACATACCGAACGCTTGTAATTGGGGTCGTTCAAATGGCGAACACGCTCTTCAATGACGGGTGTCAAGATTTCCTTTGCATTCTTTCTGTGCTTTTGAACGGTAGCAGTTCGCGGGAAAATATTTCTGAAGCAAAGTAGAATCATGAATAAACTATGTCCTTTAAAGGTTGTGTAGTTCCAGCTACTCAACTCACCTTTGATAAAAAAGATCGAAGCTGGGGAACGTATCCATAAGCCATGTCTTTTTCAGATTCGATCCGATATCGAAGGTCACATTGCCAAAACAACTAACGATAGTGTCGTTTTTACACAGTTCCTATTGCATGCGATGTATCAGCAGAGCATCTTTCTATAGTTGCATTACATAACGGTTCGTACTTACCTCTCCAGCGAACACACTAGTACTTGAACGGGCAACAATGTCTTGGACGAATGGGAATAGATGAGGGATGACCTTGGGTTCCGCTGATGATGCACGAGTCAGCATAACGTTATGATAGTATTCTAAGCCTCCAGCACACTTTCTAACAACACATACCTTCGGCGGGTCCAACCAACTTGTCCAGCATAAACATAACCTATTGGTAACATATAAGAAAGGGTTCGAAAATACCCCTGCAGTGTAGGGTAAAAGCATTACCTGTTCATTGGCACGCTTGTTGAAGACGTTCAAGTTAGGAGTAAGATGACGGGTAATGATAGAAGTTAATCGCTCATATTTTTTAGTGTCGTGAATACCGATCATGCCAGCAGCATCAAACTTGTCAGCGACTGCTTCCTTAAAGCTAAATTCGTCATTGAGAAATACTTCACGGGCGCGCTCCTTGCCAACCACAGTGATGGTCTATTATTGCCCAAAAAAGTACCATTGTCAGTTTCATCGAAGACTGGCGATGAATGCGCAGTCCCAAAGTGAACTTACCATGCCAAAAAGTTTAGTTCTGAAAGTATCGCCATACTTCTTGGAAGCAAGCTCCAACCACCCACGAAGATCCTTATCAATGTTCACATCTGTACAAAATTTATGTTAACATACATATAAGTAATGCGGCTGTGTGTAACCTTCCATACCATCGATTGTCTTCTCTGATACAAAAGGTGGATAGTTCTTTGAAGTGAGAAAAAGATGGATAAGGTATTAGCACAATAACGGTCCTATACCACGAGCTGTGAGGATGGCCGTACCTTTTTAGACGTCTTGGAAAGATATGAGGTCAAAACAACCACCGTCGCCAAGCCGATGGCTCCGACGTATTTGTCTTGTCTGGACAAGCTGTTGAAGCGCTCCAGGGTGTCGTTAATAATGGGCTGTACTTTGTCCATAATATCAAAGAGAAAGTTATAAAGAAGCGAAAAGGATGTACTCCAACAACAAAATCTTGCTAGACATATTTATTATTTGCTCACTCGGATGAGGTAAACTCCGGCGCACACATATGTGGTGCTTCCCTACGAAGCCATGTCCCTCAGCCCCACTCATCTTACGTGGCAGACGACACAGATATAGTGCAGATTACCCTATAAATCTTTGAAATAAGGATAGAGAGCATTTTGGTGATATTTCCTATACAGCAGACTGAGTAAGGACCGTCTGTCCGAGCCTCCCTGCTGGCGATCATCAAAGTTACAGCCTAACACCGGAGTTGCATTATCCGAAATGACGATGATAATTCTGTCCTAGAAATTCTGAATATTCCCTGAGACACTTCACAAAGCGTGGAACAAAGACCAGTTTCATCACACACAAGGTTGATAAATCATCATCTACCTCTTCAAGAATACAGTTATAAATTCTACATGCAGTGCAACTGGTATTTGCATAGGTCACGAGGGGGGCTTAAAACACCGCAATTGAAGAGCTGGAGCAGGCACAGCACCAATAAATCATTTTATCGCTCTCCAGATCAAATAATGTGATCATAATCATGGTCATGTCATTGACACAACACTTCCTTTATCCCTATATATTTGCGATCTACTAAATTTACACCTGTATCAAACATGTCAATGGGAATGTGTTTCGATGGTGTCTTGCAATGGTGAACTTCATTTAGCCGGAGTCAGAAGTCCCGGTGTGAACGGCAGTTAGCACAGCTTTCATCTCTTGTTACTCCGGCCTTTTATACTGAAAGGATGACGCCGGAGTTTGGATTTCATAATTCACTTGCCACGGTCAGAATGTAGCATCTACCTTACTAACCAGGAAGCGAAGGGCAAGTTCGTTCGTGTGAACTGCTCACACACCAGAAGTATTTTAGACTTAACATCGTCTATCAAGTGATGTATTGGTTCATCACGAATTCTATCTTGATGCAGTGATGATAGGCAACTTGTACCGATCTTTTCTAATATTACATTCAGTCAAGTTCACGTTCACAACGATAGCATTCCACCTACTCGACTTTAGTTAATGAAATTGCATTCCGCTTTCCAGATAAAGGCATTTGTTATCAGGTGGGGAACTTGTCTTACTGTAGTATCGTTGATAAGGTCCGAGAAACCTGCGAACGATTGGTTGACATTCTACCTGCTTAGTGATCAACGGCGTTTTGAGAGTGCGAAAGGTATTAAATCTTGTACCACCATAAATTTCAATCAACCATGAATTTGAAATGTTTATGGATAGGAGGCCAAGAAAGGGGTATTCAGTCGAAGGGATTAAACGGTGCTGTTTAGTCTGGCGATTCGCAAGGCTTGATTATGGAATAATAGCTTTTTCTTATAGTACGTATCTCAGAATTGGTGGTTCAACACGGCTATCTTGGAATTGTCATATATGGTAATTGAAAATTATATCGTGAAGCGTTTGGTTACGTTCCCAATCGACAAGGCCGTATCCCACGCCTCTTGTTATGCATCGTTAGTATTTAATGCACCTCTCTGTCAATTGCAGAATTATCCTTTGGACGGCCAAGAAAACCCTTCAAACATGAAATTCCTGTCCTTAGCTGTCATCAGCACTCTTGCCCTGGCTGTCTCTGCAGCACCTGCTAAAACAAACACAAAAGCCAAAGTTGCCATTCTGGGAGGTGGTGTCTCTGGTATTAGTGCTGCAAAGAACTTAGTTGCTGCTGGTATCACCGACTTTGTTATCGTTGAAGCCAGAGACGAGCTTGGCGGTAGAGCTCATGACATTGCATTTGCTGGTAAGCGCGTAGAAAAGGGCTGTAATTGGGTAAGTTTTTTTTTCTAGCATACAATGTGATATGTAAGTCATTCATCTAAATTATAATGTCATTGCATGTGTCGAAAGGTTCAAGGTTTGGGCACCAATCCCATCAATGAAATGGCCATCAAATGGGGACTTAAAACCGTCAGCGATAACAGTGACAATGTTGTTTTCTATGATAACAAGGGTCCCATCAATGCCACTGATACATACAATGCCTTTTGGGATGCGTATGACGCTGCCAACAATATTGCCAGTAAGTCGGTAGAAATAACTTTGCGGATACCATGAGATCTGCCTGCTAAGATCCCCTCATTTGTTTTTGCTAGTCAAAAGGAACAAGACCGATCAAGTCGATATATCAGTAAGAGCGGCTCTCGACCTCTCTGGGTGGATGCCTCAGACATATGTCGAACAAGCTATCGAATTTTGTAAGTAAAAAGGGCTTTAGATGTTGGGCTTGGTGGACCCAATCAATCTTACATAGATTTCCGCTTTTGCAGACGGTTTTGATTGGGAATTTGCAGAAACCCCAGACGTGTCATCCAACTTCTATGCATACGTCAACGCTGACTCTTATGATGGCAACTTTGGATCTGACTCTGACGGAAACAACTTCGTCATTGATCAAAGAGGTTTCAAATACATTTTCCTTCAAGAAGCCAACCAGTTCTTGAAGCCCAACGACCCTCGCTTGCTGTTGAATACCACTGTCAAGAACATCAAGTATAGCGACTCTGGTGTTGTAATAACAGCCAAGGACGGAAGCACTATTCAAGCCGAATATGCCATCTCTACCTTCAGGTACGTCAAGTAACTTACTGGTTATGAATGAGAGAATCTCCACTAACACTCTATCCTAGTCTTGGTGTTCTTCAACACAACGATGTGACATGGACACCCAAACTTCCTGAATGGAAGCTTGTTGGTTTGGATGGATTCCACATGGCCACATATTTAAAGCTCTTCTTGGCATGGGAAAAGCCTTTCTGGGATTTGAACACTGAGTATGTGGTGTATGCTGATCCTACTACCAGAGGATATTACAAGTAAGTTGAAAATGCCATCGTAAAGAGAAAAAAAGTTGAGCGGACAAGATTATTTATATTCTTTTCAGCTCTTGGCAAAACCTGAATGGCCCTGGATTCTTCCCCCAAAATACTACTTCCAACATTTTCTTTGTCACGCTCACTCAAGATCAAGCTTATCGCGTGGAGGCTATGGCAGATGCAGATATTAAGGAAGAGGTTATGGAAGTTATCAGAAGCATGTATGGCAAGGATATTCCTGATCCATCCGACATGTATGTCCCCAGATGGCACTCTGATCCTCTGTACAGAGGAACATACAGGTAAATATAATTGCAGGATTTGCCTTACCGCAGAGATCGCTGTACCTAACATGATTCTGTAAACATAGTAACTGGCCCATTGGTGAGTTGGAGCAACACCACATCAACATGAAGGCACCCGTTCAGAGAGTATGGTTTACAGGTGAAGCCATGTCTCGTGATTACTTCGGTTTCCTTCAGGTGAGTTTTCAAATATGGATTAACGAAGGCGTGTAACAAAGCTAATTGAGTTTCTTGTCAAAAGGGTGCATGGATCGATGGTGGCGAAGTTGGTACCAAGGTAGCTCAGTGCGTCAAATCCTCATGCCCTAAGCAGCCCTACTACCCTACTATCAAGCTCGCGAACGAGACACCAAGTTTTGTCAAGCGCCAAGAATGGCTTTAGTACACACATTCATATAATTTATTGAGCTAGCAAAACATATGATAATCAAAAACGGCCAACGGCTTGGAACAATAAATACAAAATTATCATCACAGTAATGGAAGAAGCATATATTGTCGCTATGAATTTGCTTTATGTCTTTCACCTTTCTAGACCGAAAAATGCAAAGTGATTATTGCAAAATCTTTGTGCAGTATATGGCGGAGATATAGCTTCTACTTACGAACATGAAACCATTGGTAAGCGAACACGCTGATATTGGTACTCTAACACACTTCTTTATTAGATTTGCCACACTAACATTCATTCATTTCAATTGACGAAACATCGTACTAGTTTAAATTAAATCCACTCTTGACGTTTGACGAATTTGGGCTTTTCATCCGTCAACAAAATCTCTGGGTAATATGGCTGCTTTGGACATTTGTTTTTGATGCACTTTGCAACCTTTGTTCCAACCTCACCACCATCAATCCAGGCACCCTATTTAACAAAAGCATGAGCTAAACTAGTTGACAAATCTAGCGAGCAAATCAAAATGAATAGGTTCTTACCTGCAGGTAACCATAGTATTCGCGAGACATGGCTTCACCAGTGAACCAGACGCGACCTACAGGGGCTTTCATGTTGAGATGGTGCTCTTCCAGTTCGCCAATGGGCCAGTTACTATACCAAAACAAGTCAGCATTGAAGATCACGTAAAGGTGCCATTACGAAGTTTCTTTCTGAACAGCTTACCTATAAGTTCCACGATACAATGGATCCGAGTGCCAGCGCGGAACATACATGTGAGTGGGCTCTTTAATATGGCTTCCATACATGCTGCGGACAACCTCTGTAACTTCCTTCTTGATGTCATTGTCACTCATTGCTTCCAAACGGTATGCTTGGTCTTGGGTGACGGTGACGAAGAAGATGTTTGTGGTGTCATTCTTGGGAGTGAAAGCGTTGAAGTTTTGCCAAGTACTGTAAAGCGGTAGGTTAGCTTTTGAGAAACAGGATTGCAACATGTCATATCGGACACTTGCTTGTAGTAACCTCGGTTGGCGGGGTCAGCATAGACGGTGTATTGGTTGTTATCCCAGAATTGATCTTCCCATGCAAGGAATAGCTTCAGATAGGTGGCCATATGGAAACCAAATAAACCAACACGCTTCCATTCAGGAAGCTTGGGTGACCATGTAACGTCATTGTGTTGAAGAACACCAAGTCTACACGTCGTTCGAAAAGTTAACTCGATTGTTCAACAGGCAGAAGGCAGCATATAAGTTGCTTACGAGAAAGTAGAAATGGCATAGTCAGCCTCAATTTTATGGCCATCCTTTGCAGTGATAGTGACTCCGTTGTCACTATATTTGATGTTCTTCACAGTAGTGTTCAAGATCAAGCGAGGATCGTGTTTTTTCAAGAACTGGTTAGCTTCCTGAATAAAAATGTATTTGAACCCTCTTTGATCAATCACAAACTGATCGTCATCAGAATTGGGTCCGAAACTACCGTCATAGGAAGCATCTCCAACTTGAGCATAGTTGCAAGAGGTAACATCAGGGTTCTCTGCAAATTCCCAGTCGAAAGCGTCTGTTGCAAAATGAGTCAGTGATACATTGCGCCATACTACTCCACTTTGGCCAAGACAACTTACAGTATTCAGCTGCTTGCTTGAGAGGAGTGTCAGGGTTCCAGCCCACGATATTCAAACAGGCACGAGAAGAGATATCAGCTTCATCCACACGCTTGACTGTCAAAATGAGATGTTGGAGTTTGTTTGAGTCAAGGTAGTTTGAAGTTTGTTTTCATACGAAATCATTAACATACGGGCAAAATCATAGGTTTTATCCAATGCATCGTTAAAATCGTTGTATGTTTTGGTTCCATTCACTTTTCCATGGTTGTCGTAGAAGACTACGTCTGTTCCATCATTGACAGCGACCTGCAATCCCCATTTCTTGGAAAGCTGGTTGACAGGGTTGGTACCGAGACCTTGTACCTGTTAAACCACGATTAAAAATGTCAGCGATTGTAAGGGTTACCAAATAGTTTTTTGTATCACATAAAATAAATCATTGATAGATACCCAGTTACAACCCTTTTCAACACGAATACCCGCAAATTCAATATCGTGAGCTCTTCCACCAAGTTCATCTCTAGCCTCAACAATCACAAAGTCTGTGATTCCATTGGCTACCAAGTTTTTTGCGGCGCTAATTCCGGCAACACCACCACCAAGAATGGCAACTTTTGCTTTGGTGGTCTTGGATTGGGCCGGGGCAGCACTTGCTGAAAGGATCAGCACGCTTATGGCAGTCAATGATAGAAGCTTCATTGGATTGGATGAATGGTGAAAATAGACGGAGATGGCGGATACCTTTATATACTCAAGAAATAATGCATGGACAACGTGTAACTATGAATATGCATCGGCAGTAGATAAACCGGAAGCGTCGTACACGATTTGGGCTCGCATCCAAGATCGCTGGGCATACTCACCGGCATATTATCTTCGACACAGCACGGGCGCATTGAATCATTAAAGAAGAAAATGCATGTAATCATATATGTAAACAACGACTCTAGCTGATGCCTTTCATCTTTATCCACGCATGCACATTGGTAATGGCCAATTTTTAAAAGTTGTCAGATAGCAACTCGAAATTCTATCATCCTCCCAGGGACAAATTGGCTGAGTTTCACATCTCACACATCAGTCAGCACGCAGCTAAGCAGCCAATCAGTTGTCAGATATCGCTTACTTTTGAAGCCCTTTGGTCCAAAATAAAGAGTGCCTTATTAACATATAGGCTACATTACGATAAGACCATTAAGGTGATTGTTGTCTGGCTGTCCGAACCTCCCTTGAATGAGATACTGTGCGCTCCTGCTTTCGGCGTAATATTAATTATCTCACGTTTCCCCATTCATCTTCGCTACGAGCGGGACGACTTGCCATAAAGACTCTTTGCTCACGCAAACTACCCTTAGCGACTTATTCGCTGTTCTTTCAACACTTATGAGTTTAATAGTATGTCCACCAATAATGGCCATCCTGAAGTTAGACGCATCATTCTATAGAGCAAGTCGTTATGCGTAAAGCTGTGACCTTTCAAGTAGATAAAATTACAGCCGCTCACTCCAAGCAATCCTCAATTGAAAGAGCTTCATGATTTATTGGCTGTATGATTCTCAATGTTTGAAGTGTGGCCAAGCACGATCAATGTCGGAGTTCTCCAATTGGAGGGTTTAATGTCAAAGTATTTCATGTCATGACCTTGAAAAATCTTCAGACCAAAATTTAACCCATACAGGGTAGGATGATTCCTGGTCTGTCTCTTAATGTCTGACCATGTCATGTATGTACACAAATTGAAAGAACACATGCGAAGTCCTCAGCTACACAAACGATTTTTTCAGGGTCACGGTATGTTGCTTTTATTCTTCTGCCGTCTCTTTGACGTAGAGTAGTTTTTGACCCATATGGCCAGTCGAATTAAGCATATTGTTTTCAGTAGTCACGCTGCCATCATGGAAGTGTCTAGCAAGCGGGGATACAGCTGAGTATCATTCCTTACACGCCTCGGCAACGATAATTCACAAGGTTTGATTGCATACTCCATGGTCTTCCGCACAGAAATAAATAGAGCCAAGAACTTTAACCACCGTACATAAAATATTTCGATACCTGTACCAGAGTCACTGTAAAAAAATCCAAATCAAAGGTATACGATCGTAAGCGGACCGTAAATGGAAAGTGACAAATTTGGTTTCATTGTCCTTGGGGGACAGTGTGACTGTACTTCTTACAACTTCAAAGGAGTCGTAGCAAGCATAAGGTAAGTTAGCGATACGCGGAAAATTGGCAGATGTACGCAAAGACAATATTGGAATGAGTCCGAGTATTCGTGATTTCCTCTGAAGTATGGGGTTTACAAAGAGGTGTGGAGTCGTCTTTCTAAAATTTTAGTGTACTCGGGATAATGTGTGTTCAAACCCCCCTTTTTACAAGTTTCGGCCGGTTGATCAAATGGTTTGGTTTAAATAGCAGGCAACCACAACCATCTTGTCGTTTTTAAAAAGATAACTGTCATTATGAGCACAGCATTTGAAAGCCTTCCTATTATCGACTTGGCACCATTGCAAGACCCCCAAGTATCTCCAGAAACCCTCAAGAAATTGGCCGCTACTGTGAGGCATACTTTTGAGACGGTGGGATTCGCATATTTGGTGAACCATAATGTAAATCTGAATCACGAAGAACTTTTTGATACTGCTCGAGAATTCTTTGCGTTGCCTCATGAAGAAAAACTTCACCTGGCCAAGAAGACATTTGTTTCTTCCAACAACAACACTTACCGCGGCTACTTTCCTGTTCAAAAGAACGACACATCTTACAAAGAAGGTATGCTATTTTAGGTTTTTGCACTTTACATGTCAGGAAAAGTGTTAACCATGTCCTGTTTATTAGGTTTTGAAGTTGGGTCTTCTGAATCCGGTGATTCACTTGGTGAAGCTTTTGGCAAATTCAACCTACAGGAACACAATGTGTGGCCTGAACATCAACCTGAATTTCAAAAGAAGACAGAAGAGTACTTTGACGGGTGCACAAGATTAGGGAACCAGCTGATGAGCATGGTGGCCATCTCGTTTGGACTGGAAGAAGATTATTTTGAACCATTATTTAATCCTACGGCTTCAACTCTACGCTATCTACACTATCCTGCTCGCAGTGTCAAGGCAGAAGACAGTGCTACAAATGATGACGATGATGCATTACTCTCTTGCAGTAAGCACACCGACTCCGGTATCGTAACTTTGTTGTGCCAAGACACAGTGGGCGGATTGGAAGTACAAAACTCGTTAGGAAAATGGATCCCTGCTCCTTATGTGCCTGAATCATTTGTTGTCAACCTCGGTGATCTGATGACCCGCTGGACAAACGGAAAGTTTGTAGCAACAATGCATCGAGTAAGAGCTACCAACCAGGACCGCCTCAGTATACCCTTCTTCTTTGAGCCTCGTTTGGATTGTCTCATCACTCCTCTTCAGCCTTGCCTGGAAAATGGTGTTTCATACTACAGCCCGGTTCGCTATGGTGAACACGTCCTTGGTAAAATGGCCACTTGGGTCGAGTACCAAGACGATCGGGAGACCGAAACGAACCACACGCAAATAACTGCCTATCCTATTTCTGTCGCATAACGGATTTTTATTCTCCTAGTGTTTATTCCTTACCAACAAATTTGTTTTGATCTTCAATGAAACATTTGTCAGTCAAATGAAATAAAAGACATATTTATCCCCCAGGATTTGACGACCAAGCATTTCTCAAAATCCTAGTCTCCGGTTTCACTTTGAGCCTTAAAACCAGCCGCCCGCCAAAGTTGTATAAAGTCCACGCCTTTCTTTTCATCGCATGACAAAAGCATTCTGTTAAAGATGTATGCCAAGTTATTTTTTTGGATCGCTCTTCTAATCATAGGATCATGCCTTGCGGCTCCACCTTACCTTGGCGAGCCTCCTATACCATACCGTGGAGAACTAAAGAAGCGAACAGACGATAGTGTCTCTGCTACTGAGAATGATAATAGTGCACGCAACGCTGTGCATGAAGAGTACCCGCGACGCCTTTTTTTGGGCGTATATTCAGAAAAAAACTACAAGGGCCAGAAGCAGGAATGGACCAATGCAAATGGAGGTATGTGGTTTGGGTCGGTGAAGAGCAAACGGTGGACGCAAACTGGACAACTAAACATACGCCTGTGAAAGCAAGGTCTCCATGCTGGAACATTGACGTAAAAGAATTCTATTCCTTTGACGTTAACTCCCATGGTGTCAATATTCATTTCTATGCCGAAGCTAAGTGCGAAGGCGCAGTCTATACCTTCACCTCCTCGCAGCAAGACATTAAAGATGCCAAGATTCGAGAGTCCAAGGCGGTGAGGGTGACCAAGTCCAATTGAACGCACGCACATAATAGTTTCCAATAATGTTTAGCATGGCTGAATAGTCCTCAGGCTCATTCGTTACCTCGTTTATTATACAAAATGCAGTGGTGATGTTACAATGGAATAATTTACATGACCTCACAGTGGTGGATGAAGGTGGTAGTGAAATGTTCTCTAGGTTTTCTACATGGGTGGGGCAGCTTTGGCAACATAGTTGACCCATCGCACAACAACCTCCCTGAGAACAAGCCACATGTCTTTATCAGACATGCCTTTGCTTCTAGCGACTTTAAACCATTCGCGATGCATCCCACCGCAGCCACCACAGACTTCTGCATCGGCCCGGTACCTGTCGGATAGTTCAATGTGAACTAGCCGTTCAACACGATGAGAGAACCGAACCTGCTCTTCATCTTCTGTGCGCGGGAAACACTCGACCAATTTCGGCACGTATTCACATTTTGAAACCCATTGATACATCCGTCTGTGGAGATTTTTGGTTCGTCCTATTTTGAACAGGGCGTGGGTGGCAGTCGACGACGACGTGAGCATGTAGGTATAGATATAACCTGGGCTATCGGATTGAGATAATGGTTTGCTCAACTCCTGATACAGCAGTTTCTTGGTGTTGACCGAAAGGTGATCGGGAATATACCGAGCTAATTAGTCGTGATATGTCAAGGATGAGTGGGCTGATATTAAATTGACGCGAAAAACCATCATCGTCTATCCAGTCAACGACTTACCAAAATCTTTAAGCAGAATGTTGGGTAGTGCTGGTAAGGGCTGAACGAGCGCGTGAGCTTGAAGCGGGATCTTGCGATGTTGGAAACAAAATGTCTCTATTTCGCCTTTGAATGTTCGCGAACATTGCCTGCCATTATGGCGATTAATGGCCTGACATTGTCGTAATATGGGGACTTTTTCAGTGACGGGAGTAGATGGTGTTATGGGAAGCGCGGCAGGTGATATGACAGCGCGAGATGCAGGCTGTAGTGGCTGTAGCGGTTGCCGTCGAACCTGAGGCAGGTGGTGTTTATGATCGTTTATGACATGTTTCGTTGCCACTGCTGCCGCATCCTGGTACTTCGCAGACGACGCAGGGTGGAATAAGCGCTTGAACTGAGTAATCAGTTGGCGCATGGAACCATCGTCTTCTGCTCGCTGGCTGGTGGGCTTGTTATTGGATTTCCCAGTCACTAGACTGCGTTTCGGTTTTTCATCCTCCCACCGTTCCTTTAAAAATATATTCCCCACTTTCGCCTGCCTCTGATGATTATAACAAAACACTTGCCCGTGTTCGTTAAAGAATCCGTTGGCTACAGACTGCTTGCAAGGATTACCACTAACTGTAATCCCATTGCATGTAGACCCACTCACTACCGATACAGGCTCGGGGGAATGGCTAGGCAAGGCTTTCAACATCGGACAAAACGGCGAACAGTATAGACAGGAAAAGTTGGAAGAGGAGAAAGGTTGTAAGAGAGGAAGAACAGTTTCGGGATCGAGGGGAGAGAGAATCGATATATTATAAATAGGTTCCGATGCACAGAGCACAACAACAACAACAACAACAACAATTTGTCTGCGCCCAACATGGTCAGTTTACGTTCATCATATTTTTAAGTTACCCAAGTTAAGTTTGCAACCAGGGCATCCTTCACTCATGTCATGTCATGCCATGTCATGTATTAAAATGAAATAAATTATGAATGATGAAGTTTATGCTTCTTCAGCCTTGTCGTGCATTTCAACGTTACTACCATCCTTTTCAGGGCCTTCGGCAGCAGCTTCACTTTCCATACGATAGTTCCGGCCGCGATAAAGTAAAGATACCGTACCGGCCACGAGAGCAAAAACGGCAACCAAGATGAGGGCCCGCCTCATATTACCATTAGGGTTGCCTTGATCATCGGGATATCGTAGAGCGTCCATGATCTCAATAAAAACGATGCCAAGAATTTGTGCAGATGCCCACAAGGTAGAGCTAGAAGCTGACTCTGCCACAGGGAATGTGCCTAGTTGAAATAAAGAAAGGATCAGCCTGTTGCCATCATCGTGGTAAGGTGCAAGAGATATACTGACATTCAACTCCAAGCTCAAGACCAACAGGTAGAGCACTGAAGTTCAAGAAACCAATCAAGACACAAATAACCATTATAGCAATCATATTGTCTGATTTGACTAGCGGAACATAATGAGTTAGATTAAAGTGTTAGTGCATCATCAATGATGTGAGCAATATGTTCCCCATGGACAATAACCTACCGACGAAAAGAAGGACCAGGTACATGATACCAGATAGGAACAAAGCAATCTTGATAGAAATCTTGTGTAGCTTAGTCTTGTCGACAAAGATAGCCATAGCAATAGCTCCAACCAAACCTCCAACAATCATGCCCACGCCCATAAAGCCAGCGTCATCGTTGCTGTAGCCATAAGGTGTCACAATTTGGTTCAAGAGAGTTGACATGGCATTGAAGATACCAACAAAAGTCGCAAAGCAGAAGAGCAATACAAGATAATTTCGGTTGGTGATCATCAACTTGAGGTCAGACAAGTATGGTCTGCTATTCACTCGAGCAGCACTTGGCGAGGGCGGGGTGCGTGGTCTCGGAGGAATGAAGACGGTCGGTATAGCAACAGCGGTGGTGATACAAGCAACAATAAGCAGCTAGAGATAAGGAGAATACGTTACTCTTCACAATAATCACGGGAAATAGTCAATCATATGATAGTGCTTACACCGAAGGGTAGGGAAGACTCATCAACGATGAGCGCGGGTATAATAAGGTCTGCTAGAGCCACACCAACAGGGTTTGCTATAAAATTAATATTGTCAAACATTAGATTGCTCTGTCTGGATGATATTATCTGGGTGCTGCTATTGTGGTTAAAAATTATTTTTTGTGAACTTACAGATGGATCCAGCCATATTAGCTGTCGCTCTAGCTGCTGGTGTAAACCACGTAGCAGCATACTATATAATATAAATTAGCGTCTGCTATGTAGAAAGGAGGACATCATCAATTGGTACTCACTGGAGTGGGGGCATTGAGAAAAAAAGGTTGTGCTAGCGCGCACAAAATCTGCATATACACCGGTTTTAGTTCACACGCTGTTTAACATTCACCTGCCAGTGCCACTATCGTCGTCTCTCAACTTTACCTGACCGATCATGGCCAATGCAAATTTGCCTTGTTGATTTTGTACGAATGTAGCAAAATAGCGGAGCCATGCTCCAAGCAATTGCAGTGCTGCTCCAGTCACAATCTGCAACCATATAACAATGAAATAAATAAAAACAAGCTATCAAGCCATATTCGGCGCAAACGATCTAAAGCTGCGTACGTACACCGAATTTCAAGCTGTATCGCTCGAATGCCAAACTCGATAATGGACTGGATACAAGATAGCAAAGCAGATAGACATTTGCAAACCAATTGATGCTAGATAGCGAAGTGTTGAAGTAGTCTGCAGCGAATTGTGGTGCTGGCGCAAAGATGGTCCAATTTAAAGCAGTGACAATATTGAGGAGAACCAACATCGTCAGACCGAAGTAACGAATTTTATAGGTGCGATAGACTGGATCAGTAACAACTTCTTCATGTTGGATCTCCTGCTGGTTTCTTTTGAAAAGCGGCATCTCCAGTTGTATTATATTAAATAGATTATTAAGAACGAAAGAAAGGAAGAAGAGAGGACGCCAGCAAAAGAAGTGTGGAATCAATCAGCTGGCTACAAATTTTCAACTAGGAGACCATTTGGGTGACCAAAAAGTGCGACAAGTCCGCTTTTAGGATTTTCCCACTTGCCAAAGTCGTTCTTATTGGTGGATGGGGTGCTGGAAAGTGCTATCGTAGGTCCACTACGTTGAACGAAAGTGGAGACATTCGTACGTGTCCTAGATCCAAAGCATCCTACAACAACGTTTTTGGGGTTAGGAGTGACTGCATGCAGGACACCCACCTGCGCTCGTCTGACTTACTGTATAAATGGGAACGTCGGGGTGTGGATGAAAGGCCCTGGGTTCACGGCACCGTGTAATCACATCAAGACCAGGTGGATCTGTCAGTCGAAAAATGCCGTAACTGAAATGAAATGTAACGTACAAGGTGAGATAGCGTAACGTGAACGACGCATGCCGTTAGTGGGACAAACTATTCAGTAGGTTTTTAAGTTATAGCAATAAACTTACTTTGGCTTATGCTTCGGAGCACAGACTATGGCAATGGCTTCAGGCAGCATTAATTGATATGAGCAATGAGTGTGAAGATCCACTGAACTCATAAAACATGACTGTGTTGGATGTGTCTAAATTAAGGGCAGTTGGTGGTGGACTCGTTAGTCAAACTCCGATCTGAATGAGTACAGAAGGCACATTGTACTTACGTGAATCCAACCCAGTGTGAGTAAATCATGCCGGTCTTGATATTCGAATACCTCTTCTTCGTTCTCAGTAGTACATGTGTCCGAAGTGGATGTTTGCTTGGGTATCAGGAGGGTGGTGACTGTTAGTTCGTTCGATTTCTGTGGAAAGTAAATGTGTCATTTAGTTTATATGTTGTAGCCACCTTGTTCTTCATAAAAAAGATGGTTCCACCTACCAAGTGGCCGCATAATATACCACAGGTCTCCAAATTTCTATTCGTGTTTGTCGACGCAATTTCTAAGAACCGCTCCATAATCTTTGATGGTGTGTTAACACGTCGTAAAGGCTCTCCATTTTCCGTGGTAGCTGTAATGGAATAACAGAGTCAATTCATTTCGAGCGAACTATGGATGATAGCCTATATCAATGTTAGCTCACCATCACTGAAATCCCCAACGTCATTGGATATGTCTTTCGATACTTCTAATTCAATCTTGGGAGGTAAGCTTGGTCCAGGACTAGCATCCAAATGTACTTTTGGTGGTATAGGTGGTAGGTTGAGGGGTACGTTGCTTGGTACCAGAGGTTCCTTACGAGGTATTGGCGGAGACTTAATCAAAACATCGCCTGTGTTCGCTTGATAGGTGAACCTTCAAAGTGTAAAGTATATAAGACAAAAAGTCACCGCCTGTCATGTTGTTACTTAAAGGATGCTTACTGATCACTTTGGTTTCGCTGCAAAACTCCAGGATAGTATACATGCGACGAATTATCCAATGACTGTCTGTAAAAATACATCTAAGTCACTTGAAAACAGAAGACGCAGGCTGAATCTATTGTTACCCTAATGACTTACCTATAGGCTGCTTCTGTTTGACTTCCAACTCCTACAACGCCCTGCAATTCGTCCTGCAATGACCATGGTTTATTGGTGGGTTCTTCGTCGACTTGGGTCTTTTCTTCGACATAGGCTAGCTTTCGTAACTTCGATTGTCTGCCTTCCTCCTCCTTTATCTTCCTCAGTCGTTCCTTTTCCTTTTCTAGTCGATGGATATAATCTTTGTACCTCGCTTCCAATTTTGGCTTCATCAATTCCATAGCATTCAATGCTTCATTGCAGTTCTATATTTTGGGTTAACTTTTATATCTTCGAGCCATTTCACCACCTATACAACTTACTTTTTCTATAGCTTTGATATCGACCTTGTTTTCAGTAAGTGAGAATTTGGGATGTTTTCTTAATTCTGATAGTCCAAGTCTACATGAGTGAAAGAGATCAAAATCGTCAGAAATGATATTCTTACGAGAAACCAAACTCGCACTTGTCATTCTACTATTAAAATGTTCGAGTATTATTACATACTTGGTGTATTTCATGTATAACCTGTACGCTTCTTGAAAATCGCCTTCATTCATGTACACTCGTGCCTGTTGAAGTACAGATTTTGCGGATCGGAAGTACAGTCGTATTGGAGTGTTCGCATCAACCTTTGTTTCGCTGAGATTGTTCAGCTCTGCAATTGAGTATGGACGAACGTGTAGATCCGGCATGGTGAACGCCTAGAAATATTGTAGGAATTCTCGGCAAAGCTTGGCCCACAAGGTCTTCTCAAAGCTCCTCTTCAAAATGCAAAAGTCCGTCCTACACGTGATACCAACCAAACAAATAAGGCAATTCGTAATGCCAACATTTCAGCCGGAACACTGTTATCATTGACGTGTTCATAACCAAGGCCAACGCATATTGCAACCCTCTGTTGAAATCAACATTAAATCAAGTTTCAGGAAAAGATATGAACACCTCATTCAAATTTACGGAAGATTGAGTCTGTAGATAAGAATACGCTACTGCTAGACTATCTATCCACTGATTGTCAGAGCCTTCATACCTTGTGCTGCCCATACGCCAAGTGTAATTTCATTGTTTTATCGCCAAGGTATTTTTTTTTTTGAAAGAATTGGGAAAGCAATTACGAATGATGAGCAATAAAGCAGAAATAGTTTAGGACTACCAAGCTTACAATCTATTTGGCCGATTTCGCGTTTCCTGTGGAGTTGATTAGTCCAATGCCATAACGACGAGCCATGGACATATGTTTGGTACAAGCAAGGGATTTTCTTGTCCTTGGCCATGTAGCAAAAACAACGTACATATTGGCTGAGGTCAGTTTGTACTCCCAACATGAGAACTCGGGCTCCGGACGATATTGTTGGCATCAAAAAACGTGTTATGTTGCTGGCGTGACATGAAAAAACACTAACGATTAAAAAAGCAGGCACTGCCCCTGAGCCCAGAACGAATAACCCGCCATTAATTGATGAAGCGGACATTATTCACGACGAAGGAATTAACGTAGATTTCACCAACAAACGAATTTCATTTATGAGTTGTAGCAAGCGTAAATAAAAAACATGATTTAAATTGCTGATTGATTTCTGGTTTGCAAAATTGGTTCAGCTGCTGCAAGTGGCAATAAAAAAAGAGGATTTAACGAATTGCAATATTTATTTTATATCTTCTGTGCCCTCTTTTTTTTCCAGTTCTGTCGTACACTCCATCATCATCCATCATAGTCTGTTTTAACATCTGATTGCACAACATGGCCTCTCGCGATGCTCAGCAGCAAACAACAGCTGTGCAAGTAGGCAAGTATCATGACTCTCTATAACTATATGACTTTTTGCTGGACTCTAATATATATATAAAAAATGCCACTCGTTTGCCTCTCTAGCTGTTCGAGTCAGGCCCCTCAGCGGAAAGGATCGATCGATACCCCGGTTCTCCAACATGTCAGAGGCAGACGTACTCAAAATCCAAAATTCCTCTGTAAACGTTGTTTCACATCAAAAAACCTTCACATTCGACTATGTTTTTGGCCCTAATAGCACACAAGATGAGATTTTCGTTACTTTGGCATCCCCCTTGATCCACAAATTTATTGATGGTAGGTTTTTACAAACAACAATGCAGGAAAAAAATAATCCATGAGATCGAAAGCATGTTGAACTAATGTGGTGCGGGTCTAATTTATTGCAAACAGGTTATAATGTCACTATCTTAGCCTATGTAAAGTATCATGAAGGAGGAATTTATTGATTGAGATCAACTTGACTTATGTTTTAACCACATTCTCGTCTGGTTTGTAGGGACAAACGTCATCTGGAAAAACGTATACAATGGGAACAGCACAGCATGGAGATGACGCCGACGACATACAAAACGAAGGCATCATTCCACGAGCCATGAGTTTATTATTCGAGACGTTGGATAGAACAAATGCACCCAATTTGAGTAACGGTCGCAGCAAATTAGAAAGGAAATTCCGGCCGTTATCAGTTGCTTCCGCGTTGGACGACATGCGTAGAAACAAAAGCTCGATTAAAGTCTCATTTGTCGAGATTTATAATGAAGATTTGGTCGATTTACTCAACCCTACTCCCCCGTCAGAGCGAACACCAGTTTCCATTAGAGAAGATTCAAAAGGTCAAATATACTGGAGTGGAGTTCGAGAATTAGCGGTAGAAAATACCAATGACGTCTTGAAGTACGTTCACCCCCTTTCAGTTGCTTTTGGAAGGAAACATACACGCACCTTGCTAACCCCACTTCACACATAGCTTTTTGGAGCAAGGTACTCGCAACCGTGCCACAGGATCAACTGATATGAACGAAAAGTCATCTCGTTCGCATGCTATTTTCTCAGTTACACTTCGTCAAGAAAAATGGGTCCCATCCAGCGGATCGAGCTCTCCCATCCCCGCATCTCAACGATCGCCAAGTCCAAGCGTAACATCAAATCGACATTCAGGCCTACGCAGACCCGAAAGTTCAATTGGATTTCGACCTCAGGAGAATGGAGAGGAAGGCGACTGGGTCATCACGCATTCCAAGTTTCATTTTGTAGATCTTGCCGGAAGTGAAAGAGTATGCCGCCTTATTATTTATATTGATAGAGTGCTGATCAATTTAACTTGCTAGAAGGTTGATATTGGTTTACTTACTTTGTTTTTATTTACCATGTAGCTTAAGAGAACAGCGGCTGAAGGAGACAGAAGGAAGGAAGGCATCAATATCAATGGAGGTCTTCTCGCATTAGGAAATGTTATTTCCGCACTAGGCGATCCATCCAAGAAAAGTACACACGTACCCTACCGAGACTCCAAACTGACCCGCTTATTGCAGGATTCATTAGGAGGCAATGCTACCACTCTCATGATTGCCTGTGTAAGTCCTGCCGAATACAATTTGATAGAAACTGTCAATACCCTGATGTACGCCAATCGAGCAAGAAATATTCGTAATCGACTGGAGAAGAACGAGTTTGAAGAATGGCAAACAAACGACAATGCTGAATTTTTACGTGGCATCATTACCAAGTTGAAAACAGAGCTACGAGCAGCTAAAACAATGTCGATTGCATCCTCTACTGCCAGCAAAGACTTGACTACTTCCTCCCATTCATTAACCTCGGATGGTCATACTTCGCCGAGCACCACGCCAGATTTGGAACAAATCTTTCTGGATCAGCGCAACGAAATCATGAACCTGCAGCACCTGATAGAAAAATTAGAAGGAGAGCTTGCTGTTACGCGAGATCGTGAACAAGTCGCTGGTGATCAACTGAAACAAATGTGGAAGAATGAGTCTGGACCTCGACCAGAAGATATCGAAAAGCTCAAACAAGAAGTCGACTTTGAACATTTGGTTGAACCCGTCATTGAAGAGTACGAGAAATCGATTTCTGTCTTGGAATCCCAACTTGCCATGGCCCGAGCTGCTCTGCATCACTCTGATATTGGGTTTGAAGAGCAAGCCGCTCGTATCACTCATTTAGAACAAGTCCATGAGAGCCAATCACACGTCATTTCAGAGCTTAGAAGCCGTATTTCCAAAGTGACGGAACGTGAATTAAGCAATGATCTCTACATCCAAGAACTCGAAAATAAGCTATCAAAGGTATCTCAAGATAGCATTCAAGACCAAGAGGCATTCAATGATCTTAAAGCAAAACTGGTCAAGCTAACTGAGACAGAAGATAGTACAGAACAGTATATCGGCTCGCTTGAACAACGACTTGCCAATGTTGAAAAGGAGAAAGATGCATTGGCTGAAGCCGTCCAAGCTTTGGAAGTCACTTGTGCGGCAAAGGATACCACCACCGAAGCATTGAAAATTCGCGTCGAACAGGCAGAACGAGGTGACGATCAAAAAATGTTGCTGCGTGAACTAGATGATTCCTTGCTGCGATACCAACAGCTAGAGGTGCAGCATACCGAACTACAATCAAAGTATGATACTCTTCTCAAGAATAATACCAGCGTAGAGAAGAAGGAGCAAGTTGAAGATTACGACCGCAATCACCTTAATGAGCTGGACTCAGCACTGGAAAATGACCAAAAGCGACAATCTCTCAATTTCCAACAAGAGATGAATGGGTATCAACAAGCTGCTGATGTAGTTGAGAAGGAAAAGCAAATTGTATCTTTGAATGCACAAATTGAAGGCCTGGAAAAGCACTTGGTGATTCTTGAGACTCAGAACCAAGAAGCCAACAAGAAACTCGAAGAGTCGTTCAAGGCGAATGAACAGGCTGAAACACAGATAGACAAGCTAGAGAAGATTGTTCAAGAGCAGCTGGCCAAGGCTGAAGAAGAGAGAATGATGTCTTCGGAGCCAGTGGCAGAACCGGCAGTTGGATTGTATGAGGAAATGGAGCGTGAACTATCATTGTCTAAGCAGAAGGAGCATACCTTGCAACAGCAGCTTGAGCAAGCCGAGCAAGAACTTTCATTGATGAACAGCAAATTGAACGGTTCCGAAATTAAGCAATCTGAACTGGAGCATGCTGTACAGGCTGCTCAACAGAAGTTGGAGGCTGCGACAGAAGCCGTTGAAGATGCCAGTGTTCGTCAACAAGATCTTATCAATGGCTTTGGTTCCGAAAGAGCTCTGCTACAAAAGACAACAAACCATCTTGAGAGCGAAATAGAATTGTTGAAACTTGAACGTGATAACTTGATAGCACAGGTCTCCACACTTCATGCTGATGCCGACAAGAAGCATGAGGAAGTAGTTGAAGCACCCAAAGCTGTTAATGGACATGCGGATACTGATCCTGCTACTACCGCTCCAGCTTCAGAGAATGGATCGCAAATCAATGAGCTTAAAGAGGCACTTGCAGAGCGCGAAAAGCATCTTTCAGAATCAACTGAATCTATCCAGTTATTGAAGCAACAATTGGAAGAATCATCCTTGTCTACACAATCACTTTCGCAAAAGATATTGGAACTCACCGCAGCTCAGGATGAAGCCGTCAAGGTATCCAAGTCGCATGATGACATGTCCCTCAAGCACGCCCAATTGCAAGAGGAACTCAATGTTTACAAGCAGGAACTCAATAATTACAAGCAAAAGCTCAATGAATCTCAAGATTTGTCCGCCTCGCTTCAACAGCAACTGAATACAGCCATGATGGAACAGACAGCGCTTTCCCAACAAGTTGTTGATCTTGGTAATAGCATGAAGCAGTCAGATAGTGACCGTGAGGCAGAACGCTCACAAGCACTTACAAACCTCAGAGCAACAGAGGAACAGCTTGAGACTTCTCATAAGAATATTACTTCTCTACAGAATGATCTTGATCGCTCAGTAGCATCCAGCAAAGAGCTGATGCAGAAACTGGCTGAGAGTGTTGCTACCAACAAGTCTGAATCCTTGACTTCTGAAGACTTTACAAATAAGTATCAGCTACTGCAATCTCAGCTGGCAGAAAGTGAAGCCGCTCATATTTTGACCAAAGACAGCGTTCACGGCCTTCAACAACAATTGAATGATTTGCGTGATAGCAATGTTAAATTGGCCGATCAAGTCTCTGAGCTGATCAGCTCGCTACAAACACAATCGAAAGCGAATGATGTGCACGCCAAGAAGAACGCAGAAATGCAAGCTGACTTGGAAGCGAAGGAAGCGAAAATTGCTGAACTCAACGATCACATTCAATTGCTTCAGAAGCAACACGACGAATCTGTCTCGGCATTGGATATCGCCAACGACAAGTTATCGTCCAGTCAAAACTTCACGCCAGCCGTGGCTCTCTTTACCGAAGCTGAGCATCGTCAAGCTCTTGACAACTTGAAGATGCATGAATTGAAACTCGCAACCGTCACGAATCAAGCCATGGAACTCCAAAAGGAGCTGAATGACAAGCAGATATCACATGACGGAATCAGTCAGCAGCTCTCTGAATTGACATCAACATTAAACAGCACTGAAGCAGAAATGCAAACATTGCGAACCACTCTTGATGACAAGTCCAAGGCTGCGGAAATTCACGCTCAACAGCTTCAATTTGAGATTGACAATGGTGCGACATCTCTTAAAGGACTTTCCAACAAGCATGATTCAGTAGTGCAAGACTTTGCTCAACTCGAAAGCCGACATGCTGAGCTTCAAGCCATGCATAAAATGATGACCGATGAGCACAAGTCCCTGCTGGAGGATAGCAAAGTTGGAAACCAGAGTCTTCAATCCACCATCGAGAACATGACCAATTCTGTGGAGCAACTCAAATCTGAAAACGGCGCTATGGATTCCAAGCTTCAGTCTCAGCACCAAGTCAACCAAGCACTTCAGACCACAGTTGATGAGCTCACTAAAGCATTAGAGGAGATGCGCACTGCCCGAGACATAGCCGAAGAGCAACTGCGCATCCAAAAGAGTCAAGTGGAGAACACCCAGTCTGCGCTTGAAAAGCAAATAGCCGTTAGCTCTGACCTTGAGGCTAAGATAGAAGAAATGCGAAGCAACCTGCAGCAAATCCAAACTGAGGCAGCAGAAACAGCAGCTCTAGCTCAATCAACTCACCAACGCGAGCGTGAAGAGGATGTTGAACTGTACGAAAATGCCATCATGGAATTGGAAACCAAGCTTCAAGGCTTGCAGGATACCAGCCAGGAAAGTCAGAAAACCTCCCAAGCTCGTCATGGTGAGGCTGAAACACAACTTGCCAAGGCTAAAGAAGATGTCATGGAGCGCGACATGTTTATTGTGGAGCTTGAAAAGTCAATTGACAACATGGAAATTGAACTGAAAGCATCAGCCGAGAGATTCCAGGAGAAATCCGAGGCATACGTACAATTGGAAAAGTCGGCTGCCGAACGCGACTTGTTTATCGCCGAACTTGAAAAGACAGTCGACACAACCGAGAACGAACTCAAAGCATGCCAACAGCAACTAAGAGACACCGGTGCCTCTTATACGAAGATACATCAGCTTGCTATGGATCGTGAAGTGGAAATTGACCAACTCAGAAAGGACTTGGAAAGTGCTAAACGACGGCTTGATGAGAATGAAAGCGAGAAACTCCAAAAACTCGATATGCAACTCAAATCATTGCAAGAAGAGACGGAAGAGTACAACATGCTCATCGAACAAATGGATAATGATATCCAAAACAAATCGGCTGAAATGGAAGAAATCATTGCCGAACTAGCCTCCGCTGAAGCTGCTAAAGTCCAAAGCCAAGCAAGAGTCAAAGAGCTCGAGCAAGAGATAGAATCGCTTCGCTCAGCATCCAAATTAGAGGATGTCAAAGTGGACGATGCTTTGAATCAGCAGCAAAATGAAACGAACCATGTGGATCATGCCGCCAAGATTGCTGAATACGAAGGACAAGTTGCTGACTTGAAGTCACAAGTCAACAAGCTCGGCCGGGAAAAAGAGGTTTTGGCTGACCAAATAGAACAACTTACCGTGGACAATAGCCAATTCGTAGCCAAGTCATCGGCCATAGAACAACGGCTAGAAACACAAAATTTAAGAATGGCAAAAGAAGCTGAAGACCTACGCCAGGAAATTGCGAAATTGACAGCCAAGAAGGATTCCATTGAGCAGCCGCAACTAAGCAAGAGATCTAGTCGAACGTTTGCAGCAACGCGCGATTCTACCAATAGCATCATATCCCCTCCGCAAACCCCCCGCATCACCTCACCTTCACCTGATGCGTTGCAGAACAAATTAAAGTTGCATGAAAGTACGATTGCTCAACAAGCATCTTTGATCAAATCTCTAGAAGACCAAGTTCAACAGTCTGTCCAGAGAGCATCCCTTGAAGTTGTTCAATCTCCACCAGCAACCGAAATGCGCAAGAGTGCATCGTCCCCTTCTCTGCCACCACCGCCATCTGAACCTCTACCTCCCCTTCCTGCTTCATTGATCATGAAGGCGACGTCGGTGTCTTCTATGAAGAGTAGCACTGGACCTGAAGAAGTAGCCAACTCGGTGGTGACGGCGGAGCAATACGACAAGACGATCAAGAGTTTACAAAAGAAGTTGGGTTTAGCGGAAACCGATGTCAAGGCGCACTTAGAAGTGATCACCAAACTTGAGCAACAGTTGTTCAGAGCCGAAAATTCTCTCAAGCTTACGAGCAAGCGCACCAGTTTCAGTCCCACCCGCAATGTGGATGACACTGAAGTTGATAAACTGAAATTGCAATTGGAACAAGCGGCGGTACAGCAAGAAAAGACCAACAAAGAGTTGAAGAAGTTGCAGAGCGACTTGGAAACTGAACGCAGTGCGAAAGAAAAGGCCGAGAAGGCACGTGTGATTCTTGAAAATCGCATCGACCAGCTCATGAGCAAGAAAAGCAAATTTATGTGCTTTTAATTGAACTGAACGGACGGTTCCTCTTATACCAATGTATTGATAACCCCTCCCTGGCGCTTATACCCTCTGGAATCCAACATTGCCATCCCATTATTATATCACTCACTATTGAATTGTATCTATACTGGCTGATATTATCAGGCAGGAAAATGAATAAATAAGAAACTGGGGTATACCAAGATGGAGAGTGCATGGCTCAATCTCCATTTTGTTTCACTCCTTTTGTTTTGTTCTTCTTATAACATTGGACCAGCCAGTTGGGTGGAAGCGCTCAACAAAACGATATATTAATATAGGCAATAAGGAAAAGAAGAATACGGTATATGCTATCATAGGCAGGCAGTGGGATATACGTAAGGAGTGAATAAGATCTGGATGGTAAAAGAAGAAAAAAAAAGACCAATGGGGATTTGATAAAAGCAGCAGGCTGCATCTTACAATTATACTAGGCTTAGGTTTTTGAGACTGCGTATACGAGTGATCTGACGATTGACACCTGTGATCAAGCTCTTTGGTCTCATCTTGTTCTTATCCAACATTTCCTTTGATTTTTTAGGGCTGGATGGTTTTAAGCCAAGGGCTTCGCCAAGGGACCAGGTGAGGCGTTTTGATTGCTTCTTGTTGCAATACATGTGGACGGTATTGGACGTGTCGAAAGACGGTAAGTCTCTAATCTCCAATTCATTGACAATGGTATCGCTGTAGTCGTAAGATAGTCCACTGTCGGAATCAATCGAGTCATCGCATTGCATCACTTTACAGTTCTCATTTATATTATGAACCATACGGACCAAGGTCGGGTCACCGAATTCCATTTCTTCAGGCGATAGTTCGGTGCTAAAGATACTAATATATTGAAGTTCATCCTGCAGGTCAGAGTTGAAAGACGGATCAAACAATTCAGTTACGCCGTTCAGATTTTTACTCCAGTCATTAGTTCGCTGTGCTATTCGTTCAAATGATTTTTTGCTGGCCAGTCGCGCGCTTCTCTCCGCTATGACTGGGCTGCCGGCTTTGTCGAGACAATAAAGGGTTGGACTGTAGTTGGCATACCCCTTTCTTGAACGCTCGATCAAGAGCTTGGTGACCAAGTTGCTGCAACGTTCAGCCATCATATGATTGCAATCTCTGGGCCCAAATGTCACTTTGCCCATGGCTTCACCCAATCGTCGGGCAGTCATAATATTGCGAGATTTGTGATTCATCACTTTGAGTAGGAAATCCATCATTTCCAGAACAAAAGCCATGGCATCGTGGCTAATAATATTTCCCAAGTTCTCAATCATACAGGCTGTCGTGATAGCTACATGGTGAGAAGGATGTTATAATAAAGACCCGCCCATGAAAAATAGAAACGGTGCTCACTTTGATAATTAATGCTTCTCCATGCTTTGCGGGAGATAATCCGATCAGGACATAACCAGAGTATGTCTTTCATCAACGTTGCTACCCTGTGAATGCTTTCACATCGCAAATCATGTATGTCACATACTTTTTCCTTCATGAACTTGTTCAGTAGGAAGCTGCTTTGTTCTGTTGTATAAACCATGGCGTTATAAATCCCGGATAACCAGCAACGTCAATCATTTTCAATTCATACCTGTCTTCAAAAGAATCTTTCGTTCGTCAAGGCCTATGTGATTGTCCCCCGAATGAGTAAACATGACAGAAAAAAATGACATCGGAGCTTGGAAATCAAGTCGTACCTCGTTCAGTGATCTCTTGCATACATAAGCGAGCAGCATCAGCCGCTTGCTGAAAGGTATACATCGTAAAGGAATGTGTTTGAGTTTTTGTACGGCTAAAAGTAATGCTTCAGGCTTAGAAGGAAAGTGCGTGGTGGAAAACGTAAAAAAAAGGTGCTATGGAATAAGTTTGAAGAGGGCAGGCCAGGACAGGACAGCGCGGGGGGGTTACTTTTTGGCGAGCCAAATCTCACAGGGTGGTCATCCCCTTCTTCTTCGTCGTCGACCTGCAAGGGGTATGGTAACCTCACGCCGTCCTTTTTCCTCACTTTGTTCGACCACTGGTCTTTTTCCACGGCATCTACACCAACTCCTCTCCTTCGATGCAATCTGACGCGCGTAGTATTAGACCAATAGGCCGTAGATCAGAAAAAAAAAAAATAGAATAAATAATGGGATTTCCCACATCAAATGTATTCATTATGCCGCCTGCCCTTAAACTCAGCTTGTATGGAGTAGCTGAACATGTATATCAAAGGAGTTGACCCAATTGATAATAAGAGGAGGGTTAATCTGTCCACCTCCCTGACTCGTGCATTACCACTGATTGCAGTCCTTGCCGATGACAACTGACGCCGTGCCTCGTCCACGTTTACAAAAAAGCAGCTTATGCAGGTGTATGTCGCTGAACCATACCTTGTAAGATAGTGTAAGTTGAAAGAAGGAGTGCTAAATAAAAATGTGGATGGTGGCAAGCTTGATAGACTTTATGGATGTAAGATTACAGTACAAGATGAGGAAAAGCAAAAATATGAAGAAAGCGCCAGAGTAGCTAAAGGAGTTGGCCTAACAATATTACCCAATTGTCTTCTCGTGGCATTTGAGACAACTGATCGAATCCGGGATCCCTGATAATGAATTTTCCTTGTTTTTGCTTTTAGTTTAAGGTTTTTCTTAGAATAGAGAGCATTAGAGTGTTATATTGCCCTTCAGAGGTCGTTGGTCATGTCCGGGCTAATAGAATTAGTTTAATCGAGCATTTAACGTAACCATAGGAGAGATGTAGTTTCCTTCTGAACGAAACCGTAACTGCTCTAATGATGCCAGTTGTATGCACACGATTCTTGTTTCAATTCTTCGATGATTCATGCAAGTTGGATTAGTAAACAAGCCCTTCAACGTGGCATGGCAGTAAGTTGCGAAAGCATACCTATACTATCCTTCTTGTTACAGACACATTTTTTGTTGAGCTCTTTCGGCTGCGGACAGTGTAAAGACCCGGTACCATGAACTCCTATGTCACTAAAGAAATACACTTGCTCGGGCTTGAGGAATAACTTGATCCCTTGTGAAATGACAGCCTGACCACTAAACACCAAAACCGTCAACAACAGGGCTCATATCGCACATTATACTACTACGTAAGAATACATACAGCCCCAAAGACCAGTCCAGTCGATGATCTAGCCATTCGAAATATCTCCAATATCGAACATCCCTAAAAAAGTTGGCGTCATATATCTGCATGGTGTCGCTAAATTCGCAAAACGATGACAAGGACTGTTGTGTGGTCTGGTTTGGATTGACTTGGTATTCCGGGTATACGTCTATGAATTGGTGGCTGTGGTTCACCATTGAGCCAATTTGAACCATGTTGCGCTTCAAAGCGATATTCCAACCTACCCACCATGTAAGCGTTCTATTCATGTGCAAAAACAACAAGGCGCCTAAGACCTACCATATTTGAGATTCCGCTTCTGCATGTACATGAATGGATCGTATGTGATATCGCAGGTCAGTTCAGCTCCTGGTTTAATTAGCCTGGGTATCATGCAAACAGTGCATAGGAATGGGGTCAATGACGTACAAGACAAAGGAAAGGATATATGATGACTCTGGCGTGCTTACCAAATGTAATCCATCAGGCTGACCAAGGGTTGATTAAAGATGTGGCCTGCACTATACTGATCCATGTGCGCCTTCCAAATGGACTGATTGCTTTCGGTCGCTGACCACATCTCGTTTTTTACCAAAACATCTTCGGTTACCCGGGGGTCCAATAACCCTGGCTCAATAACACCTGGAAATACGACGTGTGTGAGGCCACGACATCGAAGCAAACCCCAAGAACAGAGTCACCTACCATAGTTAGCTCGAAACCCAACGAGACGATACATGTTCTGGCGAAATCGATCCTCGTATGGCTCGTCGTTGATGAAGATATAGGGGTACATAAAGCGGCCGTTAAATCCTGCCTCCAGTGCGACGACGGTCTTCTGCACATTGGTGTAGTCTCGGCTAGAGGCCACGATGACGATGGCAGCTTTGGCCCGGTCCGTCACATTGAGCCATGGTTCGGATGGATCGAGGTTCGGGTGTACCCTTATAGGTCTCTCTTTATCGATACTTTCTCCATCTGCTAATGGCTGCGGTGGCGTATCTGTCCCCCACCTCGGTCCCACCAAAGCTGGCCGAGGTTTTCCGTCAAGCGTGTAGATGTAGATGAATAGCAAGGTAACGTAGACTACAAGCAGTGAACATATTCGATGCATGGTGAGAAACAGGAGAAACACCAGAATGAAAAAATAAAACTTTGGGAGTTGCCGTAGAAATTGATCAAAATATGATGTTTCGAAATATTCCTCCGATGCTCTCTGAATTTCCAAGATACGTGATTTAGAGAACCTCATTGAGACAATGAATTTTTTTTATTAGTATTATTCTATGGTAACTGCTCTAAAGATGATGGTTTTGCGTGGATGTTGGGGTTTAAATTACATGATGTGCTGCAATGAGCAAGCGGATATATGAATGCGACGGGCAGAGGTGAGTTCTTATAGACTGCACTGGTAACGGTTTCAAAAACGTCGTCAAATGAGTTACGAGCAGAGGCACATTGCTGATCTAGGAAAATTTAGCAACGCTGTAGATCACTTCACATGGTTCTCGCCATAGATCGACCAATGCTATCCTTGGTGATGGTGTCAACGGTATCGACGAAACCAACCAAGATCAAACGCACGCCCGAGCTAACCTCCATACCACCATGTTGAAGGTGAGCGTCATGGATCACGCAATCGCCTTGTTGGATTTGCACAGGCTTCTCTACTCCTTCAAAAATCGTACCACCGCCTTCAAATTCCGTATGTGAATTGAGTAATATATTGAACGAGACTAAACATCCGTCGGTATGCATCTGCAGCCCTCGCTGAGCGTCATGCGCGTATCGTACAATGAACAGGTCTCGAAACGCCAGATCCCGAGTTGGATGGAACCCGAAATGTGGGGCAATCCACTTGCTTAGCAATCGATCATTGAGTAGTGCAGGTAGGCTGACGGCGAGGTTCGGTATGCTCGCGACAGGGATATCGGTTGTTGCGAATGCCGAGTGCCGGGACGTAAGCCATTCCGAGTTTTGCTGAGAAACTTGGCTCAGAATGGCTTGACATTCTGCAGTTGATAATAACGACGGCACTGTGAGAGGAGGTGGAGAGGCACGACCGTACGTATGCCGAAACACTAAACGATTCTGCGCGAGGGATCGTTTAGTGGGATCTTTTGAGAAATGCTCGATGGATTCCAGTCGTTGAGACTTTAGTTGTTGAGTCCGAGCTTCATTTGCTTGCACTTCTTCTTCTGTTAAATCACTGAACAAGTCAATGTCGACTTCGTCCGAATTCATTGAGAGACAAACAGACCTTGGACAATTTTATTTTTCCACGTCAGTGTAACCAACGGGAAAATCAAAGTCCGGCGATTTGACAGGAGCTATCGCCCAGACAGACATGCCAATGTTGATTACTAAAACACAATACCACCTTCAATATCATGGTTACAATTCATTTATTTAATTAATCTCGCTTGTAACAAGCATTACATTCCCACGTTTTTATAACAGCCAAACCATACTCCTCGTAATGACACGGCTGATCTCTCTAACCTTCGCGAAATTACATTAGCAGAGGGTATACTATGGTTCTTTTAAAACTTGGCAAGACCAGCTTGGACTGCTCTGTAATGTTCATCGTTCATTCTACGGTAGTTGCCGTCATCGGTCAGCATGTACACGGGGACAGATTTGTAAACATCAATACCATCCTTTTTGAGCTCAGCCTTTTGGTGCTTATGCGTTTGGGTGACGGGGATGACATCAATGACACGAACGAAACGAGGGTGGGCATAGAGGGGCAAGCCTTTCTTCAACAAGAATGGTCGCAAGTCACGAGCAACCTCGTCGGGATTAGAGGCAACGATGGTTGCCATGCCAACTTGGCCTTCGTACTTGGGGAGTGTGATACCATAGACTGTGATGTCGTCAATGCCTGGGTGCAGGGTCATGACAGCGGCCACTTCCATAGTAGACACATTCTCACCGCGCCAGCCTATGGATTAAGATTATACTGGATAAGTTCCCAATGCAATGCCTAAGCAAAAATAGGACAGGAAAACTTACGGAAAGTGTCACCAACACGATCAACAAATTCAATCCAGCCGTCGCGGGTCATCTTGATAAGATCACCTTGTCTGTGCCAGAGATCGCCTTTCTTAAAAACATCATGCATCGCGACCTTATCGTTGGCCTTCTTGTTATCAACATATGCACGGGACTGACTAATGATGGGAACTTGTTCACCGAGAATTTCACCGGGTTCGTCGAAATCGGCCTAAAACATACATTGATTAGACAACACTGCGTTATCTCAACGGTCTTTACACCTCTGCATGTATCCTCAAGCAGCCATCCATTCACTAACCTCAACGCAGAATCCAGTCTTGGGGTCACGGTATGGCTCTAATGTTTCAGGATCTTGCTTAACGATCTTCATGGTTGGGTTGAGCTTTCTGAGCAAGGGACCTCGGTGAGAGAAGTAACCTACACCATCAGGGCCAGTATTGACATTTCTGAGGAATGTGTTTCCTGCAACAACCATCACATCAGTCTTTCCGTCCCAAATACAGTCACCTTCCTTTGCCGACTATTTACCTTCTGTGGATCCATAAAACTCAATAATGACAGGAATGTTGAATCGCTCGCGGAACTTGTTCCAGATAGATCTGTTGAGACCGTTGCCATAGGCGAATCGCAAGTTGTGGTCTCGGTCATAGGGTGTAGGAGGCGAAGAGTTGAGGTATCGAGCAATTTCGCCAATGTAGGACATACCCGTGGACTTTGATTTAGAAATATCTTCCATACAGTTGGTAGCTGAGAACTTGGTTGACAAAACGAATGTGCCACCGACACTCAACACACCGCACATAGCAATGAGAAGACCGGAGCTGTGATACAATGGAAGACAGCAATACCATTTATCGTCAGGGAAAAGCTGACCGGAAAGCTTGTGGCTGTACATAGGAACTAGAAAAAAGAGAGGATAATGCGTCAATTGAAATGTGGTATGGCGTTGGTGCTGAGGTGACGAAGAGATAGTTTACGTACGAATACCAGTTCTGTGAGGAATAGCGACAGCCTTTGGAAGACCAGTGGTACCACTAAAATTCGAAGAGCGGGCAAATGATCAATATCCCTCCTAAGCAAGTGAGGACTGGGCGGTCGATCAAATTACCTGGTATAAATGTAACAAAGCGAATCGCCAGTGTCCACCTTCAGGGTCCTTCTAATCTCATCACTCTTTCCTGTACGTCTGAAATCCTTCATATCATATACTTGGTAGGGGCACTTTTCCGGGACGAGCTCATCGTAGCTAAGAATTGCAATATTGGTGTGGGGTAGTTCATGCTCGATATCACGAATGGGCTCATAGTTGGTGCCATGAGCAACAATCAAATTAGCTTTAGAGATAGTGATGCTGTGAGTGAGGGGAACACCCGTTTGATTAGAGTTAATCAAAGCGCCAACAGCATTAAGCTTTGCAAGGGCCCAGAAGGTGAAAAAGATTTGTGGGGTATTTGGCAGGTAAACTGCGACCACATCTGGTAAAAAAAGGAAAAGAAAGTGTGAGTGATACACGCTCAGTAACTGGAATTCCTTCCTTCCCACCCTCTTTCGCCTCGGTCTTTAAATATGTCTTCGGATATTCTAAGAGCCGAGAAACTCAGGATGGCTTCATCACTCACCTTTAGCCTTGATGCCCATCGATGTATACCAGTCAGCCTAAAGTTGAAGACAAGGTCAGTTCGATGCTCAAAGTTTCCGCTCTATTTCCGGCCAACGTACCAATCTGGCAATTTCTGCAATCCCAAACAAACAAAATGAAGTCAGTTAGTCGCTACTTTTCGATTGTCGAGGCATGCGATGTGTTTCTACTATTTACCTTCTTCCATTTGTCCATAGGTCCAGCGACGAAGAACAAGTTGTCCGCTACTACGATCGCAAAACACAAACCCTTCGCGATCTCTATTTGCTTGAATAATCTTCTCAAGGACACTGTAGATGGAACAGTGGGTTTCCGTTCTAAGCATTTCTTCCCAGCTGTGATAGTACTACGGGGTTAACGACGACCTCCCGGAACACGGTACACAACAGTTGATTGTCTTACTTCTTCAAAACGACGTTTTTCATTTTGAGGCCGGTCATGATTTCGGAGATATCCTTGGAGATGTAATACTTGCTGTCGACATATACCATGGCGGCCAACGCCAAGGCGGCTTTCGATAACAAGTGTGCAGGAGCCATAGAGAGGAGTGAACAAAGAAGAACTGGTAAAATGAAGTAATCAAGCTAAAAATTTATATTATACCCATAATTATGAAGCTCCGCATTGTGGGTATCGTAAGCAGACTTCAGCGCAGTTTTAAAACTTTGGGGCCTTTCGCACCAAGGTCATTCATTTCTGTTGACAATTTGGAGGAAGCGATATTTTGGGGGCTCATATTGGTGGTGGCGTTTACTACATCTGGATATTCGGGACGGTCTACCCAGCATAACCAGTTCTCCACCTCGGGTCATTTTATAAAGCAGAACCCTAGGCAGGCCGACAAATCTGCTATGGGAAGCAAAATCTGGAGAAAAAACTCTAATAGTGGAAGATAGAGCTTGTTGTAGTGGCGTAAAAAAAAAAAAAAGAAGCCGTGCGAGGCGGGTGGACGAAACAAAAGTTGACCGAGCAGCGTCTGCTTGCAGAGGGTGTTCGCTGCAATGTTTGAACAGGGAAGATGACATCTTTCACCTTCAGTCCAGGTTTGGCAGCCCATATGACCAGTTTCCAATCAAATTTATCGCCCTACTTCTCAGCCCAAAAATTTCTAGTCTGTTCTCATAACTCTTTTTCCACTCAGCTTTCAAAAAAACCCTGCGCAAGCAAAATCCCTTCAACATGGCGTCCATGAATATTGAAATGTCTCTAATATCAAGTAGTAATCCCAGTCATTCTACTCGTACTACTTCAATCCAGTCCAATGGCAGCACTGCCGTCTGCCATATCCGTCGATCCGAAGGCGAAATGACCCTATCTTATTACGCTACGGACGCTGGCGGTCCAGCGTGGTATGTCAAAATTTTTAGTTGGACTCCTATACATCCCCCCATACTAAACCTCATTTTTGTAGGTGCTCCTGACGTCCTTAATAACGGATTCCCAAAAGAGCGGCGGGCCAATGAGCTCGCCACTCGCCCTTCTCTAGAGCAAGCATTTGTGAGAGAAATGCTCGCCGAGGAGAGGGTTCCCGAGGCCACTCTTTCAGTGAGCCTCATCGAACAAGACAGCGTATGGGTTGGGTTTATTCACCAACATACGCTGTATGTTCGAGCTTCGTCCTGGTCGGACGTAGATGTCAGAGAAAGGTAAAATATCATGTTTTCCAATTTAATTCGTACAACCCATTTTGTACAACTTGTAGCCTAATTGACTTACATTTCCGTTATCATCGATTAGCATCATGGCTGTCATGGAACTGGCTGAGTCGCTTGAATGCCAAAATGTAGCGCTTTGTGTGCCTAAAACTGCCAATCAGATTCAACCTTTCGTCCATGACCTCCTTCTCGTAGGCTTCGAGTTGATTCATCCTCAAGCCATGCAACTCAAGTCCTCTGTCCAATGCAATTATATCTGCGTTGGCATGGAGCTGTAAACTTCTGGCTGGGCCATTTGCATTTATTATTATACGAGCTGTTTTTTTTTTCTTTCCTTGTTGACGGAAATTTTTCCAGGACTGGCTTCACCTTTCGGTTGTCAACCCTCCCTGCGTTGCTTTATTAATTTGCTTTCCTTCCCTTCATGTCAGTATATCATGGAGCCCTTTATTGACGGTTTTTGATTTGATTGATTTAATATTAAAAGGATAAATAAATGTGTGAATGGCAACATGCATTATAAAATACAATGGGATGAATGAATGAATATATTTCGTTGAGGGCTTAAATTTACATGGATGTGGTAGAACTCATAGGTTCAAATTGCTGCCCACTCATGTTCATTTCATTCAGGCTACGGCCGCTATCAGTTCTTAGTAGACGTGTTTTGGGTTCGGTGGGTGGGAGTTTGCCGATATCACTTCGCACTCTGCACAGACTCATGGTGAAGTCGACCGCGCCGGAAATGAGGGCATGTAGACCGGAGAATGCAGGTCCAAAGTCTTCTGGATGGACAACGGTGGTGCTTTCTGCAGTGTCCAGTGGATCGTTGCTTGGCGTGTCCCTTGGCGATGGGAATGCATGGCACAATTCTTCAGGATTGAAGTGTTCTGGTAAATGGTCAATGCGTAGCTGAGTCTATAAATGATAAGGATCAGTACGGGCTGGTCAACCATGATAATCAACAGAAGCTGGCAACTTACTTCAGTCATGGTTGGAAAAGAGAGAGAGAGAAAGAAAGAAAGAACAAATCGAAAATAATGATAAGTACGTTTCACTTTTGACGTTGTTGGGGCAGGCCAAGCAGTGAAAATTTATTACTACAGTGTTGGGGCAAACAAACAAAACTTGTTTCAGGCTTTAGGAGTCTTTGAACAGTGCTATCACCTTCCACTTCATTCTATCGCTGCTGCACCCATCCTGTCCTCTACGGTTTCTCACTCTATTCATACACAGAATCCGAATAAGTGGGTCCGACCGTACGGCGTGAGAAGGGATCTTTTGTGGCGCACCCATACTTGGGTCTTCGTGGACAACGTTGATATTATATATTACAAAGTCTTTCGCTGTATACATGGAAATTTACAATGGTGGGTCGCATCATAACATGCTGCTTGGATATAATGAAGGGAAGCGTAGGATGAGGTATAAACGTTGTGAAGCGCCTAGATTGCCCCAAATTTAGTATTTGTGTAAACTATCCCAACGCGGTAAAGGCCCCAACTTACCTTGCCGTAGATGAGTCGCGTCGAGTCAAAAATGGCATTGGATTAGGGTCTAGCTTGAATTTCATTCTTCCGCTTTTACGGGCGTAGAACTTGATAGGAGATCCTAGCGAAGACTTTGGACTAAACCATCATATGCCTGGCGCATCAGTTGCATGTTTGAGCGTCAATTAAAGTACAAGCTACTTACCCATCCAATGATGAAACAAACTTGTCATCAAAGCTAAACATTGACTGGTCAAAATACGGACATTCCAAATAAGATTGAGGACATTGAGGAAAGCTGAGAGCTAGACGACGCATTGCCTCGCCTCGCCTGTATATAGGGGTTAAAAGATGGACGAGTCCTTTTTTTCAATTGCGCAGGGTTGTGGACGTACCCTCCATTCTTTGCATAACGCCATACATAAATGTGTCTCTTCAATGCATCCTTGGTAAGCTCACTGTTGGTATATGTAGATCCATGCCAAGTGATACCGTCATGCGGCACACCACGTAGAATATCAGCATGCTCTTCGTAAAACTCCAGCACAGAAGTACTAGAGTTGTCAAACACAGTTTCTACTTCAGCGGTGGCTATGTTGTATACGACATAGACGGCCAGCTGAATAGATGCCTCCGTTTGCTATACAATACAATGTTAATGAAGTTCATCTTATAGATGCTAGAGAAGAACAACTTACTCGGCTAGATGTCTGAGTTACGATGTTTAATTTGATCAAAATCTTATTCCCACTTAGCAATTGGATTCGCCATAGCTTCATTTGCGCGAAAGCATCAAAGTTGCAATAAAAATGCCTTAAGCTCACTCCACTACGACAACCGACATTAGGCATGAAATAAGGGCGGCTTATAAACAGTGTATTGAAATGAAAATGGCTTTTTTTCTTACCTGTCTTTGGCATTGGCGGCCTGGCGAAACATGTATACCATGAACTTTTGCCTAAATCCACTGATCAACCTTGGATCCTGTTGGGAGCGGTAAGATAACTATCAGACATCCACCACCCTGCATACTATATGCGCCTTACCTCCTCATATTTTTGTTCGCATTCATCCTCCGTATCAGCATTTGTGGGTTCTGGAAGCTCTAAAGACGTATCTTCTAGTTCATGTACAGGAAGAGCGTCGTTTGACACCGTCGATCTAGGAGAATGGGTATTGGAGGGAGATGGTGCTCGATGAGGCAGAAGATACGGCATAGTGTGACTCTCTCGTGGTGGCTGGTCAAGATCGGCCACAGATGCAGTTCGCTTGAGTCCATGATGCTCGTACATTTTCATGGCGCTTTCTTGGTTCTCACGAAACGCTGTTTCCTTGGCAATATGCTGTCGAAGTAAAGATTCTTCGTCTTCATTATTGAACCATCCAATTGAGCGCAGTTTCCTCAAACAGCCGGTTCCCTAATTCATGTAACCAAACATTGTTACTTAAAAATGGTATACCAATAGAGTTTTTACTTTTCCACTGTAAGTTTACCATGATTTGGAATAAATGAATTGTCTGGTTCTGCACCGACATGACAGCAAAGATATTTTGAAAAAGGCTGACACCTGCATGTTGAGGTAATAAAATATAATCGTTTTGAAAACACAGTGTATCGACCACCTAGGATCCAAAAAAAAATAAAAGTCAGCAGCCTTCCACCATCAAAGTACATTGTCTCCTGATGCCTCTCACCTGCCCAGTTTGAATATCGACCGAATAGAATATCGTGTCCATCAAGGCGGATATACTACTCAGGCTACATAGGTATTGTCGGGATTCTCCTGGTGTGCACCTAGACGGAGCAGAAGACGCCAGGATCATCTATGTAAACAACATGAATGTGGGTAAATACGACAGTGAAGGTCAATGTGCCATGGCCAATGCTCCAGTGGGAAAAAGAAAATATATTACATATTGGTGATCAGAGGAAACAAGACAGAATTCTTTGCATAAACTGTGTCGTGGTTCTTGAATGATTTCGCTATGGTATAAGAATTTGAAGTAACGGCTGAAAATGTCATCCTCCAATTTGAGTTGCCAATCGTCCTGACTAGTATTGATCTCCGATGGCGGTTCTGTCAACGGTTTACCTGGATAACGAAAAGTGTACACTCGAATACCATCTCCTTGACGGGTATATCCGATTAACAGCTGTAAAGTAGTGGGATTGATTAGACAACACCTTGGTCAGAAATTTAATTCAAAGTAGCACTTTTTTATTACAAAAAAAAAAAAGGTACTTGCCTTGCCATCAGGAGTGAATCGCCTTGGAAGAAACCCGCCAGGCAACTCGACTTTGTATAACGTTTCATTGGGAGTAATTGCAGAGTAGAGTTGTCGAGTGAGGATGGTGGCCGATTGAATACCTCGACCTTTGCCACCAATCTCTCTTTGGCGTAATGTGTGGAAGAGGATCTGATCCTTGCGTGGGCGGGAGGCCATGCAATTTGTTTTTGGCAAGCAATGCAGATGAAGTAAAAGAAGGAGTATATGTGGAAGGGAAGACGTATGTCTCTGGAATGAGTTGCCAACAGCTACAGTTTTTTATGCAGCTGGTTGAACTGTACTGGAGTGAGTGATACTGTGGAAAGAAAATACTGGGCGAAATTTCCACCAGACCAACTGATTGTCCATATGCTGTGGCCAGCCTCCTCGGAGGACCGTAATGCGAACTTTTGGAAGGTTTCTTTGACCTTGATACCGACACTACCCAGACAGCACTACACAATATGGAAAAGGTCATGTCTAGATTTAATAAAAAGATCATCCATAGAGGCTGACCATATGCAATTCGCACCATTTAAGAATCTTTCTACGTTGCCTTACAGAACATCCTATATTTCTCATTTTCAGTCTATGAAGTGGTTGGTTGAAGAGCTTAAGAGTATTTGACAAAAAGAGGTTATTCAATATCAAAGTGACTAAAAAAAAATTAGGATATCTATGCTATGATGATAAGCTTTCAAATCTCTCTGAAATATCGTATGAGCTTGCGACTAACATAGTCCAACTATGTTTGAAAGGCGATACGCGGGATTGGGCCGAAATGGTTTATAGACATAGAGGCGATTTTCAAAACTGGGATTTCATAAATTTGAACTCCTAGTATTTCAGTCTCCTTCGCTTGTTTGATGAAGCTAAAGCAATCTGTCTCATAGAAGAGAAAATCATATTCACAACATGGCGCACTGCCATTTCAGCCAACAGAACTGCACCACAGCCTGTCCCTGAGTCAGTGACCTACGCCAGAGCCTACGCCAGAGTAAAAATTTAGATACACCATTTTTATGCACACACGTTATTCCTATACATCAGCAACCACGGTGCTCTGCACTCTGCTAGCGAGACAGACGCTTTTCTACAGCAGGCAGTAAAATGCATGACGATAATATTTTTGAAATTCCGCATTGTGCTCTCTCTCCCTGCCCTGGTTCAGATGTTGCCCAGCCACTGTCGCGTCACATGCCCGAGGAGCTGTATGAAAATAGTTCGAATCAAGTGGCGAAAACGGGCTTTGCTTTTTAGTCTACTGCTTTGACGTCGCCATGTTACTTTTAGCCATAGTCCCGTCTGTGGTGTCTCTTGCCACCTCTGTTCTCGCCTATGGTCGCCCCATGGCTCCTTACAACGGCCACTACGACCTTGTTGGCGCACCACCGAGCGAGGAACTACCAACCGACCTGATGAAAGAAATCGACGAGTTGCTCGACAAGATATTTAATATCAGCTCTGAGAACACTGAATCCGAACCACCCAAGACAGATACCACCGATCCATGGGCCAATATCAACATCGATCCATACATGGCCATCACTACCGACGACGAATGGTGCCCTCACGGCGAAGGCAACTATTGCGGACAATACGTTGGCAAAGATTCTTCAAAGTTATATCACTGCTCGGTGTACAACGGAAAGGCGCACTGGACGCAACAAGAAGTTTGCTCAAAAGGATGCATATGTGAGTCAGCAGCGTGCTTCGACGAGATACCCTGCATAAAAAGTAGCTGACACTTGTTTTTTGACTAACGCCTCGTAGTGCAACCTGCAGAATACGATGATCACTGTGAAGCAGAGGCAGATTGTCCGCATGGGGATGGCATGTACTGTGGGCGAACGATCGGAAGAGACCTTCATCACCTCTACCGATGCAACTCCGGCGTCATCAAAGATATGGGATACTGTCCTAACGGATGCGAACAGACAGCCGACGGAGTAAGTTAAGTCTTGGCTAGACAAAATGACTGTCCAGCCCGCCCGAAGTGGTGTTTAAATTAAATCGGTTCACTGATACATTGCTCCAAACTTTTTATCAACCCATTTACACAGATTTCCGATTACTGTCGGTATGTCAATGCAAGTGTTCAAGGTTTCAGTATCAATGCTGCTTCACTACAAAAGTTGAAATCCCATGTTGGCTTCACTCCAAATATGCACCAGCGATATGACTAGTAAGTACCCATGGAGCATTAGGGACCTCGCTGCATAAGTTACAAGTCACTCACACTACTCTACCTTTGCAGTATTTGGCAAATTGGCTATGGCCATCTTTGTGAACCGTACGAGGTTTGTCAAGGCGTTCCAGTTCCAGTCAACGAAACCTTTGCTACCACTTTACTGGCTGAAGACTTGAAGGAGGTATCAACGTGTGTCTGCAAGTTTGCTCATGGAAAAGGCTTAAACGGTGAGTATTAAGTTCTTCACAGCTTACTATAGAGTTTTGATGGCTGCATATTTCATTGGCTGCATATATTGCATTGGCGTGATATTTATATCTCGTTCTCATAAAAATGGCTCGTTTCATTGCAGATAATCAATTTGGTGCCTTGGTGGATTACGCATACACTTCAGCGGACGGTTGCCAAGACCTCCAGTCTAAATCTTTCAGTAACACGACGTCTCCTTCTGGAATCTTTGATGACGACTCATGGGGCCAAGACCTCAGTAATTTATGGCATCTAAATAGCCAGACTGCTGCTCCCTGTTAAAAAAGCTTCAGCGGTTGAGGCTACTTTCCAGATCTATTGCTGTTATACTGTTACTTCATTCCACTCACTTCACGTCATACCCACATTGCGTATCAGCAGTCTCATAGTCCATATTTCCTACTCCTATCCCTCCCTACCTTGGCTTCCCAGTCTATTCACCACCGCGTCTATAATAAATATATCTCAAAAGAGTCCCTCCATGAATATGACCACCACTATTCCACTCAACAAATCATTTACAAAAACTCATGTTTAATGGATAAAAAATAATGGACAATGATACAAAATATAAATGAGAGGAGAAGTTGAGTGGATGGGAAACACGAAACAACTAGGTATCGGGGTAGGGTGGTAGGGTTGCTAATTGTTTTTCATTCTTTCTTTTTTTTTCTACAGAGGAAATTGAGGATGTAAAGGTCTCTATTTTTCATTTCTACATGGCAGATCGTTCGATGCGTTCTTCTTCGAAATTGTTCTTATCTGCACTGGAAGCACTGAGGTGTTCATCGCTGAAATTCTCGGCATCGGTGTTGGCACGAAGCTGCTTGGCTTGGTAGGCACTTCCCTGGAACAGTTCCGGCATGGCCTCGAGCATGATGCCCTTGGTTTCGGGAACGAGGAAGAAGGTATAGATAGCCATGATGATACAGAATGAACCAAACAAGAAGTAGGTGCCGTAGACGATGGACGCCAACAGAAGAGGACCCACTTTACCAATGATGGCGTTGAAGGCCCAGTTAATAGCAGTGTACAACGAACCAGCTTGTGCACGAATATTAGTGGGGAAGATTTCTGAGGTATAGACCCATACAACAGGACCCCAGGACATGGAGTAGACACAGGCAAACATAAAGATAAAGACAACACCAACATAGCTGGTGGCTCCGATGGAGGCATCGGGAGTCTGGAGTGGCATGATCTTGACCATGGCTCCGACCATGAACATACAGATAGCCATACCAATACCACCGAAGATCAATGGCTTACGGCGACCGACTCTGTCGGTGATGAAGAAGGCAGTGAACAGAGTGACGAAGATTTTCAAGGTACCATAGAGACCGGTAGCAAGCAAATCGGCCTCATCTCCGCTGAGACCAATACTCTTGAAGATGGTTGGGGAGTACTAGTGAAGTAGGAAAATACTTTAGCTTTAAGTCTACGATGGAAAAAAAATTGCTCCAGTATGGACTTACGTAATTGATGACATTGGAACCAGTTAAGATTTGGAACATTTGTAGACAGCATCCAATGAACAAGCGCTTGCGGTTACTCTTTGATATGACATCCGTCCACTTTACTGGACCGAGAGCGGACTCAGCACGCAGACCTTCGCTGATTTCAGCAAACTCTTCTTCAGCTTCTTGACCACGAAGGAAACGAAGGGATTTGCGAGCTTTATCATCATGACCATGAGCAATGAGCCAACGGGGAGTTTCGGTCAGGGGAATCATACCGATGAAGACGAGGACGGCCCTATAAAAATGATGTCTGTGGTTAATTTATGGTTTAGATTAGGAGGGCGATAGGAGTGAGAAACCTACCAAAGACATTGGAGACCGAGAGGAAGTCTCCATAGCAGATCATTATCAGAAGCAATGGTACGCTTGCATGCATAGTTAATCCAGTATGAGATAGCGATACCGAAGACAATGAATACTGGAATAGATTATGTTAGACGTGTGCGACCGACAGTTTCAAAGTGTCACCGTGTTAAGTTACCTTGCCAAAGTGTGCCGAGCTTTCCACGAAGATTCTGGGGAGAAATCTCCGCAATATAAATTGGCACCAAGCAGGAATTAGCACCTGGGAAAATTTGATATGAGTGAGCGGCAAAGTTCCCGTTATGGACAAAGTACCTGTTGTAGAAAAGTAAAAACGTACCGATGCCAAACCCAGCCAATATTCTTCCAGCGTACAGCATGCCGATATCCGAACCTATGGTCTGCAGAATACCACCCACGATGAACACAACGGAATAGCCCATAACCGACCATCTTCGGCCAAAGCGATCACCAAAGAAATTGGCTGATAGAGCTCCGACTAAACAGCCGACCTAGAATGGGAAAAATACCATCATTGTCAGTTACCAGAACCATATTACACTTGTTAAAATCTTGGTGGCCGTCATACCTGTAGCAATGAAACGACGTTGCCATTTAAGTTGGCACTTTCAGCAGCAGTGATGTTGAAATGCTTTTGGAAACTGGTGAATAACGGAGGTTAGTTTATCTGTATCTAAATGTTCATGATCTGAAGTTGTGTTCGTTTACATACCTAGCAAAGCCTAGGACACCACCGATGACACCCTAAAGTGAAAAGAAAAGGTTAACATGTTATGCCTTTCTAAGCAAGGTAGTACCATGAAAGTAGACATTACGGTATCTAGATACAAAAAGGCAAAATGTTAACAGGGAGACTTGGGGTTGGAGTGATATGAACAGCGGGATAACTAACCATATCCAAAGGTTGTGGCACTTAGAGAGGACACACAGACAGCGAGCCATAGAGAGATAGTGTTCGAACCCATTTGGAATGCTGGATAACAAGTGAAAGCAAGGGGAGAATCAGCTCGAGTTATATACTAGAGACCGGGCATCCGCTGAACTCAATGGCACAATCTTTGAACTCTAATTTGTGCTTGCCTTTCTGATACAAGATTGTGTTGGATGCAGATCACGTTGCCTGCGAACCCCCACATTTTCCCAACCTTCCCCGCACCTCCCCAGCATAAGTCTGGGGAGTTCCGCCTGAAAGTGAATGACGAAATGGTCTCCCCGGAGAGAAAACCACAGCTTTTTTCCCGTTGGTTTTTCACTTTTTGTTTTCCAAACCAATGAAAAAATGTCCCATCTACCAGCTTTCTTCCTACCTGTCATCCGGGAAAGTTTGTTGGATGAAACAAGTTAATGCTGATAAGACAGATCCACCCCCCCCGCACAAGTTTGGACCCCAAACTCCGTTGGAGTTATTCCTCGGTCTCTACTCATCCGCCCAGAAAAATATAACCTAACCCCAGCGCAAGCGAGTTCTCTTTAACAAGTAAACTTTGGCTTGCACTCCGCGTTGGCCTTGGGTAAGCGGAGTCGATGGTACCAGGCCAAAGGCACCTTCAGCATGTGATAATTCATAAGGCCTTTAGGTGACGGAAACTCGATTTATAAAAAATATTAGTGATAGATAAAATAATAAACAGCAGGGCCTTCCTTCTTTCACACACGTAAATACAAAAATGTCTCTTAGCAAAGTGATGAGCAGCTCCATTCTGCGCAACGCCTATTTCCGTTCCCAGGCTCTTCGTGCCATGTCCACATCCGCCATCCAACAAAAGGAAATCAAGAACGTCACTGTCATTGGTGCTGGTTTGATGGGCGCTGGCATTGCCCAGGTGGCTGCTCAAGCCCAGCTCAAGGTCACTTTGGTCGACACCACCGACAAGGCGTTGGAAAATGGACGAACCATCATCACCAACTCTATCAAACGCGTGGCCAAAAAAATGCATCCCGAAGATCAAGCCAAGCAACAGGAATACATCGATGCTGCTTTCCAGAACATCTCCACGACCACAGACTCGAAGCAGGCGGCCAAGGATGCTGATTTGATTGTCGAAGCCATTGTTGAAAACATCAAAGTCAAGCAACAACTGTTCAAGGATCTCGACAACGCTGCTCCCGAACACACTATCTTTTGCTCCAACACCTCGTCTCTCTCCGTCACCGAAATCGCCAAAGCTACCTCCGACAAGCGTAGACAACAGTTCGCCGGCTTGCATTTCTTCAACCCTGTGCCTGCCATGAAGCTTGTTGAAATTGTGCGCACTGAAGAGTTGCAGGATGCCGTGTTCGACCAGCTCTCCCAAGTCACCAAAAAGATCGGCAAGACCCCTGTTTCTTGCAAGGATACCCCTGGGTAAGTAAAAAATGCGCGCTCAAATCGCATCAACTCAACTCAACTTGACGCATTTCCCTCATTTTTTGTTGGTAGCTTCATCGTCAACCGCTTGTTGGTGCCTTATATGCTGGAGGCGTTCCGTATCTTGGATAGAGGAGAAGCTTCGCCCCAGGACGTTGACACTGCCATGAAGTTGGGTGCAGGTATGCCGATGGGACCCATTGAACTCGCTGATTTCGTTGGTCTGGATACCATGAAGTTCATTGCCGATGGATGGAGAGAGACGGGTGGTATTGAGCCCTCCTTGGTCACCCCCGTCAAGGTTCTCGATGAACTTGTCGCTGAAGGTCGTCTGGGACGCAAGAGCGGCAAGGGTTTCTACGATTATAGCAAGAAATAGACATGCTCAAGCTGTTGTGGTATAATGTTTGGATTATAAAGAATAATAAAAGGTAACAAAAACGTATCAACTCAAGTTGGAGAGGCTATATTACAAGTGGTACGATGGTTTTTTTTTTTACAGGTTATTGTACATGTCTCGCAAAATGTCTCGGTCTTTAAGCAGGACGGTCGAGTCTACGGTGAGGATTTTTTTGCCGGCAGCTTTTTCTGGAGAGTGGCTAGGTGGTTGTGGTACATGATGGAGTAAGTGAGCGTCTTTTGGGAGAGAGTATGTCTAAAAACACCGGTTAGTGCATGTAAATGTGTCCTTTTTGCATTGGCTAGTCTAGCTTACCCAGTGGTTCGTATCAACCAGCTGTAGAAAGGACCGAAATAGGGATGCGTGACTTAGAGTGGACCGTGACCCAAACACGATGAGTTTACGTTTCGCCCGTGTAAGAGCAACATTCAGTCTTCTCCAGTCTTTCAATAAATTACCCGTCTGGTTATAGAGACAATGGTGAGTAAAAGCATGAAAGCCACTTCGGTACAACGACGAGCAACACTCACATTGCCGTTGGGGTTGCTACGAACAAGCGATACAATAACACATGCTTTGTCGCGACCTTGGTACTTGTCAATGGTATGAACCTCGACCTTTTCCCTTCCCTTCAGCATGCGACTTATTAAATGTAATTGCGCACGGTACGGGGTGATGATGCCAATTTTAGACTCTTGTACACCCATAGCCAATAGCATTTCTACAGTCTGTGGGGCAACCGTCACATTAGTTATTACAATGCTTTGTTTCGCCAGACGTAGGCCACAAACTTAAATGGTTTCAATATGAGAACTCATTTTACCTGATGCACCAGGGTAGCCTCTATTTCGTTATGCAAAGCGTTGGCTGATAGTCGAGTATCAGGGGCGGGCACGTCATCCGTGTCGATAAATAGCACAGCACGCCTAGAATACAAGCATTAATATATGCCAACGTGATGCCGGGCCTGAAGGTTATATTCCAAAACTTACTTGGGGTCAATCACATTCTCTAACCAACATTCAGTGCCAGGGCATCGGTGGGGTCCAGTGTGCTTTTGGCTGAATAGGTGTAGGCCACGAGATCCCGCCGATACCGCAGGAACATCCAACGTCATATGAGCAATCGCTTCAGTGCCACATTTCAATTTGTTATCATAAATAAGATGATTCGAGAGGGTCATGATATCCTTGTTCATGCGGTACTGGTGCTCAAGGTACACGAGTGCATTGGGGTGAGCCTCGGATAAAAATTTGAATAAAGACTTGGTAAACCCTTTGTCCCTAGCTTCTTCGTTTCGAACCTGAAAGTTGGGTGGCGGCGCCTTGGTTGAATGGATAGCACTATGTTAAAGTAGGGTGAAAAAAGGTTAACTTACCAGGGGGGGTAATTGGTAATGATCGCCGACTAGGACAAAGACATCCGCAAATCTTAGAGGACCAAGGCAAACGGGTAACGTGATTTGAGAGGCCTCGTCTACTATACAATAATCGAATTTGCGACGGCGGAACATTGGGCTGCAACAGAATAAGTACAATTTGTATAAGCAGTCAGGGATATGTATCAAGGGTTGTCATTGAAAATGCCTTCAACTTACTGCCCAATGCCAAGACAAGTTGTGCCTACCACCTGACTTTTTTCATAGAGATTGACCAGCTGCTGCACCGTATGGGATGAGCCGTCAACATTAGGCATACAGTCATGTAGCGCTGGGGACACCTATTAGGAGTGTCAGCTCATGGCGCCATCGATGATCATCACGCCACTATTTTTTTCCTCACCTTTTCAATATTACCAATCCGTAAAACATCGATGCCGCTATCTCTGACCTTGGAGAGCACGTTATCCACAGCAGTATGGGTATACGATGTCAACAAAATGGATTTGCCTTGCTTGACTAAACTCTGAATAATGTGTGCTATTGTGGTTGTTTTCCCTGTGCCAGGCATGCCCAGAATGAGACAATAGTCTTGAGCTGTGGAGGTAAAGTTAATATATGGCTCTCTAGCAGCTATGTCAGATTTGTTCGGCTTAACCCACCATTCAAAACTTGATCAGCAGCACGGAGCTGATCAGTATTGAGATCATGATGTGGAGTATGGTCCAAGTGCTCCTTGGTGGCGGAAAACCTCGGTTCTTCCAAATCAACGATCAGTCTGCGTCTCTTTGCGTCGCCGCCATCCTCTTCCCTCAAAAACAAGGTCAACAGATTATTTCTAACCAGACCCATGCCGGCTGCGATTTCGTCCTTGTCAATGCGGTAATGCGTGGTATCTCGCGTATTAGCATCCTTGACTCCGGCAAACGTCTGGTTCTCCTTATCGTCAAAGTGGAGAGCCTGGCGAGAGGGTAGACCTCGGAAGGGTCGGGTGAGCGACACCGTTAGAATTGTCTTTCGAATGCGGGTGACAAATCCCATGCCCAAATTGATGTGATCTGCTTCCGAGGATACAACAATTGGATCACCCACAGAGATATGGCCATGCAGTCTTGTCACATTGCTGATAACTTCTTCATCATCATCATCTCCCTGGTGATTGAGGATAGCTCGATTCACCTCGTCACGATGTCTTTGGAAATCATAGATGTTCTGGTGGGTGTCGTCGGGGTGATTGGATTTGCCTATGAATTCCAAATGACTCCAGCAACGACCTGATTTTTCCTTGGTATGAGAATCTACCGTCCATATATCTCTTCGCAATCGATGTATGTCTCCTTCCTCTAACCGAATCAGCTCCTCCCATGTACGAAAGAATTCAAGATGATGGTCATTAAGATGATTGGTCTTGTCTTCAAAGATTTGGCCAAGCCCACTTGATTGAGCTGTACCGCGTTCTAAAGACTTGTGGTGTACAACACAAGCATCAACAGAATAACAACGTTGACATGTGTGGAGGTTTTTGATCATAGGCGGGAGATGCAGATTATCCTTGAAAGCCACAGCAAGGGTGTTTCTGCCGATAATAAGTCCACGAACTTCATTTCTTAAGGGTGGGATTAATAGGACATCATTTGTCTTTGAATAAAATAGTATAGCAGCGGAAATATCGATGTCTGAAAAAAAAAAAACCGAGAAATGAACAACGCGTTTCTCAAATGGAGGGTCAGGGCATACTATCACTTTACCGTAACGGTCATGCATTAGGAGAGTGTAAAGTATGGTTTGTGCACGATGAGCCAAAATTTTACTCTTGACACCCGTTTTGATTTCGAGAGGAATGGTAAGCGTTTGCGTGGTTAAGCCTTTCTTGACCTTGGCTTGAACAGTGACATCAATCATGCCCTTGATTCCATACATAGGACTCCAAATGTGCTCTTCAATATCCAAAACCTTTTCAATGCCTACCACAACTGGTTGATGGCGGTCGTGCCCAAAACTTGGACCTCGATCCGTGACCACGGTTGCGTGGGATGGAGGTTCGGCGGTCAAATACGTGGCAGCCCAGGATTGCATGCCGGGTATATAGCGTTCCAAAATCAGCAGAACCTTTTCTTCCGACTGATCTATGGCATACAATTCCTCCACGCTGGTCATGACGATCCGCCTCATTTCAGCCTTGACTCGGTCGAACAAAAAATCGCCACCTGGGATCAAACTTTGGAACACCTTGTGCAGAATTTCACCATGTACAAGCGCCTCGTTGTAGTCAGCTGTGTCTCGTATTCGATCTCGAAGCACAGCCCTTCGAACACAGATAAAGCTATCGGAAACGGCAGTGCTGGAGATTAAAGTATCTGGATGTATGATTAAAAGATTTTGCTTGTTATCAACAACGATGATTTTTTCTCTCGGGTTGGGACAAATGACATGAATGAGATCGCCTGTGATAGAAAATGAGTGAGACGACGGGTCAAACGTTTCAGCTAGTGCATGAATGCATTTAAAACAAAAGGTAAAATGGATACGTACCGCATACAATGGCACTGTGAATCCAGTCATCTCGTAATTTGACTCGGTGTTCGGTATTGTCTGTTTCCTCCAGCAAGTAAAGTGTCTGTATGAAAAGGTCAGCTTACGGCCATGCCAAGAAATATAAGCTACTATGGTTGTTGTTACCTTTTCAGGTAGTTGGGTACTGGTGTCATCCAGGGAATATATGGTGCTGTGGATTTCCATGATGAGGAAGCGACCATATCGCTTTGATCGCGAATTATTCTGGAATGTCTAATAATAGCCAAGCGGTCAATGAAGAGATCAATGAAAGACTCCAGCTGCAAGAAGGTGTATTTTTATGTTTTGGTCTTACCTGAGGGCTATCTGACACAGCAACTTTCGGCTGAGGGGCTGCATCCGTCCTATCTTGCGTAATGGCTAACAAGGCGTCAAGATCTTCAATGGGTATATCGTCGCCAAATTCATCGATTTCTTGTGAGTTGAAATCACTGTCTTTGACTTTTTTGGAAGCAGGCGGCGAGTGATTTTCAACCAAGGGTCTTTTGTTGGTTTGCTTCGATTGCTTCTCCAGCTGCAATTTATGTAGTAACGAAGTGGTCGGCTTTGAAGTAGTAGGCTGTACTCCGCTGCTGCCAATTTTAAGCTCTTGTGTGGACTTATCGCGTAGGTGTATATTAGACAAGAAGGAGGAAGGCGAATCAGGGGAAGGTGATTTCGGTATTGCAAAAAGGTCTTGTATACTGGATGCTGGGCGGTTAAATACAGTTTGGGCATTAGCGCCATGGGCAAACCAAGTAGGAAACTGGTCGTCATTGGCTTCTCCTGAGGTACATTATACAATTAGGTACTCAGTCGTCTTTACATTGTGTGTGCATAAGGAAACTCACCAAGTTGAAGCTGACGGCGTTTCAAAGTTTTGACGGTAGGAGACCTGAACCAATCGTCCGGAGTCTTGTCTTGAGAAGCGGTTTCTTTCGTCTCATTTAGCTGCAATGGCGTGTGCAAGGAATCGGACATGCTGGCGCTTAGGACGCGTCTGGAGCCATAACGTCAGGGCAGCCCAAAAATTCCAAAATGGCCAGTGCTCGCGACCAATATTTTAACGGTCACATCCAGCAAAGGGAGCAAAGGAAAAAAAAAAAAAAAAGGCAAGTAATTTTTCAACAACGCTTGTCAACTCAGCACATCCTTCTCAGCTGCTCAGTAGACTGAAATTAAACAGCTTAAACACTCGGGTAAGCCCATTGGTTCCATCCATCCGACCTGCTGTTCGATTTAAACTATTTGTTTGCGTCAGGCAGGCTGTCAAAGCTCGGGCTGATCAGTTGATGGGGGCTCAACGTTGACTTAGAATCAAACAACCACATGTACATACACGGCTGATCCCCTCCTGAAAAGCTGGCTGGCTTGACCCAAATCAAATGAAAAAGAGAGTTTCTATAATTATACAGCGGTTCTATGGTTCATTGGAAATGAGGATCCGCACGCTCTAAACGTACAGCAGTGAAAAGCTGAAGCTGAAATGATCGGAAACAAATGACTGGTCCGTTGTCCCTGAAGCTGAGCTAAGCAGAGAAACAGTATGACCCGTCATGTGATGCTCGAACCTGAGTCGGTATTGAATGTTACCTTTGGCACGAAAATCCGAGTCGGGCATAGTATTCCATGTGTGCAGAAGTCTAGAACAGTGGTTTGATTATCAAAGAGTAGGCTTTACTATGGCATGGAGACATAGCCTGGTTATTCCCGCTCAGCAGGCATTGAATGTTGGCAAATGCTAAGGAGCGCACACATGTATTCTCAGTAAGCTGGCGTGTGAGACGAGGAGCGTAATAGCGATCGGATTTGCCGTTGATAAGCAGCTCAGCTCTCATTGGTGTGATGCCAAAAACGGGAGTTTAAAAGGCACGGAACGGGCTTTGAAATCACCAGATTGCTCCATATAGAAATAGGCAAATGAATTCAAACAGAAAAAAATTGTATATAAGCAAACCCTTGCCTTGAGATTGCCTTCTCCAGCTTTTCTCCAACACTTCTTTATTATCCATCCAGCAACTTCCACCAACATGGTCGCCATGAATAATTAAATCTGTCAATTCATTCCAACGTTGTTATATCTTACCTGCCTTTACTCACCTCGATCCACCCAACCTTAACATCAATGCTTCAAACCCCCACCACCGCCGATAGTCCAACCACAACATCAGTGTGCTCAAGAAGCCCAGAGGCACTTTTATGTAAGCTTGTTTCTAGACAGAGCCTCAGCGCGCGCAATCTGGTTATTAACCTGTTATCCTATATAGCCTTCACCACCACTACGGCCACCTCTTTACTACCTTGTTCTCGTCAGCTGATCAAGCACCACCGTCTCCCGCCCCTCGGTCAATTCATTGCTCTCGTTTTTGGACGATGCAATTTACCGGCTTCTGTATGCCTTGTGTCCCTCATCTACTTGCACCGTTTAAAGTTACGGCTTCCTCGATATGCACGTGGTGATTATGATACCCCTTATAGACTCTTCTTAGCCGCCATCCTAACCGCCTCCAAGTTCATGTCGGAAGGTGGTACTGGCTTGACTTCCCAGATGATCAGCCAAATTACCGATGGTCTTTATACTGCCAAGGATGTTAATTTAATGGAACGAAGCTTCCTTGGTCTCATGCGATATGAACTTTGGATCGACGTTGACGAAGTTAAATTATTTTTACAAGAAAATGGCAGTGAATTGGAAATGGAACTTCGTGAAGTGGTCATGCAAGACGGTGTCGATTGGTGGAAAGAATTGTAAATTTAACCTGCCTTCTCTCCTTTATTTTTTTTTCTTTTCTCCTTTGTACATAGTGTATTTGCTTTTTCCTTTTTTCTTTTCTTAGATGAACGTCAAGAGACTGTAGAAATTGGCTGTAGATAATAATATAAACTCCTAATACATGTTTGTAATTTCAACCTTATGCCTCTTTTTTTTTCCATGGTTGTACGAAAAGATTCTAGGCAATCGCAAATTGCCGAGTTAGGCGGGGAAGCGGGCAACGTGAGCGAGTCTGTGTAAATTAGTTGCCGCCTGTCCTTCTCCAAATTGGTAGAATGTGACAATTCCGGCTGGCAATAAGCAGGCAGGCATCACCACTGCAAATGAACATGAGCGCGTACTCTCCCTCCACCCATCATGACTAAATAGGCTCATCCGACTGCTTAAGGAGCTTGTGGACAGAACCTGCATACTTCAACTTAACTCCTAATCTCCACTCTGACTTGCTTTTCCTAGTCGCCGGTCATTTAGGCAAGGGTCATCCGTCCCTCCATTTCTTTTATTGAAAACACCGGCTTTCTCTTAGCGTCCTTATCGTACGCCCCTTTGGTCAGTCACGCCAAACCCGCTGCATAACGCGAGCATACACCACGCTGGGTCAACATGGTGGGTGGAAGCCATCGATTACACACACCGTGACATATCTCATTTCCACCTTCAGCCACTTTAAGCAAGTATGGTCGCCGCTCATCAGGGTGCTTCTCCTCCTTGCGTCTCAGAATGGCAAGCCGGTAACGTACAGAAAGGGTAAAGATCGATATTGAACAATTAAACAAACAGACAGGCTTAAACGAACAGGCAGACAAAACTCCAATGGTAGTCATTGGACGCAAGTAGCTTGATTAAGTAAAGGCCCAAGTGTGAAAATATGCTTCCCTGTCATGCTACGCCCAACCCAAACGCCTCCGAAACCCCACTGTTCTCACGTAGCGTTGATAGCATTAGTCAGATGGTCAGCTCAGCTCATCTTTGGCCATTGCTTGTTTGTATTAGGGCGGTGTGTTTTTAAACAGATACAGGAGAGAAATAAGTAATAACAAAGACAGACGTTCATGAGGGGCCAATAGCACATGAGGCATGAAATCCTGCTCGCAAACTGGTAGCTGACAAGTAAACATAGCAGTGGACCCTAAGAAAAGAATGAATAAAACCGGCGTAGGTGACGAACGACCAGCACCTCTATGAGATATAACGGAAACCAGGATGCTACAACGAGAGGGCATTAGCACGGCATACTCCAAAGAGACAGTTCACTTGATTTCAACACAAAAGACGTGATGATGTCTTACCTTATCGCAAAGATCTGTTCCTTGGGACTCCTGTTCAAACTGCTCTGGCGTCAAGTTTTCACGGCGCTTATTTTCGCGGTTGAGCAAATACTGCGAGCCATGAATTCGGTTAGCTCAATTCGTAGTGACAGGTCATTTCATGATGGGCTCACCTTGAATGTAAGGGTGGTCACCATACTAGTGCACATCAAAGCCAAACAAATGGCGTGTCCAGTGGTATAGAATGGCGCATCCGTGCTTCGGTACACCTGTCCTCCAATAGCACCACCTGCAGTCACCAATTGATACGTTAATTCCTGGTCCTAACAAGTTTGCTGGGTCGAAGAAAAAATTCAAACTCACCAACATTGCCAATGGAGATAATGAATGCAGTAGCAACACCACGCTTGGTATGACCTCCGATATTGTTGGTAAACCATGACAACATGGCTGGAATATGTGAAAACACGCCGGTAGTGGTAATGCATGCTGCTACATACATGGCCGCTGAACCCTTCGACTTGAGTACAATCAACAAGAGATATCCAAGGGCACCTACGGCCACAGGGAAGAAGATGTGCCAACCACGATCCCGTCGTTTATCAGCATGGATAGCCACCCCGATGGTAAAGATACAAGCTAACAAACAAATGTATTGAGTTAATTCCCAATTTTTGTGGCGCCCTAATCGAAAGGCTCACTTACCAATAGCGTATGGAGGGGCTGACATGGCCTGCGCTGTAAGACTGGTGAAGCCCATACCAGAGATAATGCTAGGCAAGAACAAACTCAAGCTATAAAGAGGAATGGCACCGCAAATGTAGACCAAACTGTGAAGGTAGACTTTGTAGTCGGTGAAAGCAGCTCGGAATTGAACCCATGAAAAGTGCTGTTCAGTGGCAGGTCCTGCATCCAGTCTAAGACGACGAACAACCAACTCTCTCTCGCGCTCATTGAGGACTGTAAACAAAGGAGGGTTTTAGCATTGAGTATACATACATACATTCAAGGTACTTTCTCTCTCGCTGCTGCACTTACACTTTGAGTTTTCGGGGAAATCAGGAAGCACAAAATAACAAGCAAAGGCCAAAATCAGAGTGGGGAGACCTTCCAGGATGAAAATCCACTGCCAGCCATGGAGATTTTGCAAACCTTCCATCTGCATAATACCATAAGCGAGCACACCACCGAAAGCCTAAGAAATGAGCATGAAGGTCAGTTTGTTTTTACTACAGCACTGGGATACATTGCCATCGTATTTACTTACACCGGCAATAGTAGAGCATCCAAAGAATAGAGCAACTCGAGTAGCTTGCTCCTCTCTGTAGATGGAATAGATCAGAGGGACTGAGCGTTAAAAAAAAAATTGAATACCAATTTGGAAAAAGAGCCGATTATACCTTGTATACCAAAGAGATAGATAAAAGATAGTGCCAGGAAATAGACCAGCTTCCGTTATACCCAAGAAAAAACGAGCCACCAAAAGACCAGCAGAGGTTTTGACTGCTGCCATGGCACACATCACCATACCCCATGTAATCATGACGATAGGAATCCATTTGGAAGGACCTATCTTCTTGAGCATCAAGTTGGAGGGTATCTCAAACAAGATCTACCATAAACAGGCTGAGTAAGAATCATTGCTTGTTCAAGCTCCGTGAGAGAAAAAAGAGACTGCCACTACTTACATAACCAATGAAGAAGATGGACAAAGCCCAGTTGTAGTCATTGTCGGAAATGGTGATGGACTTGGTTAGACCGGCAAGTTTGGCATTACCTGATGCAATGCAAATGGAGAGTTAGATTCATTTCTTCCCGCTTCAACCGGTCCTGTTCACCCCCGCTTCACCTCGCTCACACCCGTTCAGCCTCAGCTCACATGTCAGCCCCAATTCAAGGTTTACACTACTTACCGATATTAACTCTATCCAAGAATGAACAGAGGTATAGGACACCTAGGAAAGGAATTAAACGAAGATCCAGTTTCCACAACAAGGCACGCATTTCTGCTTGGCTGGGTTCAACGAATCCGTCCTCGCTCTCGTTGGCGAGCTCCAGGCTGGTCACATCGCCTTTTTCATTTGTGTACACTTGCTCGTCCTTTACCGATGACATGATAGAGAGATAAGATATGTGTCAAGGGAAAAATGAGGGGGAGAGAAAGAAAAGGTGTGGGGATGCCAACCGCTTGCGGTTTTTTAGTTCAATTTATAGAGAAAAAAACCCCATAGATCATCTGCATATCTGAGATCGCTTCAAGGAAAACAAGATCGTGATACATTTTGAGCCGTTACCCAATCAATGCGACGTTAGCCAACGGTTTCCCAGATAGGATTTACAACTGCATTGCCATTCGTCATCTCCGCAGTGTTTCCCACTTCTTTGCAGTCTCGGTTTGATCCGACGAAAAGCATAAACCTGAGTCCGCAAATGAAATACTGTTTAGAAACCACCGTTGTACAAAACCCTACTTTGTGAAATTGTATATTTTGAAAATGCTAAGATGTACACTCCTTTACCCACGACCATTTTCGTCTCTTTTTGTAGCCAATCTGTCGCTCGAGAAGGATCATGGACGTGTGGAGAATACATCTGTACAGGGACCAGAGCGGATGGATGAATAGAGTGGGCTAATACACCTAGTGGCATCTCAACTCACCATCGATATGGCCCAAGTAGGTAACGACTGACTTTAGCAGACTTGAGCCCTCTCGGTGGGGTCTTTCCATCGCAAATGGTTAGTGAGAATTTTTTGTGCTTCCTGTGTTTATTCCACAGTGCCTCGGCCACCAACCGAAAGCTTAGGTGGCTATCCTCTGCCGATTGGAAATGTTTTGTCTGACTTTTCAGGGCTACGCCCTGTCAAATGATTGTACTATCGGCTAATTATTCATGGAAGCGTTCCTTATACTGTTAGTTGGCGGAATGAGGATGAGGATGTGGTTATAGGCTCTAGAGCCACGCTTTTATTCTCAGTCATATAAATAAATAAAAAATTTCTATCTAATGCATCCCAGATCTCTATGCCACGCCAGCATGTTCGCCTTTGTGGCCTGGGAGGGTCAACTTCTAACTTAATTTTTTGTGATCTTTCTTTTGTTTGGGAGGGTGGCCACCACATCCTCGTCCTCATTCCGCCAACTAACAGTAGTTACTTGGCTTGTTGGCACCAAGTGCACCATAAACGACCTACATGGTTTTTGTAAGCATTCCAAGTGAGTTCAAATATGCAAAATCTTACGTATGTTAGACACATTGGTTAACATTTAGATCATGCGTATGTTGATGCAAAAAAAAATTGACTTGTCGAGCATGCTAATAAGTAATAAAAAAGTAATGACTTGACATAACACCAAATGTTCGTCAAGTAGGATATACCACGACATGATTAGGAAAAAATGATTGCGTCGTTGTAATTCAGGCCAATACAATGGATAAATTTTGACGGTACAGATAATATGAATGCTCAGACCATGCAACTATACGCATTGTTAAATATAAAAAAAAAAATTGTTAAACGCACAAGGTTAGGCAGGTACCAGCAGCTTGTGGTGCATGTTTTCTGTTGAACTCAGAGGCACTTCAAGGATGCCATTTAAATTTATTTCATCCAGACGAAATAAACAAAAACCATAAAGACACTATTAAAACATGGTCATAGTTAGAAGAAATCGGCTGAGAAACCCGCGGTCAGCGAATTATTCATAATACGGTTGTCAGCGTTAAATGGTTGTCGTTTGTTGATGGGATGGCGCTGCTCATTGAACGGCTGTAACTTTCAAAGAGAAAGAGAATTAAAGCCACCTGCAAGGACTTGGGACTGCCCACCCATTTCTTTTTCCCAATATCAAACCATCTTAAATTATAAAGATACCATCTGCATTAATGAGTTGTCAAAAATTGGTGGGGCCCTGTCATAATGAAGTAGCGCACGTCCAGAGTCATTTTGACGACGCCCCTAATGCAAAACCTGGTTTTTTAAGGCCCATTCTTACGAAACTTATGGGTAATCACTCGATATCTGTCTCAATTACTTTTACTGTGAGAAGCCAAATTGGGGTATTTTCGTGTGTCATTTCATTTAAAAACATATAGGTAAAACAAAAATAGGCACTAAAAAATAGAGAAAAAGGAACATGGCCGAAAAGGCTTTTTTTTTTTCTGGGTGGGTCATCTACTGGGAGAAAAGACCAACAACCATCAAAGCAACAGCTGTCATCAAGGCAGTCTTGGGCTCAAACATGGTGGCGGCGTTTTGGATGACGTTGGTACTACCGCTGGCAACAGCAGCTCCAGCAGTGCTGACAGCAGCACTACCACCCGAGATGGTGGCAACACCGGAAGCACTGGCGCTGGCAGTGGTGTTGCTGGCGCCAAAGGCAAGGTAGGTGATGTTGCTGTTCATGTAAGGTTCGGTAAGGTTAGCACAGGTAGCAATATCGAGGACATTCTTGTAGGCAGCCTTGATCTGGGGGATATACTCCAAAGCAAGTGACATGGTGGTGTTGTTGATTTCGTGAGTAAGAACAATGTTACCAGAGTTGGCAAAGGTTCCGTTAGTACCCATGGTAATGTAGGCTTCATAGGCAGCTTGAACTTGAGCAACGGTCTCAGTGTCACCAGCAGCCCAATCATTGGTATCAAGGTTCCAGATAATGGCAGTCAAGTTAAGTTGAGTAGCGATCCAACGAACACGATCGTCAATATCACCAAAAGGAGGACGCCAGTACTTGGGAGTGACGCCAATGACGGTCTGGAGAGCCTTCTGGGTGTAGTATAATTCAGCCAAGACTTCTTGATTGGTCAATGTAGTCATAAGTTGATGGGACCAGGTGTGAGCGGAGATATGATGTCCATCTCGGAGACCACGCATGGCACCAGCGGGCCAATCCAAAACGTTGGAACCAATGTAGAACATACTAGCGGTTAAGCTTTGTTGTTGCAAAAAGTCATAGAAGGCATTATGGGAACAATTAGGACCATCATCGTAGGTTAAACCCCACGTCTCAGGTTCGTTACACTGGAAGATATCAGCATTGACTCCGGCAAGCTTTGGTGTAGTACAAGTGGAACTGGACCACCAGCAGTCGGGGTCAGTGGAGGCATCATAGCCAGTGAAATCCAAAGCTCCATTCACTTCGGTGTGAACTGAAATGTTAGGAGCATTGGCCCAGTTAATGGAGTTGTAAAGGGCGGTGAACTCGGCAGAGGTGTTCATGCCGTTGGTGGTAGCAGTATCCCAGATGGTAGGCCATTCTGTGGCATTGATAGTGAGACCAGGAAGAGTGTAGTAAGTACACTCTGTGTTAACGTCATAAGACGTAGTTTGAACAATGTCAGGAAGAGTGATGACGGGAAGGTTGGCGGGCATGTTGGAAGCAGCAACTGTCGCGGCTGAAAAAGCGGCTACAGCAAAGACCTGTTTCCAAGCACTCATGGTGAAAATAAGGAATGAATAAAGTGGAAATGAGAAGAAGCGCTCAGAGCAAGCCGACTATTTATATAATAATTCAAATGACATCCTTATGCGAGTCGCGTTGTGTCCGCGAATACGTTTTTCAATGCGTACAGTTTTTTTTTTTTTTTTTTTCTTGGCGTCCTCCCTTTCAGGTATTCCTCACATGTTTACTCTTGTGAGTGGCGAAGCTCACTCCTCTCTTCATATAGTCTCTGATCCCTTAAGCAATCAACTCGATGAACTGCTTGGATTAGCATCGATTTTTAAGCATTTGGCTCGTTTTTCTTTAGTCTCGCTTTGTAGAATTTCTCCCGTTTTAGAAACAAAAAATAAAAATATTATAAAATAATCAATTTTGGGCAATAAAAGACCGATTGCAGGGAAAACTCTTTTCCAGGTGGCCGACTTCTTTGCTGCTGCTGCAAAAGCTAAGAATAAACCGAGGAAAATGGCCACCCGAAATGCTATGCCGAATTAAGTCGTTTATGGAATTGTTTTTCCTGGGTGAGTGGTGTTTAATTATCATCAGAAGGGGGAACTGTACTTTACAAATGAAAAAAAACGCTCAAGGATTGGATGCCTTGGCTGTTGACTTCAAATAATTTGATATTACAATAAAAAAAGAAAAATTCTTTCTTCACCTAGGCTCTACTGGATGGTTGATCTCACATAAAATAGTCCATAGGCGGCACGCGACTGTAAGGAGAGCAAAATGGGTGAGTGGCCAGCCTCCTTATTCATAGAACATGTCACGGGCATTACCTTTACAGAAGAATCATCACAAACAGAGAATCGGGAATCATCAAATAAGTGCCATTGGCCGCGGTAACCATTTCTGACGCATGCAGTGTCTGTGTTTGGAAGATATATATACATTACGTTCCATTTTTTTTTTTTTTTACTACCAAACCTTTTAGGTGGACTTACAGTGACCGCCAGTAAGGGATCCATAATGGTTCGAAACAGAGTAAAGGTCATACTTGAAACTTGGTTGCTTTTGACTGCCGTCGGGTTGAGCAATGGTCTTGGTGGCCCACGATGGCATATAACCAGATAAATCTAATGAGCTACACAAAAAAACCCATCCCATTTAGCCTTTACAAGTTGGTGACAGGATTACCCGACGTCCCCGAAAAGCTTACTGGATAGGGAAATCAACCATGGTCTCGAGCTTGTCGTTAAACGGCCCGTCAAACGAGAACCGCTTCAAATGAATCATCAAAACATCGGGTAACCTTGATAGAGTGAGTTGCTTGGAGGCTTTACGCAAGGCTTTGCACTTTGGACAATGCCTATATTCAGATGATGTTAGATCCATATGGAGAACTGAGTCCAGCCAGCTGATACCCCGCTGCCCCATCTTGTTTTAAACATTACGTACCATGCGTCATCCTTTTCCATGATCTCTTCTCGAACAAAGTAATCGAGGCACTGCTGTAGCGTCACTTGGCTCGGTCCTCGGCGACTGGCGGGAATGGGCAAAGACAAGGTCATGAATGAATTGTAAGTCGTAGACGTCGTGTGACACGTCAAGCACTGCAAACGATTGCGGAACTGTCCTTGGAATAAACTGACGATAACACTGGAATTTCGTTTGAGGTACTTCTCCCAAGCAATGCCACTGGCTTCCCAGTCTGGCAGTTTTTCAAACCAGGCATCTTGTTCCGGATCTTCAGGTGTAGGTGGCGGCCGTCTTTGCACAACATTCAGGTCTTCATGAAGTCCATCTAATAAAAAGTTCAAGAACTCTTGTGAATCGTGCTGCTCCGACCCTTCGAACTGAGGTGCAAATCGGATAATTGCATTCTGTATGACATAAGTTAGCTTGGCGATACCCCGTAAATTCGCGCAGAGGGGGACCCGGACAAACAAATTTTGTTTCGGTTTCTCTGTTGCCTTACCCTGAACATGACCGGTGAATAGAAGTTGTAGCTTTCACTCCACATAATGCGAATGAGATTGGCAAATGCATCAGCTACCATGCCACCCGTGCCCATATGATTCGTCTTGTTAATGTAATTCTTGTATTTGCCGGCTGCAAAAAGATAGAACGTGTCCATGCACCATTTAGAATAAACCATGTCACACGAGCCTCTGTTTAACGCTTAAGGTTTGAAATTGTCCTTACATAGAAAATATCGCGCGAGGGGGATGGTTCCGCTCAAACACTGAATAATCGAATTCATGTAGCAAGTGTTTCCCAAGTTCTTGAGCCCCGTTGTGCCAATCATCACCGCTCCAAGCTGAGAGAACGAGCTTTGTGACATGGGGGCTTGACCATGCTGTTGTTCAACCGTAGATCCAGTGTACTCCTTATCACCAGTGATAAGTGGCTTTCGTGGGACAGCAGGTGTAATCTGATGGTCAGGCTCAGGCATACGTTTGATGGGAGGGGGAGGAAGAGGGCGATTTGGTTTGGCTGGTAGACTAGGCGGAGCATCGTAAAGATTGCTATCAGTAGACGTGAAGCCATGGAAAGGGTTATCTATGAACGTATTCCTTCGCGTTAAACCAGGGGGTTGCGGCATACTGGAGCTATTCGACGACACTTCTGGGTAGCGTTGCTGGAACTCCTCCTCGGAAGGTGTTGACGAGGTGTTCTTTGCATGATATGCTTCTGGAACTGGCATATGCATGGTTGCACTAGGTTCCTTGGGTATAGATTGCCCAAAAACGCCTTGCATGGGTGGCTTGGGACGCTTCACCGCATTAGACCTTACCATGGACTGTGCGTTGCTACCGTCACCCTGCTTATTAAACTACATGAAAAAAGAAAGCATAAGAATGAAAAATTGTACAAGCTATTGTTGATAAAGTTGGGGGAGTGGTTCTTACATAGTCCATGACAGTGCGATTGATACTGTCACCGTTGCCATAAACGTCTTCTGTTTTGCCAACGACATTCTTGAGCCACAGTTGCTTCTCATGGTGTCGTGGAGGTATATTTTCTTGATCCTGAGGTGGAGGAGGTTGTGATGTCTGAGGTTGTTTCGTCGTAGGAGGAAACACATGGACACCTTTTTGTCCTATCTGCTTTACCCATGCATCAAAGCCACCAACAAGCATGACAGGCACCCTTTGTAGCATTTTGCTAAATTCGTGTTCGTAGATAGCCGCCTTTAGATTCCGCAAAGGCTCATTAAGTGAGAGAGAAATATTGGTCGATGATTGATCATAGTAAACAACCAGGTCGAATTTATGGCGGTTGACAAAATAGATCTGCTCCGACTCCCAGGCCAATACCAAGGATTCTTCGATTTTACGAGACGTGACACTACGATGGTATGTTAGTATGGGGTTCCCATTCATTCAAAAACAGCCCGCAAATCTTACTCTCTTTTGAGAACCATAGGCTCTAACTGAACCACCCACTTATGACAAATGCATCCACGTTTGTACACATCGCGAGGTCGTATATCCAGCAATAAAATGCTAGGAGGATCGTCACGTTTTCCTAACAGCTTTGCTAATTCATCAGGGTTGATGATGGGCGATAGTGGGAATGTGTTCTTGGTCAGCGACGGTAAAGGTATTGAAGAAGTTGCCGAGTGATTGGACTGCAACTGCGGAACAACAGTGCCTCCTACGGTCAATGGTCGGTCGACGCGTGGCGGCTGTACGTGAGGCGAGGTCCAAGCTGGTTTAGTAGCTGGCACTGGAGGTGGTGGATGCTGTGGGGGGTGCAAGGGTGCTTTGCGGATGATCGGAGCATGCGTCGGGACCGCGGGCAAGTCATCCAGGTAGGATGCCGAGTTGCTATGGCTCGAAGAGGAAGAAACGGACCGCTGTGGTGCCTTCTCACTATTGTCCTCTTGAACTCCATCCTTCAGCACTGATTCGATTTCCTCAAGCTTTGGTATAGCGCTTTCTACTTGCTGCTCATGGCCGAAAGAATATTTAGTTGGATCCAACACTAAACGCAGCGGTGTGTTGGTGATTGTACAAACCTTCCGCAGATGAAGATAGGTCGGATCTTCTCTAATAGATTTATACATTGAGTGCTTTCGAAGAATTTCTGTGAACATACTGGAGTGGTTCCCAACGTCAAATAAAAACTACGGTTACTATACAATAATATATGGAGGTCTCATATCGCTAACATACTTGCAACCCTTGAAATAATATACATAAGCGTTGCTAAAATCCTTGCCAGCATACGCCTGATCACCCTGTGATGAGCAAAAAGCATCCAGCCATTAGCAATGAACTGACGAGAGTGTTCCTGTTTGAACAAAGGTACTCTTCCGAAAAGTTACCTTAGCAAAGACCTTGGAAACTGTGGAAATCCAGTGGCGGATGCGGTATTTTTCGGTGTCATCAACGTTGACTACGGCCAATTTCCTCAGGTCCTTTATGGACATTGCTGGTGTGTTGAGGTCCATTGAACTCACAACGCTCATTACAAATGGCGGAAGGAAGGAAACGTTCGGACGGCCAAGAACCCCAAATCTGGCCCATTCGTCGTCACACTTGTTCTGCCTATTTAAAGAAAGTCCGCCGAGTCCAACAGCTTGACGCTCTCTCCCAATGTCAATCCGCCGCAGCAATCGAATCGTATCTCTGCCTGCTGTTGATTACAGTAGGAAAAAGGCATACAGCGTGAAGAGGAAGGTTGAACCGTGAGTTTTTTAGGGGGGATCTCTTGAATGTTCTCGCGTTCAGACGAAGATCTTAACATCCCGTCAACGAGCTAGGACTATTACCAAAGCTAAACGTACCAAGGTAGCCTGATGGATTGGCATACGCTGAACTTTGAGACTTTTTCAATTCCTTACATGTATGAAACTATTTTAGACTGTCAAGAAAACCAATGCTGGGGAAAAAGCGGCCGGCGTCGCTGTCAAAGAGGTAGGGATTTGCCTACTACGTCGCTTAAGAAATGAGTGCACGCACAACTTCCATGTAACTTACAAATTCCGTATAGATTGTGAATATACAGGAAAATGAAGTTGCAGATAAGGATGACATAAAAGTATCTACTACTACAACCAAAGCCGTGGTTTCAAGAGCATATGATTTCTCCGCAGCAATTGGTCATCTAAAGAAAGCAGACCCTAAGCTTGGAGAAATGATGGACGCTGCATCTACCGCCAAATTTCGACAGCGTATTCTGGATAACGGACCATTAAATCCATTTCGGTAAGCAATGGAGATACTTTGCGCATTCATGGCACATATGTTCGATTTTGACATGTCGTTCTCGACTGAAATGTTGCTGACGGTTCATTTGCGTGCGTTGAATAGTGATTTGGCTACTCATATCATATACCAACAAATCCATGGAACGGCAGCCAAAGCGATCTTGAATCGATTTGTAAAACTCTTCGATCCTTCCGAAGAAGAAGTTGATTTACCCAAGGAGCTTGCGTTTTTTCCTACACCGGAAATGGTGATTGCTAAACCGATCCCCGAACTCAGGACGGCTGGACTTTCTCAAAGAAAAGCAGAGTATATCGTTGATCTTGCCACACACTTTGTGGACAAGCGAATCCTTCCCAATAAATTCAAGGATATGACAGATGAAGAGATTTCGGTATGCCTCACCTCCGTACGAGGTATTGGTCAGGTAATATGAATGAGCCGGCTTGATACAATTAGGTTACATGGGCTAACCAACTGGTTCCACATCGTAGTGGACAGTCGATATGTACTTGATCTTCCATCTCGGTCATCCAGACGTTCTCCCACTAGGAGATCTGGGAGTTAGAAAAGGCATGGCGGTTCATTTTGGATTGATGAGTGGTAAGCAGGCAGTTAGCAAAGGCAATAACAAACAACTTCCAAGCCCGGACGATATGGTTCGTCTCACTGAACATTGGAAGGTAAATGTTTTTCGTATTCAGTGGATTTTAACCGAACGTATCATCTCAACATTGAATATTGCAGCCGTATCGATCGGTTGGCTCGTGGTACATGTGGAAAGTGATGGACGGTGTCAGCGCAAAATGAAGTTTTTGGTCCAATTGGAGAGGCGTGGTACCTTGAATGTAATAAACCAGTCACGTTTTTTTATTTCTTTCAATTGTCGGCTGCTCCGTCCTTGCATTTACCCCCCATCGACATCACAATTAGATCCTTAATGAAGAGTGCATTGACCTTTGAGGCGGTGGCAAAGTGTTCCACTACAAAGGCTAGAACCGCCTTACTCACATTACCCCATGGCCCTGTCAATCTACCCGTGTTCATGCCGGTAGGCACTCAAGGTACCTTGAAGGGCATGACTCCGAAACAAGTAGAAGATCAAAACTGTCAAATTATGCTGAACAACACATATCACTTGGTATGGGCTCGATGTAGACTATTTTATTGCATGATCTTCGCTCTAAGTTTTTTATTTGGGTGGCAGGGATTGAAACCGGGACAAGAATTGTTGGACAAGGTTGGCGGAACTCATAAATTTCAAAATTGGAACAGAAACATATTGACGGTAAGAATAGCAGGCAAATGGCAAAACCCCTCGAGTTTCAATTTAAATTCGATGTTCAATTAGGACAGTGGAGGTTTCCAAATGGTTTCATTGTTGAAATTGGCAGAGATCACAGAGGTATGTTGAAACAAAGCGCAATTATCTTCCATACCACCATAGTAACCCGTTGCAATATGTTGGACGTTTTACAGCAAGGTGTTCAATTTGCTTCTCCACATGATGGATCGCTCATGATGCTGACACCCGAGCACTCTATGTCTTTACAAAATTCAATTGGATCGGATATCATGATGCAGCTGGACGACGTGATCTCATCGTTGACCACTGGACCTCGAGTGGAAGAAGCCATGTGGCGATCTATCCGATGGCTTGATCGATGCATAGAAGCTCACCAGCGACCCCATGATCAAAACCTGTTCGCCATTATTCAAGGTGGTCTGGATCCCGAATTACGGCGGAAGTGTGTCGATGAAATGGTCAAACGGGACACGCCTGGATATGCCATTGGAGGATTAAGCGGTGGAGAAGAGAAGGACCAATTTTGGCGAATGTAAGTGTGACTATTTGGTAACCCTGTGATACTGTCAGCTCTATACTTATGTTGCTCTAGTGTGTCACTGTGTACGGATCTGTTGCCAAAGAACAAGCCCATCTACTGTATGGGTGTAGGCTATGCCGAGGATCTCGTGGTCTGTGTGGCATTAGGAGTTCATATGTTTGACTGTGTTTTCCCCACTCGAACTGCAGTAAGTTATTCTCCATTTGTTATGATAATGATGCAAATTTATTTACCTGTCCTTTTAGCGATTTGGTAACGCGCTGACCATGAAAGGCACGCTGTCATTGAAATCCGGTCGGTTTGCAGAGGACTATCAGCCCATTGAGGAAGGTTGTTCCTGCCTGGCGTGTACCAAATACACACGCTCCTATATCCACCTCCTCACCACCAAAGATACAGTTGGTTGTCACTTGATCTCACTCCATAATGTTGCGTTTCAATTACGCTTGATGGGAGAAATCCGAGCTGCCATTGAAAAGGATGAATTTCCGCAGTGGATCCAGCAATTCTTTGCAGGTTACTTTAAAGAAAAGGCCAAGTACCCTCCGTGGGCAGTCAATGCTCTTCGCAGCGTTGGAGTTGATCTCCTTGCCTGATGATGGTGCCTGAATGGTTATTTTTATTTCAATAAAATCTAGACATTTTGGCAGGCAATATTTTATTTCCAAAGCTTGGAAGCCAGACACAGCCCCGTTGCCCCCAAACTCGCTCGCCTGACTCGTACTGTAAATTTTCACTGACTGGGATTTTTGCTGTTCCCTCATCTCTTTCTTTCCCTTCGCTGATAATCAATGGAAAAGTTCAAGGAAGTAAGTAAGCGTTCTTTTGATGGCATTTGATTCATACACATTCCCTTTTGTAAATCAACATGCTCTCTATCATCTCCCCCTCTCATCCTTATCGCTGTCTAACCCGACCCACCCATCTAGAAACTTGCCTCTCTTCGCGCTGAATCCGATGCCGCTAATGCTCGTGCTGATGAACTAGAGGCCAAGGTCAAGCAGTTGGAAGCTGAACACACTTCCAAGGATCACGAAATCTTGTCTTTGCAAATTCGTGTGAAGAATCTCGAAGAACAGGCTGAAAAGGTGGAAACTGCCCTTCGCACCACTACTCAAAAGTAAGTTGTAGGGGGTTATTCATCGCTTTTGACAGCTAGTACGCGACAAGTCATTTTTTATTCACCCTTATCCTCTCCTTCTCCTTAATAGCTTCAACGAGGCAGATTTGAAAGCAGAGGACAACGAGCGTAAGAATGCAAAGCTGGAGCAAGATCTGGCTGAAAAGGAGAAGCAATACGAAGAGATTGTTGAGAAGTTCAATGCCTCCAAGGCTGAATTGGAAGAACTCTCTCGCCAATTCGAAGACTTGTAAAGACGCTGTTCTATCGGCTGGCAAAACAAGCTTGTTTATTCCCTTCTATAATCCCTTCTTATCCCAATTTTGTCGTTGTTTCCTTCTTTTCTTTTTATATCTCACTGACAAAGTAAAAATACACGCGCAAACGCTATCAAGCAGCACGGTTGTTTAAAATATTGCTTTGCCCGAAGAGACATATTTTATGATTAGGCTGTATATATGTGTGTATGCACACTATATTATAAGAGTTCCAACAAAGTGGGAGAGTGCTTAGACAACGTTGTCGACACCCGTACCGCCAAGCATGGAAGAGCTGGCGTGGGGTTGGCCTTTCAAGGCAGCGAAGCCTGTTGAGGAGGAAATCGGGGATATTCTAGCTCAGTAACAATAGATCATGTTTTCACACCATAAAAAGCATCTTACCATACGAAAGTCCAGCGAACAGCAAGAAACAAGCTGAGAGCAAGAGGAGAGTCTTACTGATGGTAGCAGACAAGAACATGACAATAGCCATCCTATACAGTAGAACAAAGAAGGTGAGATCAACCAACGCATATAAATGCAGTCATCGGTACTGGGTTTGGCTAGGACCGTTCACTTACACAATATAAAGCAAAGCACGCAAGTAAGAGTTCTCGAAACGAGCAGCAAAAGCATCGCTAACATAAAGAAGTCAATGGTGTGCCGTTGGATACATTGAACAAGTTAAATGACGCAACTTACAAACGTGGGCTAGTAGGGCAGAACTACGTATGACGGGGTTGAAATCAGCAAGCGAAGGCATGGAAAACCACTCTCCCATGATAACTCACCTTCATGCATAGTGGAACTTCGACGAAAAAGAGGATGAAGGCAAAGACCCTATAGCCAAGAAACATACGTCAGATCCAACCTGGTCTTGGCAAAAAAGGTCGTATGGCCATGCTTGCCGGTTGAGAACTTACCAGCCGATGATGGCAAAGATAGGGTTAGCCACGACCGTGAAGACACCAATGATAATCAAGGCTGTAAGCAGGGTTAGCTTGCGGTCTACAAGTTGAACATTGACACTGTCTACAAAAGAACTTACTGATCAAAGAAGCGAGACCCAGCCTAACCGAAGCACCGAGTCATAGTGGGATTAGCGAGACGGACAGGTGGTAACGTGACAGGTAGCATGTACATACCATTGTCCATACAATGAGAAGTTTCTGGAGGCAAATTCATCGGTGATACTCATTTTATAGAAGTTGGATGTGAGACTATGAAGATGGAGAAATGTCAAGTTGGTCCAGGAAATCGCCGCATATTAATTCGCCCAGCCAAAATTCATGTGCGACTTAACCAAACAAAAACAAAAAAAATAAGAAGGAAAAGCTATAGACATCAAAAAATAAAAATTACAACGGAAGAAAATATCAGCATTTCAAATTAAAAGTGGCCTATTCAACCTTGCGATACCATAGCTTCTCTCATCTACAAAACAAAAAAAAGACGTTGGCAAATGGTCCAAAACACAGCGCAGCGCAAGTTTCACATCTACTCACTTGAAACATCTTGATCTTCTTTCGCACTCCCCTATTTCGACTCATATCATGGCTATCTTCTTCGTCTGCGAATGAACCGTCACTTGTCGCTTGACCTTTTTCGTTGGTGATGGCCCATCGTCGGAGGTCTTGGTAAGCAAAGAGCCCGCTCTTGAGGGCTGAACGCCCTTTGCTTCGAGCTTCACCTCTTGGAAGCTGTTCAACTTTCTCAACAAATAAACTCATGCCATCATGATTGCTTCCCCAGTCCCTTGATTTCAAATGGTGTCGAATGGTGCCTGTATAGCGTTGTAACTTGGGCAGTACGCGTAGGGTCACGCTCAAGTCGTGGTCAGGTATATTCGTATTAACATCCACGCGTCGTGGTTCTATTAATGCTGCCGTTCCAGACATGGCAAGCATTACATCGTTATTCAATTTCACTTCCGGTTCATGATACATGGCTTCATATTTTCCCGTATGAATAATCACTGTGGGTGGGTGGTGCTGAATTAGTAAAACGTCACACAGTGACAGGGAGTGCGTGTAATTCTTACTAGCAACGATATCTGTGTCATCGGTATAAATATCAGTACCCCATAGCGCTCTCTTCTTCACCATCTTGTTATCATAGGTGAGGAACCAGCAGGGGATGCGAACCTCTAGAGTAGCATTTTCTTGTCCTTCCAGTACAGGCAATTGCACACCAGGCTCATAAACAAAAACTCCAAGAGATTTTTCTGGCTTTCCTTCCAATGACTTCCACACTAGATCGTTTTTTATGATCAACTTGGGTATGCGCAATGGCACACCTTCTTCTTCTTCTTCTTCGTCTTCCTGCATGGATTCTCTCAAGCTGGTGGTTTTGTTGGGAGGTGCTCCACTGTCCAAGCTTCCACGGCGATGAGGTTGTTGTATCAATGGGGAGTGTGCACTCATTAGATTGCCCAGACTAGCTCTTCGAGGCGTTGGATCGGTTGGAGAGAACATTTGTCCTGTGGGCATATCCCGTGACAGGATCGCCGTTGAGCCTTGCAAGTTGGAAGCAGCATCTGGTTTAGGTGGCATAGAGTCATTGGTTGGAGGAAGTTGTTCAGAGGATGGAGCGGCAGCCAGTAAACCTTGGACCAGGCGATTTTTTGTATCCACTGAGGTGGGTTCTTTGTCAGGTGTTGGCTGTGAGAGCTTTCGCGGAGGTTGATTCGGGTTCTCAATTAAAGGCTGGCTAGAGCTTCTTGCGTGAAAAGTGGAGTAAGGAGATGGAGGGTTGGGAGTTTGCCCAATGGGTGGAAGGCTCTGTCCACGAGACCCTTGATCATCCACTGTCGGTTTACTCCGATACATCTCCTCTTTGCCACTTTTGCTTAGAATGGCCGATACAGACATGCGCATGCCAGCACCTGGTGGCTCATAATTTCTATTGTTTTGCATGGCTGGTCGTCCTGGGGAGGCTGCAGATCTAGGTAGAGCTGCTAATGTCGCAGGAACATAACTTGGTGGATGATAGGAAGCTGGATCAATAAAGTAAATAGGTTAGTTACGCGCGTCATCATCTACACTCCCTTCAGAGTTGAGCCCTGTTGCTCCTCTCCCCCTTGAATTACAGAGAACCATATTACCTTCGTCAAAACTGTGCTTACGGTTACTTTCTATGTTCCCTCCATTAAGCTTGGATTCATCCGTAGTAGCTGGTTTGGATTCGATGGAGGAGGTCGTTGGGGTGTTCAAAGCGGATAATTTTGCGCGCTTCAGAACCTGGCTCTCACCGTCTTCATTGGTTTCATCACTTGCTGGTGTCGCTGTGGCATTGAGTACTGCATTGACCTTGGTGTCGCCTTCTTCAGTGCTCGTACTTATTAGTTCACTATCTGCTTCGAATCCTCGTTTCTGTCCCGCTTGTACACTCATGCTCTGCTGGCGAGATAAATGGGGGATATTAGCAGAAAGCGAAACCAAGCAGCGCTCAAAGACATGCAATGGCCCGTAAACAGTCACACATAACATTCACTCTGAGATTCTACCGTAAAAAACACCCCACCATAGCAACATCAATTTGATGACGCCATCAATTGAACACACGTGATTTCTTGTCACAAGGTAGTTTTTGGCCGTTGAACATCTTTATACAATTTGGAATCCTTAGCGCCCCCAACTGAGAGATCAATTAATGAGCGTTTCGGGCTCAAATTCATCGAGAGGATCGCCACAGCGATCCCGCTCTCAGTCAAGATCTCCTCCACCTTTTGCAGATGGGAGATATCCGCCACCTCCTCCGCGCCATGGATCTCGATATGAACCCTATGGAGGGTACCGTTCAATGCGACCTATGGATGACTACCGAGACATTCGAGACCGAGAGCGTGAAAGAGACCGTGCTATGATGATCAGAGACGATCGATATCCACCTAGAGGCCGTGAAAGGTACAAACAATTCGAAATGATTCAGTATATTTGTATACTTGATTGGCTTGAAACTGAATTTGTTTCAACGTAGGGATGACAGATATATGGGATATTACCGAGATGATATCGGTCCACCGCCTCCACATCAATACTCCGGACCACCACCTCCAATTCGGCGTGAGAGTAAGCGTCAATTTGTAGACTACAATCAAACTTGTAGGACATTGTTGACAGAATCTTTCAATTTTTAGGTGGCAATATTGAACGACCAAAATTAGATTCAAGACCAACGACGCCTACTGCAAGGGAAGATGTCGGACGATTTGGTCCTCCTGGTCCACCAGATGGGTATCGATCACCACGTTATATGGATTGGCGAGACCGAAACAGAGAGAGAGACCGTGATAGAGAAAGAGACAGACGATTTCGTGAAGATGAACGACGACGTGACCTTGATCGAAGAGATCGTAGTAGGGATGGGTACTTATCTTTTTTCTTCCTTTGCAAAAGAGTTGTATCTTCCTTGTTAGCTAATGAGTGTATACAGGTATCCAAGATATGAACCACCGCTCCCTCCTTTTCCTCCAGACTCGTATCGTGATCGGGAAAGAGACAGAGAACGAGAACTCTCTACTCCGGGAGGTTACGGGCATTATCATGATAGAGAACGAAGTGAAGACCCTCATTTCTACCGTCCACCCCCACGAGCACGCTCTCCGCCTGATTTTGATCGATTCCGTGGAAGACCACCGTCGTGGGGTCCTCCCGGCGGCCCGCCCGGCTATGGCTCATCTAGACGAGAGACATCACGCGGTCGAGAAAAAGACGATCCCAGAAGTCCACGTGCCGCTAGTACATCAGTGATTCATCCTCGACCAAGAGACAGAGAGGACTCGTTTTCAGACCGACGTCGAGAGCCTGGCCCACCCCTTAAAGCTTCAGACGCATTTCCTCCTCCTCGAAGAGCATCACCTTGTAAGTTGAAATATTGAGTGTATATCATCTGAAGCTATCTTTCTCGGACTAACCTTGCTTCAAAGCTCCATCAACCTCATCTAGATGGGACTCGGATAAACCTGTCAAGTCCACGGAAGCCGAGAAAGAGGAGTCACCCGAACTTGAAAAAATATCGGAAGATGTCAAATCGGTTGAACCTGAAACTAGTACCGTTTCTGCGGCAAATGTTAATGCAGATGAAGCAGAGCCAAAAGCTGAAGCTTCAACGGCTCTACCCATCCTGGAATTTGCACGACCTGAACGAAGAAGTACAACACCACCACCTGTAAAACAACTTTCTGACGACCTTAAAGAGACGACTATTGACTCGAAAGAAGAAATGGACGTCGACACAAAACCGTCTACAGAAGAAGAACACCCTGTTGTCGAATATGTGGTGGTTAAAGATGAAGCGACAGTTGATGCATCACGCAAGTTGTCAGAAGTCAGTACGACCATGGAAGATATTGCATCTACGGAGGATGCCAAAGTTCCCGAATCCGACGCTGTTGCTATCACTGACCTGTTTGAAAGGCCAAAGTCACCATCACCCATTGCCGCTGAAGCCGTTGAGGAAGACCCAATACCAGTCAAGTCTGAAGACGAAGTTAATGCGGGCTTCAACAAACTAATGGAAACGAGCGAAGAAAATGAGGACGCTGCGCCAAAAGTTGAAGAAGAGCTTACAGAGCAGAGCATTGTTGAACGCATTGATCAAATCGAGAACGACATTACTGTCTTCGAAGAACTCCTAGAAAAGCGAGTCAATAAGGACAGAGCTGCCAGCAACAAAGTCTTGCACGCGAGCGAAGCTGCTGCTTTAATGCGTAACGCTGTTCAAGCTGAAGAGGAAGTTTTTGTGGATGTATTGAACGACGTTGCTTCTCAACAGCAAAGTGAGTCTCAGCCTGGACAAGATGCAGCATCCAAACCTGCCTTGGTTGTGTACGATGCTCCACCAGAACCTTCGCCAGCTGCTCGCAAGAGTCTTCGTGCTCAAATCGAACACTACCATAATGAAGACGAGGACGAAGAGCCTTTGTACAAGAAGCTGTATGAAGAAAATCGCAAGATTGCTAAAGCAAATAGCCATTTAATTGGTGGTTGGCAAGGCAAGCCTGATTCTGAGGATGATTGGTCCGACGAAGAGAATTGGTCCAAGCCTATGTTTGCCAATATCGAGAGTTACCCATCCTACAAGGCTAACGTTGAATCCTTTTCCAAAATGCGACATGTTGTTGTTACTCATATGGCAACACGTAGACGGAAGCTGAAGATGAAGGAAGCTCGACTTAAGAAGCGTTACAAGGCGATTCATGACCGATGGAAGACGAAGAACATTGAGTTGGACCGCATGCGTGACCAGGAACGTCGTGCCTCTGAACGAGGAAGCTATAAAGGATCTTCTTATCGTAAACGCACTGAGGACGAGACCGAAGGAGCTGTGGACGGAATTGATTTTGATTCACCGTTTGATGCATTGCGCTTTGGTCCGGAAGGCCCATCTACTCCCTACGGCGCACCCCACAGGCAAGGTCCATGGGCGTCTGATACTGTTCGTTCTGAAGCTGAGTTGCTGGAAATCATTCAGTCACTGGAGTCAGCCGATATGCGCAATCCTGAATTACGTGCAGCCAAAACAACTGCTAATATTCCACCCATGATCCTCGATCTCAAAGAGAGAGCTCAGACGTTCGATGATCGCAGTGGACTGGTGGAGGATCCAATCACCTATTACCATACTGGTAAAGACACTGGCGATGTGTGGACAAAGCAAGAGACTTCAACCTTCCTGGAGAGTTACATGTTGTATCCCAAACAATTTGGTAAAATTGCCGCTGCCATCGAGAGCAAGACTGCTTGTCAATCTGTACTTTTGTATTATCGCATGAAGAAAACCATTGATTTCAAGGGACTTGTGGCTGCTTCTTTGAAAGGAAAGCGTAGTCGTTCAGGCAAGAAGAAGGATAGACTTGCCGCAGCTGTACGTGCAGCTACCAGTGGTAGTACTCGAGGCGGTGGTCGCGGTAAGAACAAGGGCTCAGCCTTGCTTGCTGATATTGGACTTGCTCAAGACACTCGAAAGGCCAAGGAGAAGGAAAGAAAGAACAAGGAGTTACGTGAGTTAGAAGAAGCTGGAGGCTATTGGGACAAGCTTGGTGATCGCCGACGTACTCGCACCCGTGAAAAGCCACCACGTACACCCACCGGCTATGTGTCTGAATCGCAGGCGACAGACAAGCGAAGAGGCATTGGAAAACGTAAAGGCAAATCACCTAAAAGCGGTGTGGAGGATGACCCTCGACGTCCTCGTGGTGAACTTGAAATGGACGATGATGAAGAAGATGATTCTTTCGACACACCGAAAGATGTCACTACAGCAAAGTGGACAGCCACTGAGCGAGATGCAGCAGTCGAAGCTTTCAAGATACATGGTCGTAACTTTATGCAAGTATCCGAAATTGTTGGAACGAAAACCGAAGATCAATGTCGAAACCTGTATCACAATTATAAACGTAAATATGGACCCAATGCATTTAATGAAGAATCCGGACGAAGCAATATGGCTGCTGAAGAAGAAGATGCTGCTGCTGCTCTGGTTGGGATGTATCAGATGGGTGCACAATCTCCCCAAGGTGACCAACTGGACTCTGGAGCCAGTACCCCACGTAAGCCTGGCCGCCGACCTAGAACTGCTTCAGTCAATCCAATCAATGATGAACTGGTAGAATCAGATCAAGACTACATGGCTATGAAGAGTAGAAAAGGACCAAAAGGCACGATCACACCTGATCTATTGGCTGGCAAAAGGCCTGCTTATTCTTCATACTGGTCTGTTTCTGAAAAGGCGGATTTTATCAAGTTTTTGGAGATGTTTGGCCGTGATTGGGATAGGTTGGCTGATGCTATGAAATCCAAGACAGCTACACAGGTACGCAACTTCTTCCAAAATAATTTGGAAAAGATGCAATTGGATAAGATCATTATGAGATTTGATAGACGGCAGCAACAGCAATCGCCAACTGCAAGTCACCATCATGGTACCCCTCCCCAACCACCATCACAACCTCAACCGAAACAACCTTCTATTCCTCCTCAGCACCACATACCGCCTTCGGATCGTATGCCGCATGATAGTCAATATTCTCCCATTCCACCTTACGGGTTTTCACCTGGTCATATGTCAGGACCTCCCCCACCTCCACCTGGTCATTATGGTCCACGACAAGGCTATTTCCCACCTCCGTCTGAAGGACACCGACCCCCCATGTCCTCGTCACCCACCGCTTCTCAAAGCTATCCATCTTCTTACCAACCTTATCGCATGCATTCACCCCCACGATCTGCGTTTGTTCGATCGTACGCAAGCCCACCACAACCTCCAATGCCACTGCCGCCAACGCAACCCAAGTCCGATAAGGAACCGACCACTGTTACCAAGGTCGCTGATTTACTTAACAATGATGATTCTGCAGAAACTAGCCAGCCTGGTAACTGGGAATCATGGTTTAATTAAAGCCTGGCGAGGGATTGAAACCAAGCATACACTAAAAAAAAAAGGAACTCAAGCTGTACTGTATTATATCAAATTTTCATAATATTTTTTCTTTCATTTTTCTTCTTCATTGATCTGGTCTTTTGTAATTTTTGAAAAAAGGCATGCTTTTGCTACAGTCAATGAAATAATAAACCTCGATCCTTCGAGATATCTACCAACCATGCTCGCAGAAGACCCACGAGGCTCTTTTGGACGTTGGATACTGGTCGCCGATGACGTATAAGATTCTCGAATCTCCATCCCCACCCAAACCCAGACACTGTAGACGGGCAAGTGTTTGACATTTCTCAGAATCAACCTCTCTTCTGCTCCCCCATGACCGACAAATCCGCTGACCCCGAACATCCCACGCAAGACCCATTCACGTCTGCGGGCCATTCCACTGGAACTGGATGCCAATGCTGTTTCATTGTGGTTCCTTTGGCCGCCATAGGAGGTTTCTTCTACCAATTCTTTCGAAAAATGAGCTCATGTGGTCGCTCTGACTAATGACAGTCAGCACATACACCTTTGATGCCTTCCACCCACTTATCGAGCACAGACTCCTTCTTGCACACCTCCACAGATACCACTGTTACATTTTTGATTTTTATGAGGCACTCCACCCTAGTAGACTAAAACGCTAAGAAAGCGTCCGTTTTTTTTTTTTATTTTCCAAGAAGTTTTTACTTAAACCATCAAGTTTTTTTTTATTATTATTCCATGATTGGTTTCCTTTGAACCACATCCATCAGTTAATAAAGCCCTGCTCGCGTTCATCGGCAATATTCATTTGGAAGTCCGGTGAGGTGAGCTGCCATGCCAATGGGCTATTCTAAGCCACTACTCTTAAGTGACCGCTTTTCTTCTCCTGGCTAGAATTTTAACCTTGCCCAGTGCAAAAAAAGCTCGAACGTCGAGACTCCAAAAAAAAAAAAAAGTAGCCTGATCTCAACCCACACCTTTATACCTCGATGCAATCAGACGAAGTCATTTGGCAAGTCATCAATCAGCACTTTTGCTCATACAAAGTCAAGTAAGTCGAACATATCCGTTCTGTGCTATCCCAAAGTATTCCTATATCTAACTTGCACTTTCAATCAGAACGGCAACACAAAACTTTTGTCGTAATGAATACAATGTCACAGGTCTGTGCAATCGGCAATCTTGCCCATTGGCCAACAGCCGGTATGCAACGATACGAGAAGACAAGGGTATCATTTACTTGTATATGAAGACGCCTGAGCGAGCCCATAGTCCAGCCAAGATGTGGGAGCGAGTCAAGCTCTCCAAGAACTACGCTGAAGCGCTTAAGCAGATTGACAGTAATCTCATTTACTGGCCTGATTTCCTTCTACACAAATGCAAGCAGCGCTTGACAAAGATCACACAGTACCTTATTAAGATGCGTAAGCTCAAGCTTAGCGAAGAAGATAGACCTCAACTGGTTGGGATCAAGAAGAAGATAGAACGACGAGAAAAGAATAGAGAACGAAAGGCAGAGGCTGCCGCTCGACTAGAAAAGAGCATTGAAAAGGAATTGATTGATCGATTGAAGAACAAGGCTTATGGTGATGCTCCTCTCAATGTTAATCAAGATATCTGGCAAAAGATTTTGGATCAGGACGCTGAGGCCGAAGAAGACGAGTCCGAAGGCGAAGAAGAAGAGGAAGAAGAGGAGGAGGAAGAAGGCGAGGTATATCTCGATGTCTGCTATGAATGATGACTTGTACCCATACTGATTGTTTACCCGCATTATAGGAGGAACACGAATTTGTTTCTGACCTGGAAGATGAATCTGACGTAGAAGACATTGAAAACGGCATGTACGAATATGAAGATGGTGATGATGATTTGCTCGAAGGTTTAGAGACTGCCGAAGAGCTGTCTGGAGATGAAAGTTCATCGGACGACGATGAGGGAACCACCAAGAAGCGAAAAGCAGCAGCCAACGCTAGCAAAGCCAAGAAGAAGAAGCGAGGAGCTTATGTTGAAGTTGAATATGAAGATGAACCATTAGATAATAATACAGCTCTTGCATGGTAGTTGCACAAAAAGCTCATTGACAATATCCCAAAAAAAAAAAAAAAGTAACCAAACCCAATAATATTTTTTCTTGCTCTTTTTATCATCGAATTTGTTTCTTTCTTTGTTTCTCCCCATTCAATGTTAAAGGCATCTGTTGTTGTGTTGGAACATCCATCCATAACCCAACCACCATCATCTTATGTGTCGCCGCAATCCCGATTTCGTTCCCTGTTATCCCGACATTCCTCCACCAGAGACTATGAGATGCCTTCATCTCTGGACCTGACACCAGACCATAACAAGTCGTACCTGACCAACCCATGGCACTCTGATCAGAATCATTTAGCCCCCGATGATAAGACCATACGGAAGGTCGCTTCAGCTCCAAACACCAAAAAGCTCTTTGATAAAGCCATGACCAAGCCAGCACCAACAACCCCGACTTTACAAAAGCTCAAGTCGCTTCGACGTACATATTCAAGTAACAGTGTTAAGATAAAATGTATAGAAGTTGGACCTAGCAGGTAATGAATGGGGGGCGGTAGACTCTAATGGATTGTGAAAAAAGACGGTCTGGCTGGTCCAAGCGTCCTGATTGACATAATTGGACTGATATCCGAAGCAAATGTCCTAACCGGTGCCTTCCGAAATCTAGCTTTGCGAAATGTAAATTACTCGGCCGAGGTGATGTTGGGAAGGTTTTTCTTGTACGGCAAAAGGCGACCGACAAGTTGTTCGCAATGAAAGGTAATTACTCACACCACGCACGCACGCCACATACCCAATAAATTGACCACCCCCTTCATTTGCAACCAGTGCTGTCAAAAAAAGAAATGATCAAGCGCAACAAAATCAAACGTGTTCTTGCTGAACAAGAGATATTGGCTACATCCAATCATCCCTTCATCGTCACGCTCTATCACAGCTTCCAGAGTCAAGATTATTTGTATTTTGTCATGGAGTATTGCAGTGGTGGGGAGTTTTTTCGAGGTAAATTATCCCGCTTCACCCCCCTTCACTGTACCCCCGACTAACTGGATATGCACCTATCCGCTTCATAGCGTTGCAATCTCGTCCCGGAAAGTGCCTGGATGAGGATGCTGGCAGGTTCTATGCTGCCGAAGTGGTTGCTGCCCTTGAATACCTCCACCTGATGGGCTTCATATATCGGGATTTGAAACCGGAAAGTAAGTTAGCATTAGATCACATCTTGATGAAGTGGCCTATGAAGCTAACATAAACAAACAGATATCTTGTTGCATGAGACCGGTCATATCATGTTGACCGATTTCGATTTATCCAAAGAAGCTATACCCAGAAATGACCCTTCCATCGTCAAGTCAAGTTCACCTAATACCGTATGTAAATCCCTTCCATCTGTGTCACCATGCATACCGAAACTGACCAATTGTTCTTAATCATTCTACCATAGCCTCCAGCAATCGATACCAAAACCTGTATAGCCCATTTGAGGACAAATAGCTTTGTGGGCACGGAAGGTAGGATGACGACAGATGCACGCTTAATTCTAAACATGCCGAAACTCACCTATGGCATGCTTGCAGAATACATATCTCCCGAAATCATCAAAGGATGCGGCCATTCTTGTGCTGTGGATTGGTGGACGTTAGGCATATTGCTGTTTGAGATGCTGGTGAGTGGTGTGGACATCATTTTAAACCATGGGGAGGGGATGCTGATACCTTGACTTGCTATAGTATGGTACCACTCCGTTCAAAGGAAGCAATCGAAACGAAACGTTTTCCCGGATTTTGCGGTTAGATGTTGCGTTTCCCGATCCCGCTAAGCTTCCAAGTGCGAAGGCTCCTTCTGCGAACTGCAAAGTCATCATTCGCAAGTTGCTGCATAAAGATGAACACAAACGCCTGGGTTCGCGCGCCGGCGCTGCGGATGTAAAGGCCCATCCCTTTTTTAATACCATTAATTGGGCTTTGCTTAGACACCAAGACCCTCCCATTATACCAACGCCATCAAGTGATGCCGATGCGGTCAACTTTCGTAGGATGAGAGAAAGCTCGAGCTTTGACCTTCAAAAAGATAGCAAAAAGAAGTTTTACATAGAGGGTGAGGATAACCCGTTCACCCAATTCAGCTCAGGTATCTATGCTTTCCATGGACATGTTGCCCCTTTTTCTTTTCAAGCATGTCTGATTTTCTTCACATAGTTACCCTTCACCACGATGGAGATTCCGATACTGACGTGGAAGAGTAAACGGGTCGGTCGACAAGGCACGCTTCTTTGTAGATATACGCCAATACAAACCCAGAAATGAGTGCATTCGACATACCACTGCTGTTTATTACGTAGCGGCCCATGATGGTCGCTGCCTGTTTGATTTTTTTTGCCTTTACACGAAACGTACACCTAAAAATTTTGCTTTTAATCATTCGTCACCACTTTGCATATGCTCATGGTAATAAACATCCATTCAGCACCTCTAGTCTACATGTGTTGCTGTTATTTGAATCGTTGGAGATGAAACATTAGCACGAGGGGGGGGGGGATACATTATTTCTAGGTCATCAGCTATTACAACCGTCGGTTGACGGATCGTTGTCCTGGCTCCCTCTCGGCCGATGAAGACGCATTGGTGTTGCCAAATCCTCCTTCATCAGAGTACTTTCTGAGCTTGGTGTTGGTATAATGTTTGGCAAATAGGTATCCTCCCAGGGCACCTGTAGAGGGGAAACGACGGGTTAAACTTTTGTGCTGTCATTCACCTCACCACGTTGAATGTCACAACTTACAACCGGCCAATGAACCCCTTGAAAATGCAAGCACATTAGTGTTAATGTAATGTGCATTCGTCGACGTGTGTACACTACTTACCAGCCCAGTAACACTGCTCTTGGATTGTTCCTCATGTATGTTCTCAGAAAAGAGGAGATTAACCAATTCCCAGTTCCTGGTGATTAGAACAGCCGTCACGCCACCCATGTTGAAGCGACTTTGCAATGGACTTTGAATGTGATTGAACTCAAGTTAAAGGCATTTGATTCCACTCTGAGTGGCATTCACTTTTCACACACTAACGATCAAAGGTGGCTATGGGGGATTTCCTGTGTAAAAAGATGCCATTCACTTGGCAAACTGCGCAAAGCTGAGAAATAAAAGGAAAAAGAAGATCTATTCTTTCCATTTAACCTTCTTGCAAAATGCAACCTCCAAGTTACGATTACGTCGCTCATGTCACAAACTCTCATGACGCCGGCTTATACCATAATGCCTCGGGCGACTCATTTGACCGAGCAGAAGCTTTCATCCATGATAATTTGTGGGCTATCGATCAGTCGCCCCCAGAAACGCTATGTCGCGATCTATTGAACGGTGGTTTGGTGCAGTATCAAAATCTGGACCTTTCGCAATCAGCCAAAGATTTGGTACTTGTTGAACCGTCTAATACTGCTACGTTTCATCCTCGCCAACGTTCTCGCTTCAATAAATTTATGGGTCGCTCATCTGCCAGCACCGACTCAGATGTCTGTATCCAAGCACTGTATCCAATGCTGGGCACCGCGCAGTTGAAGAGTTTGGCCAATCTGAAAACAAAAGCTGACTCGGAGCCTCCACAGTATGGCGATGAAGTCCACTACTTTGAAGTCACCATATTGGAAAATGCCTCTGATATTACCATGGCCATCGGTTTGTGCACGCGACCGTATCCGTCCTTCCGACTCCCAGGTTGGAATAGGTACTCTGTTGGATGGCATTCAGATGACGGTCGCAAATTTTGTGATGACCCTGATGGTGGCCAAGACTTTTCGCAGCCGTGGGGCAAACCAGGAGATGTCCTTGGATGCGGTTGGGACATCGATCACGGCAGCGTTTGGTTCACTCTCAATGGCATAGTCGTCGGTACAGCTTATTCAGATATTTCAAAACATATATTCTTCCCTTCATTTGGAGCAGATGGTTTCTGCAAAGTCTCCTTCAACTTTGGCACAGCTCCCTTCAAATACAAATTTCTTCCATTTCAAAAATGGATTGGAACATATTCATGCCCAACATAATAAACGATTGACCTCAATTTATACCATATCAAAGTTGATGACATCTGAGTTTTATAGAGTCTTCTTTATTTGTAAATTATTGTATGTTTATTGAATTATTGGTAAAATCATTGCAAGACCTACTACCAAGCCATACAGCATGACAGATTTTGAAGCAGAGCTCTTTCTATTTGCGTTTGAAGAAAGACTAGGACAACTCGAAGTGGGAGATGTTACGAGATCCCTAAGCGTGTTGGGTGGTGGTTGTGTACAGTTATAATAGCACATCTGTAGGTAAACGCCTGGTGTGAACTTGGTGCAAATAGGGCATCCCGCATTGATCAACATGTCAAGGCCGTAAATTGAAAAATTCTTATAATTGGTCACATTCCACTCTGAGTATTCGAAAAGCTTGTCCTCTGGTGTCAGGTTATCATATAACATATAATCTATAGCAGTAATAGGTTGGGAACTGGTCATGTCTGCATGTACACCAGACGACCGGTATTGAGTCAGCGGCTGTAGGTTCGGTCCTACGGCGACGTCCACGTCGCATTTTTCGGATCCAGCGACGCGTGGATACATCTGACCATGACTAGAGTAGTATGTTGTGCAGGTATTGGAGGCGTCACAAGTATAATTGTACACCATCACACTAGCGGTCCAAAACGCACCACAGTCCGAAGGTGAGGAAACACTGCCAACTGTTGACCCCACATTCGGCAGCACAGATACATTTCGATAGAGCTCCATCCAATAGCAGTACTCATTCACAGACATAATGGAGTCTAGTGTGTGCCAAATGAATTAGTGACCATTCTCAAGTTTGTTCGATGATTCCAAGCTAACATTAAAGAATTGAAGGAATCGACTGTATTTACTTACATATAGATCTGGTTAATGGTTATTTAATGGAAGAAACACAGTTTAAATGTGGTGGCTGGTAAGCAAAGCATTCACCAGGTATTTATAACGGCAAAAGTCGCAGCATGTGTATCACAAGAGGCTGACTTGGATTCTAGGGTTCACAAGAAAGCCTTCTGACCAAAGCGACGAACACCTCACAAGTACTGAGCAACCGAACCATGAACTTCATATGGTTTGTTTCCAATTCAAATCACAGCAATGAATTAAGCTCGAAACGCCCCCAGTAGCGCCAGACGACCATGCTGTTGAAACGACTTGACACTCAAGCACAGTACCTTCAACCAAGTCACATCAAAGAGTATCTTGATTGACACAGTGATTCAACCATGGAAATATGTGTTCATAGCAGAGAAGGAATTTTCAATGTTTTCTCTAATTGGTTTGCTAATAGTCTACTAGACTTGCAATTATAGTAAGTAACGTGGTGCCTAATGGTTAGAAAAGTTATTGGGTACCATCGTCTTTTGGCAAACAATCGGTGCGGAGTTCTGAAGTCTACAATTGCACCGTTTGACTGGTGGCCAACCCACCGTTATTTCAACCTGAATCAACTCAATGCATGGCGACGAGGATTACATGGACGAGGACGGACCCGAGTTCATTCGAATGATCAATGATCTTGTCCGTAATGTTCGAACCGAGATCACAACTCATCCTCACGACGCTGCGAATGGTAAGTGCTCCACTCAAACAGCAAACTAGCCATGCCGAATCCAAAAGGCTGCTTTTACCGCTGTACATGACAGTTCCTTTTTCCTTAACTTTTCCAACCATTGCCATGTAACAGCAACCCGATTGCAAAATCTCCAATCGCCTTATTCATCGTCTCAAAGTAAATATGCCAATATCTCACCGTCACAATCCAAACACTCTGCTCTGAAATACAAATCCCATCGACTGGGTGCTGATAACGTCAAGCAATCAATAACCACAAGCAGAAATCTTAAAAAGCATCTAGAATCCTTGATCAGCACTACTAGTGCTAATGCCATTCAAGAAGAAACGTTTATTGTCGTAGATACCAACATTTTGATTTCGCATCAGGACCACTTAAAATCATTAATTTCAAGCATCGAACGGAGGCAATGCTGCGCGACAGTCGTAGTGCCATGGGTTGTGCTGGAAGAACTCGATTTGTTGAAGGTAATGTTTGGTGAAGCGTGAGATCAAATAATTCTTTCCCTGATGTTTTGTATGCTAGTCCCGTAGAGATACGCCGGGATCAAGAGTTGCAGACCGTGCACAAGGAGCTATCATATTTTTGCAAAAGATTTTCTCAAGCAAATCACCAGCTCTACGAGGACAGCAAGTAATAGAATCTTCCGACACCTCAGCTTTCGTAAGTAGCATTAGTCAGATATTGTAATGGAGGGACTTGATTAACTCGTGCAAACTCGCAGGAAAACGATGACAGAATTTTAGATTGCTGCCGGTGAGTGACATTATTCATGTACTATGTGGAGATGGTGCAGCGAAGGAATCCTCTTTAACGTGTACGCCATAGATATTTTGCTAGAAAAAAACATCGTAGAGTTGTACTGTATTCCAACGATAGAAACCTATGTAACAAGTGCATGGTTCACCACATTGATGCGTTTGGAAGTGTCGATCAGCACAAATTACAAAAGCTAGTTGATAACGCTCAGGTACGATCAACCACTCACAAAAAAGCCCTTAGTGTGTCCACTGCGCAAGCGCCATCCACATCACGATCAAATCCAGGCGTAACGGAGGTGATGAGCCAAGTTCAAAGTCGCCCAAGCACGTCAGACAGACCCACTGAATCAACCCATAAGCCGAGGTCTTATTCTTTCGAAGGCACATCAGCAGCAGATTCTATCCATGCACCCCACAAATCAAAGTCCAAACGACTGCAAGACGCTAACTCCCGACTGGACTCTAGGAAAGAGGCTAGGTCTTGGAACCTGGAGGCGCTTGAGCGACATAGAAGCAAAATGGAAAGCAAAGATGAATCGAAACCGAGGTCACATACGACAGAGGACCGACATCATTCTCATAAAACCCATTCCGAACCAAAACCGACACTGAACGACGACAACGATGATTGTGCCATGGACGTTGATGACGAATACCCACCTCCCCCGCCTAAAGGCACAATGGACTCCGTTCATGCAAGCAACCGATACTATTAAAAATTATTTTCGAGCAAAACCATGTATATTTGGTTCCAATATAATGACCAGCTAGCCAGCCCTTGATGACATTAGAATAGCCTGCGAGAAGGATTCTCGCAATGAAATACAAAATGGAACGTTTTTTTCTGTTATTTCCTCAAATACTCGTTTGACGGCCGCCCAACTTGCAAATACGCTAAATTGACAACTTATGCATACCTTCATCCCATTTCTACAATTGATAATGAATCTGAAAAATCAGATTTTTTCAATACGTTCAAGGTTGTATGCATTCAAGGTTGTCTGGATGGTGTTACTGGAAAATCGATCTGGCTTACGTCACGGGATTTTTACCAATAACCGCCTTAAGGTTTAAAGGTCGCTCGCCACTGTAATTCGTGTGAATTCCATTTACTCCCTTTTGTTCCTTTTCCCTCCTCCAACAGCTTCCATGGCTTCTACTGCTCAAAAGCGTTTGCATCAGTTGACTAATATCATCCACCCTACCACGTCGGTAGCCAGCTGTACGTATGCCTCTCTCAATACTTGCATGAACCCCAATATTCACATGTTCGTCCGACAGTCAGAACGAAGCTACCTCCAACTGCAACAGTAGATTATACTCCACTTAATCCAGTCAATTTTCTCCTCCGTTCTGCACAAATCTATCCGAATAAGACGGCTATCATCTATGGGCAAAAACGATATAGCTACGTGGATTTCGCACTTCGGGTTAAGAACTTTGCAACCGCTTTGGTCAATCACTACAAGATCAAACCAGGCGAAAGGGTAAGTCCCAGAAGAATAAGAAAAGGAAACGGCAGAGATCACTAACATGGGTTGCTCCTATGTATGCAGGTGGCTATTTTATGTCCAAACACGCCTCCGATCCTCGAAGCCCACTTTGCCATTCCAGCAGCTAGAGCGGTTATTACCGCAATTAATTATCGACTGAATGCCGAGGAAGTAAATTACATTATCCATCACTCCGAGGCAAAGCTGTTTATCATCGATGCCGAATACAAACACTTGATCCCGGCGAACCTGAATATTCCAGTTATTTTCATAACGGAAGAGGCTAAGGATCCCTACGAAGAGATGCTGAGGCTGGGAGAAAGCGGTCGCTGGCAGGATCTAGAACTTGTGGCAGATGAAAGGGAAGTCTTTGGCTTCAGCTATACGTCTGGTTCAACTGGTAAACCTAAGGGTGTGCGTCATGCTTATAGGGTATGTCCTGGAATCGACCTGCATGGCTGATCCTTTTGAAAGTCAGACTACTACTAACCTCTCGCATATAGGGTGCATATCTATCCGCTCTATCTCTCAGTGTCCATGCTCAAATGTCTGCCGAGACCGTTTACATGTGGACATTACCTATGTTCCACTGCAATGGCATGTGAAAGAGACAAATTGCTTGTATTTTCCTCCTGTTTGCTTACTGACCAATTAGGATGCATCCTTAGGTTGGCAGTTTCCTTGGGCAGTGACGGCGGTCGGCGGTACACACATCATGTTGCGTAAAATCGACTACGACCAAATCTGGCATCATTTACTTTACGATGGCGTAACACAATATAACGGTGCACCCACTTTGCAGACAGAAATCGTCAATCATCCAGCAGCAAAGCCGCTCCATCGCAAAGTCACTGTGCATACAGGTGGTTCGTCCCCTTCCAGTGTTCTTCTGAAGGAACTGGAGGGTCTCAACATTCATGCACGACATATCTATGGATTAACGGAGACGTTCGGCCCTACAGCTGGAACCTACGATCAAATCCAAATCAACCACCTTCCTGATGAAGAGCGGTATGTTATGATGGCTCGACAAGGGTACGCCGACATAGTGGCGGACGAAATGTGTGTTATGGATGCAGAGACCGGCAAGGAAGTCCCTATGGATGGCAAAACCATTGGCGAAGTTACCATCCGGGGTAATATTGTCATGAAGGACTACTACAAGGTAAGACAGCTGGGATATAAAGGAAGGCAAGCGGACATAGGTTTCTCGCTTTCCGGCAACGCTCAACATCCAACTTGACCACTTAGGACCCTGAGGCAACCAAAAAAGCTTTCCGAAACGGCGTCTTCTGGTCTGGAGATCTCGCCGTGAGACATCCAGATGGAGCTGTTGAGATCAAGGATCGCTCCAAAGACATTGTTATTTCCGGTGGCGAGAATATCAGCTCCATTGAAATAGAGTCTGTGATATTGCATTTGGAGGATGTGCTTGAAGTGTGAGTGCAATGGCTATGACATTTCTCATACAACGACATCCTAACTCTTTTGGTATTTCAGTGCTGTGGTGGCTGGCCCGGACGAGAAGTGGGGTGAACATCCAGTTGCGTTTGTTGTGCCAAAACATGGTCGAACCGTGACGGCTGGTAAAGTGATTTCCTTCTGTAAAAGCCAACTGGCCGGATTCAAGGTAAGCTGATGAGGGGTCCACCATCATTGCGCCATAGACGCTACGGTTGAACCCATCCAGGCATTTCTCATCCCTAACGTCCACTTCTTCTTCCCTCCAGATGCCCAAAACGGTCCACATTGTGTCTGAACTGCCGAAAACAAGCACAGGCAAGACACAGAAGTTTGTGCTGCGAGAACGGCTTTGGAATGCCAAAGAAAAGAAGGTCAATTAGATCGAGCGCTTCTGATGATGAAACAATCTATTGAAATAAAACGATTACGCACACATTAAGCTGTTATTGATGAAACAAGCGTGGAGTGGGAGAAGAGTATATTTTAAAATATCGTACAATTGGGTTATATATATTTTTTCAATGCAAGAAGTAATAATTAACAAAATCATGACTAGTAGTACTCTTCATCGACGGTCGTTTTCAATATTAGGAACAGTGGCTTCATCATCATCTTCTGTATTCTGCAAACTTGGATTTACAGACAGTGCGGTAGGCGACAGTTGAAACGAAGCGTGAGGAACCTCGAGAGAACACGGTGGGTCGTCTATATGCTCCATCGGCCCATGATGAGTTTCGTCGTGGGTGGTAGAGACCTCTTTCCACCGGTCTCGTCGTGAATTATGCAACTTGGGACTTTCCACATAGGCAAGGTCCAAGTGATCAACAAAGGACGATGCTCGCGATAGTCTTAGATCCCCTTCCAGTTGAAGGTGGGTACCCTGAGGTAGGGAGGGAGATGGCCAAGCGTCAGAGAGCATAGCAGGTGAATCAGTGAGGATAGGGGTATCTATATGAGCTGGTATAGCCTCAGTGGGTTTCATCGTCTTTTGTGAGCCTGCTTCGTGAAGCCTGATCTTCCCATCATCCACGTCCCAACGTTCGTGTCTAAGTGGGTCGTATTCGGCTGTTTTGGATAGTAATTCAGCTGTGGATTGTCGAGTGGGTTTTAACTTGAGCTTCTCCACATGAGATTTGGTGATTTGCAACTCTCGCTTGGCTTCTGATAACTCTGGTATCTCCGTCACTTCCATTGGCGCTGTATCAGTCGATTTGGAGGTGTGCAACGCTTGGGTTGAAGGCTGATGCGGCAATCTCGGTCGTTCCATGTCTGTCTGAGAAGCTGAGCTTTGATGATGACTAATGGATTGCCGACGTTGTCGTTCTTCGGCTTGAGCGGCAACAATCGGCGAAAGTGTACTCAAGGTACCTTTGTTAGCGGCCGTGAACAAAAATAAGGAGATCAATAGAATGAGTTGGATGAGGGACAATCGCTTTTCAAAAACGACTTGATCGGCCATAATATGAAGCTTGGCCGTCAATTCTTGCAATTCTTTAGCAGTTTCGTTCCTGGTGGTCTCCAATTCACGAGCTGTCATACGATAAAGTCTTTCGTATCTTCTTTTCATGGTATCGATTCTCAAGCTGGCTGTTGAATTTAATTGGCCGACCAGTTGCAAAAGTTGTTCACGGTGTCGGTCCTCCATCGTTTCAAACACTTCATTCAGCATACGATTTTGGTCATCCAAATATCGCTGCGACAAAGTAGCGTTTTGCTCCAAATTCAGAATACGGGTCATAATGGTTTTGTAGATGGATTCCATGTTGGCTCCTTGCCCATAACCAAAAGGGGCTTTGGTTTGACTACCAACTGTATTTGTATGTATGTTGAAGTCGCTGGCAACAGGGGCAGGACTGGCATCTTCCGTTGGAGATGGTGCCGTGAGCTCCACAGTTGTTGATTGCTGGCTAGTCGGCCCTTCCTCCTCGGAAAACCTGGGTTCAGACGACTTTGCGTCGGGAACATTGGAAAGCTGTGAGCTATCTGATGCTGCAGTCGAGCTGATTGCTGGTTCACTTTTAGAAACGATGGGGAAATTTGACAAGTCGGCCGGCTTGTTTGGAACGGGGTCTGTGGCAATATAGTTAGGTTCATCCTTTGAGCTGACATGTTGTTGACTTTCATCTGCGTCATCTTTGTGAGCGACAGTGTTTTCCTGAAGGGGAACTTCGGCAGCCGAACCAGCAGCTTCATCGGCAATGTGGGGTTGATTGGAGGAGGACTCAGGGGTTGAAGGTGATGTGGAAGAATCAAGATGTCCACTTGTGACCAAATTATCCAATTTCAAACTCTTTGCTTCACGCTCAGCGATCAGCATATCCTCCACAGTAGGTATGGATGGGGTGGTTAATTTGGCACCAATGTCTACAGACGAAAATGCTGGCCACAAAAAGTCGGTTTCATCCACCATAGGATCAGGACTGATGCCCTTAAGCATCTCGTCTTCTTCATCTTCTCCGGTGATGGTTGGCTTCTCGTATAATGTCCAATACTCCATCATGGGGTTACCGTGAACTCGCAACAAACTAAGAGGGCAGTAATATTCATTGCCATAGTGCGACAAAAACTCAATCTTAATATATTGATACCAATCCAGACCTGTTTCCACCTTGAAAATCTACAGTGAAGGAGATTTTTTAAGTTTTTTGATTTTGAGCACCTGCCAACAATGCGCAAAAAATCCCTTTACCTGTAAATCGCGGGTGTTCCTGGCCTGCCACTGGCCAAGCAATCGCCATTCCTTTGGTGGATAGCGATCGGCAACATAGACTCGGAAATCCTTGAATGTACTTGAGAAGAACTCATAGTTGGCCAGCACGAATTTGTCAATCAAAATACTTTCACACAGGTCAATGATGACAAACTTATCCGAAGAGCATTTGTTCAACATGTATTGGTCTTTTGACTCATAGAGGATGGATTGGGGATTTTTGGCCCCTTTGTTGGCCTGTAAGACAGTAGCAGCACAGTCGATGGAAGCATAATTGTAAAGCTCTTTCAACTTTTTGAGAGGATTGATGGATTCTTTTTCTGATTTTCCTGACGATTTTTGAGGAACGAGTTGGGTAGCAGGAAGAATAGGCTGTTGGTATGGTGAAGGTGGTGGAGGCTGTTTATGCTGCTGCTGATTCCTGGGTGGAGGATTCGGAGAGGACGGGTTTAACTGCCGATCGTTGGGAGAGTTGCCGAGATCGGTGGGATTTTGCTTGGAAGCAAAAGGCAAAGGATCCTGTTGCCGGAATATATTTTGAGGTGGTGCATCCTCAGAGTTATCAAACATGGCGCCTACATCATCTCCAAACGCACCATCAATACTATCAATTTGTTGACGTTGACGAGACATTGATTTTCTGACAGGTGGAGTGATTTTTCGTCGCCTATTGACATCCTCTCCCTCCTGCTGTACAACCTGCCTCTTCCACTCTTCAAACGACAACAACTTTCCAGATTTGCTTTCTTGTGGTGTTGGCGGCGCCTCTGTGGTAGCGGTTAAGGGTCGGAAGGTAGAGGTTACCTTTTCGGTCCCGGAGGTGAAAGTCGTTGAGCTGGTAGCTTGCAGAGGAGAACGCTGCGACCGAGTGGCTTCCACAGGGTGAGGATCGGTTTGTAATTGTGGCATAACTGCGTCCTTCAAAAACAAAGCGTCGAATGAATCTGGATCTAATAATCGGGTGTGATGACCTTGTGTATTATGAATAGGCGGACACTGTTGCACATGCAATGCGTGGTAGACACGATGTGGGCATTGATTATCGGTTTGATACACCGCATTGGCCAGGCCAAGCAGAGCGGCTGCCGTAATTAGCGAACATCCTACCATGATGAATCGCTCTGAACCATGCATGCATTCTCCATCCGTCGGTTAAGCGTCTGACACGTGACCTGCGGGAATGCCTAAACGAGCGGTCCTAATATGGCAATTCCATTCTTTGCTTATGCAGAGGGTTCCTTGGCCGTTTCAACTGGAGACTTCCAAGCAAGCAAGAGACTGGCCACACATGCCTTCACGTCCTAGAAGACCGCATCGCAGTCGTTGCACTAAAGTCACGAGACACCCCAGTTAATTGTTTCAGTGGTTTTTGAGTTGGTTGTCGCACAGACAATGATTTGATAGCCCACCTCCTCCTTCTCGCTCCAGAGAAGACAAAGGGGCCGTCGTTTTTTCTCTCTCTCGTGTTCTTCCTCGAAGCCTCTTATTCTTCTGGGGTCAAGAGGGAAAGGAATTCATCCTGTCGTCCAGCTTATTGAGAGGTCCAAAGTCCGCGGCGCCGGGCGGAGCTGGGAAATCACACACATTGAGGAGTTTTATAATATCATTTGTACACCGTACAACACATGGCCCAGTTTGATTATGGCTTTGATATTATTCATGGTCTTTGGGGGAGTGCAAAAGGAATAGACTGGGAAAAAAATAAGAGTAAGCAGGCAACCAAAGAAAATGGTGGAAGGAAGAAGGCATTCATCCATACACTTCTTTGAAGCAAAGGAAAGTAGCTTATGCAATCCAAGGAGGCTGACAACGCCCCAATTCAAAAAAAACGACAATCAATAACGTTTTATTATTTTCTTTTTTTCCTTTTCTTTACTTTTTGGCACTGAATGGATACGCAAATACCTCCACCTCCATGGTTGCAAGCGAACAAAGGTAAGGCTTTTGAACAAAGAGACATGGAGGAAAAGAGAATGATGTGTGCCCCTTTACTGATCTCTTTTGTTATTGGCTGGTGGCTACAAAATCAAAAAAAAAAAAATTATATAGAGGCGCTTGAGTCAACTTCCACTCCTCGTTCGCCGCTACTTCATCTACAAGCGAGCTCCATTCCAATGTTACTCGAGCCACACCCGTTTGCGGAATCTGCTGGTCAGGGCTACTATGGCAAAAGCAATAGTCCTACCGAAAATGCTCACCACGCGCATCCCATCTCCACACAAGAACCTCCCGCCACACCTACCCCATCTGCTATGGATCACCATGTAAAATATGAACCGCCATCTCGTCGCCCTCCATTTCAACCCGTCACCACTCTCAAAATTCCTATTCCCCGCCGAGCAGAACCACCGCCATCGCCCGACATGGGAAGACCCCCTCATCCAAGCGCTGTACCCGCTTCCGTCCAAGCACAGGCGGCTTTGAGACGACCTGCCCCAAAAGCATCCCCACCACAACCTGCGAAGAAGGGATTTCATGTTGTCAAGTATGAAAAGTACGAAGTCAAGCAGGAACGGTATTATTTGCCACCTTCCGTCAAATTGCAAAATGGATCACCTCCTGTGCCTGGCCGTCATCAACAACAAATCCTTCCTTATCACCATGCCTCTCCACCCCCCTCCAATCACGAAAATACCCACCCAGGTACTTCTGAAGAAGATGAAACCAATGGATCTTCAAGCGACGACAACAATAGTAATTCCGACTCCAGTGGAAGCGGAAGTGACGGAGAAGACGATTCTGCCCCCGAAGAGTCAGACGACAGCGACGATGAAGAAGTGGTGGAAGCAGTGATAGCGCCTAAACATGTAAAACAAAATGGTGGAAAACGCAAGCGAGCCACCAGTGGTACGGGTAAAATCAACTTCAAAGAGGAGGCTGGTTCCTCGTTTATTGATAAGAATGCTCATATTAAGCGACCGCGTAATGCTTGGATTCACGTAAGTTTCACACCCATCCAGCACCGCTGGCTGTATTAAACTAAATCCTTTCCACAGTTCAGATGCCATTACGGCCAAGCTCTCAAAGCACAAGACCCTACTTTACGCACTGACGAAATATCAAAGTAAGTTGCTCAGGACTTTTTCCCCAAATCAAATCAATTCTAACCTGCCTGGATGGCATCAGTATGTCCTCACGTTCTTTGTCCAGACGAGCATCCAGACGATGGGCTAAGCTGACAGATAAACAAAAGAAACCCTGGCATGATTTGGCTGAACAAGAAAAACAAGCGCATAAGGAAGCTTTCCCTGAATACCGATATTGTCCAAAACGAAATGCAAAGAAAGAGCGTCAAAAGTACAAGCGAAAGAATCAGCTTGGAACTATCATGAAACCATAATGGCTGGCTTACCATTCCATGAACTCTCTCTCTTTTTTTTGCAGGTCTGACTTCTTTTTCATAATACCCTTTCGTTTTCTGATTGAGAAAACGCCTTCATATAACACCCCATGCGATTCCAGCATTTTGTATGAACAATAACCTCCAAAAAAAAAAATCTATTCCTTTCTCTTTACCCCATCCACCCAATTTTTTTTTTATTTTATATTTTTGCGTCCCTACCTAGCTCCCCTTGTGTGTTATTGCCATATCCCTCTGCTTCATTTTTGACATTAAAAAAATTTTCATTGTTGTGTGTTCATGTACCTGAAGGAGCCATTTGTTTCAAGTCGACGGACCCCCTGGTGATAACAGGTACCATCTGCGGACGACAAAAACATCAATCCCATGGTCTCATCCAAGAGGAATCATCAAAACCGTATAAGCAGCCAGTCTCGTGAACCATGGTTTGGTACACGCATTGTATTCAGATGGGGTCATACAGATGTACACAATATCGCACAAAGTAAATTGTTTCAAGTCAGCCCAGGAAAAATTTTATTTTTGTACAGTTTCAAACGGCCTGTCCTCCGAGCAATAGGCCCATGGCAGAGCAAAACGAATCTATCTCGTTGATATGTTCGATTCCTCCTATGCCCTCTACCATGGAACTAAATTCTTCCGTTTGCGTGACTCGAACCATATGGGTCAGAATGGTCTTCAAGGCGGCAAGGGTCAACATACTATGGGGCCAAGCTGTATCGGGCAAAATGGAGGTGGGATCCCGACACAGCCGATACGTCAACATGGCTCCTTCCAAGGTATCATCTGGCGGCGTGGGGTCAGCGAACCGTTCCAGCATCCAGCGCTGACAAGCTCGGGTGACAGAGTCAACGACGTAGCGGTCACTAATGAGTAGGAGCCCAACGACGGTACGCCATGCCATGTCAGATAAGACAATGGTGGGTTCAGGGTGTTGAGCTCGTTGAATGGCGTCGACCAAAGCAGTCAAGTCATCGCCATTGACCCCGCGCAGCATAATTGTATCTTGCGTCGCCTCTCGGTATTGATCACTGAGCAGAGCTCGAAACGTCTCAGATGCAGACGAGAGCAGCTCTTTGGAAGCTTGGACAGGTGTGACCATGTCTTCCGTGCTGAGAAATACCACCTCTGGCGATTCATCCGCCGCGGGTGGAATGGGTATAATGGGAAGTTGATCAATCTTCAGTTCATGTTGCCAAGGGTCCATATCGAGCATCAAAATCTGTACAGCTTGACCTGCTGCGGTTCGTCGCTGAAATGTCTCCTGGTCTTGTTCGTTGGCTGAATCCATGACGTCGTCCAAAGGCTCAAGATCACAGAACAGCATTCGACATAGCACACCAAACACACTGGACGAGTTGAGATGATCTTCTTCATTCAAATCCAAAATCTGCGTCCGAAGAGGGGCAGGCGGGATGGCGTAACAGATAGCAACCGACGTAAATTCCATCAATCGTATAGCTTCATCATTGTGCTTTGCATAATTGAAAAACCGTAGAAGGTCTTGTAGTGTTTCGGTCCTGGCTTTCGATCGAAAAGCCGCAATGAGAGACGCCATAGGTTCATCTCGTAGGTTACCACTTAGTAGCCATGGTCCAAATAGATCAGTGTACAAATCTTGAATCACAAACCACTGTAGACTGTCCTTGAACGATATGGCTCGTATAAGACACTGGTACAGAACTTGCACCCAGATGGTGGTGATTCGATCCGATGACGGATAAGATGGTTCGGCGGTTGAACTCGACTGCTGCTGCTGCTGCTGCTCCTCAGTGTCGCTTGCCATGTCGGATAGGCACGCGACTTGGTCCGTCTCTGCAACTTGCTCCAGCACCTGATTGACAATGGTATTGTTCTGGATAATCGACGACGTGGTTGCTTCCTCCGCTGAAGTCGATGCCTCACCCTCCGTCTCCAGTACTGCTGCTTTTCCCGCAATCAGTAGCTGAGAAAGCCATCGAAGCGCTTTGGGATACACCATGATTTGTCGTAACGACGTAGGAAGAAGTGAGAGGGGTTCCAAAGCGAGTAGAGCTTCAAGGAGGATGGGTTGTGATTGCGTTGTTACCTCAGATAACTTCCTTGGTTGCATTTTGTACTGAATTCCTTGCTCATCAGGGGCAATGGGAAAGAGCAACTTGAGTAATATGGGTGTCACTGAGAGCTCGGACTGGTTGCTGATAGCCGCCTCGCTAAACTGCTCAATATAGCCCATTAACTCTTCATTCATGGGGTACCTTACCCAATCTTGCAGGCCAGTTCTGTCGAAACGAAAGGCAGTGACTACTTGAAGGCAACTGCGTTGTAAACGTTCCAGTTCTTGCTTAGATGTAGTTTGTTGCTGCGCCTTCCTTATGGATTGACACAGTATATGGAGAATACAAGGAATGGCTTGATGTTCTTGGCGAAGTTTACCTCTGACCAGAGCCATGTCTTTCGCCAGCTGGTACAGTATCTCAGCCATTAAGCTGCACAGAAGCTGGCCATCCTTCAGATCCATGTATTGGGGTTGTCGAGGTGGATAAAAGGGATCAATGATCGTAAGCACGCCGGCTTCTACAATTTTCGGACAAGCTTCGCTTACGCGGGCGGCCCTGAGTAAAGACTGAAGTGCTCGCTTTCCCCTTGCTATCGTCTTGGACCGTACCGCCACATCCACTACACTATTGATGTCGTATTCTATTAATTCGCGGAGAGCAGCCTTGGCTTGTTCAATGATGGGGTGCCAGAAAATTGCGTTGGCGGAAGACGAGGTGTTTTCCGATAAGGATTTTATACCTTCAGGATAATACAGCAATAGCGCAGCTAGTTGCTGGGCTCGTGAAAGGATGCTCTCATAGGCTTCATATGGTTCCATAGCCACTACGACAGCAATGTGTCTTAAACATATGGCAGCTGGAATACATAATTCTTTCATGCGAGGCTTGTAGACCAGCTGTAAATATCGAAACAAGATGTCCAACATGGTTTTGATGACATTGGGTTTCTTTTGAACGTAGACCCCAAAGCTTGGTTTCATCGCTTCCTCTAATGTGGTGATAGCATCGTCTGGTATACGTTCTTTTTGACTCATGAAATCAAAATCTTCAGGCACGATAGGATGCCATAGCATGACGACTAGGAAATTCAGCGTATCGACAAGGAGTTGCTCTATCACTGTGGTGGAAAGGCGTACGGTTGATTTGGCGTCGTATACGGAGACAACAATCCTGGAGATAGCATGAAGAGTGTCCTGTAGGGCCACCATGGAGTCACCTCTTTGATTTGGTGATGCAGGTCGCTTGGCAGGTAATTCATCTGACAGGAGGACTTGAGGAGTTGATTGCATGATGGTAGCGTATTTAAGTAAAACAAAGTGATAGCATTCGGTAAACCCTGAATCGCTTCGGATCCTGTCCGTAGCCTCTATAGACACCGTAGCAATTTTAGAGACAACGCTCGAAAGTCCAGTCATCAGTCGATCTATTCCTTGAATCTCAGACTTTCCCTGGGTACCTTCCCACACTACGACAGGCCATACCTTCAAGATGGTTGAAAAAGCTACGCTGGATCCAAACTGACGTAGCTTGGTAGCATTGGACGTCTCGGCGATCTGGACCAGTCTTCGTACCAGCGAACCGGCCAACATAGATATGTGTAACTTGCCCGACCACGTCTTTTCCCTTTGTCTTTCGGGCAATCTCATTTCCCGGGTCAGAAGATCATGCAAACTGCCAATCCTTGCAGCGACGGTCCACAATGCATCCTTTTCTACCATATCCTTTCCAAAATAATTTGTAAGGGCCATCAATACTCTAAGCGCATAATGCTGTACATTTTGTGTATCTTGTGCCAAAGCCTCTAGAATTAAGTCCAAACAATTTGTAGGACGGATCTCATCCACGATCAACTTGATTGGAACAGGATGTTTCCATGTAGCTGACTTTTGATCTTCCAGGAAAGCACACAGCAACTTTAGAGCAAAGACTTGAGCCATTTGGGAGCCTGTTTTGAGATTTTGAATGGAGTTGCGGACGCATATGCGTAAGGTCTGAAAATCCGAGGAGGTTGTAGGAACTAGGGCGGCCGACACAGTAGTGTCAAGTTGCGGTAGAGGGCGATGCGTAAGACTAGTTATAACGAAGTGGAGACATTCCAGAACTTTGCCTGCAGGCATTACCGGCTTGTTGGGTTGGTCGGGATCGTTCTTGAGGTTGCGCAGAATGCGTCGCAGAAATGTCCACAGTTCTTCGTCGCTGGACATGGCGAGCTGTTGACGGCATTGGCCATTCCGACGTTCATCGCCTTGTTCTAAAGCCTTTGCCAGCTCGCTCGCTCGATAAGGCTTGGATAATGGTGTGAGCACACTTTCGTGTGCGGGATCAGTGCGGGCCCGCTTTCTTGGGGAAAGAGCCATGAGCCATTGTCTTGTCACAAATTGAGCCAAACATTATCAATTCTAGCAGTCCAATCTCCAGCTCCCTCATGTTATGTTAGTATCGGTTTGCTATACAACAATTCATTACAATTGAACTCGGCCGCGTTGCCTAGGGAAATGGTTCAGTCAACGTTTTACGTTTCCATTCACGCAGTATCTTATGTAAAATCCCGTCATGCAATTAAGTGTCCTTTGATTTAAAATGCTGATCTACAGCGTGTCATGACCTATTGTATCAAATGAACAAAGCTTTTGATCCTCTTTCACGCAGGAAAACTACTCAAATCCATCCCCTCGTTCTGGCTGCCCAACTTCAAGCGATTCGCGCAAGAGTTATGTTCAGTTAAATTTTATTGTCTGCAATGCGTGTAGTTGCTGAATATAGAGAAGTCTAGTTGTCTCCAGCAGAAATGCACCCAGAGACAAACAACAATGGTGTAGTTGGTGTAAAAGGATTGTGTTGAAGACTGGACATTTGAAGGAAAACAAAATAATATTTTTTCTACAATGGAGGGTTGCGCTTATTCCTTGTTAGCCTCAAGCTTGGCGTAGAAGGCATCGCGACGCTGGACGTTGGGAATGTGATACAAGTTCCACCAGGCATAACCTCCGGTGATTCCAAGACCTTTGGTGAATGGATGGAGGTTAATGACATGCTTAAAATTGAAGATAAGAGAAGGAAAATCAATGTATGCTTACCAAGGGAGACAGAGATGTCAAGAATGAGTCTCTTGCGGAGCTTTCCAGCGATGGGAGCGATTGGCATGTTGAGAGCAAAAAGTAATACAACAAAAAGTAAACGATAGCCAGAATGCTTGTTTTGATATGCAGGCCTTCTGCCTTGAAATCGACGTCACGTACTTGCACCGCTCTGTAATTTTCTCTTGGATACCATTGGCTTTCACTCCGATGATGATTTCTTGAAACCAGCGTGGGTGAACTGGACTGCAAGATGAATAGAAGACAGGACACCATCAAGCTTGATGGGAAAACCATGGCGTTAAATATAAGTTAGATATAAGCCAAAGGCATAATGTTCTTGATTGCGTCCATGAACATATCTCGGGTTTTGACGTGAAGCCATTCTATTATAGATGTTGATAGACTTTTCTAAACCTACACGTCTCTATGCTCCATAGATATTCAATTGTATTTGCGTAATGTATTTTGGGAATATCAATTGACTTATGAATTGCGTTCAAATGCACACATCTATCCTATGCTATATACTACGAATTTGCTATATTTCATTTCCGTAATTATCAATTTTTCTTTACTTAATGCATAGTAGGCATGGCAACGGATGATCGGGTGTGATCAGCATCGCTTTCCTTCCACAAAGAAGTAACGGTCTTCAGCTTGGTATAGAACTGGACACCAGTCTTACCGTAGAAGTTGAGGTCACCCAAGATAGAGCCTCGGCTACCAGTCTGTAATCAACCAGTCAGTTCATGATACATTACCATTACACAAATAATATGAAGAGTAGACTTACGAAGGAGAAGGGAGGAACAGGAACAGGGATAGGAACGTTGATACCGACTTGGCCAGCATCGACCTCGTATTGGAACTTGCGGGCATTAGGGCCAGAGTTGGTGAAGACAGCAGTACCGTTACCATAGGGGTTGTTGTTGATGATTTCAATAGCATCATCCAACGTCTCAGCCTTGAGACAGACAAGGACAGGACCAAAGATTTCCTCCTTGTAGCATTCCATGTTAGTAGTGACATCGGAAATGATAGTAGGACCTAGCGAACAACAAAATGAGTTCAATTATGCACGCTAAGAAATACACCATGTTCAATTCAACCTCTTCCACTTACCAACAAAGTTTCCGTTTTCATAACCCTGAGGCTTGTAGCCACGTCCGTCCAAGAGAAGCTTAGCACCTTGGTCGACACCGCTTTGGATCAAACGCTCAACACGCTCCTTAGCTTGTACAGTGATCAAAGGACCGACATCCGTATCGGGCTCCATACCATAGGAAACCTTAAGAGCCTTGGCGCGCTCAATCAACTCTGGGATCCACTCTTGAGCTTCACCAACGAAAATGGCAGTACTGAGAGCCATGCAGCGCTGACCAGCGGCACCAAATGCAGCACCAGCAATAGCGTTCAAGGTAGATTGCTTGCTAGCATCAGGCAAGATGACACCGTGATTCTTGGCACCAAGGTTAGCCTGTACACGCTTTCCATTGAGGGAACCGCGGTCGTAGATGTGTTTACCAGCGTGGTCAGAACCAACGAAAGAAATGGCCTTGATACGGGGCTCATCGCAGATGTAATTGACAGTATCAACGGAACCATGAACAACATTGAGAACACCCTTGGGTACACCGGCTTCGGCAGCAAGTTGAGCCAACAGCATGGTAGCGCCGGGATCACGTTCCGAAGGCTTCAAAACCATGGTGTTTCCCGTAGCCAAAGCCAAAGGGAACATCCACAAGGGAATCATGGCAGGGAAGTTAAAAGGACAGATACCAGCTGTCACACCAAGTGGTTCACGGAAGGTATCTGTTGTTGAATGATGACGAGCCGATTAATGATCGGAATACCAAAAACTCTCTATTTGCGATTAGGTGATGCCTTACATGTCTCCATATCCTTGGCCACCGTTAATTTTTCGCCCATAAGCAAGCTGGTCAAAGAGCAAGCTTGTTCGACAACTTGCAATCCTCTGAATACATCACCCTTGGCATCAATAAAAGTCTTTCCTTGCTCTTCCACGATGTTTTCTGCAATGCGATCATGGTTTTGTTTGATCAGATATTGCAAATCGAGCATAATGCGCTGACGAGAGAGAACAGATGTTTGGCTCCACTGCTTAAAAGCACTTGCAGCAGCATCGGTGGCAGCATCCAATTCCTCTCTGGTAGTTTCAGGAACGAGAGTCACCAACTCTTGAGTTGCCTATGAAATTAAATGAATAAACATTTTAGATACAGATGGCAGGGGGTCAAAAGTATCAGTAGGTACTTACAGGGTTGCGCAACTCAATCCACTTGTCAGTGGATGATTCAACGAACTCTCCATTGATGAAGTTCTTGGTAGTAGCCACCTTGGCCTGAGTAACAGGAGCAGCTTGTTGAAGAACAGGCAGGTTTGTGGAGAAAGCCCGCAAGTAGGGTCTCAGAGGAGCTCTAAAATAGAGATAGAGTCAGAATAGGAGTGGATGCAAGCGCATGGAGCATGTGATTAACTTACCTTTGAGAATGTGATTTAAATAGAGATGACAGCATTACAAAGTAAGAAGAAACAGCACCGTGCGAAAAAAAAAATGAAGGGTTGCGGTTTTTAAGTCTATTTGGCTAACACGCCTATTTCCGCTGCAAAGAAGAGTAAAGTATGAAAAATCCGTGGAAATAGGATTTTTTTCATTTCATTTAAATACGAGTGATTACAGAATGTTCTCAATTGATGCACATCCAAGTTCTATTGTCTGGACTCTTCTCATACACACGCCTTTCATTGCAGCTCAATCGCTCACGATTTCTAAGCACCGACCAGTCAACGGAGTGTATTCAAATCTGCAACGATTCTATTGGATATCGTGAGGTGACATACTCACAAACTGATAGCAAACTGTATGCTGGTTGGTGTTGGCCATGTCTAAGGTGCTATTACTATATACAATTGGCTTATCTGACACTACCGAACTCCCCAAGCCTTCGGGATCCGGATGACCTTGTAAATATCTGTCCGGGCCTCGGCTTTGTAACTCTTGGTTCAATTGAATTTTGATTCGCGTGTATCGATGCATTTCCTCGTCAGGGCAAATTTGTATATACAGGTCCAGGATTTGATGACACACATCTATGAAAGAATACAGGTTAGCCAATGGGGAACCGGGCCGACGGTTCTAAATATATCGTTGCCACTCACCCTCCATATCCTCCATTCGCGTCCGGAACACAAGATCCCACGGCCTACTTTCATCCAACCCAGTGAAACCGTCATCTTCATCCTTGAGCAGCCGGTTGGCTAGCCATATAGCGCCTGCCGCAATACTATGCGCGGGGTATTCCAGGCACAATGGTGTTTTGTAACTGTCGGTCAGGAGCATATATGCCCTTCGAGCAAGGACACGTCCGTCAATGGATTGGTGTGCTGACAAAAGACGGGTTAGCAAAACGACGTGATGTTCACGCCTTGGTAAACCCCCACGTTTCTCACCATGAATGTATTTTACAAATTTGACCATAATCTCGTAAGGGTGCCGAATTTGAAAGTCGAAGCACAGCGTTTCCAGCATCACCTTCTCATAGCCAATAATCCTCTTCCGTCGATCCTCAGACACCTGTTCTGGATCAAGTTCCTTGCTGTCTGGGTGTCGAACACTATGAATCACTACAAAAATGTCCCGCAGCTTCTTGATCGTCTCCTCGATCTTTGATGCCACAAAAATAGCTGTTATGCTGATATCCTGTCATTTTTTTCCCAAAGAAAACAGCGGATGAACGGTGCCAATCAAGTAGCATACAAAAAAGAAAGACATTAAAATCTGGCCGTCAACTCTGTCGTGCTGATATACATGTGGATCCAGTGGTTTACCTGTGGTGGATAATCCCGTACTGAATAAAACAGATAGAATCGGTGATACAGCGCCTGCGCCGTACTAATAGTGGTCTGCGGACTAAAGTGGGGTTGGTTGGGCATGAAAAACAGGCTGCATAAAATAAACCACCTACAAGCCTAGTTTCTTGCCTACTTGTTGTATGAATGAACAGCTGGCATGACGTATACTATGTTCTTTACCACCGGCACTGTGTTTCTTTAGATTAGCAAGCAAAGTCTGATATCTTTTGGAAAAGTAGGCGGGTGAACGACGTTGCAGCGATAATGGCGGGCGTGACGGCGATGACTGTCGTGATGATTTAGTGGAGGCATTCATTCCCAACAAAGGCTTCTTGGGGGCAAACGGGGGAAAGCACCAACACTTTCCAGCAAAACATCTTGGTTGAAAATTTGGTTTATTTTAACGTACGAAATGGGAAATGAGAGAATTTTTTTTTTCTACCGTAGCAGCATTAAATCACTCCGACTTTTCAACGATGAGCTTAGGGTTCTGAACCCCATTCTCGCGCCAAGCAAGGTAAGCAGACAGACCTCCAGCTGGTCCCAATACAACAGTAGCTCCAACGTAGACAGCCGTTCCCAGGACTCCGTCTTCCAGTAAACTAAACAAGGCTAGTGCAGCACATAGCACCAGCAAGTCAATCAACAAGAAATAAGCACACACCGTAGTGCTCAAATTTTCAGCTGAGCTCAGCACAGGGTCACTTGCAAAGTGGGCAAGCTTCCAGAGTCCTTCCACAAGGAAAACACCATTAAACCCAGAATGAACTATGACTCCGTAATGTACGATGGTACCCACACCCATGGCGAACAGATACGATGTCTCCACCATGCTCTTGCTTTGAATCGTCCTCCACCGAGCCTTGAATAGTTTATCGTCTCCCGACGTTTGAGGCGTAGTCAAAGCTACCCAGTGGAAGGCTGGAGTCAGTAGAGCTGCGAGAGGTGAAATAAACAGTGGGGCCACTTGCCAGCCAGCAATGACGTTTTCGATGGTCGACTTTTGTAAATCCAAAAACATAAGAACGGTTGGAACGCCAAACACAGCAAGCGTGCTGACGATAATGGCGGCTGCTCGACCGGGCTCGATATTTTCTTGCACCACATTCCGCTTGCCAGCCGGCACGCCGCCTGCGAACCATTCATAACAGGGAATCCAGAGGAGAGGGACGGTGACCGAGACACCAAGCAAGTTCGAGAGTAAGCCGAAAAGAGGAGCAGCAGCAAGGAGCGTACGGCTGGTACGAGTACGTGAGCCTTCCATGGAGAACAAGGCAAGTACAACACCGAACAAAGTGAGCAATTCAACGGTCACTGCAGCGCCGATAGGAGTAGAGAGAGATTGAACGAAAAATGGGACAATGAAGCAAAGGAATTTTTGGTCTATGCCTTCGTATCCAGTGTAGGTAGTTCGAATTCCAAGCTTAGCAGCTTGAGCTGGGTTTGAGCACAGCTTTTGGGTGACGCCCACTGCTGGTGCCACACTGCTCATTAGATGTTGCATCACCATGACGGCCAGCGGTATGCCTATCAGCGATATATAAAAGCGAGCTTGTGGCATTGTATGTGGGCAATAAACTGAAGATAAAGAAGTAAGGTGGCAGGACGTGTAGCTGGGCTGTTTTGTTTTATACACAGACAGCGTCGTCACGGTCCGCAATTCCCGGTCCACTAATTTGCCTGATCGGGCTTCCAAGTCGTAAGCAGTGAAAGAATTTGACTTTCAAGCCGTCGTCACCACACCAACATAGTGTTTATCTTCACAGTGGGAACGAAATCCTCTGTACATTTAGTATATCTTGTTCAATGATGAATACATATTGCTGGGAAAAGTTTAGTGAGTGATAATCAAAGTGACCTTGGCGATGTTAAGTAGCTATATTGAAGGCACAACCGATGTCAGAAAGTCAATTTTTCGGCGAAAACTCCTTGTGAATGACAGCGAGAATTTAATGGACTCTACTTAAGTAAAAGAATAGTAACTATGGGGCCTACCGCATTCTATAATGTACGAATCTAGAACCCATCTTTCCCTAGAATAACAATTGGAGAGAGACATACATTGTTAATCCGCGCATGCTTTCAGTCACCATTATTATTTTGCCTTGTTATTACGTGAGACTCTCACCAATGCTCTTTCTGCAAACCTTTATTCTGAGTCATCGCCGTTCTCAATGCTGACATGCTTTTTCGGCTTAACGTTGAGGGATGGGACGGTATTGAGCATAATGCTGGTTCCATTGGTAGATGACAATTCATATCGTCTGCTTCCATAGATTTCCATTTTAAAAACGATAGTACTCTCCTATTCCCAGTGGGTTAGGAGCCCACTGACCAAGGCGAATTTAACAAAAAGTGATGTGCACACAGCGGTGTTTCAACCAGCAAGTCAATGCTCGCTACAATTAATTTTTTTTTTTTTTCTCGGTCGGTGTTGGCCAAACAGAATTGACAGTCTACCATGGAGCGGTTTGAAGATGTCTACAAAGAAAGCGATGACTTTCATGACGACCAAGAAGATATGTTCCCAGCTTATATTGATGGTGTAGACACCACCTGTGCACCCTACTGCCCATCGTCAGCTCATCGCATCTTCCGAGCCCTTTCCATGGTCAATGTCCAACCAAGTGATCATATAATGGACATGGGCTCAGGCGATGGTAGAGTCTGTGCAGCGGCTGTAGGAGAATTTAATGCTGCTCGAGCCATTGGGATCGAGACCGAAGACTACCTGATCGAAAAGTCATGGGAGTTAGCTAAACGAATCATGCCACAAGACAAATTGGATCGATTAGAATTTATTCAAGGCGATTTCTTGGCCCCTTCCCTCGCCAGTACCATAAAAGATCCACGGTTGTCTGTAATCTTTCTGTATTTATTACCAGAATTCAACCATTTGTACAAAGACTTCTTGATAGAACATTATGAAAGAGGCACACGGATAGTGAGCTTTACGTTTGATTTGAAGGATATTCAAGAATTACAGCTTCAGCAACGCGATGAGCTAGAAGGCATTTTTATATACCAAAAATTGAAGTAGCAATAAACTCTTGTGTCGCCACCCAACATGGACGGACATACCACAATTTCCCCTTTTCTTCACCTTTTTTTTCCTTCTCTCTTTTTTCTCTTTTTCTCTCTCTCTTTGAATGCAGGACAAAAAACATAAACGCTTAACCAAGCTCATTCACCCTCTCAAAAGACTAAGCTTACTATCGACTTCCCAGCGAAGGTGAGATATTCTCCGCATAGCCAACGCGTGTCTCGAATAGGACAGTCATTATTACCCGGCTTTTGCTTGGGAATCTCAGTTTAACCTTGTTCCATTCACCCTTTGCATGCAGTCTCATCCCCGATGTGGTTCTTAAGGAAGTGCCTGAGCAAGCTGCTGACGACTTGATAAGTTGTTTACCACACGAAACAGCCGTCTCTATCTTCGCATTACTATGTTTCAAAGATTTGATAAGAGTACAACTTGTAAGCGTTGGTTATCACTTGTACCTGCTTTCACCGCAAATGTCTTGCTAAATTCTCCATTTTTAGGTATGCAAATCATGGCGGAGGATTGCTAGCGACGCGGCTCTTTGGAGACAGTTATATGTTGAATTATCGTGGCGATATCCCTATCTGGGTTTGCATCGGTTTGTGTCCGACGGCGGCGTGACATGGCATCAAAGGTATTGTCGAGCAACCTCCATGGCCAATTGGAGCGCGGGCAATGCTCAAAAGATACAATCCTTCAATGAGCATACCGGTCGAATCCTTGCCACAAAACTAAAGGATCGCTATTTGGTCACCCTTGGTGAGGTAAGTTTACCAAATTTTGACGCTCAGCCTTCGCTTCTAAATTCCCGTTACGCCGACTGATTGAACGAATGGGTCACTTTTTTCCAATGGCTTAGGATAACTTGGTCATTCTATATGAGTACAACAAGGAAAGGGCTCACTTTTATCATAAGCGTACTTGGGACTTTGGTCAATCATCACAAGGCGCTACCAATGTAAAATGCGTGGATATTTTACCGGAGATCAATGTCCTGGTTGTAGCTCAGCGAGGATCGTGAGTTATTTTGGGTCCATTTGTGTTAAATTTAAACTTTCCCCACTAACATTTATATTTTTTTTTCGAAATCCAAGAAAATGTGTGTTCTACGATATCAGTAAGAATACAAGTGATCCCATTCAAATCTTGAAAGGCGGCAACCACATCCTTTTTGAACCGGAATCCATTGCGTTAGATCGTGATCACTTTGTCCTGGCTGGAAGAAAACCCTCCGCTATTTTTATTTGGGAATGGAGAAAAGGTGTCCGGATATCAAACAGGGTACGAACCTTATATTAATGAAAAAACGATGTTTCTTGTTTATATTAAGCTTGCATGTCTAATTCATCCACAGGCTTTTGATAACCAGGCTCATCGCGTATTTCTGTCGGGAGATCATGTCATCACTATCAGCGTAGACGGTTCTCTCCATGTCTTCCACATACCAAGCAATACCATGAGGGCCATTACCACTGATTTGCCAGCGTGCTGTTTACCATGCCTTGCCTTTGATGGCAGTCTCAGTCTAGTAGCTACCCCGTACGCAGCAAGAAAACTCCACCATTTTGAGTGGAAACCAACACTCGCATCCAAAAAATTCATCCAACCGATGCCATCCCAATCAACCCCACCGCCACGTGTACCAGAACATGGTGTCCCGAATAGAACGTCGTCATCTCACTTACTCTCATTTTCTGCATCGATGTCCTCCTTTTTCGGTCACTTTAAAAGCAGCAAAGACATTGGTCAAAAAACTCGTCCTAAATCGGCCGAACACGCATCGTTAAAGTCACAGCAACAACGTCTGCGAAGACAAAGGCGACATTCTTCCTATAATGACTTTGGGTGGGAGTGTACGGCGCGAACAACCCAATACATTAAGAATTTGGATGGCAATGCGTTACCCCCGCCTACGCCTGATTTCTCCAAAAAAATTACCCTCACCAAGACTATCCCAACCACGCAACTCGGAGTCACTACACGACACGTCGTCGGTGTTGCTATAGCTGGTAACCGGGCCGTCGTCGTCAACCGAAGTGGGGATATGGCCATCGTCATGCTGGATTCAGGCCATGTCAGCCAACTCTATCCTCCGCCTCATCACTGCTATGAATGGATCGAGAACTGGCAAGAGGATGCACGTGAAAACGATGAAGATCAGGATGGATATAATTTGTCGTCGATGCGATTGTCGGCGGATCCAAAACTGGGCATTGCCTATGGAGGACGCAATGGCACCGTGTGGTTTTTCAGCTTCAACTGTACATCTGACTGAAGTTTAGAATGAATTGTAGAGGCTAAACTTGACCTATACTTTATGCTATCGTCACAAAGTTCCCTGCGCAAAATTCGCGGTACATGTAGATACCCCTAGATCACCCCCAAATTGCCGAGCCAATCCAAATTACTGTATTAGGATATTTATCGTGATTCATTATCGTATACCATAGTATTAAACTTTATAAAGATGGACATTCGTTCGTTCATGTTCAAATGGCTTGAAAGGAAACAGTCGTGTTGAGCATAATGTGTCATAATTTTGAATTCGCGCACGCCTACGGCTTATTGTTATGCAGGCTACTAAGGTCACCGTTCAACCATTCTTAAGAATTTATGATTCTACTTGGCGGCTTAATGAGACACTTGTTAGTCGCAACAGTGCACCATCATTGTCTCACCAACTAACATCATCTTTATGATGCTCGAGCAGCTGTACTATTGACAATGGAGGGGGCATCTTAAGTAGGGTGCTGCAATCACCCAAACAATAGACCCGTATATGGCCAATGGGCAGGCCTACTACTACTTATTACAAATGGCAATGCGGTGCGTGGTAACGAAAAAAAAAATGGGCGCACACTTTTTGCTGATCGAAATATAAGTACATTGATGTAATCTCATTCATCTTTTTTTTATATAAATGAGCTGTCAACAAGACTTTTTTACGTGACAGCCCCTTCTTTACTACTATGTATGTCAACAAAAATTATGCACCTTCCTTAGCCAAGGCTTCTAACACTGGGTTCTCTCAAGCCAAAACACTTGTTACTTCCAAGTCTGACCACGGCAGCGGGGCCAATGAACTGAAAACTCCAAAGCCGCCGAGCAACTTAACAAAAGCACACACTACCACAAGCAGCAAGAAAAAGTAAGGACATACTAGCCATTTGTCCTGCCTGGGCAGCCGTCAATGCCCAACCTCCAACAAAAAGCATGTACTAGTAGAACATCTCCTTCAGAATTTGTCTACTTATATATTACACGGGGAGATTGTATACATTCCGTACAGGTATACGGACGAATAAATGTTCCTTAATCTGAATGAATGTTTTCAAAAGAAAACGGTCAGTAGAACGCATAGAGCGTCTATGTATGAACCCTGTTCCACCGGCTCGATCGCACAAAAAAAGTTTATAGGTTCAGTCGGTAGATTTCACAAATGCCTATCCATAAAATGTACTATAGCAATGTCTATCTTGTTGAATACAAGAGGCTACAAAATTTCTAAAAGCAAAATACTTCATTTAACGTTTCAAGAAGTTGAGAACAGTATTCCAGTATTCCTCAAAGTTCCATTTCCACGCAATATCTAAAATATCAATACATCAGATGCGAAGCCGAAACAAGAAAAAAAATTAGAGAAGGATACATACCACCGCCAAAGTCACTTTCAAGTTGTTCCTTGTCTACAAAGTCGGTCAATTGAACCCAGTCTGGATTTTTGTTTGCCTTCTGACCATCCTTTGGTTCCTTCAAGTCTACAAATTTGACCTAGAAAAAAAAAAAAAAAATGTCAGATTCCGACGTCTGTGTCGATCTCCTCGGACCAAAAATTTACTTACCTTTGCCCTAGTAACAGGATCAATGAAAGGAGATACAAGCTTGAACGTAGTCCAAAAGAACCAAGGAGCTAAAGAATGGGCACGCGAGAATATTAATGTTTCGTTTCCGGCGGCCACAGAACAAAAGCAATGCGGGACTTACTGTGAACAAGAAATGCTACACCAAGACGCTCTGGGCTGTTGTTATGATGACAATTAGATTTCAGGTTGGTGAACGATAAAAAAGCTCTGCATATCTTACTAGTGGTTTCCAAGAATATCTATGAACTGCTTGGCCATTCCTACTCCGGGGGTATCTCCTGAACCTGCATCACGGAAGTCAACAATAATGTCCATGGTGTGGACATCATCGGGCACTAAAGCTGCCGCTAGCTCCAAGCTGAAGACGATATTCTTTATCTGTCGATCAGCGTCCTTGGAATTTTCGTAGCGAGGCTTCATATAGCACAACGGACGGCCATGCTTATCAAAACCACTAGTAAGTCGAAACATGAGTTTCATTTTCATTTGTGCATGGATGGTAAAGATTGAGCCTGACGGTTTCACCACTTACTTGAAATACATTTTGCCGCAACTTTGTTCAACTTTGATAGCTTCGGGATCTATTTCATCCGGACGATATGAGCGTCTCCACTTCAAAGTGCCTTCCAATTGTTTCTAAAAATGGATAGACCATTAGACGTGAATACAGGGCAAGCCATTGTGTGTACAAACCATTGTGACAAGTACCTTTGCAGCTTCCACGTCAAACTTTCTTGCACTGGTTATAAATCGAACATGAGAATTCACATTGTCACATGAAGTTTGAGGACAAGATTAAGTTTACCGAAGGTATCTTTGATAAGTCTTGTCAGTCAAAAAGGCTGTTTCCTTTTGGTGATAAGGATCGCTGTCAGGAAGGACAACTGAATTGATGTAATCCTTCAATGCTTGCAGCTTATCACTTTGCGCCTCATCTAGACTTGGGTAGCCGAGAGGAGAGTAGTTTTTGGGTGGAGTGAATATCGGAATGCCAGTTGTTGGCTCTGACTGTGCTTCTGAAGCAAGTTTTTCGTCGGCGGTACCATTCGCAGGCTCCTTAGGACGTGATCGAAACATTGTGCGTAAGAGTCAAACGTTCGAAGGTGACAAAAAAAAAAAAAAGTGTGCTAGTTTACCCAATTTTTTACCACCACCTGCTCTGGGCCAAACTGGGAATTTTTACCAATCGGGGGGCATTGCACTGTACACGAGAAATCGCCGGACTCAGCGATCAGAATACCGCCATGTCGCGTTAAGAGGTGTATAAGTGTTATTTAATAGACTATTGAGAGGCATTCATATATAACACGTCCTTAGAATACAGTCCAGTTCATTATTGGAGTGTGTTCACAGAATCTCATAGTGCAAAAACTGCTTATAGATGAAAGAGATGATCATCGGAGGTTGTTTTACTTGGAAACATTGAATATGAGAAAAGTGAAATATATACAGTAAGGGAGTACCAATGATACTTTTCCTTGTAGCAATACAATTTTATGCTTTGAAAGAGACAGCTTCCAACATAAGCACTAAATACCAAGGATATAAAGTCGAAAGAAGAAAGGCTAAAGAAAAAAATAGCTGGACTCAAGCCTCTCTTGCTGCTTTAAAATTTCGGTTGTACTGTAGATTTTGACGTCGTTCGTCGAACTTACCAAGCCCAACTACTCTCATCCCTTCTACCTTCATTATCAACTTTCGATACGAGCCAGCAAATAGTTTGTTTATGTGGCAAAAATATTTCTAGGTTTTTCCCATGGAACATCTATATGATTTATTTCTTCTTCCCAACTAGATAGAAAATGATTAGATTGACCGAACATGAAGTTCAACCACATGACCAACTTTCAATCAGTCATGCCCTCATCCTTCACACTCAAAGATAGTTTAACCAGCCTAGATATTATTCTGTAGAACTTACAGCTTTCCATTGTATGGGTCATAACACTACTTTAATTTGCTTTGTCCAAGTGAATCTGATCGAAACCCTGCTTCCTATACAGGTTTTTGGTATACAAATGCCTAGCTTTCTGACGTTCCAGTCGGTTTTTGTAGCTCGCTGTGGCTCGTTTCAAAGCATTCATAAATTTGAAAGCGTCTGGGATATATAGGAAACTCATGCGCAGTGTAGTGCCGTCTACAGGCAGCTTGGAATATTTTGCCTTCTATATGGAACGTTTCTGTCGAGCAAATCTCCCACAGGGCATTGAAAATAGAAGTTGTTGCCCGTCAAGCAATTTTTCAAGTATGTTGCTGTTTTCGCCGTATCTAAGCGCGTGTTACTTCCATAAACTATATCGGTCTGTAGCTGTCAGATGAAATTTATGTGCGCCACCGTATTTCTTGGTATCAAAGTGTTGGCGTGCGTAGCATTGGCCGCAGGGACCCCATTAATAAATGGCATTTTCTACTGCAAATGAACGTTACCCTTTAGTGGGTATTAGTCCTTCCAGAATCTCAATACTATATGTGAGGTTGCGCATGTGTTGATGAAGAGAGCCTTTCTTGGATTCCTTCCTCCTCTTGGCGGAATGGAAGTTCTTAAGGAAGCCTATTCTTTCCTCATTCTGTTCCTTATGTGCTGCTTTGGGATCACGCTAGAAATAGCTTGGTTGTTCTTCCGTTTTGACTATTTGAAAAACGAATTCACATAATGCCCTTCATAACCATGACACCTTTTACTGTGTAAGAATTTTCGATATTTACCAGTTCCATATTCCAGAAACGATTGATATCTTTATTTAAGTGCCACTTCAAACATATTACCCCATCCTTATTCCTCAGGTCAATCCCACTTTACCTCAGCGAGCAAAACAATTTACTTCTCTAAAGGCAAACAAACAAACAAAACATTACTTACAAGCCTCTTAGTATGGGAACATATTTATCAAAAGATTCATCAAATATATCAAATTCCAGTCCAGCCAACCCAGCAAATACAGCCAGCACATTGACCAAAGCAAGACCGTGTTCCCTTGCGTCTGTCAATTGCTATGGTTGCAGTGCAAATTGTGATCCTCAAAAATGCATGGTCTCAGCTAACCATGTCCCTCGCGTTAGTCGATCGTTTTGCTCTGAACGCAGCGACTTAACGAATGAAATCAGCATAGGACTGGTTCGTGAAAATCGAGGAGGAATTTCGGCATCCATAGCTCGAGTTTTAGCCGGCATCCATATGATGTATCGCTTGACCATGAAGGCTCATACGTGCAAGTCCCACTCTGGCAATGAGTTCGGCGTCAAAGCTCAGCGACTTCATCAACGATTCGAAATGGATCGCGATTTAACAAAATATGAAATACTGTTGACCATTCTGGGATCCCTTATCTCGCTCATTGGCACTGAAGGCAAAACAATCCTAGTCTCTCTTGTCAGACTGGGAAGACTCTTGGTATTGAAGGATAGCGATATAAGGGAGAAAGGAATATTGCCCATCGTTCAGAGTATAGGTAAAAGTATTGGTATGCCACTCACAGCAGCGTTTATCGTATCCGGTGTCCAAGCGGCTTCTCTCGATGCAAACCCACAAGTGCTTGACCTCCGATTTGATCAAAAAAAATTCAGGCGTCTGCTAAAGAGTAAACGCTTGTCCTGGCTAGTGTCAACCGAATCCATTAGACGGGCCGCAGATAACGCCGATATAGTTGTAATGTCGCAATACCCGCCCATCACTGGCGAAACGTTGGCTAGACTCTTCCGTGAAGGATATCGTAGCTTGCATGACGTCCATTTTGCTGCCAGAGTGGATATTGTCTTGGCCGCCATGTTACACTCCAGTAGAATCAGTACGAAACACAAACCTTTGGCTACCATGATGATTGCAGCAACACTGGGAAGTGTTGTTAGAGCAAATATGAACTGTGACCTCGACGACATTCCTTTTCTGTGCAGATATGTCTGCGCTGGATTTTCAGTTTCAAAGGATGAACTCCCTCCCTGCTCGAAGCAAGATGGTTCGATGTTGATATCCAAGTCACCATCTATTATAAGCTTCTGGGGAGCAGCTTTCAAAACGGCGTATGCTCTGCTGGCGACGTTGAAAATGATTGTTAAAAGCGACAATACAATTGATCGACAGGTAGCAACGGCTCTGCGATGGTATAAAAATCCAATGACCGAACGAGTTCCCATGAAACTACTGGAGAATCTTTTTGATAGCGTCAGTGGGTACTATGACTCCGGTAGCGGAGAGTTGAAAATGGTTGTCAAAGGTCCAGTGAAGATGTTCTTTGACACTTTGCAGAAAGCACATGTACTTTTCTGGATAAAGGAGTACGTTAGTCCTAACGCTACCTACATAAAGGGTTCCCTTAAAGTACAGATACCGTACTGTTGGGTACAAAGTTGGCGGTTGGCTGCCATGGCCATGGAAAGACGTGGCCATATGGCAATGGGCTTTGCTCAAGATCAACTTTTGGCTCCACTGACTTGGCCAAAAGCCACTGGTAATACTTTTCCCGTAGTCAGAGCTACTGATCCTGGCCAGTGGCTTTTGAACTTAAAAACTGGTAAACTTGAACGAAAGGAAGACCAGATTTACGCTGCCGTCTCCTATGCAGGCTCAGAGATCAGATTTCTTCAACAACATTTCAAACTCCTCGCACAATACCTAATAGACGGTCGCTGTAAATACATATGGCTAGACAAACTTTGCTGGAAACCTGGACAAGAACTCTCATCCTATTACGATATGATGGATATATACGCCAGTGCTAATTTTACGGTGGTTGTCGACCCGTATGCAAGCCTTTCCGGTGTTGCCGATACAGTGTGGGCAGAGAGAAGCTGGACACGCGCTGAGTTAGCAGTCAGTCGGCAGGTCAAGCTCTGGATAGGTAAACCGTACGGGACAGGTCTACTTGCGGCCTACAAATTTGGTCGGCGTCAAGTAGACACCATACCAGAAGCTGTAGACTGGTTCAAAAATACTGTCACTTTATATACCGAGGATAGCGTACTTGCTTTTGGAGCTATTACAGGGGCGCAAAATAAAGGAACGGTATCAAGCTCCGTCAGTACTGCTATGGCGGATATGACCATCAGTAAAGTCGTCCTTTACCCTCCAAGCTGTCGCAACGAACTTTCCTGGCTACCTGCTATTGGCGGAATGATTGAAAACCTAGGCGAGGAAACTCTTGCTACAGTCACAATGAAACACTATGGTGTTCAAATCAAAGCAAGAGAGATATCACTTCGGATCACTACGCTGGATAAGAGACACTGGCTGAGTGGCAGCCACCATGTTCGTAATTTAAGACTAGCCGAAGTTCGGTTACTTGCAGTTGCCACAGGCAATGCAGGAACTATCTGCTGGATGACGACAACTGGTACCCGATGGTCGAACTATATCGGCCGTGTCATTGGGTGTGTCGTACTCGACGACAGTGAATTTATGGAACTGAAAAGAATTACAACAAGAGTAGTGTAGATGGTGTGGTTGATCCCACTATGCTTTAGTAAATTCTGTAATCTAGCTAGCTTATATCTACTAATATAATTGCATTTCATTTATTTTCTATACTCAAAGCCTGCAACATGCTTTAACCACAAGTAATGGCTCATCTAATTATACTGCTCACAAAATAATCGTCCTTTCATATCACAGAGTTACTGGATTTAAGCACCATACATAGCTTAATAAACTATTATATCAGTCGGAGTCAAACTGTCACCATGGCAGCTCTCTAGTCAATATATTTCAGATAGTCATCTTTTACATACTAACCTTGTGATGTCACGCTCTTCCATTGCAATTTCCATTCAATTTTTCTGAACATTCACAGTTTTTTAACTTGCTCTTTTTGTCAAAATTTCCCTCTCACGTATAACTATAGTGGTTAGAATTACTCTCATCTTTGCCTACATTCTAATTTATTTGATTTTCTGATATGTTTAATTCTTTTTATTTATAACATGTTAAGCTAATTAATAATTAAAGATTTAACAAGGCACTTTTTCATTTTTTTGGCGTAATCAATAACACTGGTAATTGACAAAAAAAAAAAATCAAAATCGCTAAAACCCCTTCTCCATTTCAGAAAGAAAAGTATAACTAATTCAAGGTGATTCTCTTATATGTGTTCGGATATATCTTGACATGTAAATAGCTTTATAGGATAAGAAAATAGCTTACTAAGAGCTACAGCTATATTAGAGTCGTCATTGTAGTAGTGTAATCATCGTTCCATTGGCTAAAGAACGCGCCAAGGCATTTACTGTCAGTCACTTTAATATTGCAAATAATGAAACAGCACATTGAAGACGATAAGTATACATGTCGATTGGATAACGCTTTTGAAAAAATATGAGATCATTTTCTGTATTATCGAACTATATATTCAAATGAAATATGGAGTTTATTTAGTTAGAAGTATGTAGTGAGGTAGAGCATGTGAAAGATACTATTCAAATGTATGAATAAGTTAACTAAAGTGGTCCAATTTTCATCGAAAAGCGCAGTTGGTTTAGTGGTATAATTACCGCCTGCCACGCGGTAGACCTGGGTTCGATTCCCGGACTGCGCAATTTCTTTTTTGCTCGCTTTTTGCATCAGCAATTTTTTTCTTTTTCCTGCTTTTAAAGCTCCGACGGATTATTCCACAGAGACTGAATTACCCGCTCAGTAAACCAAAACAAACCCTGAACCACATGTAAAATATGAGCCTTGAGCCTTGACCAAAAAAAAAAGAAAAAGTGACATTATAATACGATGTGGCGACCATTTGAGATCTCTTTCTTTTTAGGTTGATTCGTTGACGAACGTGCGGCTCGTGAGTGATATTTTATATGACAATGAACAAAAGCTATAGTACAGTTTTTTGGGGATCTCTCACTTCCACGAAGCAAATAATTTAAATAGTGGAAGCTAGAAGTAAGTAGTTAAGAAACGAAGATCAAAAATGACACAAAAAGGTAGTGCAGAACAAGCTGCTCTACAGTGCGATGAAATGCGGCGGTTACGACCAGCTTCTTCGGAACGGTGGAACCTCATTTGAAGAACCATTGCTGGTATCATTAGTGTCGTCAGAGTTAGAAGGTTGAAGGTGAGCTGGTCTAGGCTCAGTAAGATAGTCTTCAGGCTGTGACGAAACGGCCTCATCACTTTCTTGCGGTGTAACAGACGAGTTGCTCTCTTTTCCAAAGTGTTCGGTAAACCGACTCGCTATGGCCGCCTTAGCGGTCTGAGCTGTAGCGGATATTGAACGTGACAAGGGCCGAACAGTGGCCGCTCCAGCGGCAACGATTCCTGGCATGATGGAAGAATGGGTATGTTCTGGAGATTGTACTACATTCACTGAAGGCATATTACTGGGATCCGTCACTGGTTTCTCTAGAGTGGTATCTGGCCTCGTGCTGGAAGAATAAGGGGCTGAATACAGTGTTTTTGGTTGTTGCTTCTTTCGATGATGTCGCACTAAGAGCGCTAGAGCGACTAAAAAGCATATTCCACCAAGAACCGTACCCAGTACGATGGCTAATATCCGATTTCGATGGTTGTCGTTACCGGTAGACGCACTTTCTACGGTTGGTGATTGAGAAGGAGATGCCGGCTGCGCCGGAGTTGGTACTTGTACTGCAGACCACTGTGGCACCATTTGATTTTCAATTAGGTTGTACACTAATAAATTGGAGTCGTTACCATTGCCGCCGAAAATGGCCAACGTGCTTGCTCCTACAAGAGTGGCAGTGCTACCTTGTCTAGGGGTATAGCTCGAGTTAGTTTCGGTTTGGTTGCCCAAGCTGTGATCGTCGGATGAAAATAACCACATCGTGGTAGTATCGGCTGTAGCCCGTTTTTGAAGTTGCGTCGTTGCGGTGGATGTTCTTAATGCAGGGATCATCCAGACATATTCAGACAGATTTCCTCCAGCCAGCACGACGGACTCGGGAGGAACGGTGTAATTTGCGATCTTACCAACCCAGCGAAGTCGTTTTGAGTCGAAGGCATGGACTAAGCAGGAGTTATTAGTGGTTGTATTAATACTGACATGATAGGCATATCTGCCTATACCAATCATGGCTCCTCCTAGCGTGGCATTAGGTGTTTTTTCGCTAGCTGGAATTTGAGTCCAGTTCCATGGTGATGTGGTGGTATCCAACACATACGTTGTTCTATTTGATGAATCACCGTCTGTAGAGCCACCGAATAAGATGATTTTGTCATTTGCTATGGCTGATGCCATGCCTTGTCTCCTTGAAAATACCTCTGTCGCATTCAAACCAGTGGTTGCGGGGGTACCTGACCAATTTTGAGTGACTGTATCAAAGATCTGAACGCCGGAAGTGGAATTTTGTGAATCAGAATCATATCCGAACATCAAGGCTTCTCCAGTACTCGTGATAGCACAAGCCCCGTCGACAATGTTAAATGAATTGGAGTGATCCAGCACATTCCAGCGTCCGTTATTGTAATCGCTGGAATTGCTAAGGTCGAGACTCAAAAATCGATCTAACGTCTGGTTATTGGTGGATTTCCCGCCAAATATATACAGTGTTGTGTTGGTAGCAAAGGCACAGTGGCCAGTCCGCATATCGGCAGCCGATAAACCGAGATGTAATAATAGTAAGAAGCCAAAAAAATATGCTTTGCAGTAAAGTCGCGGTGGTGGTCTATAAAAACGCTGCATTTCTAATCGAGACATGTTGCAACGGCACTATATTCATGGCCGTCGAATACGCGCAAAAAAAAAGGAAAGGAGGAAAGAAGAAGATGCTGAGTGTTACAGGAACTTTGACCAACATTCATTTAAGAATAAATATTGGTGGCATACTCAGCGCACCGTAAAAGTAAATTACCGCGAATGACGTGTAGTACAATCGAAGCGAACACATAAGCCGGACAACCAGCTGTTCAAAAACTAGGGCTGTGTTTGGCTGTTGTTGGAACGTCGCTTTTAGACTCTACGCCAACGCCGTTATGCTTCTAAATATAACGCCACTGTAGTGACAGGCTATCGTCGCGTATCTTTTGCAAACCTACAGCTACACTGAGGGGTTCTAAACGTTTATTGTTTGATGTAGGTTGTGCATCGCACAGAAGCTCAGTTGGCAAGAAATCAATAGCGATTTTGTGTTGGGAGGAGAAAATTGTATTTAACTCTCGCTTCGCACTGATCCCGTCCCGAGCTTCACATTATATCCCGAAGGTGTTAACTTGTTTTTCTTTTTGATTAGAACAACAACCCTGTTATGTCTTTGCATTTTTACAAATCTCAAGTACTACACCTACTTACTAGATATAAGCAACGTGATGACAAAATTTTTGCATGAAAGTGACGAGATGATGCCTTTTAACGTGTTCGCGTTAGTAGAATGAAATGGTGCTACTATTATATACTCATGCTCGAAGAGATGGACGTGCGTCTATGACTCTTATTCCTAGCCTGCCTTGACATGTTGATTGCCTCCTTTAAGCAGTGTATTGTTTTGTTTGGATTTACCGAGTGTGTGTTGTTAGCCAGGTGGCACAAAAATGATGTGACTTGGCAGAGTGCGCAGGCGTGTCGACGGATTTGCCCATTACGAAAAGAAAAGCTCCAAACCAGGCACACCAGTGTTGCATTCATGTTATTTTTACTCTGATGTTCTATTTTTTGCAGGATGTAAATAAAGCTCGCTACACTGAACAAATCAGCCACAAGGGATAGAATTTGGATTGAACACAACCGCAGTAGAAGCTGTCGGCAAATGTAATTTCTTGGGTTACGAAAGTAATATTACATGGAGAAAAAGATTATAATTTCGAAAGATTTGCAGCTTAAAGCCGCCATGTTATTTTGAATTTTTGCATGGCAATACGTCAGTTTCAATATTTTCGCCATCGGCTAAGCAAAACAAGCAAAGCCATAGACTGACTGACGCTACATCTACCTTTTAGGCTAAAAGATTCCCTGGACTGACTTTAATATGACCTCGCCTTTTCACTTTTGTAGTAATGTAGAAGCCTTTATCGTACATTTAAGAACACAATGTACCTGTTAAATATATTCCAGCCATGGAGGGCAGCAAAGTTGAGAAAAAGTGCATTGCCTTGAACTACGTATAGATATGTTCATTTGCTTACTTTACCCGAGGATGGGTCTTAGCGCTAGCGTCACTCCGCACATTTGCACTAGCTGTCCAAACTGGGTTGGAGTAAAGTATATTTTCTTTCTTCACCAAAGCATATTGTGACGACTGTGGTATACCGAGTCTGATCGTGAGGTGTGGAAAGTAGCCGTACCTGAACACTTAAATGGGCCATTTTTGTTACCAATTTCGCGCAATGTCGAATCTCTTCAATTGTCCAATTAGGACTGGTCTGAACAGTATTTATATGAGTTCAGTTTTGATAACCTGATCGAATAAAAACTAAATCCTGATCGATATCAAAGTCCTCAGACCTTCGGGAATGCAATCAGAAAACCTGGATCTGACTAAATACAAGATTCCAGTTGAACGGCGAGTAAGCTCCTTTCTAGGGTCGATACGGGATACACTGGCGTACCAACATCTTGCTGTCGCTTGCCGTTATAGCTGCGTAGTTCAAATTTGGATGATTGTGGGTGTACAAACTAGCCCTGCCTAACAGCTCCCGCGTCAGCTTGGTTGCCCATCTTGCATAATGTCGAAACTTTTTACTTATCCAAGGGAAGACTGGTCAGAACAGTATTTAGATGAGTTCAGACCTGATGAACTGGACGAATACAAGTTCGAAAAAACTCTGTTTCAACTGGCAGGCGTCTTTCAGCACAATCAGGCTGAATTCGACCTAGGCGATCTCGAAGTCCTCAGACGGTTTGAAATGGAATTAGAAGACTTGGATCTGGAAAGGTTCAAGACTTCAGCTGAGCTACGAGAAAGCTCCTTCCTACAGCGGATACGAGGTTTCAGTTATGACACGGACGAAACACTTTCAATGCGTGTCGTAGTGTGTGTGATACAGTCATTATCGATAAATGATCTCTGCTACCGATTTGGACCTACAGCTTTCTCAAACCATGTCAAAAATCTGATATCTTATAGAAAAGATGAAGCAGCAAGTATCTTGTCCGCTGCGCGAAAATGCAAGGACTGCTGGGTGCCTTGGTCATGGATCAAGGATATGTCACTTTTGTGCGAAAATGAGTTCAGTTCCGTATACACCGCCTACATCAAGCCACCGTTTGTAGGCTCACAAACGAATGGACGGAAGGTGTATATACGCAAGGTGACAGATATAAACATAGTAACGAAGGTAAAGTTTCCTTTCGGCCATACATGCAATTTTCTTTCCTCTGATGACACATCTCTTTCTAGATGTACCAAGAGATAGAAGAAAACGGTTGCGGTAGAGATCACCAGGCTATTACATTTGACTCGGCGAGTGGCCATGTACATTTCGTTGCATTTTCTGGTGAGCACCAGTATATCAGCAGCGAAAATGAGACTGCGTCGCTTGAACAAGTGCTGGCAGCACCATTCAATGGCTGGACCGATGTTCTGGTTTCCTTGAAGCTTATTTTGATAGGTACTTATAATCCACGCAATCCTAAACGAGGGTACCACGGGCAACTCCACCCAAAAAACATTTTCCGTAATCTTCCAGTGCAGTTTATATGGCAACGCGCCGTTAGAGACTGTCTCACAGAGAGTGTGTATGGTCGACTGCCCTACCTTGCTCCAGAAGCTGTTGAAAGAAATGCGGTGCCAAATTTGACATGGGATATCTATGCCTTTGGCGTGATCATGTGGCAAATGGTTTCTCGAGTCGTATTCCCGCCAAACCAATACCTAGACAAGGAAGTGTACCAAATTAATCGAGTTCCTGGGGTGCCTGAGTGGTATGAACAGCTCTACATAGCGTGTATGGACAAGGATCCCAGCAAGCGACCTACATTGGATAAAATTCAAGCCGATATCGAATTACGATCTCCCAAATCAAAATCTGTACGAGTTTTCCGCGACATCCGTCTCGAACCTGTGGACACAAGTTTGCTAGGATATCAGAATATGAGGGCGGAGTTGATCAAGGCGCATCTGGAAGGAATGTCAGCGCCGGATGATCTATTATGGCAGTCGACCAGTCAAGCTTATAAACGACACGAGGTTGTGGATGAAGTTGGATTTAATTTGAAATCCTTTTGATGTGGAACAGAAAATATAATATGGCTCATGGAGTTATAACATAGTGATCGTTTTATCGTACTTAGATGTAATCGCTAGTAGATTCGAACTTAATAATGGTGGGCCAAATACATGCTTACATAGAACACCTTGGTAGACCAATTGTAGACAAAAGGCGAACGCCTTTATTTTAAACGGGGGTTTTCCTTCAATTGTCAGCAACAAGAGAATTGCACATTTTTGTAAGCGTGTCAGTCCAGTCTGATCTCGCAGTCAACTCAAAAATCATTATACTCGTATCCGTTGACCACCACATTACTGAGCTTAACTAGCCCTGATCTTATTCACCTATGACCGCTGCAAGATGCTTTGCAGCCATTTGCCTAAAAGTAATATCCATCAGCTTCATTCTGGGTAGACCATATAAGATAATCTAATCATTAACAACGGTGGCGGCAGTGGCAAAACGCCGTTTGGCAAATTCACATAATCTCACATCAAGTACGGATCTCAATCTTTTTCCATCTTTTTCCGCTTTGGCCAAGGGTCAGCGCGATCAGCAACATGCCTCTCGTCGCTTAAACTATTACACTCAAGATCCAGATTTCGGATAAACTTTGTGTTATGGTTAAGATTGAGGTTTTATCCATGTTTGGCAGAAATAAACCTCCTGCTAGCAAAGCATGTCAATTCTGCAAATAATTCCAATGCATTCATTCTAAAAACATGCAATGCAGATATTTTATCTCTCGCATTTTGAACGTGTATCTTTCTCTCTTACATGTAGAACAAGTACTGATCCTATTCAATGCCTTGTTGATATGCAGGAGAAATTCTGGTGTTGCGACAAACCACACAGTCTCCTCTTGTATAACCTCATTCACTGAGAGTTTCAAAAAATCAGGGTCAGTGGTGCCACAGAGTGTACGATAAAACGAGTGCTTAGGAAGAATATAGTATATGTTTGCTATTGCACAGTTCTGCACGACGTTCCCCAAAGAAATTCATATGTCAATGTGAACTCTCGGCTATTTCTGAAGATGTGGTTTTGATACACCAATCAATTTGTGGCTTGCGTAGTAGCATAGATCACATCAACTTATTATCCACAGTGGATTCCAAGGGATCATCCATGCTACCTAGCGCTAGTATATACACATATTCTTCATATAGCCATGTTCTGGTTTGTCAAAGAGGTAAAATCACAGATGAAAATCGCTACTGCCCGAGCAGCAAGCATGAACGATGGCCATAAAAGTAAAGGCAATTAAAGGAGAGTTTGAATTTGTAAATAGTATTCAGCGACATTAGTCGTACGCAACGTGCATGGGCTTTCAATCGGCGTTTGAGCTAAATTTCTTTAACCGCACATCTGTCAGGAAACCCGGTTCTCTTAAATTTCACCTATTTTGGCAAGATACGTACCAATATAGTCATCACTACCATTTACCATTACAACAATGGATCCGAGGGTAGCTTAAACTAATGCCATAGTAAAGACGAGCATAAATTAGCATAGCAAAGACTACGAGTAACAAGAATATCTTCAAGATAAAATGCTGTGACCACTAGGAAAATATATATAGCGTCAGACACCTTTCGCTACCGTCGTTGTACAGGCGGCGGGTGCAACAGATCGCATAAATTCTAATTTTTTTTTTTTTTTTTTGACGAACAATATATAACGCAGAAAAACATGAATTGATCTGTGAAAGCTTTGTACTTTGCAATGTTAAGAAAGTTACTACTGTTACCAGCGGTGCTGGCGACAGTTTGGCTGCCCAATCTTGCAGAAGCAACGTGTAATGCTCATTACACGGTACTAGCAGGAGATACGTGTTCATCAATTATCTCATCAAAGCATACCTATATGGCAGAAATTCTGGCTCTGAATGCAGGAACCGTTAATGCAGACTGCTCCAATCTTTCTGTCGGCCAATCCGTTTGCTGGAGAGACTCTAATGATCCTACATGTGCAACCAAAAAATCCACTCCTTCTGGTAGTTCTTGTAGCAGTGTTGCTACTGCAAATGGTGCCACTTTGGCAGAAATTTTGGCCTGGAACCCTTACTTGAACTCTGGCTGCTCTAACCTTTTTGCTGGTGACTACCTTTGCGTTTCTGGTACTGCTCTGACCACCACTACCACTACCACAACAAAAGTTGCTACTACCACAACAAAAGCTACTACTACTACAACAAAAGCAACAACTACCACAAAAAAAGCTACTACCACTACAACCAGCGCTTCCGCTACCACTACCTCAGGCTGTACTGGAACATATACTGTGAAATCTGGAGATACCTGTGGAAGCATTGAAACTGCTTATAGTCTGACTTCTGCTCAATTTTATGCATTGAATCCTTCTGTCAACACGGCTTGCTCTAATCTCTCAGTTGGTCAGGTCCTATGCGTCAAAGGAAGTACTGCTACTACTACTACCACTGCTACTACTAAAAGCGCCACCCCTACTGCTACAGGCTGTACTGGAACATATACTGTGAAATCTGGTGATACCTGTGGAAGCATTGAAACTGCTTATAGTCTGACTTCTACTCAATTTTATGGACTGAATCCTTCTGTCAACACGGCTTGCTCCAATCTCTCAGTTGGCCAGGTTCTATGCGTCAAAGGAAGTGCTGCTACTACTACTACTACAAGTGCCACTCCTACTGCTACAGGCTGTACTAAAACATATACTATCAAATCCGGAGATACCTGTGGAACTATTGAGGCTACTTATAGTCTGACCTCTGCTCAGTTTTATGGTTTGAATCCTTCTGTTAATGCTGGTTGTTCTAATCTCGCAATTGGACAGGTTCTCTGTGTCCAAGGAACTTATGCCACTACTTCATCCACAGCCACAGCAACGGCTACAATTGCTGGTATGTCAGTCTATGTCAGACCACACAGACTAAAACAAATAGCACACTTTAATTCTTTTCTCTCATTTTTTGACCACAGGACTTTGTACTAAACAATATATCATCGGATCTGGTGATACCTGTTCTACCATTGCAAGTGCTGCAGGCATCACATCGGCTCAACTGATCTCCGCTAATCCTCAGATAAATTCGGCTTGCACTAATCTAATAGTCGGTGAAGCGCTTTGTCTCTCCGTTTCTTCCGTCACTTCAACTACAACCGCACCTTCTCCTACTTCTACTAATCCCTCATGCGCTATTGCATATCGAGTTGTCTCTGGAGATACTTGCACCAGTATCACCGCTACTTTTGGTATGACTAGTACGGATCTTCTGTCGCTGAACCCTCAAGTCAACTCTGACTGCACCAATCTTGCTGTTGGTAACGTACTTTGTATCGAGTTGAAAGCAGTAGCAACGACAACCTCCTCAGCAGCTCCTTCCTCGGCTCTGACTTGTATCACTACTTACACCGTAATCTCTGGTGACACGTAAGTAAAGCAACGTCTTCTCAACAGCTTACATAATACTATGGCTAACTATTGACCGATAGATGTTCTTCTATATGGACAGCTGCCAGCTTGACCTCAGCTCAATTCTACTCTCTAAACCCTAGCATAAATGCTAACTGTACAAACTTGCAACTCGGAGAACTACTTTGCATTAAAGCAGGGGCAACCGCAACCGTCACTAGCATTGGGCCAACTCCTACCACCTATGGCTGCTATCAAACATATGTTGTCAAACCTGGAGATAATCTATCTGCTATTACACTTAGCAATGGAATATACCAGGCTCAATTGGTTGGTATAAATCCTAGTTTACAGTCTTCTACGTCGTTGTCGGTAGCGCAAATACTGTGCATCAGAGACAACACTTGCCCGGCTTGCTCACAGACATACACGGTTCAAGCTGGTGACTCCTGCAGCAGTATAGCGGAAAATCATGCTCTCTCTACGTCGACCTTCGAAACTTTGAATCCATACATTAATGCCCAGTGTTCCAATATCTTTGGTTAGTATACCCTTCTGGCTTGAAGTGAACAATGTTTACATTGCTCGACTGACTAACAATTTATTTTAATGGGTGTAGTTGGGGACGATGTCTGTATTAGCCCAGGTGCCTTGACCGCTACTGCTACCTATCCTTTAACAACGCAAACCGCTTCTGCTACACCTTTGCCTACTGCTGCTTGTAATCAAGAGTACACTGTTCAAGCTGGCGATACCTGCAGTCAGATTGTTGCCCAGAATGATATTTACTTGGCTCAACTTTATGGCTTGAATCCATCGATCAATACACAATGTACAAATATCAAAGTTGGCCAAAGTCTCTGCCTCTCAAGTTCCAGTGTTCCCCCATGCGCAAGCCGAGAATTGATTCAACTGTACCAGACATGTACTTCTATTGCGCAGACAAACAAAATGAATGTGACGCAGCTGCTATCACTCAATCCTTTCATCAACACTGGGTGCTCAAATATAATTGCTGGTGATAGTATCTGTGTCCTCAGTGGCGCATCTGTTTGCAACTCAACTACGATTGCCACAAGCACCACAACATGCGGTAGCATCCAAGCCTCTTACAATATTCCTACTGATGCCTTCAGCGTATGTAATCCCACCTTGCAATGTTCAGGAACAATTTCTGGAGCTTCTGTGTGCACCTCTTGTACTGGTTCTCAACCCACATGTAATAAGGTTATGAAAGCGCCTTCTGGAGCTACCTGTGCATCCATGGCAGCATCAATCAATGTTACCAGTAGCTTGTTCCAGTATTGGAATCAGCAAACTGACTGTACCTCGCCTTTATCGACATCCAAATATTACTGTGTGGTAAGTGAAAACATGGTGAGACTCTATTACTGGTATTTCATATTTGCTAATCGCTGCTCTTCCATAGTCCTCAGTTCAGTCAACAACTCCGGTCACATTACCGCCTCCGCCATTGCCCAAGCCCACTTGTTCGTAAGTGATTATAATACCAAATACAACATGTAACGTCGAGTGTAAAGAAAGTTCCACTAAAATTGCACATGATTCCCTTCCATAGAGCTACTTATACTTGGAAGTCTACAGATACTTGTGCTTCAATTTCACAAAGTAATCTGCTCACGACTGACAGCATCGAAGCTTGTAATGCTGCAGTGAACTGCACAAGTGGTACTATTGCAACCGGTACCTCTCTCTGTACTACTTGTCAATACACTCAGCCCGTCTGCGCTTCAGTGACCAAGTCTACTACTGGATCAACTTGGACGTCGTTCATTGCTAGTTTGAGTTTGACAACTGGTCAATTTCAGGCTTGTAATCCGTTAGTAAACATCAACGCTTCTGAAGTCATGCCTTCTAATCGATACTATTGCTCGGTAGGTTTTATTACGATTTTTTCTTTCTTGTCATTTGATGACTCTACCTAACTATTTTATGGTAGAATTGCTCCTATATCTCTTCCGATGACTGCATGTCCAACTACACAGTTTCTTCTGGCGACACCTGCTCTAGCATTGTTGTCCAAAAAAATCTATATCTCGCTCAGTTAGAGACCAACAATCCTACGCTGAATTGCACAAACTTGCAAGTTGGTCAAAAATTGTGTACGAAAGCCTTGTATGATCCATTGTGCTGGAAAAGCACTGTTGTTGCTACTGGTCAGACCTGTGCATCTATTGCAGCTGCCAATAACGTCACCATAGACAGCCTATTGCAATTGAACCAAGATCTCGATACTTCATGCGATAACTTGTTCACTGGAGATACAATCTGTGTGCAGGGATCTGTCGTTCCAGACCTCTCTCCACCGGTTTTGGCTCCCACATGTACAGCAAATTACACTGTAGTCTCTGGCGACAGCTGTATCAAAATTGCTCAATCATTTGACACCTATGTCGCTCAAATTGTGGGGCTGAATCCTACTCTAAACACCCAGTGCACTAATATTGCCGTCGGTCAGATCCTTTGCACCAAGCGTTCGGATGTGCCGGTCTGTAAGAAGACTGCTATAATAGCATCAGGGTAAACGAATTATTATGCATGTGGAGAGCACTTGCGCTTTAAGTTTTATTAACGGTTTGTTTTTTGTTACAGTGATTCTTGTTCTACTGTCGCAACTGCAAATAATGTGACAACTGGCGTTACTGGTATCACGGCATATAATCCATTCTTATCAGCAGCATGTAACAACATCTTCCCTGGCGATACCCTCTGTGTAAATGCACCAGGCGTTGTTGTAAATAGTACAACTCCAGGAACAACCGTTACTCCCACTGCCCCTTGGACCATACCGCCTGCCACGATTAGCTGCGCATTGGAATATACCGCGCTTGCTAGTGATAACTGTACAACTGTTGCCGCTGCATATAACATTTCTACCTTGACCCTTTTGCGATACAACCAAGGCCTTTACAACTGTAGCGATATTGCAGGACGCAGTTTATGTAAGTACACATTCCCATAGCCGTACTTTCTGAAGAAAGCAGTAGACTAATCGATGATCCTGTTAAGGCGTCATTCCTGATGTTGAAGGATGCTCCAACACATATGTTGTGACAAAGCAGAATACCACCTGTGAATACATTCAAAACAGATATGGTCTCAGTAACGATACCTTTACCATGGTTAATCCCGTAAGTCACACTTTGGTAAAGCACAGAAAAATGCTTCTCATATTGCTATACTCATTCATATGCATAGGGAATGGACTGCAATGGTTCACTACCTATATCAAGCACTGCTTGTATTGACAATTTATTTACCGACTGTACGCACAACTATACAAGTGTAGCAGGCGACACCTGCACCACAGTTCAAAGCCAGTTTGGTCTTTCCACCAACATTTTCAGTGACATCAATCCAAATCTGTCATGTAGCGGTACCCTGGCTGTTGGAACCAACGTTTGCGTAGGATCCACTTTTGCACAATGTTCTCAAGTATATTCTAGTGCTCTAGGAGACACATGCGCCATTTTGGCCCAAGAATATTTCAGAAACTCCACAGCAGCTTTCAGCAATCTCAATCCTAGCGTAAATTGCTCTCAAGTCATTCCGGTACGTAGTGTAGATTGATATGGAGTTTATAACTTTTCATCAAATTAATGCTCTAATAGATCAATACGAGATTATGCTTGCAAAGCAATCAGGAGGTTGGATGCGGGGATGTATACGATGTACAGAGCGGTGATACTTGTACATCGGTGGAAAGTGCCTTCAAGCTTACATCTGATGTATTGAACGCCTTGAATCCTGGTCTTATCTGTACTGCTTTAAATCCTGGCCAGACATTGTGTGTTGCTGCAGCTGCTCCAACCTGCAAAAGCAACATCGTTAGTAGTGGTTACGATACGTGCGCAAGCATCCAATCTACGTACAACGTAACTGCTACCAATTTCTATTTATACAACCCACAGATAGGTAATTAACTAAAGGATTATTCATATTATCTATGGTTTATATGTTAACCTTATTCTTAATTTCTAGACTGCTCGGCTGGAAACATTACTGTCGGAAAGTCAGTGTGTATTAGTGCCTCTCAGTTGAAACTACCGAGTCAGCAGCTGATGTCTGAGGCAGTCAATCAGTTTGGGTCCTTGAACCCAAAGCTTCAGACACTTTATCAGACTATGAAGGCAAACCCCACAACCACAGTATGTGAATCTAATAGTGCTGCTATTGCTCTTAACAAGTATTGATCACATCTTGAATAGACCGAAACTCAATTTGTAGATGCTATGATATCCACTCTGTCCACCTCAAGTGCTCTGAAACAGCTCCAAAATTTAACGGCAACAGATCCTTTCTTTATGGCTCTTGAAGCTACTGGCGCATCTCATAGGAGTCAGTTTTGTACATTTACTAACGGAAATACCTTTTTCACCAAATCAAACTCCTGCTTCTGTGGAAATTCTCTGCCATTAATTTACTGTAATGCTATATATACACAGGAGATTGATACAGCCACCGCCAACCCAGCCTTTTCCAAACGAAGCGTGTCCAAGCGCGAATTCCAAGAAGGCGTCTTGAAGAAATTTCAAGAAAAGTATCCGGAGCTTGCTAATGAAAGAAGAATGCTACAGAAGCGTGAAGAGGCGAGAAAAAAACGCCATCCTCTCGATAAGCGTCTGCTCAACATTAAACAATGGTGTGATCCAACAAGTTTGAAGAACATCATTGATGAGGTTGGCGGTGCAAATTATGAACCTGACAATGATGGGGAGGTCTCACAGACAGATTACTGTTCGAGTGATTCCTGCGTTTGGCCTGTAACGTAAGTTTTTCAAGCTAAACAGTCTGTGAAAGCTTGTATTGACATCTTTTTTCCACAAGTGATTTCTTTGAAATCCGTATTGCTGAGGAATGGTGTATTCAATCAGGTAAATTTCTGCTTGCTAATGATGAATATTAGCTGTCATAAGTACTGAAACCATTCAATTTACCATCAGATTATGTCAATGGCACCGGTGTTGTCACTGAAGTTCAAGATAACTACCAATCCATAGATATTGAATTCTGTTTGTCCGATCCGGCGATAGATGACGTTTTGAATGTATTTGACATTGTAAGTTTCACGATTGATGTGACCCAATAATTTATGGACTCAGCATACTAATTTATGGACTTTGCGTTCTAGTCTCCACCTTGTTTGCATATACAAGGAAGATATTGGAATAATCGTGGAGTCCTACAGCTTGATGCGGAGCTCACTATCATTGTAAGTACAAGACATTCATTGGCCAAAGTTTGTGAAAGAAGAACATCTAATATGATCAATACAGGTTACAATTGAAGGAAGTTTAATGATTAAACTGATGCCTAGTGACGATGATTTGTGCCAGGGATCTGATTATTGTGCCAGTAAGTGATGATTTAAAAATGACCATACGGAAAGAATATTGTAACTGACGAGGCTATCTATAGATGACTTCTGTTTCATCGATATGTGGCAGCAGTAAGTTTTCACCTTTTTAGTAAATGTACACATACGGTATTGCTACTCTTCCATTGACTAAACTAATTAATGATATAGCTATGAAGAGATCCATATCTGGATTACCATTCTGTGGTGGACAAAGGATATCTACGGACCCAAGGATATGAATTTACCTATTTGCAACCCGAGTGACGCTACCAAAACTCTTCAGCCTCCATCTTCGCCTTATGGAAAGGTCTTGAAGGCTTACTATCCAAACTGGACCTTCTATCATAACAACAATCAGATTGTGGAGATCACACCAGAGATGGGCAAAATGATTACACATATCAACTATGCTTTCTCCATGGTGTCCTATTCCCCAGAATTGGATGCTTACTACCTCGACCCTACCGATCTATTTGCTGACACTGGTGCCTGCTCTGGCATGTCACTTGCTGACTGTACTTGGAGTACAATCAGCTCGTTCTTCTTCGACAACAGCAACACCGATAATTGCATGGCAATCCCCTCCTCATACCAGTGTGCTCCTGGTGTCATTAGCATGGTAAGGCGTATCGTCAGATAATTCGCATTTTAATATGGAGGTCTAACAGAACTGTATAATCGAACTATTTGTATTTAGGTCCCATACTTTGGCTACAAAGAATCTGGTATGATTTTTGTCTATGTAAAATAGTCAACATTATTCATCTCTGAAACTGATTTATTTCATTTAGATGGTTCTTGCCCAGTGACTACTTGTTACAATGCAGGTGGACCTGAAGGCGGTCGAAATCCATCTTGTACTACAAAAATGGACGGAACAACCTTGAAAGAGTCTCCTGATGGAAGTACCATCCTGGCTTGCGGACAATTCAGCTATCTTTTGGACCTTATGCGCTTGCAAGATTCCGCCCTTGACGGAGTTCGAGTTGTGTTGTCTATTGGTGGATGGTATGACGCGAACTACTTTACGCCAGCCACGGACCCTGCCCATGTCGAGAGCTTTGTTCAATCCATTGTATCAATCTTAGACTTCTTTCCTTTCGATGGAATTGATATCGACTGGGAATATCCCGGATTCGAGCACGGTGATGAGCCATTGTATCAACAGGCCGCCTATGGCGACAGAGAAAACACGCAAAACTGTATAACTTCTACCTGTGAAGACACTGCTCGCAGCAACGACCCAGCTCAATATGTCAACTTCTTGACTTTGTTAAGGACTGCTCTTAATACTGCTGGACCTACTAAACTTGGAAGAAACAAGCACGGTGATATGTATGAATTGTCCATTGCAGCTCCCTCAGGATACGACAAATACCAATTTCTTGATAAGAAGGCCATTTGCTCTGTTGTTACTCATGTCAACTTGATGACTTACGACATGCATGGTGCCTGGGATACAATTACTAACCACCAAGCACCCATCTATGACAACACTCCTGGAGCAACAGGCGAGCAGTATTCCATTGATGACGCTGTCAATGGATGGGTTAATGCTGGCTGCGATCCTTCCCGACTGGTTCTTGGTGTTCCATTCTATTCTAGAACGGAAGTTGGTGTTGAACCTGGTCAGGCATATAGCAGCTCTCAATACCCTGGATTGTATCAGCCTTTTACAGGCGCTCAAATGGATGCAACTGCTATGCCAACTTTCGCTCAAATTGTCAGTGATCCTTCCTGGACTACATACTGGGATCCATATTCCCAAGCATCATGGGCCTGGAATCCTTCCCTCAATCAGTTTGCCAGTTATGATAGTGAAAAGGCATTAGCTAACAAGGTAAGCAATCGATTTTTATCAGCCGATGCTACGACCAGTTCTAATATATTGAATTCTTACTTAGATGTGTTATGCTGGCGCTAAAGGGTTAGCAGGAGGAATGATTTGGCTTCTTGGACAGGATACGGATGATAACCGCGCATTGGCAGCTGTCTACAACAACTTGACTTGTACAACCATGCCTCCGAGACTGTCTAGTCCTCCTCCTACTGTCGAAACGCAACCTGGTGAAGCTTGCCCTGACGGTCTTACTAAACGACAGGCAACTGGATGCAAGGCTTATACTGCTCGTAAAACGGTTATTCATATGGTTCAAGTTGGTAGAGGAGAGTGTAAGTTGATTGAATGCATATGAACACAGTATTTGGAATATGTCATCTAATAGCTTTTTCTCAGCCTTCGTCATCGAAGTTCAAAATTGGCAAAACACCTTCGGTCTTGGAACTAATGCTGAAAATATGATGATGGCATCGGGAAGCGGAGGTGTGCTTGTGGCAACAAAAGGTATCATGATTGATGCTGGTAAAGGATACTCCGAAGAATTACAAGCTTTGCAATCGGTAAGTACAATAAGGACACCGACAATAATATCAAGACAAATTTCTTACTATTGATTATTAGGTTATTGCCAACATGGCAATTTCAAAGAAAGCTCAACCCAGTCTCTTCGATACCGTCATCCTAACTCATTCAGATACTGGTAAGTTTCGCAGTGTTAGAACTATGCTCTTGTGTTCAAAATTGATTAGATTTCTATTGCAGATCATATCAGAGGGTTAGTTCAAATGTTTTTACAGAACGCGGTATCGGTCAACGGTATACCATACTTCCGACCAAGCAGATATGTCACAAACCAAATTCGCAATGTCAATGATCCTGGCACCGGGTTTATGCAGTAAGTGTATACTAGAATCTGAAGAAGAGTATAACCCATTTTTCTAAAATTTTCTTTCTAGTGATTCTCCTTTTGATTTGAGTCTGAGAGAAATGCTTAATGTACCTTTCGACAATAGCAACGAAGACTGCGATCGTATTCAACTATTTGCTCAAACATCATATGAAGTCGGTGGACTTCAGGTTTTCCAAGACGCGGTGAATTCGTTGCGAAGCAAGGAGTATGCCTTGCTACTGAGCGAGTTGAGTCAACTGTCCAACAATAATGGCGGTACGTGGGTGCCAGCCCATGGTCAGACTAGTGGTGGCAACCAAGGCGCTGGAGGTTCCCCTTACTTCGGTTATAATGGTATCGGCATGATGATGGGTGCGAACAACCTCGATATATCTGGCAGTCTTTTCAGTGCATTTTCTATGCCCTATATGTGTGGTACCGGCCGCCTCACCAGTCCCGTCTCATATCCCACTTGGAATGACGGTCAAACAGATGTAACTGAATCAATGGACGTTGACGAAGATTTACCTGACGACGATATGGGTGGTACTCAGCAGCAGCTCATGAAGCAGCCAAACAGTAATGAAGGTCCAGCGAGCAATATGGTCAGGTAAAGTACACAAAAGCCATTTTAGAACCTTCATCCGGTTCACTAACCTTTGCTCTTCTAGTACCATAACTGAAATGACCACAGGATCAACTCAAATGCTGTTCACAGGTGATATGAATGAACTTCAGTGGCAATATGTATCTCAACTTCGAGCCTCATGGCCGTTGTATACAATCCTAAAGGTTTGTTTTTAAAGGTGTGCGACGTCAATTTATCTGAAATTTTGAAGTAACATTTGAATACCAGGTGCCTCACCATTGCTCGAAGCTGAAGATGATCAATTTGTATTCTTCCATTGTCGCCAACGTTTATCTCATCAGTGGAAAGACTGAGGGTAAAACATGTACGTAGCTCTGCCGTTATACTATTCCTCTCTATGTTTTATTGACTGTTTTCCCGTTTGCAGTTCAACCGGCGGGCTCTTGCTTGACGGACATCATTACAAACAGATTAAGTAACCCCAATGCTGGCATAGGCCATATCTTTGTAACCAACTGGAGTACTGTAAGTCGAAATGATTTGTATTAGTGTTAGCGGTAGGAAGTATGCTGATCAAATGGAAATTTATATTCTAGGGGCAAAACAATTTGGACGCTACTCTTGCAGCCTTAGATGCTGTTTCCAACAAATATAGAATTTACGTTTTGAATAGTGGTGAGAACGACGGAACCTTTCAAGTATCGGATCATGGCGACGTCGTAATTGACACGGCTCAATGGACCGACAAGACGCCAAACCTACCCACTAAATTTGACAAAGTGATTGCTGGTAATATACCTCAAACCGATATCTCGGGTGACAGCATTATTGGCCAACTGGCATTCTCATAAACTTATTCATATTACTGAAATTCAATCGGTTTACCATAGCGATTTACTATGAGCTTAGAGATAATCTGATCGTTTTTCTTTTTATCGCAGTTGCGAGCTTAATTAAAATAATGAAAGACAATTCAATTGCATAAGTAGTGTTCCAATTTTAACCAAATTGTCTTCGCTTCTTCACTGACTTAATCTGTTCAATCACATACCCAACTGTCTGCTCGACTTGATACACAGCCATTTTTTTGTATGGCCACTCTTAGTTTTCGTGTACACATCTCTTCCACAGATACTTCAAACTATGACTAAGGACAAGCGTCCACTGATCGTCTCCTTATCAGCGTAGAGAAATCAGGTTGTCACTGCAAGACTCGGGATGAACACAGTATGTCGTTTGTGGCATAAACCTTAAATTAGTGGCAGTGGCAGTCAATCACAAGGGGCTATCTACAATCAGTCAGTGGCAAGAAAGGCAGATTACCAATTCGTCTGTGAAGAGAACTTTCGGGATCAGCCCTAAGGGCAAGATAAGATAGCTTGTCAAGAAAAGGTGGTTATTCATGTAACCGAACCGACCTAGCGCATGCGTACACACTGCACGATCCGCTTCAAATACTGAGGCAGATGGATGCCTAATGCTCTACCTTTAGTGGCTATCTTTCTGTTCATACACAATGATTGCAAATGTAGCCGAAACGTACAGTGTTTGATCACCAGCCAGCCAGCTGCATGACATCCACATGCACAATTATATACATAAACATATTCAAGCTGCCGTCCACTTTGTATCCACCACTATCAGCTTGGCCAATTCGCTTGTATGTACATTCAGTCCAGATCAAGAGCGAATAGGTTGGAAAAAAAGGAATCAAATATTACAGGATGGTTTGGCAACAAGGGGATATACATGAGAGGCGATTGCCTTTTTCTTGTGCGAGGACGGCCAACAAATCTAATACTCGCTCTATGATAGTATACATGAATAATAATGCATCCCGTTATCCTCAATCAAAATGTTTCTTGTATGCCGTCTTCAATTGTTCGTAGAATACAAACATCAACATAGTATGTGGGCTAAAGAAAAGATAGATTAGTCATGTAGCAGCATATAAAAAAATGGCCGAGATGGAACACTCACCCTATTCTCAAATAATGAGCAGCAAATCCCTTGTATAGACCCCCTACACCTTCAGTTTGAACCATCTTGACCAAGCAATCCACAGGGTTCTTGTACAAGACACCCACTCTCGTGACAGGGTCGACCTTTTGGTTATACATACGAGTGCTGATAACGTCGAATGGGTTCATAGCGCAGCATACAAGGAAACCGCAAATCATACTTGCAGCAAAGTGAAGAGATGTGCCTTCGACCATATTGAAACGAGCCTTGAGGAATCGCTTGGAGTAATCGTATGTTGGCAATTGTACAGCACTTCCAACACCGGCTCTAGCCATGGCAGCATCACAGCCTCTATACAAGCCACGAACTCCTTCAAGCTTCCAGATACTGGATAATGCTGACCAGGTTGACGAGTAATGATGTTGATGACCAATGGTTGCGAAAACAGGCGAGAATGACTGCATGCGGGTCTTCACCAAGTACAGCGGTGAACCAAGCAAAGCGCCTGCCATTCCAGCCAAAGCACCGGAAGCAACTCGGGCGGATACACCTTCGGAGCCAGTGACGTTCAGAATGATATTACGAATAGGGTCGTAAAAGCCAAGTCGAGAACCATTCAGACACACTTGATACACATAGGCCGCTCCTAAACCTCTCTGAATACCACGGACGCCTTCGCCTTTAAAAACGAGGCCTAGCGCCTGAAAGCTGTTGTGATAGGGCTTAGCCTCCGCCGCCAAGGTTCCAGAACGAACCAACTCTCCTTGAAGTTGAAGTCGGGTCTTAACCACCTACGCCGATGAAGATACTCATGAATTGCTGAATGGCTAAACAGAAGTGACCCAAAAAAAATAAAGTTTTTCGTACCTCCCAAGGGTTAGTGAAGGTTACAGCTCCACAGGCAGCCATACCTCCCAGGACAAAACCAGCCATGGTCTCTTTGGTCTTTTCACTAAAGAATGACTTTGGAGTCTTGTCTTGAGCCATCAGGGTGGTGGTGGATTGTTGTTGTAAAGAAGATTCCGACATTCAAAAGTGGGGAAGGGGAAAGTGAGAGGTACCAAATGGTAAAGTAGTTTATAAAACTTCGATTGGGATGAAAGATGAACCGCTGAAACCCCGCTGGTCCAATAAGGTGGAGTAGTTTGGCCTTACTCACTGATTTTTAACTGGCGGGGCCGATGATCCGTTTTGCAGCTCTGGGCAACATCCTCAAGTCACTTATCCAAGCCAGTGAATGTCAACCGTCCGTCGATCATCCTCCCAGGGGAGCGAACGTTGCTTTTCCATAACTTGGCATGGGAAGGAGGTGAAAGGCACGCACGTGTACAAATTGATCAAGCAGATAGCTAGCAGACAAATTGCACATAAATGGTAAACATTGGGAACGCTACGAGATAATGGATGGTAACAAAGCGGTGCGCGGGTTCCAGATGTTCCAAATTACCTTAGCGCAGCAAGAGACGACGCAGATCAATGTCACACACAAGTGAACACAAGGCAATAAAAAAATGCTGGAGCCCGCCTAAAGCTGAAGCTTCTTTCTATTTTATACTCACTCTTTGCTGATCACCCCACTCCTTTCAAATACCATGTCTTCAAAACCCATATACCTTATCTTGGCAGGAATCCACCTGGCAACAGCATCACCTCTTCTCACAACCCGGCCATTGATCCGTAGACAAGACTCAGGAGGAGGAGTGTCGAAAACAACCATTATCGTCCCGTGTATTATAGTCGCTGTTATCTTGTGTGCCATTGCCTTCTGTATGATCAGCCGACACAAGGCAAAGAAAAGACGAGAAACAGCGGTGAAGGAGAATCGCAGAGTCACCCGATACCAACAACGACCTAAAACCATGTTAGGTGCTCGACCATCGTCTATGTTTCGGCCATGGAGTATGATATCAGGATCATCACAGGAGCAGCAACCTCAGGGAGATAGAGTGTCGGTTCTTTATAATCATCACCGGTTGGTGGACGAAGAACATGACCAGTACTACAAAGGGGACAAGCTGGCGCCGCCTATGCCACACTACGCCTTGGACAACGTAACCAGACACGGGGGTAACAGATCTCCTTCCCCGCTCAGATACTGATTAAAAAAGTTTTTGTTGTTGTATAATATGTCATAGGTTTAAGTCTTATGTCCCACGGTAGCGTGATGCAGTGTCATCCAAGTTGGAAAAAAATTACTATCTTCTTTTCAAAAAAGAAATCCGTGGGATAACAGTATAAAAAAAAAAAAAAACTCATCTTATATAAAAAAACATCAAAATTGTAACTCCTCTACTTCTTCTCTCTTTCAATTGAGATTTTTCCTTCATGCCTGGCAAAGTATCTATGATGCGTAGCTTGCAAGACTATGACATCTCACCAGAGACGGGGTTTTTGCCGCCTGAACCGCCCCTTCGTCGATTGTTGAACCCGTACTTTGACCCCTGGGAGTCCACAATGGATGACTTCAACGGTCTGTTGCTGGCTGGTCGTTTAAGAGAGAGGGTCAGAAAGGTAACGTCTACTCTCATTAACTGCTTATCAACGACGGAAGAAAATACGACATTATGGTCAACCTTGACATGACCATGTCAAAGATGAATGAATGCAGCTCTATGCATGTTGGCTTCGACATCTGCAATACGACAAAAGAAGGAAAAAAAAAAAAAAGTATACGCTGTAGCTGTCAGTCACGCTAATTGCCCTGTTTTTATTTATGGTGAACAGCTTCCCATCTTGAACCATAAGCAACTCAAGTCGAAACCGGAGTATCGAAGAGCGTTTTTGGTACTGTGTATGCTCTCGCATGGCTATGTCTGGGGTAAACACGAGGAAGTGTCAGAGGTACTATTTTTCACGGTTTATTAATCAATTGCTGGCCCTCAGGACTTTAAATCCTTGAGTCCGGCGGGCGGGTGGGGAGATTTTTTTCCTGGCCCGTGGCACGCACATGTGGTCAGACGATTGACAGCTTAACTAATTTTTTTTGTTTAATGACGTACATTCAGTCACTTCCACCGTGCTTGGCCATTCCTTGGACTCATATTGCTTCTCATCTTGGGGTTTGTCCTGTGGTATGTCACGCCAGTGTGGTTCTATGGAACTATAAGCCATTGTGGGAAGACGGTCCCTTAGACCTAAGGTATGTAAATTCAAAAGGAGCGACAAAAAAAATGAGGCAGGGAAAAAGTGAAACTCCGGAATCATCAGATAAAAAAAAAAATTCGGTTATGAAACGATGACTAACTATTTTGATACCCTTTCAGCAATTTGGCAGCACTAACTACCTATTCTGGATCCGTGGATGAAGCTTGGTTTTACCTCGTCACCGTGGCCATTGAGGCAGCAGGCGCTCCTGCTATTGCATCCATCATCAAGGCGCTCGACCACGTTCAAGCCAATGACGAGAAGGCTCTCATCGCCGACTTAACTCACATCAATTCCTGTCTAGCCGACATGAATGTGGCTCTAGCTCGGATGTCGGAAAAATGCGATCCTTATGTATTTTACTGGAAAATAAGACCTTATTTGGCAGGTTGGGAAAACATGGCCGATGCAGGACTTCCCCTAGGGCTCATCTATGAAGGCGTGGACAATCTATGGGATGCCGAGTCGGATGAATACGCCGACATGTCTCATCTATCCGAAGCAGAACGTATGCTTCAACAGTACAGGAAGTATGCTGGTGGCAGTGCAGCACAAAGCAGTCTTATTCATGCTCTGGATGTTGCCTTTGGCGTTGAACATCATCCCACCGGCGAAAGAAAAGCTCGTCGTCCAAGCAATGCTCAAAGACTTGACCGGTACAACAATATGCCACCCACCAATACCGCTGTTGAATTGACTGGTAAACGCCATTCGGATACGCTAGCCACTATGGAGCGAACACGTTCCCAAGAAGAGATGAAGCCCAACCGCAACAATTTTATTCAAACCATGCGCAAATACATGCCTAGAGAACATCGTCATTTTCTCGCAGACTTGGAGAAGGCAGCCAATTTAAGACCCTTCATGTTGAACTTGCAAGCCATGGAGGAGGATTTGACCGAACAGCAAAAGTCACTCTTAGAAGCTTATAATGGGTGTCTCGATCAACTCAAGGCTTTCCGCGACAAGCATGTACAGATTGTTAGTTTATATATTGTGAATCAAGCACGCAAGGGTCCTAATATCCCTCATGGTGGATTTGCCATTGACCACACCAAAGCCACCACCAACATCAAATTGACAGAAAAGGCGCCAGATACGGATTCGAATTCGGAAGCAGACGATGCTCCCAGCAAGCCCAACATCTTATACCCTCAGACTGCCTTGTCAACGTCTCCCTCCTTGTCCAAATCCAGCTCCCTTCACAAGCTTAATAATCTCCTCCCAACATTGGGTTTAGCCAAGTTTGTAGACCCTGAATCTAAAGTGGTACGAGGTACTGGAGGCACCAATGTGATGCCGTTCTTAAAGCAAAGCCGAGACGAAACGGCTGATACAAAGATCGCATTGAGCCAACCAGTGGATATTCAGGCGCCTACGCAGCCTGTGAGCCAAAAGATTTCTTGGACTGATTGGCTCAGAAAGTAAAATGGCTTTAGAGAGAGACTTCATTGAAACTAGTATGATGTATCCTCCATTTTTGTATTTTTAATATATGTTATTTTTTGGAACCAACCCATTAGTAACACTTCCCCGTAAGATGGAGATCTTGAATGTGATTGGATCGTGAGTCGGAACATGAAAATTTTTAGCAGTGCACATCCAATGTTTGAATTGCGCAATTTCGAACGACGGTGAATGGCTGCAGCGATTGATGGATGGCGTGCTCCGATGAACCCAAAGGTTTATTCATCCAACCGTGGCTTATATTCAATGAAATTAAATCGAGGAAATCTCTGTTCACCATCTCTTTTGTCTTAACACCATGTTTGCCTCGACAGCGTTGATCGCTTCGCTTTTGAAGACAAGGACATTCTCCTCTGACTTGCAACAACCCTTAGACGACGCTCCTACTGCTGTAGGCACCCCCGACCTTGATGCTGCCTCCACCACCAGCAGCAGCCAAACCATCATTGTCGACGAAGATGCTTTGATCGAACTTAAGAGCAAGCTCGCCAACGCTCATCTTATCAATGACCTTTCCGATGATACCCTGTCCCGCCTCGTCAACGCCAACCTTGCTACCGCTTACATTGCTTATGGCCTATCTGATTTGTCATTTGTTTACCCCGGTCTGCCCACCGGCTACCTCGGTGAAAGTGTTGAACAATGGGCCGCTGAAAACATTGCCAATGTGTATGGACAGAACGGCAAGGTGGCTCATATGGATACTCGTGCTGGTGCTCTTGCTGCTGTGCACGGTGCCGTCCACTCTGCCCCTGCTGCTGTCACTGTGTTGACTTCCTCCCAAGGTCTTCTCACTATGATCCCCAACATGCATGTTCTTGCTCAGTCCAAGCTTCCTGTTGTTATTCATGTTGGTGCTCATGCTCTGGATGATGGGCTTGAACTCTCTCCTGAAGTCGACTCTGTTCTCGCCGCTAGAAACACTGGCTTCGCTTTCTTGGCCTCCAACAACGCTCAGGAAGCCCATGATATGGCTTTGGCTGCTCACATTATCTCCAAGTCCACCTCATTGCCTATCTTGCACTACTTTGATGGTGTCAAGGCCGCCAAGGAGATCGAAAAGGTCGACCTTCTCCCTTACGCCAAGATTGCCAGCATCGCCGCCAATGTTGCTGCCGTGGAGACCAGCTACACCAACGCATACGATGCCGTTGAGAACATCCTCGGTCAAGTTGGAAAGGCCGTAGGTCGTGATTATCACATCTTTGAGTACTCTGGTGCTTCCGATGCCGAGACCGTCATTGTCACCCTGGGTGCTGGTTCCCAAACCGTCAAGCAAGCCGTTGGTCAGCTTGCCACTGCTAACCGTGTTGGCATTTTGTCTGTCCGTCTGTGCAGACCTTGGTCTGAGGCTCATTTCCTTAATGCCATTCCCAAGACAGCCAAGCGTGTCATTGTTCTTGAACAAGGTGATGGTCTTTTCGCCTTCAACGGTCCTTTGTTCTTGGATGTCGCTGCTTCCTTCCGTTTCGGTGAATGGACCGGTGTGAAGCCTCGCATTGTCACTGCTCAATCTATCAACTATGGTAACTTGAGACCCGCTCATCTTCTTCAGCTTTTGAGCGAGACCAACAACTTTGTTGATCTCAACAGCGAACAATACACATCGCTGGCCGATGAGCCCGCTTTGGTCGATACCGCTTCCAGAGCCATTTTCTGGGAAGTCGCCAAGACCCACACCGCTTCTCATGTCTCCAACATCCTCTCCAAGTCTCTTCACGTCCAGACTCGCATTGTTGAGGATTCTTACAGACCTGGTGGTGCGGTGGTTAACAGCCACTTGCGCTTCAGCAAGTCCGCCGATGTCAACGCCTACGCTTACGAGAAGGCTTCTTTCATTGCTGTTCAAGATGTTGCTTTGATCAAGGAGTACGATGTTTTGGCTTCCAGCAACCAAAAGGCCACCGTGTTGTTGAACGGTCCCTGGAAGAACGGTGATGAGATTGAGCCCAAGCTTACCAACGAGTTCAAGCTCCGTGCCACGCAACTTGATATTCAATTGTACACCATCGATGTTGCCAGCATTGCCCAAAACCTTGCCTTGAGCCACAAGTCTCGCAACCTCATTTTCGAAACCGCTTACTTCCTTCTCAACAAGAACGTGGTCGATGCTTCTTCTTCTGCTTTGGCTGCTCTCTACCAAGAGATGGATGGTTCCAAGAAGACAGCTGCTCTTATTCAAGAAATCTTTGATGCTGTCAAGGCTGATTTGACCAAGATTGATCTCTTGCCTCCATGGACCATTCTCGAAATCTCTGACGCCGTCTTGCCCAAGATCCCTGCCGATCGTGCCGCCACCAACGAAGACTCTGCTTTGGTTCCTGATGAATCTCAAGGTGCCGCCACTGTTGGAAAATGGCATCAAGCTGCCTGGGACCTTATCTTCAAGGAAGCTTATGCATCCAAGACTGCATTGCGCCCGGATCTCCATGAGGATACCTTCGTTGTCAAGTGCACTGAGAACAGACGTCTCACTCCCGGCACTTACGATCGTAACGTCTTCCATTTGGAGTTCGATACTGGTAACTCTGGTCTCAAGTACAACCTCGGTGATGCCTTGGGAGTTCACGGTTTGAACGACGAACGTCAAGTTCAACGTTTCTTGGAATGGTACGGTATCAATGGTCAAGATATCATTGCTCTTCCTGCCAACGAAGCCGGTCAGCGCGAAACCCGCACCATCTTCCAACTCTTCACTCAAACCCTCGACATCTTTGGCCGTCCCTCCAAGAAGTTCTACGAATCTCTTGCCGAATACACCACTGACGCCAAGGAGCGTGAGCAATTACTTTTCCTTATCTCATCTGAAGGCAAGGAGGAATACAAGAAGCGTGTTGACGAAACCGTCACTTACGAAGATGTATTGCGCGAGTTCACCTCGGCTAGACCCACCGTCGAGCAGTTGGCCACCATTGTCGCTCCCATCAAGCCCCGTCACTACTCCATTGCCTCATCTCAAAAGATGTTCGCTAACTCTGTCCATCTCCTCGTTGTTGCTGTCGACTGGAAGACCTCCACCGGTGAAGTCCGTTATGGTCAATGTACCCGTTACTTGAGCGACCTCAAGATCGGCGCCAACGTCACTGTGTCCATCAAGCCCTCCGTCATGAAGTTGCCTCCTCTTGATACTCAGCCTGTCATCATGGCTGGTCTCGGTACTGGTATGGCTCCTTTCCGTGCTTTCATCCAAGAACGTTCTGTCCTCAAGGCCTCCGGTGTTGAAGTTGGTCCTATGATGTTGTACTTCGGTTCCCGTAACCGTCGCAATGAATACCTCTATGGTGAGGAGTTGGAGGCTTACCATGCTGAAGGTCTTCTCACCCACATGGGACTTGCCTTCTCTCGTGACCAAAAGCAAAAGGTGTATATTCAGCACAAGATGCAAGAAGATTCTCGTCAATTGTACGAATACCTCATCAATGAACAGGCCCACTTCTACCTCTGTGGTCCCACCTGGCCCGTTCCCGATGTCAAGGACGCTGTTGTCTATGGCCTCAAGCAATATGGTGGTATGGAAGAGCGTGCTGCTTCCGATCTTATTGAAGAGTGGAAGGACAAGGAGAGATACATTCTCGAAGTTTACTAAATATTTCTTGGGAAAGCTTGTATTTGATAGCTTATAATTTATCATAATTTTTCATTCCCCCACCCCCAAAACCACTTTCTACACCATCATCATAGAATAAATCATGTAAGAATACCTGATGAAGATGAAACAATAGCTTGGGATTGTTAGTTAGTTGGTGCCGAGCAATGTGACATGCGGGGTAAGCCTGCGAAAATTTGATAACCTGCATGCTAGGCGGGCGGAGGACTTTCTTAACCATGACAAAACCAACCGAAGTAGAGCTTCGGCCGCCGTCGCTTGCTTCCACTGTGCGCTCTCGTCGATCTCGCACCTCGAATGTAGAACCTGAGATCACTCCAGAAGAACGCAAACTGGTTCGAAAGTTGGATTGGTTGATTCCACCATGGATTGCTATTTTGTACTTTTTGAGTGTCGAGGATAGAGCCAATGTCGGCTTTGCAATGACTATGAACAAGGAATCAGGTCACGATCTCGCCACTGTTGCTGGGCTGACGGCCCGTGAAAACAATATAGGACTCGGCTTGTTCTATGTAGCTTATATCGCAAGTATATTTCAATGCCTTCGAATTGAATCCAATCTACCGTGGCTTGCTAATTCCATTGATGGGCCCACAGATATTCGAGGTACCAAGCAATCTGGTCATGACGAAACTCAATCCAAGCTTGTGGATCTCGAGAATTATGGTCACTTGGGGAATCGTTGTTTGTTGTATGGCTGCCATCTCCCAGCCATGGCATTTTTACTTGCTCCGATTCCTTTTGGTAAGACGGCTAAGGTGATTTATCAGGATATGCGTTGCAACTTTTTAATCAATGGGATGAACTTTTAGGGCGTTTGTGAGGCAGGAGCATGGCCAGGTTTTGGTACAGTATCCCATACTATCTTCAATTCCATTCATTTGACTATGGCTTAACACTGTATTTGGACGCAGCATACTACATGACGTTATGGTATCGACCCAGCGAAGTCTCTTCAAGACTAGGCATTACTTACCTTGCCGGTCCTGTGTCAGGTCTGTATAGCGTACCTTTGACTTTCACCGGTAAATGCTATATCTCTAACGCTTTGGACATTTACTTCCACAGGCGCTTTCGGAGGTTTGATCTCTGCTGGTATTCAGCTTATTGACACTCGAGGCAATTTGTATGGTTGGCAATGGTAAATTTCTTGAATGCACCATGGTTAGAGTAAGAAGAACATCGAAAAAAAAGCGCATAGCTAATATTGATACCTTAGGCTCTTCTTGATATCCGGCATCATATCGGTGGTGTTTGGTTTCGCCAACTTTTGGGTGCTTCCATCTAGACCGTCGTCAGTGAAGCGGTTTCTTAAAGGCGATGAGAAGAAATTAGCCATAGAAAGACTACAGTATAAAAATATGGAAGAAGACGATGAGACTAAGGCTCCGCAGTCGAAGTATTGGCATGGATTACGCGAACGGCTATTGGATGGCAAAACATGGTTGTTCTGCATTCTGTACCTATCACCTGTCATGGCAGCTACGTCGTTGGGCTACTTTATACCAAAGATCGTGCAACAAATGGGTACCTACAATTCTATCCAGGTCAGTTTGATGAGTGTGCCACCCTATGTCTTTGGTGCACTTTCGGTTTTTGTGACAACGTCATTGAGCGACCGTATCGCCATCCGAAGCTGGTTCATCATTAGCTGTTGCGTACTGAGTTTCGTGGGCTTTGTGATCCTAAGCTTTGCTCCCTCCGTGGGTGCCCGCTATTTTGGATTGATGGTGGTCGCTGGAGCTACCTATCCGACCGTTCCCTTGGTAAGCATTGCAGTAAATTTGGTGGCGTTCCTGATTCGTTCTACTCACTATCAACAGACAATGGCATGGACAGCAAACTCAAACGAAGGGGATGTTGCCGTGGCATCTGCAACGGGAATCGTCTCGTCCATGGCAAACTTTGGTGCATTGATCTGTACTTTTGCGCTGTACACGGGCTGGACGAGTGATGCTCCACGTTATATTGGTTCCAATATGGTGAATGGCGGAGCCATGCTCCTCGCAGCCGGTAGTGCTGTTATCTTGCGCACTTGGCTTTCTCGACTGAACAAAAAATCCATAGATGAAAACAATTTTCAAACCAAGCGAAAGGTATATTTACTTTAAACTTTTGGCAATTCTGTATGACTATAATGCAACAACATACCGTACACATTGAAAAGGGGCTGTATTATTATAGAGTACGAATAAAAAATAAAAAAAGGAAGACGCTAGGCCATTCTTTTATTTGATCCTCGAACATTCCCTAATGTCAGTTCATAGCTGGTGTCCTTCAACAAAAAGGTGTACCACACTGCCACCAATGGAATGGTCGTTGCGTGCCATAAACTATGGGCATCGATGACGCCGAACCATGGTGGAAAGTCAAAGACCTCTAGGGCCATGGCACAGCTTATGGCTATGACAGAAAATCCAGCGAGCCAAGCGTACGGGCGTCTCTGTTTGTCTCCCCATGGCGTGTACTGCAATATAGACCACCACAACCAGAGATTGGTTTGAATGGAGCCGATAATGATACAGGCGAGCATGTTGTACCCATAATCAAATCGGACAAACGACAAATAGCTGACATGAGCAAGGAACATCAAGGCAAACACCGCAGTAAGACCTTTGATGATGAGTGCGTTTCGTACGTAGAAGAGTCGGATGATGGCGTAGTACAACGAGTAGAGAATACCAAATCCTGCGCTGAAGTAGTCTAGTTTTTCAGTCAACGGGAAGTCTCGTATATGAAACACCGTGCTCCACACCCACGTGTTGATACCAATGATACACCAGGCAATGTACAGCTTTTTAAGCGGATACGAGCTCGGTATCTGTTTTTGAATGACAGGTAGGTACTTGTAGTGCATCCAACCGTTGAGCATGGAGAAGATAACACTGGCAGGCTCTTGGATCCCAAATAGGCGATGGAAAGGCCATTTTCCATGGTACTGATGCACCTCCTCACCATTTTGGATGGCTTGTCGGGTTATTTCTTGCATGCAATGGTATTGACAGTTTTGTTGGCATGTCCAAAACGTTGCGCGAAGGCATAATTGTAACTCTGTTGGGCAATATTTATCAGAACAATCTGATACACAGTTTCTATATTGTGGCCTCTGATCACCAGTCGATGCTAATGTTACTGTGAGGATTAAGGATAATAGGAATCCGATGCAGAGTAGCCTTGACATGGCCAGTCTTGTTATTGTGAATTGGTTGGTAGGGAAGGTGAGGTCTCGCGTGCCTGTGGAGTGTCGGCAAATTATTAGTCCGAATACCGGTAGTAAGAAGGTGACGGTTTCAACTGTGAACAATGGCTGCTTGCCCTGGAGCTATGAGAACAGAATCATAGTGGGTCATGAAAGCTTAGAAACTGGTTTTATAAGGCAGGTATATTGGTTTAGCTTGTAACAAGTGTTATGGAATGAAGTGGTGACCTGTACGGACTCTTCCAGCAGTGCGGTTTGTTATGGATTGATATTCACACGGCCGTACAGTCGTTGTTGGGTGGGAGAAAAAACGGCGTTGTTTCGTTGTAACATATATGGAAATGCCATTTGTATTTAAGATGAGCCATCGATTATCTATGGCGCGTTTTTGATCGGCACCATGTCAGATGGGTTGCTTTGACTTCAGGTACCGTCAAGCTTCTGAGGGACTACTACCTTAAGTGGCAAATAAAGCTCATGCTGTGTACCCTGTTTGAATATTGACGTTGCTAAAGGGTTGATGAAATGTGCTTTAACTAGACACAAAAGCTGGAGCTTGTTCAACATCGGGATTATAGATGAGAGAAGTGACCAGCCAGCTGTTTCACCGTCGAATAAGTGACCCCGTTGCACAGCTCAGCGCGTGAAGGGAACTTTTTAGATTATCACAACAGGTTAGCCAGCGACGATGTCATGGCCAATCCAGCAAAGCTTATGAAAGATGTTCGAGTCAGCTCCGCTGTCGGAATGACTAAAACTGATGACAAGTTGTCCATATTTCCCTTACATGGAGCTGAGGTCTCAATCTTTCTTTGCGAGATAAATCACCAGGACATCCCTCGCAAAGCTTTCTGCAGGCATACAGAGAGCAGGCAGACCACGCCCAACCGAGGTTTTGTTTGTCGCCACCAAACATGATTCCGGCCATTTCCATATTCACGAGACAATCCATTTACTCTTTCAACTCACCGTCGCACTACCAAAGAGTATCTCGCTCGTTACTAATAAAGAAAAGCCGGCGGGGATCTCGTACGTTCCTGCTCGGTGTTTATAACTTTGTGGTTCAGCTAGTCGGGATTGCCGAGTGGTCTATATGGGCTTCCAGGTCACGAAAAGCCGATGGTTATTTAACAGTCTGGGTGTAAAACCACTTTGCGGTTTTACAAGGCCATACCACATTCATTTACTTGTACTTTGTTCTTCAATTGCATGAGACTGACAGCCTGCAGAGAAACGGCCCTGCCTAGCGCTGCGTAAGAGCATTGGTGGCGTGGTTTGTTTGGCTTCGATCGATGTGTTCAGTTGATCTACAACCATAGGACACTCGGCATAATGCACTAAAAGTCATCAGGATTGCAAAATGCTCAGTTTAAAAGTCTAGAACTGAAGCATAGCCTATCACAACGTGGTCACCACCCCGTAAATTGAGCGGGCGAAGCTTATAGATGATATTTGGTACTTCGTGTTCGTCGCTACTAACGTACCTTGACCGCACCATGTCTTATAACTCACTCAGAGGGGCGCTTATATCTTATCAATTGAAGTGTGTTGATTCGACTGATTTGGAAGCGCAAAGCAAGAACGTGCCGTATAGAAGCGGGCGGAGAGGCGTTGTGGCTATCGAGACGAAAATAGACCTCTTTGTAAACACTGGCAAGTAGTTCAAACACTGGAATATGCCATTCAAGCCTTTGTGCTGCCAAATGGTCTCCATTCGGACATCCCATGAGGATAGTTTTCTTTTAGTCTTTTTGAATGTGCGTGCCAGTGGTAATAGGAACCCTTGTTATCCACATGGGATTTTCCATGGTAATGAAGTCAGGACAATCGATAGTATATGGCAGTAAAGTTCGGCGCACGGCTAAAGCGGCGTGCCTCATGATGCTACAACCAGGTTCATAAAGAGTAGCAGACTTGTCCAACGGTACACCAGCAGCACAACCTTCTTTTTTTTTTTTTAATCTCACAAAGTTCTTTTATCAAAATAAAGATTCCAATGCAGTGAAAATAGATCCACCATGGGAAATAAAGTATTCTCTGCTGAAGCTTCCATCTCTTTTTCTTCTTTTCTTCTCCTTCAACACAATTACTTGCTCTCGGCATACTCACAATTTACAGCCATGTCGCTTCGAAAAACGCACCATTCAACAACGGACCGCTTTGATAGTGAAACCCATTCTCAGATAATAGATAACCCCCAAGACAATATACCCGAAGATACTGATAGAGTGAGCGACGTTGAAAGTGATTGCTCTGAGCATTCTGTGATTTTATTTCATGTAGAAAATTATAGCGAATTAGAGACTATCATGCAACGGTTTGCCAATCGACCGAGCACACCTCAACATGAAGATCAGTACGACCTACCCAACGTACTTCCAGATTATACCAATCCTACGCCCCCCATACTCGATATAGAGCGCATGTTGCAGAATCCGAATCCCATCATATCGCCCATACAGATGAAAGTATCCTACGAAGACATCATGGACGTTATTATGGGAAAGGCCCAGAAGGACTGGTGTTGCTTAGCCTTTAAGATTGCGCCGCTGAAGATCGATGTAGCCAAGGATTGGCGATCTCGGCCGAAACCCATTGTGGATGGTCTAGCTGCCATTACATTGGCGACATTCATCGGCAAAGACTGCACTGAAGATTTCGGCATGGCGACGGCTGCGGCGTTTTATAAACAAGCAAGCAACCGCATGGATGTTTTATTTGACAGTATGAATGCAGACGCCGTTTTAGCGTATTTTTGCTTGAGTTACGCCTCTAATCTCATGCGGTTATATGATCAGCAAAAGACCTGGGGGAGTTTGGCATCCATTGCATTATTTCATTTGACGCAAAGCGATAAATCCCGCCCCAACTTCCAAGAACTGATCCGCCTCTGCTGGTGTCGATGGTACTATATAGATGCTTGGGTTGGATTGTCCTTGAATAGACCACTGTTACTGAGAAAAGACCATCCCATGCATGTGCCAACCTTGACCGAGATGATCGAGCAGAAAACCGTGACGGATCCGGAGACCTTGAATTTATACCACTTTGCGGCTCTAGGCGGGGTCATTCGGCGCGCCATCACTGGTCTTAAGTTTCGTGCGTTCTTTGATCCTAATGCTCCTGAAGGTCAGGTCCTCCCTTCCAAAGCATACATGGACTTCACCAACGATCATCGTAGCTGGTTCGCTCTTCTTCAGGACGCGACCTTGAGCGAACGATCCAACATCAACTTTGTAGGCCCCAGAAAATTTAACTTCAAACCCAAAGTCGATGTTCACCTGCATTTGTCATATCACTCTATTCGCCTGGTCATTCTCTTTCAATTCTTGTTACCCGATAGCCAACCGCCGAATGACATGATCTTTGACACACTCGACACCATTTCTGAACTACTCTCCGGACTAGAGTACTTGCATGAGATTGGTTGCGACCAGAGCACTTATCACCACATGTTCTTTGCTATTCATAATGCCGCGAAAATGGTCCACCATTATTCGGAAGACGACGATTCAACAAGAGTCATTGCTCGAGAACAAATGTTGTTGAACAATCACTTATTGCGAGGAACCTCAGCGTATGAAAATGATTTGTTCAACTTACGATTTTACGGAGAAAAAATAGATAGTGATTTTGAACTTTTGGAAATCGAGCATACAAGCGAGCCACTTGTAGATGATTACAGCATCCAAGTGTTTAGAGCTGATCCCATTGCAAAAAACATACGTAAAAAGCGCGCTAAGAAAAAGGGTTCAATGCGTATGGCCATCAATAAACGACAGGGAGCAATGTAATTCTTACTGCTAACCAAGCGGTGGATCTCCATGCTTTTTTTTTTAAACCAGTTAATGGTAATTTGATTGTTTGTCTGGTTGACACGTGTGAAATAGGTTAACCTGACATTGCTGTCGTGAGATAATTGCCAATGTGCTGTGACAGTTTCCATTAGATAGCGATTTCTCACACCGCGTTTGTCAGCCGTGGGCCAATGACTCAGTGGCGATATGGAAACCAACTGACTTTCAAACCCGTAGTCTATGCGAATTTCCACGCTTATAGCTGGCATAAAAATCTCTTTACGTGAGAGCCATTGACTTGCTGTGCTCATGGATCCAGGGCTCCCCGACAAATACCCATTGCCATCATGGTGGCTACAAAATGCCAAAAATCCCCTATCTGACTTCCAGTCTACGCCCAACCTTCCCCACGAGACAGATATCCTCATCATTGGTGCAGGCTATACAGGAGCGAGCACAGCCTACCATCTATCCAAAATGATAGGCAAAGATTGCCAAGTCACTGTTTTGGACGCCCGTGGAGTAGCTGAGGGTGCTACAGGTCGAAATGGAGGTCACCTCATACCTTATAACCATCGTAACATACTGCGCGACGTCGAACTCTTTGGCGAGGACTATGCTCTATGGCGAAGGGACCTTGAGTGGGCAAACGTTCAGGAAATAGCGTCCTTCCTTTATGACGAAGGTATAGTTTTCAAATAAGGGGTTCAGACCGGCGCGGTCTTTTCCAAGGAGGCTTGTGCGCTAATAGGCTATTGTATAGGTATTGCGGATATTGCAGAAGTTCAGAAAGGAGACAATGTAATGGCGTATTGCACTGAAGAATCATGGGAGATTGCCAAGCAAGAAGTTGCGTTCTGCAAAAAACATAATCGCGAATGGGGCATGTGCGAAGTCTGGGAGCAACAGGAAGCACGGCAGGTACGGGCTTAAATTCTCCGCGGTAGTAGGTGTACAAGCATTACACTAACACTGTCAAATTCTTTCATCGTTTCGCCACTAGAGACTGCGCTCGCCCGATGTTCTGGGTGCTATAAAAATAGAAGCTTATCAAATGTTCCCTGCCAAATGGATATGGGAAGTCTTCCAGAGACTGATTAAAGCCAATGCCGTCCAGCTATATACACAAACACCGGTGACTGCTGTCAAATCTACACCTACTGGAAAATGGGCAGTGCACACTGAAAACAAAGGGATCATAGTAGCCAAAACTATCATCCACTGTACAAATGGTTGGATGGGACACTTGCTTCCCGAGCTTCGAGAAGTTTGCTTTCCGGTTAGCGAGCAAGTGATGGCATTGAAAATGCCTAAACAAATTTGGAAGGAGAGGGGATTTGTTTGGCACAGTGTTGCGCACTATCTTATTCAGCGCGATAAGGACAACATCGTCATTGTTGGTGGAGGAAGAAGTACAATCGATGGAAAAAATCGGCCCTTTATAGATCATGAGACAATGGATTTCCTCGGGACCGGGCTAGGAGGAATGATAAGAGCCAACGACTCTTCGATTTATCCGGTACTGCATACCGACATTCGCCAGTTTGTGCGTTCCCATTTTCCCAACGAAGACTGGCCTGAATATGAAGAGGCTGAATGGGCTGGTGTTCAAGGCTACACCAAAGATCATTTGCCCTATATTGGACCTTTAGAACATGCTCCAAACCAGTTTGTTTCCGCAGGTTATAACGGTCATGGTGAGGATTCACTACATAGACCCATTCTGTGATTATTGGTGTTAACTTACTTTTTCCGTCGTCGTACATAGGAATGCCGCTCTGTTGGTGGAGTGGACGACGCGTCGCAGAAATGGTTTCTGGAAAATGTAATGCCGCGGATGACATAGCCAATATTTTCCTCCCTAGGCAACGATTTCAGTTACCATCGGCTTAGTAAAGCATGACATGATAAACATTATATCAGCGCTAACATGACCAGCGGTAAACGAGTTCATGAATATTTGTAAAATCTCTATTTTTATATGCTTGCCAAGATGATATTATCCTAAAATGGCGGCGACAACTACACTTCTTTCTTGTATGGTGTGCGTTTTTACATTCTAGAAGTTCTATTGCTTTATAAGACTCCGGTTTGAGGGGTGAATAGTCATACAGAGAGTACAGATGGCGCTTGTTGAGCTAGACACTCGAGCTTAAAACATGGCTAAAAAAGTCATTCAAAATTTTTTGGCACTGAAACGTAAACAATGGTCTATGCCACGATGTGGGCTATCACTTCCTCCTTGCGCCTTTGCTGTCAACTGGATTCTTCTACCGTTTTTCAGAACTTCTGTTGCCAAAGCTTACCGAGAAATTTGTTTGAAGTTGAACAATCCCATTTCTTGAACAGTAATTTGAATCGTGTTAAGGAAGCTCTTAAGGTAATATGGCGGTAACGTGGAGTGGTGATGGGAGGCGCAGTGATACTCCTCACTGTGCAGCCATCGGGGGGCCTACCATCCCTGGATTTACTACTGCATTAGATGCGTCCAGTGGTACGAATTCCGGCGTGTCTGTGTTTATCATCTAGGAATAGAATATACTTGAAATGCATCATAACCAAAGTTCTCATTGGATGGCAAGTCTTCTGCCGATGATCCAAAGTGCGCCGGATTGTCAAGATTAACCCCATCGCATTTGATATCAGAATTCCCTTGAATTTTTTTTTTTTAAATAAACTCTCTAAGATCAAGCGCTTATACCCTTTGTTTCCTCCACTCCTTCGTCTGTTTGCCCTGAGCAATCCAGCTTTCCCCCTTCATCTTCGCCTTTTTCCTTTGAAGCATCATGACTTTCGACCGCCCACATAGAAGATGGCACATATCGTTGTTGCTATTTCTCCTTGGTTTCATCGGCGTTATTGCGTTCCTCAACTACCGGTCATCACTTTTGGAGGGTACATACATCACTCATGTCAGTAACAAAGACCTCACAGACACCGTCTCAGATATCGACCACCATCCTGTACCCATTCAAGAAGCTCCTATTGTGCAAGACTGTCCTCACGTCACCAATGAAGACACAGATAAATTAGAAAAAGAACTTGACAGTGCCGCCAGTTATTTCAAGGATGAGATGTACGGTAAATTGGTTTACAAAGAGCGTGTTTACGACCCACCTGCTCAAGAAGTTATCGATGCTATCGAACGCAACTTCATCGAAGTAGCTGAACGAACTCTGTTGATTGCTGTAGTCAACCACGGAATGCTCGAATACACTCTCAACTGGATAGAATCTCTCAAACGCACGGAAATTACCAATTTCCTTGTGTTTGCTATTGATCAAGAGCTCGTGGATGCCTTGACCAACATAGGACTGGGTAGCAACGTTGTTCTTATTCCTGAAGAATGGCGACATGTCCAGCTTTCTGGTGACTTTGCTGCTTGGAAAACAAACAGCTACACTCCTATCACCCATGCCAAATCCCTTATTGTTGAGCGATTGCTGTACCTTGATGTCACTGTCTGGTTTTCGGATGTGGATATCGTCTTTGTCAACCCCAACATCTACACTCATCTTATGTGGAATTTGAAGAGCCGCAAAAACTTGCATATGGTTTTCAGCCAAGAAACGCAATACACCTCCATCAACAGTGGCTTTTACTTGATGCGTCCGACAGATGTCAGCAAACGGGTTATGGGGCGTACCATCGATATTCAGGATCGTATTCCCGCTTTGACGCAACAACGTGTTATGAATCGAGTCCTAGCCGGCATGGACCAGCAGTACAAAACGTCGCCCATGCTTCTTCTTGACTTGATGCTCTTTCCTAACGGCCACTTCTATTTTGGTTCCAAATTACCCATTTCCCTTGGGTTTGAGCCAATGATGGTTCACGCTAACTACAGGTTTGTCCTTGTTTCATTGAATGGATGGTGTTTTCAATAGCTAATGTATATTGTACTACAGAGTTGGCGATGCCAAGAAAGCTGCATTGCAAGACGTCGGCCTCTGGTATCTTGATAACTAGGTCTATCCGGTTTGCTACGATGTACTGGACCCGCAAATAATGAATTGCGTACAGGCCAACCCCGACCCCATTCGATTCCTTCTGTATAATAAGCCTTAACTTCCTGCCTCTTCTACAATGGGCACATAATATAAATCGCAGTATACACCATCGCGGTAATACAACGTGAGCTGTATCGTTTAATGTCATAAAACTGAACGTAAACCACAAATGGAAAAAATAGAAGCGTGAGGGATGCCCCTTTAGATTTACAAGCTTGTACTTTTGATACAAAGAAGCATGTGAGAGTAGTCCATTATTCTGGCTGCAATCTCACGTCTATTCGATTATTGGTTTAAGAAAAAAAAACATTCAACAATGTGGTGAAGTGTAAAATTCTAGCCTAGTCGAGAGGAAGTCCACACATTTCGCAGCTGGAACTTCGTGCTGGGTTAACAAACGTACAGAATCTGCAAGTGACCTCCACAGACCCAGATGTGCCCGGAGTTGCAACACCAGAAGTAGCTGACGTTGTGCGCGACATGTCGGCAGAACCGTCTTGATGGCCTCCTGTACGGAGATAGGTCGGTCATTCATTCACTTTTTTTTTTTGACATAGTTTATCGATTATAATTTTTTTTTTGGCTTACCTGATTCTCGCAACACCGTCTCCAGTGTTTTCCATCCATTGGATTGCTGTATGCTAGTAAAGGTATCGACGTCATGTTGCATGATAGCTCTGCACAAGGCAGTAAACTCCTCGGTGGATAGCAATCCACTCGATCGAATGAAGCAAAGGAGGTGGAAATCGGACAGTGCTGTGAGGTATTCCGCCGAAGAATTGCATGACGAAAGTCTTTGACTCAGCTTGCCGAGATTTTGCGTTTCTAAGCCTGCTCTGTTTTCAATAGGGAATGGAACGACGGATGCAAATGCAGGGCTTGGGTTCTGTGGAAAGCCATTGGTGACCTGTCAAACACAAGTTAATAAGACATGTCACACCAAAAAATCCCCAGGCCCAGACTACTACTTACATTGACAAGAAGGTACTCTACTGGGAAAGTGGGTTTAGCCGGCTCTTGAACGGCAACGCCATATTTGTTCTTGTATTTGTAAAACACTTCTGGCACATAGCGTTGGTGAGGAATACCTTCCTTGACAAGCATAACCGATGGCTTCATGCTAGGCTCGACAATTCCAGCTTCCTGCATGGCAACCATAGTATTTGAGACTTGATAACCGCTCACACCAATACCACCTTGTTCGTCTCCAGAGATGATGCATGTAACAAACTTTGAACCAAATTTTCCAGTGGGTGAATACCGGGATCTATTTGGATGCAGACGCTGCATTTCTGCTGCAAATGAACACTCCAAAGAGGACAAAAAGAAAGAATCCACATGTCGTTTTGTCACTACTGTGCCTTTACCGGTACCGTCGTCAAGAAGGTCAGTAAATATCATTCCAACAGGTTGAAGACCACAAGCTGCTGCCACTTGGTTGATAGAGTTCTCTTCTTGCCAAGGCAGGGAGAGCGCCAATCCATCCATATGATCTTCCTGAGGTGGCTCGTATATAGCTTCCACAACAGCTTTAATACCCAACGGAACTTCTGTGTACGGCTCATATCGTCCATAGAGGTAGCCCAAACGCTGACAACCAGTGGCACGCCAATAATGGATAAAGTTATCGATTAGCGAGGCCGAGGAAAATTCTATATGATCGACAAGGCGAAATGGCTTGAAAAAAATGATGTTAATCTCTCAGCTTGTGGAATTGTGACACGCGTTGCATGAAATTCGCCTACCTGACTTTGTAACGTAATGGCACTTGGTTGGCACTTGGTACAAATACCTTCTGGCCATGGGGCATGTCCGCCTGAACATGGTACTCGCACTTTATAATTTTGCTCTTCAAGAGGGGGAAGCTGTTTCGTTATAGTGGAGGAAGCGGCTTTTGACTGCTGAGCTGCGTTGAGTTGTCTGAGATGTGCGTGGAAAGACATATGCTTGATTTTGTTCTGCTCCAAATATTTCTGATCGTATGGCTGCGAATGAAAGGTGAGTAAAATGCAATATGTGATGTTACAAATACTTTATCAATGACTCACTTCAAGTGGCATGCAGTAATCGCACATAGCGTTTGTTCCATGTCGGCAGCTGGGGCATATGTTAGTAAGCGATCGTCCATGATTTAGGCTGAACTTGTAGGGGAGAAAAGTTGGCTTACAAATTACTGTCTCTTGATCTTGCAATCAAGCCATCCTGCTTCTCTAAAAGATCGTCGACAGGATCTTGCTGTATAGTTTTCAATTCATCAATATCCACGAATTCCTGAGCAGGCCCAGCGTTGGTCACCGTAGCTTGAGGCTCATCAGCATGTTCTCCAGGAGTATGCAAATGAGGAGTTTCAAGAAATACAAGATGAATCATATCTCCATGTCTGAAAGAGCATGAATATTAGTTACACGTCAAGGTGGCCAAAATTACGTAGTCAATATACATACTTGAGGCCAGCTGAGTTAACTGTCTGGTGAGCTAGCTGGGGTAAAGGTGCGGCTTCTTGCGGAGAAGGCCCTTTTCCAAAAGCCATGTTGCTTGTATCCGTGACATTGAATGCTGCTGCTGTCTGTTTCATGGGCCAAATTAGTCTGATTACGGCATCAGGATAGTATGCTTTACCAAGTACTTACCTTGTCAGCTATGTCCTTGAATGTATCGGCGCCGTCTACGGTAATTCGGACAGTACCGTCCTTTGAGCGAACACGCAACAACTACCATGCACATCATTAGCATAAATTCAGCATTGGAAATGGTTGGTCAGCTATAATTACCATTGATATCAAAGTAAAGTTGATTGACGTAAAGGGGTGGAGCTTGCGCGGCAAAGTCCCAATTTCAGCACTCCCATTTAAAATTTGAAAGTCACGGTGCTCGAGATCTCTTTCAACTTGCTGAATGTCGCTTCCAACTGAAATCTTGCAAGAGATCATATCACAACTAAATCAAGCGACGTTAGCTAATTGCACCAGAGTTTCTAGTCAATTTAGAGCTCTCGCCATCCCCGTCCTTTATGAGTCTCCAAGTTTACTGACTGCCGACCGTTTTCGTCGCTTTTCGAGGGACCTAAGTGCTGACAACGCTGTATATGTTCACACTCTGGACTTATCGATGACAGCACGCCGATGGGATAGCATAAAGGGCCAAGAGATTGTAGAACTACTATTAAAATGCTTATATATAACCCATTTAGATCTCGATATGTGTATGGCACTGTAAGGAAACCAGTTATACCGCAGCAGCATGTTGACAACACCGCCTGACATCATCCCTTCTCATGTTTGTAGGAGAAATACAGATATTGAAATCATAATGAAAGCCATTGGAAGGAATCTTCACTTCCTTTCTTTATGCTCTTGTTCGTATTTGAACACACCAAGTGTAGTGTCCATAGCTACGTACTGTACCAATCTGCGAGTCATCAACCTATCTGGAATCTGCACTGTGGACGATCCGGTGGTAGAGCTCGCCTCAAAAAACCCACACCTGGAGACAGTGAACCTGGCAGATTGTAATCACATTACAGAAAAATCTGTGAAGGCGGTTATGAAATGCCCTAAGCTCAAATACCTCAACATCGAAGGTTGTCATGATGTATTGGACTTTGAATCCGATTCGGAAAGCGGTCTACCTCAACCAGAATGGGAAACCGAAGATGAAGATGACGACGATGGGGAAGAAGTGGATTATGAAATCGAAATAATATCGGACTCAGACTATAACTATGACAGCATCAACAGTGAGGACGAGGAAGATGAAGATTACAGCGTGTATTCATCCGACGAGCGCAGCGAACAAGCAGCCTGCGAAGCAATGAGAGAGACGTAGATGGCGACGGTGATAATGTGAAACATACAGCATAGGCATTGTACCAACATGAATTGATGTGGAGGTTATTCTTTTAATTACTATATGGTCTACTCATTCATTCAGTCTCGTCTTTGGGACGAAATGGTTCTATGAGCATCTTGCTGAATTCTTTTATATCCTCAGTGCCTCGGACTTCCTTGGTCAACAGTGGCATTCTAACAATGTGGAAATCCTCGTAAAGATCATAGATCTGGTCCAGATATTTCTGCTGCATCTTATGGCGCACTCCACAGTGTTCGCAATTTGATCCTTTTGTACATAAAAAAAACGTTTCGTAAAGAATAAGATTAAAGACATATTAAAACAATGGCAAATATCTGGTTTTTTTTTTGTTCCTTACCTTTCTTTGGGAAAAGTAGCTGGTTGACCACGATGTTGTGAGTATCAATTTTGTATGCGGTCAATTCTTGAATCATTCTCTCAGTTTCATACAAAGACAAGAATTCTGAAATGCAAACGCAGACAAATGTTGTTGTGTTCTAATGTTGGACGTTGTTATTACACCACTCAAAAACCTTGACAGCACGAGTGATAACTTACAGGATCCTTGAACTGGTTGTTCACTTCTGTAATGACAGAACGCATTTCTTCCAACTTGCTGAACATGTCCTCCTGGTTAGCGTTCACTCCCATCATACCAGACATCTAAAATATAAAATGGTAAGCAAGAAATTTTCATGTGATAAGTCTTACAAACTTGCTTGGCTTACCTGTTGGAACATGGGACCAAAGCGTCCACTGAGAGTGCTGACCTTGGCAAGAGCCTTCTCCAGCACGGTTGGGAAAGACAGGAAACGGAGAGTATGACCAGTGGGAGCAGTATCGAAAATAATGACAGAATATTGCATGGTCTTCACTTGTCTGTTTGGGAAGCGCATCAGTATGACAGCCAACGGCGTCCCAATATTCGTGAAACAAGAACTTACTTCATAACTTCAGCGAAACCCATTGCTTCATCGACACCAGGAATAGCAAAAGCAAGATCTTGGAACATGGATCCCATGGCATTGTTTTGATCCGCTAACAAATTTCAACAGACAGTGTTAACAAGGACGGGAAAAATTAGGTTAATTGTTCGTCATCCAATCTGCTTACATTGCTCAATCATCTCTTGGATACTAGATGTGGGGTCAATTTCCTATAAGAACATTTAGTATTGGCTATATGACAGTGCGCCTTTTTTCAAAAATCATTCCATACCATGGCAAAGAGGTTGTCAAAGCCGTTGATAAGTGTTGCTTCCTTGGAGAACTTTTGGCCGAATGCATCGGACAGATTGTGGGCTGGATCTGTGGAAATAAGGAGTACAGATTCTCGAACCTTTGCTAGCTGAACAGCCAATGAGCAAGAAGTAGTTGTTTTGCCTAGTGAATCGAGTCAGCATATGAGCATCGCTCATGTCAGCTACAGGCACAATGATGGTTGCGCTACTCTGAAAGGTTCCTACCAACACCACCCTTGCCACCAACAAAAATCCAGTGCAAGGAATTTTGATCTAGGATGTTTTGCAGAGAGGGATCCAAAGGCTGAAAGTCGTCGTCAGAGAGGTCAGACATGAGTATAGAAGTTGCTGGAAAAGAGACTTCACTGTAAGGAACACGTACAGGTTTTCATGGCAAAAAGCAGAATCGAAATTGGCCAATCAAATGCTGTAGTTGACTCTATGCCAATTTGGCAGCAGACAATGCCCAAGCGATATCATTGCACTACCTTCCAGATATTCAATGTAGATCTTAAGAATGGTACTCTTAGAAATGGTTGATGAAGTGAAAAGGAAGTGTAATAGCTCTAAAGCTACTCTGTAACGATATGACATGCAGTACAAAGGAAGGTAAGGTGGTTCACACTCCATTACCATATGATTTCAAGCTTACATTGTTTGATATGTTCAAGGATAATTACAACATCCTTTCTTTTTAGTGTACAGTATGTGTTCAAAATATACAAGATAGATAGCGCATTGACTAGCATCATTTGCCACAAGTATAAAGGCTTGCAATTTAGATGCGCTGTGATTCTAACGCTTTTTGAAGAGCTATATGAGCATCTTCTTCTGGAACGGTATATCTTGCCCTTAGGGTTCTATATTTTTTCAAATAGTACATGGCTTCCAATTCTGGTTTGCAAGAGATTGGAAAGCGCGAGGGTTAGTGAAGACAAGAGGAGTGAATGAGCATTCTATACGACTCACCTTTAATAATGTAGTTACCAAACGCTATGGATTTACGTATTTCGGCTTCATCTACAAGATCTCTCTTCTTCATGAATGCCGCCTTCAATTTAGGTCGAAAGAAGTTGGTATACCCTGCGGGATAGTCACGGCCCAAGTAAACCAGCTATTATTCGGATTTGAAGAAGTCGACATCAGTTTTTATACTTCTCATTTACAACACACAGAGCGTTTACAGAAATGCGAGTTTTATTATGGTTTGGTAGATATACAGACCTGCTTGTACAGAGCAATGACTTCAGATCGTAGTGGCTGATTGAGAATGGTCATTGGGAAGGTAAAATGAAGGAAGAATGAAATAATCGTTCGTTCTAATAATGCACGTGGAGTTTATTCCTTGTTGAGCTCCGCCAAATGCGCTTCTTTCAGAGCTAGCTGTTTCTTCAAGTTTTCGACAACGGTCTCGAAACGTTGCTAAAAAGAACGGGGAAAGGTGAGTATGCAGTGAAGTTAGATCGGTCACAAAAGTAAATACCTTTAGAATTGCATTTGTGGCAGAGTTTAGATCGACGTTCTTGCGCTGAATAGCAGCCTTAATTTCCAATATTTCTTGTCGTTTTTGTGCTGTATTATTTGCTCATAGTCAGTTTTCAGTTGGCATACATCTTCAAATCAACATTATACATACCAATTTCACTGTGCTTTCCTTTCTCATCGTCTTCATCATCTTCATCGTCGTCATCGTCATCGTCATCATCGTCGCTGTCTTCATCATCGTCTTCGTCTTCTTCTTCAAGTTCCTCAAGACCGCGGTCGATGGCTGCTGCCAAATCTTCATCGCTTTCACTTCCTTCATCCGTGTCCTCTACATCAATGTCTTGGGTACCTATGTCTGAGTCTGGCTCTAGGTCGCGATTATCACTCATTTCTAGCAGCATGTTTAGTACCGAATACCAAGTCATGTCAATCTACCGACGAGCTACCTACCATATCGAACGTCTTCTGCAGTAGCGTCCACTTCTAGTAATCTCTCGACTTCTTTCTCAACAACTTCAATGGTCTATAGACAGAGTTGTGTCAATTGACATGATAAAATCGCTGCAACATAAAACAATCAACTCACGCGTTTGGACAATCGCTTTCGAAATCTCCTTTTGCGAACATGTTTGAGCGGTGGCGTCACACCATCCGGGTACAAATAGTGTTCAGCATTCCGCCGAACGCTGAAGGGATAGGAAGTATGAGGTTCTTCTTGTGAGTTATGAGGCTCAACGAGAAGCATCTAATATGTTGAATCGAGAGTCAGCGATGGTATGAAAAATTGACGCTTAATGACTACGCTACGGACCTGGGATATATCTGCAACTTTATATAGCTGCTTTTGATCGATTGTCTTTTGTGATTCTATTATAGTTGGGAGATCAACAAGTTTTGTGTCGAATTGTTGCCCATCAATGTAAAAGTGACCATGTCTTGGATCTAAGGGGAATAGTGTTAATAGTGTCCAAATGGCGCAACTTTCATATATTAATCATACCTTTGAAAACAAACTTGACGCCATCGGTCACGTCTCGTTTCCTAACCATATCTCGTAGTTTGTTGCAAGCTTCGCCCGGAGGCATTCGCAATATGAATTGTTCTTCAATAGCAACATCCGGTTCAAGTTCGTCTTCGGATCCACTATGATCTCTATTGGCTTCTCGAGCTGCCGTTATCTTAATCTTAATCTTCTTATCATTGGAGCTCGACCGAAGTGAAGAATGTTGCCTTGGCTTTCTCTGGCGCTTTTCTGACGCTGGCGAATCGGACATGTCGTGAAGGCTGCAAGCTTGGGAGCCGTCACAGGCACTTATTGCTGCCCAATTTTTATACTCAACAGCACGTGACTTCCGGAAACGGCTCAGTGCCATGGTCGGCAATGCTTCCTTTGACACCTTTTCACAAAGGCTCACTATCAATTCATGTCGTTACGGAGGAAAAAGATTGAATTCTCCTCAGCATTTGCTCAGTTTGAGCGAGATATGCATGCTATATATACCTACTCTGGCTTGTCTGGTTTGGATACCTACCAGTAAGTATCGTCGTGCCTGACTTGATCTTCATAACGACCACCTCCGGCCAGACTATGAATTCCCCGCATGACAGTACGAAGCACCAACCGCCGTCAAAATAGAGCATAAAACAAACGAAATATTCACGCACTCTCCTATCCTTTTAATAGACTAGCTTACGACTTGTGCAATGCTACGCCCAATCCCTACTCGCAACAGCTTTTTATCGGAATCGCCGAATATCTGGAGACGTACACTACGGGTCTGAGAGAGGTACAGTATACTCGGCCAAATTTCTATAAAATTCTCCTTGAGAAAGACATGATAGATCTGACAGCTCAATTTTCTTCAGGTTATTCTAGAACATGACGACGTAGTAACGGCTTATGCACAGGCGTTTGAAAAGTACGATGTCGCTTCTGGAATCATCTCACGTGTTTGCGAATATCTCAACAAGATCATAACGCAGTCGAACCACTCCAAAATTCCGGCTCAGAGCAAGAGACAGAATGTTGGGAACAGTATATACAAAAGACAGACCGTACAAGCTGTGAGTATGCCGTCAATGATGTATGTTTCCTTTCTGGGTGCTAACTGACCGGTACCAATAGCTGGCTCTGTCAATCTGGAAGAAAAACATATTTTTGTATATTCGAGACCATTACAACAATCGGCTCATATACCAGATATTCGAGCATATCCGTCGTGATCGAGATGGCTTCGACGCTCCCTATAGCTCATTAAAAATCGCTATAACATCGCTCGTACAAATCAACTCGTTGACGGACCAACCATTGCACCTTTATATCGAAGAGTTTGAGCGTCCTTATCTGGTCCATACTAAGCGGTATTATGAGGCAGAAGCTGTACGAGAAATTGCCAATGCCTCTGTCAGCCAATTCATGACAAAGGTAAATTTCTGTGGCATGCAAGGAGGAGATTCGGCAAGATCATATCTGAAGCAGGCTGAAATAACCAAAATCTCCTTTTTCTTAAGGCAACTCAACGCTTACAGCAAGAATCTTTCCGGAATTATCGATACTGCCATTCGACATCGCACGATCGGATTCTACGAGAGACGGAAGCTCAATATATTGCTGCATATCAGAATGTGATTCAAGAAGACTTTGTTCATATGTTGAACGAGAATCGCTACACAGGTTGGTTACGCATTCAATGGATTCATAAGTGTGATTGAATAAGATTCTTACATGATTACAAACGCAACAGATTGTACATTGGCCTATAGTTTGCTCCTCCGCGTACCAAATGGGCTCAAGCCCATTCTGGCCTTATACGAGACTTACGTAGCTAACCGAGGAAAAAACATATTAGAAAAGCTAGGTAGTACGGTGTCTAAGGTATGGGCTTATGAGCTACTTGAATATAATCCTCTAGGTTCAATTTATTCAACTAATTCTGCTGACACCACATTTTGATAGAATCCCAAGAGTTACGTGGAGCAATTACTGGAACTTCATCAAAAGTTTTATTTGGTAAATAAGGAAACGTTTGCTGGAAATCCGACCTTTACTGCCGCCGTGGACAAAGCCTTCCGTACCATCGTCAATGATACCACAGTCAATCCTAGCGCAAATGGACCAGAGGTACTGGCTCGCTATTGTGATAGTATGTTGAAGAGAAGCACAGTCAAGAAGGAAATGGCGACCTCTGCGGCATCTGGTGTGAGTAGCAAAGGCTCTATTAGAAGAAGACCGGCCCTTGGAGATGAAGGAGACCCAACGGAAACACTTACTCGCATGGTAAGGAAACCTTTCGTGTACTTGGACTTTCCCTACGTATTTTATTCATTTTATGGCTCTTCATATACAGATCACCTTATTCAAGTACATCGATGATAAGGACGTTTTCCAAAAGTTCTACGCACGCCTCCTCGCCAAGCGCTTGATCCATGCCACGTCTATTTCGGAAGAAGCAGAAGCGACCATGATTTCACAGTTGAAGGTACGCATACATTGAGATTGAAAGCCTTCCTACATATCTATATGTTAACATTAAATCAATTATAGGAAACATGCGGTATTGAATATACCAGCAAACTTCATCGCATGTTTACAGATATGTCATTAAGTGCCGATCTTAACTTGGCATTCAAGAGTCAGGAAGGCGACATCAAAGGTAATACTCATTCTTAATATCGCAATTGAGCTTCCGGCAGCTAAAACACTTTTTAGGCTTTGAAATGCTTGTACTTACGTCTGGAGCATGGCCATTGAATCAGTCCATGGCAGGAGAATTCAAAGTTCCTGAAGAGGTAAATACTGGTGAGAAATGGCCAATACTGAAACGATATTTTGACCCATTACTTTGTTCAGTTGGTCAAAAGTATATCCAAATTTGAGGACTTTTATAAAGAGAAGCACAGTGGTCGACGTCTTGCTTGGTTATGGCATTTGTCTAGAGGTTCGTTGGTGCTTAGATTGACTGTAAGTTTGCCTTTCGAGCGACTCATCCCTCTTGATATTTTGCAGGTGAAGTCAGGGCGACCCATCTAGATAAGCCTTACGATCTGTCTGTTTCACTTCATCAAATGGCTCTAGTGCTGCTATTTAATACTGTACAGAGCTTGAGCGTCAAAGAAATGGCAGCGCAGACGGGACTGACCATTCCAGATGTTTTGCGTTCCGTGAAGGTATGCAACAGAGGCTAGTCCTACATTTGGCGTCGTCGGTGTTATGGTATCTCACTTTTTTCATCCATGTTAGGCTTTGGTTGATCTTGGCATCTTCAACTCTACAGAAAAGAAAATTTCGGAAAGCTCAGAGCTCTCTATCAATCCAGAGTTCACCAGGTTAGACATCATTTTTTTGTGTGTATCACCATGCCGCTTTTATGCTTACCGAAATATATAGCAAACGCACAAAGATAAAGGTTAGCACTTTAGTGCAAGCTGATACTCCACAAGAGAACAGTGCAACCCGCAAGGCTGTTGAGGAAGATCGTAGAATCATCCTACAAGCCGCCATTGTTCGAGTCATGAAGTCCCGGCAAATTCTTTCACATCAACAGCTTGTCCAGGAAGTCATTGATCAGACTCGATCCCGCTTTGCTCCTTCGGTGCCACTGATAAAAAAATGTATAGAACAGCTGCTGGAAAAGCAGTATATTGACCGTCAAGACCGTGATCGTTATGTATATGTTGCATAATTACGGATCTATTTCAGTATAAGATGTATATATAAAACGTTGATTTACTTTACAACTTCTTGTCCATTGGTTTATTTCTTTTTCTTTGTGTGTGGGGGGAATTTATTAAATATATCAAGAAGTGGTCGAAAAACGACATGTCGATCATGCCCAGGAACTTCCTTGTCACATTAATCGTCGTCGTCAAAGCCGAGATCAATATCTATTGCTACTTTGCTGACCAGCTGCTCGTAGCCAGATTGCGTGCTGGTGGATTGTCCAAGGGCTACAGCCTCTTCACTGATGGTTGGATTTATAATGCTATTTTCATCTTCAGCTGTAGGGTTCGGCGTCGATACTGTAGGTGTGCCTGCGCTGTTTGGAGTTCTAGTGAAATATGTTCGTGTTAGAGATGATGGAGGGCAAATATGATAGATCAGTGTAGGTAGGCACTTACCCTGAACCAGGTGTATGAACAAGCTTAGGAGTGGTTCTGCGTCTAGCGAAGGGATCTGTAGCAACAGCACCAAGCTTTTTCCTGGCAAGCAGCGCAATCTTTTCGGCCTCCTTCATTTCCACCTTATCCTTTTCTCTGTTCTTTTTGTTGAGGTCAGCCCATATGTTTAATTTTCCAGCTGAAGTGATGTTGGTGGCGCGTTCTTCTAAGTCGGCAATTTGCCTCTGGATGCGGTCAGCCTCAGCATGGTTTTCATCGCTTCTTGCTTGTTCAAGTTTGGTGTGCAGCATGGTTTTCTCCATTGCAACATTTGAAATCGTGTTGTTAAGTTCTCTCTTTTTAGCAATCATATCGGCAACTTCCTTGTCGTTTAAGATATATTCCCGAGCAGCCTTGAGGCTTTCTTTTTTGTTTTCGATATCATCAGCATTAGGCTTACGACCTTTTTCAACTTCAATGGTGGTTAAAAATCGAGCATATTCCTGTTGCGTAACTGCGCCGTTGGAAATGATGTCCATTGGAAAGGGCTTCTGAGCCTTTCCATGTCTTGCCTTGACCGCTTTGTTGCTCCACACACCTTCCGCAACCTTGTAGGTTTTGTGCCAGGGTATTACGTCTACAATTTCACAAAGTCGGTATACAGGAGTCTTTGTTTGTGGATCAGGCCCAATAAAGAGTCGTACGTAACAGCCGACAGCAGTATCTTCGAAGAACGGTGTGTGTATCCAACTTTCGACCATGCGTCGCGTAAGTGTGATGGCGTTGATTTCATCGAGTGTAGGGGTTCGCTTGATGTCTTTCTTTTGATCTTCTTCACTCTCACTTTCACTGACAGAGTAACCGTCATCGCTAGATCCGCGACTTCTAGATCTTCGCCTTCGTTTTCGATCTGGGCTCATTGAGTCACGGCGACTACCTCGAGTATGTGTTTTTTTCTTTTCTTCGCGTCTACGAGCGAGCTCGGTCAAAGCGCGAGAAGCACCTGTCTCCTTGGTGCGCGTGGATCCTTGAAAGACAAAGTCTTAGATACACGGTGACTGTACCATTTACAAAATAATATTCCCTTGATGCTTACTTCGCTTAGAGTCGTCTTTTCTTCCATCTTTCAAAAGCTTTCGAACTTCTAAGCGTTCCAAATTACGCTGTCTCTCTTCGGAACGTTCACTGAGAATTTGTTCTCTCTCTACTTCCGGAAGAGCAAGAAGTCTAAAGGAAAGTACAATGCAATTTAGATGGGAGCAAGAAATTTAAAAAACAATGTCTTCAGCTGCTTGCCTTCGTTTGTCTTCTTCGTCTTTGTACAAGTCTGGTCCATATTCGTCTATTTCTTCGTCAGATTCTTCATCTTCGTCATCTTCGGAGGCATCTCCGACATCAATGTCATCTGAATCTTCATCTTCGGATACGCTAGGAGTGGAAAGAAGCAAGATAGAAAGTCTGTTAGCGACATTTTGCGTAGCATTGTGTATTTAACTCTTTGGATTAGGAGAATGCCTGTTCTAAATGTTACGTACTATCGTTTGGTACCACGACTTTCGGTTGATCGTCGACTTTTGCTACCTCGAGAATTTGATTTGCCTCCATTCTCAGTCTGGTTGTCCGCTAAGGCCAAAATGTAATCGTCAAGATCGTCCATTTTAGTGGGGGGTTCAAGTACAAAGATCAACGACAGAGAGCTGCCATGGACTGGAACTTTTGTGTGGCTTAGCGGGGCGGACCTGCGTCGATGAATAGGACGATGCCTGCCAAACCTAGCTGCGAGGGAAGCCGCCCAGTTAATGGTCAAATTAACGCATATATTCTAACAAAACGAGATAATAGAAGTTCATGGCATTATTTCAACTCTAAGCGTTATTGAGATTACATTGTTATGCAGCGTTCAAGAGGAAGTGGGTTGAATATTCAGCGCGGGCCCACGGCCTCATCGATGCCGATCGATTTCACGGCCCGTCGGCACTTCTTTGCTTTGTTCACCTGCTTTTCACTTGACATTTCACATGCTGCGTTCTCACCTACGACAATTGGCGCCTGCTTTGAAAAGAGCTCAAAGCTTATCACCTTATAGCAATGCCGGTGTGTAACTTTCTGAGTGTAATCTAACTTCACTCGCTGCGCGAGAAATCTTACACCTGTCATTCCTCCGTTAACAGCGCGCCCAGTGTTCATCCGTGGAATGTCGACGGTCACCTCAGATAACGAACATAAGAAAAATGCGTGAGTGTCATGTTACATACATCCTTTAGAATTAAAGTAGACGTCGTCCACTAACCAAAGCAACTACATAGGCCCACAGCAATTCTCTTGACCAATATGGGTGGTCCGGCTACATTGGACAAGGTCCACAGCTTTTTGCTAAACCTTTTCTCGGATAGTGACTTGATGAGACTTCCTATACAATCGCTTTCATCAAAATACATCGCCCGTCGGCGCACGCCTCAAATTCAGGACCAATATAACCAGATTGGAGGAGGTTCGCCCATTCTGCATTGGACGAAAAAGCAAGGCGAAATGATGGAAGCCATCTTAGACCGGATATCGCCAGAGACTGGTATGGGCTAACCTCGTTATCATGACCTTAATTGTTTTATTTCACATTCTCATACGCATCCATTAGCACCACACAAGCATTACATTGCCTTCCGCTACGTTGACCCTTTGACTGCTGATACAGTCAAGCAAATGAAGGCTGATGGGATTAAGCGTGCTGTAGTATTCACACAGTACCCCCAGTATTCATGCTCCACCACTGGCAGCAGCTTGAACGAGCTTTACCGCTGTTTGAAAACATCTGACCCTGAAAATGAAATCAAGTGGAGTGTCATCGATCGATGGAACACGCACCCTGGATTCATAAAGGCAGTTGCTGGTAAAATCAACCAGAAGCTCGCCGAATATCCCCCTGAAGAGCGCGATAATGTTTTACTTTTGTTCTCTGCTCACTCTCTTCCAATGTCGGTGGTCAACCGTGGCGACCCGTATCCTGCTGAAGTGGCAGCCAGCGTCGACCGTGTCATGAATTACTTGCAATTCAAGAACCCTCACCGTCTAGTTTGGCAGTCTCAGGTTGGTCCATCAGCTTGGTTAGGACCACAAACTGGAGAGGCTATAAAAAAATATGGTGAACAAGGAAAAAAGAACATAGTGGTAGTTCCTATTGCCTTCACCAGTGACCATATTGAAACTCTCTTTGAACTTGACATTGAATACGGAAAAGAAGCACACGAGGTAAGAAAAAAAGTGACCTTGCGTTACATATTATGGGCAATCGTTCTAACCAATGTCCCTATGGTTCATTGTTACAGGCCGGTATAACTGGATTTAAACGCTCCGAGTCACTAAACGACGACCCCGTCTTTGCCGAAGCTATGGCAGACATTGTGAAGGCTCACTTGAAATCGGGACAAATTACAACACCACTCATGTCCCTTCGCTGCCCTTCGTGCACAAACGATTATTGTGGCGAGCAAAAAGAGTTTTTTGCCAATCAAAAGTTATAACGAAGCGTGCCAACGGATAGATAAAGCGTAACATATTGTTCATCATCCAAATGGATGGAAATCACTTGTTGCAGATGATACTGCCCATAAGCCCATGTTACGTAAAAAAATAAATGAACCCACAACAGAGGAAATGAGACACTACTCATATTCTGCTTGACAGAAAAGCAATTTAATAAATCTTTTATACATTGATGACTCTACTAAGCTTTTGGACTCTGTTCAGCAAAACATCTCCTTGCTTGATGACAGTTTGGTATTGCGCATTCTTATTGTCTGGTCTGTTCGTCTCGATGATGCCGTTGACTTTATCGATTACGCAGTTCAGCCTTCCATTTGCAATGAACTTTGACAAATCCCTTTTGAAAACGTTGAAAGGTAAGTATTTGGTATACACACTTTATAAAACGCGCAATCAACGGTACTCACTTGTCCGCAAAATCTTCACTGACGCCAAATGCATTTGCCATGCTCTCAAGGGTTAGGGATCGGTAACTCTCTAAAAGTTGTGCATAGGCAATTATTCGCATTTCACGAACATAGTAACGAATGTGTGTAGAGAGATATCGTGAAGATCGCAAGTACGAGGTTTCAATGTGGGCTGATACACACCAATTGCATGTCAGTTACGATGAATCAAATCCTCCCACCAGCAGTATGAACGTAAACTTACCCAGCGACTGGAAGAACTGTGCATAGTTGCAGTTATACAAGCTCGTCATGAAGTCCTCCAAGTATGGTATTTCCGAGATGACCTCAAGAATTTCGGGAGCGTCCAATACCTACATATCAAATTAGACGTATGGTTCTTTATCTCTTTTCTGCGCTGTTGTAACCTACGTACCCGCTTTTTGATTTCAACTCGCTGAAGACTGATTAAGCTGGTCAACACGGCGTATTTGACAAAATCGTTGTATTCCATCAACTCGGTGCTGGTGAATGTGCTCAAAGTGTCTAAGAATAGTCCAGCGGCTCCTTTGAAATCGCGGATGGACATCAAATATGCGCCTTCGTACGCCTTCAATCGGTTTCGTCTATCCCAATCACCACCTTCTTCAATCAAGGTTCGTGCCCGGTCGATATTAATGCGCACTAGGTTGTTGTCGAAGAAGAAGTATCCAATTCGCATCAATGCAAATTGTATGTCGATGCGGGTTCCTGTAGTGATGGCCCGGTTCTGGACAACTTTGTAATGTTCGAGTGCCTTTTCCTATTGACAAAAGTGTGTTGAGTATATCATATCCTTTTAGCAATCGCAAGTATAGGTCATCTTTCCAACCTTGTCGCCAATTTCCGCAAAATGTTCAGCTTTAGCAAGCAAACCGTCATTGACCTCTGTTTCGCCCAAGTTCTGCTCTGCATCGGCGATCTTCTCTTCCAGCTTCGCCAAAGCTTCAGCGTTAGCTTGCTCCATGCTCTTAAGCAGTTCCTGATCAACCGGTACGTTCAACTCTTCGGCAATGATGGGGTAGAAAGGTGCCATTTCTGGAAGACAATGTTATAAATCAGCAGATTAATTATGTCAAGATCTATTCCAAAGTGTCTGAAACCTACGCTTCTCTTTTATGTGGTCGAAAAGCTTGTTCTTCGCTTCTTCTCGCTGCTCCTCTGGTCCATTGGTGGCAATGAATCGGTAGTGCTACAAGTCAAATTCAGTATAGGTATAGAAAAACAGCGGTAATGACACTTGCATAGCTCAGCACTTACAGCAATCTTGAGATCAGGTATTTTTTGGAGATGGTTATCGTCTGCAGACATGCTGAAAGTTGTGGGTTGGTGCTCAAAGCGTTGTGCAGGTCCCTTAAGCTGAACTGGACACGCGTTGGATGTCGACGTCACATACGCGAGCGGAGTCACGTGATAATTTCGTATCTGACATCACCCCTTGACTCGTAAGCTGCTATACGCGTAGGAAGCGTACCTTTGTATCGAGACCAGACTGTCCACCAACATGGCAACCACTGCATCTAACAAAATCTTAACGCCAAAACTCAAAGAGGCAGCAGAATTTCATCAGGTTGGAGACAATGAGCAAGCGATTAAAACTTACAACGAGATCTTGTCAGTTGACTCCACGAACGAGAATGTCCTGCGCGAACAGGAAACCGCTCTAGTCAACCTAGGAGAGCTCTATAGAGACCTCAAGTAAGATTGAATCAATGCAGCATCACTATTTAAAGTAAATGTAAGCTTATGTGTGCCATTTCATAGACGACCTCAAGAACTTGCAACTCTTATCCGATCTTCACGACAATTCATGTCCTCCATCGCAAAGGCAAAGACTGCTAAGCTTAGTGAGTTTTAAGGACGCTGCCAACGATGAAAAACTAGTGACAACCGTTCTCATATCTTTTATCTTTTCAGTCAGAACGATGATCGACTTTTTCAGCACAATTCCTGACTGCTTACCGCTTCAAATTGAAGTGTGCAGAGAGAACATAGAGTGGGCCATCAACGAGAAGCGCATCTTCCTCAAGCAATCGCTAGAGACTCGTCTCGTTGCCCTCTACTTGGATAACAAGATGTATCATCAGGCACTGGATTTGATCGCACAGCTTTTGAAGGAACTTAAGCGTCTTGATGACAAGATGATGCTGGTAGAGGTTCAGTTGTTGGAAAGTCGAGCATGCCATGCACTTCGAAATATACCAAAGTCAAGGGTAAGATGATCGAGAGAATATGAATGGCTGGGGTTGCTTTCTTCTGTACTTATAATGAACTTCCGGAATCAGGCCGCTCTCACATCAGCACGTACATCAGCAAACGCCATCTACTGCCCACCACTGCTACAAGCTGCGCTTGACATGCAATCTGGTGTACTTCACTCTGAAGAAAAGGATTACAAGACAGCATATTCATACTTTTTTGAGACATTCGAAGGTTATTCCAGCCAAGACGATCCCAAGGCCGTGCTTGCCTTAAAATACATGCTTCTTTGCAAGATTATGCTAAACTTGGTACGTCTTATTCTGTGTGCTTTTTAAGCTTTCGCAAGCACTGACTAATGTCTCAATTAGACTGAAGATGTACATGCGATCATCACTGGCAAGGTAGCATTGAAGTATGCAGGATCAGAAGTGGAGGCAATGAAAGCAGTTGCCAACGCTCATCAAAATCGAAGTTTGCAAGAGTTTGAGACCGCTCTTGCAACTTATCCTAATGGTAAGGGGGAGGATCCATTCCAAGACATGATTTCATTATCTTGATACTCATACCTTCCATCATCTATAGAGCTCAATAATGACCCCATCATTCGAAGCCAGCTCGCATCCTTATACGACACACTTCTTGAGCAGAATTTGGTTAGAATCATAGAACCTTTCTCCAGAGTCGAGATATCACATGTCGCCGCCATGGTCAAGCTCCCTACACAACAGGTTGAGACCAAGTGAGTGTATCCAGCAAGCTAGCTTTTAGGGATTTAAAGTTAGAGGCAGTGGTGCTAATTTGAATTTGCAGGCTTTCACAAATGATATTGGACAAGGCATTCCATGGTATTCTTGATCAAGGAGCTGGCTGTCTCATTGTCTTTGATGAGCCAGAGGAAGACGTAAGTTATATTGTTCATATGGTTTGTGAAATTAATACAGGGTCATTAATGCGCGATGTTGCCATACAGAAAACCTATGAAGCAGCTATCGATACGCTAAAGCAAATGGACAAGGTTGTTTCAAGCTTGTATCAAAAGGTATGTGATTTGTATGAAGGTAAAAAGTGGGTGCACGCTATGTATATGGTATTTACAGTTACTCTATTATCTAGGCTGCCAAGCTGTCATAGACTATGCGTAGCGTTTGAAATTGTGTCAATATATAAACTGAATAAAAATGGAACACTGTTTGAATAACCCCGGTGTGTGACAGTATCTCCAGGTTACTCCATTATCGCCATTTCAATGTCGCAAAGCTCGTCTAAATCTTGTAGGTCTTTTGTCCTTAGACTGGGTTGATTAAGCCATGCCGAGAGCAACACCAATCCTTCGTCATTGTTCTTACAGTTGCGCAGGCCCTCACTTGACACCAACGACATCTTTGTTTTGTATTCTGATTGGTACATGATCAACACGTCGCTTGCACGTTCAACTGATATGAAGGTTAGCGGTGGATGCGGTTTGCTGATTTTAAATCGCTTTCAACCATCTTACCAAAATTTAACATTGGGCATGTTGCATACAGTGGAGAGTGGTCAGCAAATTGCTTTCCCTGTAAGTCCACCAAGCGCTTATATGTATCTTTTAGCTGATTGACAAGGTTTTCCATTTTGACAAGTTGTGCATGCTAGGAGAGAGTCTGTTATTATTGAACAAACCATACACCCTATTTGATGCGACTATTACCATCTTGGCCGTTATTTTGGACAATGATTCATTAATGTCCATGATCGTAGTCTCCATTTTCCGCTCATAGCTCACTCGGATATCCTTTATAGCATGAGTCAATGCCGGGTGCCAGTACGAGGTATCTTCCGCGTACCTAGACAATGTACGTTAGATCCACAATATCGGCAAGGGGATGTTGAAGACAAGTGTTTGAAACAACTTACTGTTGCTGGATCTTTGCATTGACTAAAGCATTAGCCAATGTGAATGCATCTGAGTTGAGTTCGTCCCATGTGTTGCGAGCACGGCCAATGTCAAAGAAAATGGCCTGCACGCGTCGTCGAATGGTCCCTAATTGCGACATGGCTGGCTACTTAGCTACAGGCCCGCCTCGCATTTTTTCATTTTAGGCTTGGACGTGACCGTACTTCCTGCCAAAGGCCCCGACTGCTTGAATCCAACCAATACTTGATGCTCCACATGGACAATAAGGAAGGTCAGTACCATACACATCGCTCTAGCTGATTCGAAACCGTCGCGAAATCTGTACTAATGATTCCTTCTTCGTCGTTTAGCGGACAAGGTATAACTCTACGATTCCTTTTCCAGGAACAACCACAGATTACAACTGCAAATGAGATACTGACAGCTGTTTTTAAGGCACACTTGGAAAAAGCCATAGACGATCTCACACAAGGTATGTAAGAAGACTCTGTTCTCACATAAGTAGTCGATGAACAACCTCCCTTTTCTAAACCTCAGGCTGTAGATCTACCAGGGAAGGACGACGCGAGTGTAGCGAAAATTCTTATTCAGCGAGCAGAGATATACTCCAGGCTGGGACGTCGAGATGACGCCACAGCTGATATTAGATCTGCTGTTCAAAGAGGTGGAACGAACAGAGATATTGTCAAAGCTGCTGAATCGCTCATTCAAAAAATGTATGTCGAAATCCAAGATACACAGGCGAAGCAAAAATCCAACCAAGTCACGCCAGAAGATAGTCCTAAACTTCGACGATACAAGGATATCATCAGATCAGTGTCAGATGCCGACAATGAGACCAGCAATATAAAGAAACTTATAGTGTCGAAAGATTTTGTCGATATATTGCAGTCTTGTGGAGATCCAGCCGAAACCAGCGACGTCAAAACAGCCGCCATCATCGTCATCACAAGTACTTTGAATAGCAGGTCAATGTCAGAAAAGCAAGAAAACGGATCACCCCTTCTTACGAAGGTGACCAGTATAGCGGGCTTGTGCTTTAAGCAATGCTTTGATTCCGGAAAAGCGGCAGACAAGGTCAATGCGTTCTCGACCTTGACAGTATTGTTTCAGGCAAACCTCTCTGTCGGTGCCGAGATCCTCAATCAGCAAGGCTTGCTGGAGGACATCATGGACACCATTGATTTTGAGAAGATTGAAGTACAAGTCGCTTTCGCAAATACCCTGGCACAAGCATGCTCTGATTCGCATTGTCGCAAAAATATATCAAAAAACTGCAGCAGCTGGCTTGCCACAAAAGCATCGGCGAAATCTGAAAAAGACTCCAAACTACACATTTCGGCAAGTGTTGCCTTGACTAAACTAAGTAATGCAAACGACAAAGGAACAGACAGTACTGGTCTGGATAGCAGTGCCACCAACAACGAAGTAGATCATCTTGCTAGTGCAATGAAGGAACACAATATCAGCAGAGAACAGCTTTCTGAAACGTTTAAAGACGCTATCAAGGACAGCTCAACCGATAGCTCACAACTATTGGTTGCAGTTGAAGGTCTGGCTTACAACAGTATGGAAGCATCTGTCAAGGAGGCGCTTGTCAACGATGTAGAATTTTTGTCCCGTCTCTTCAAACTTGCTCAAACAAAGGATGGTCTCAGTGCCATGTTGTTTGGTATTGGAACGATATTGGCTAATGTGACAGGGTATTTGCCAGTGCTGAGCGAGCAGCAAAAGCAAATGAAGAAGCTCAGAGACCTCGCCAATGCCAAAGGAGCTGGAAAAGGTGGAAAGAAGCCGAAGGAAGATGAGGAAGATCCACGAGACCAGGATGAAGCTGTCAATGCGCGCATCGCCATCGTGGTCAAACATGGTGTGGTCCCAGCTCTCATAGAACTCAGCCGAAACAAAAGCAGCAATGTACAAGCCGTTACCTGTCAGACCTTTCTCAACATCATCACCCCGAACAACCTTCGTGGCACGATTGTTCAGCAAGGTGGAGCGAAATGTCTTTTGCAACTGGTGGGTGCTCAGCAAACTGAGAAGCTAGATTACATTCAAGTGGCGTCGCAAGCCCTTGCGAAGATTGCCATCACTATGGATCCGCGCATTGCTTTCCCGGGAGCAGCTGCTCACAACCTTGTCAAGCCTCTATTAAAACTCTGTCAAGATGAGAAACCACTTCGTAACTTTGAAGGACTCATGGGTCTAACGAATTTGGCATCCATGGACGAAAATATCAGAGCTCGGATTTACATGGAACAAGGGCTCCCCATCATCGAAGGCCTACAGTTTTCCGAAAATGTGATGATTCGAAGGGCAGCGACCGAGCTTTTATGCAATATGATGTTTGCTGCCCCCGTGTTTGAATCGTACAGTGACCCAAGCCAACCTGGTGCTCAAGCGAAGATCAAGCTGTTGCTTGCGCTATCTGACGTTGAGGACTTTGAAACTAGACGAGCGGCTTCCGGCGCACTGGCCATACTGGCCAACAGTCCTGGAGCATGCACGATGATGATCAAGGAAAATGGGTACCAGAGAGTTTCGCAGCTCTTGGAAAAAGACGAGAATGTAGAGGTTCAGCATAGAGGAGTGGAAATTGTCCGATGTCTTTTGGAGCATGGAACCAAGGAAGCAGCCACCTCGATGGCACAACACGGCGTGCATTTAAAACTAGTAGATATTGCAAAAAATTGCAAAGTGCAGCCTGTTCGAGGTGCAGCCATGGAGGTTTTGAAGCAGTTTAGTCAAAATGGAGTGACCGATTTTAATGGATAGATAGAATGAACAATGACATTTTATGATAAAAGTTGCAAGTAAAATACAAGTACATTGGGATGAACGATTTTTTAAGAATGAGAGTGTGGGTTTGGTTGGCTTCTATTTGAATGGAGCTTTCAGTGGGTCGATGACACGACCCAGCTTGGTCATGACTCTAGGCTTGGTCATCTTCTGGAAACTATCAGTCGTGTTCCATTCCTTACCCAGTGGAGCACGCAATGATCGTTCGTATTGCTCTCTGTTCTGGAAGGGGAAAGGTATAGAAGTAACTTGGTATTTAGCAGCCTACGTGAAGGAGAGATAAAAACATGATTAATAAACAGGTGCAACACGGTGGGTACAGTAGAGCAGAGCAGCTTACCTTCTTGATACGTTTTTCGCTAATGATAACATTGCCCAGCTTTGCATCTCTTCGTTTGTTAGCTGCAACACCTTCACCAGGAAGTGCCTTCTTGACGACCTTATTCTTTCTATCCTTGAGTCCTTTACCACCCCATGCACCCCAGCCTGGTAATGTGAGATCTTCATCCTTTGGAGCATCTTCCTCCATTGCTTCACGTTTATCTTCCTCAAACTCTTCAACGACATTGTCATTGGCGAACGCTTGCTCGACAAGCTCACGTTGTGTGAAAGCTAATGGGTTCTTGGTGTGGACCATACCGCCGTTTTCATCAACGTCAGAGCCATCGTCGTCGTCATCTGAAGCAAAGGCAGCATCTCCGTTTTCTTTGTTGGTCTTCGCTGAGGCCGTCGTTGACTTGGTAGGCTTGTTGGCTTGCTTCGTCTTGTCCTTGGCCTGGGCAATAGTTAGGACGTTATCGAGATCGATTTCAACATCCTCCTCAGCATCTTCTTGCTTGGATTTCTGATTCTTCTTCATCTTGGAAATAAGGTGCTCTGCTTTGTCTTCAATCTTTCCTTGTGCCTTATTAGCTTTGCGGCTCTGCTTGGCTAATTTGCTGGTATCTGCTTGCAACCATGGGTTGCTAGCGGTAGCATTGTCCAGATCCGCCAATGGACTCTTGCTTGGAAGCTTGACATTGACTGGTCCGGACATTTTGGTAGCATGGGCAGCAGAGCTTGAAACCTTCTGAACCTCACCAGCTTCGTTCAAGGTGATGTTAACACTTGACGGGTCAGTCACTTCCTTCTGGTCTTGTTTGCCAATCTGGTAGGAAAATGATAGAAAACAAACATTTAATATTCACGTCGTTGGCGGCCTGCCCTCTCGAAACCGTCAGGATACCCTACCTTGCCAACACCAAACATCATACGTCCAGGGTTATTAGCAACTTGAGCATAGTTGTCTTGCTTGGCTTCCACTTCGTCACCAGAGTCATCGCCATCAAGGTACAGATCGTTATGCGTCGACTGCAACAATGCTTCTGTTTCCTTCTTTTCCCGCTTGGCAGCATCTTTCATAAACTTCATGGCAAAAATACCGGTTCCAACAGGTTCTTCTTCGTCTAGTTCTTCTCTAATCTGGTTTAGTTGCTCTTCGGCTGTGATGGGGCTATCTTCGTCGTTGTCAGAGTCATTGAACTCTTCATCCGAATCCATTCCCTGCACTTTACGTCGCAGCTGTTCGCCACGACGAATTTGGTCGTTAATGGCATCACGAGTACCAGCGTCCAAGTTTCCTCTCTTGATTTGCTGCTGGGCCCACTTTCCAGTGTTCTTGTGGCGGAGAGACATACGCTCCAAAGCTCTGTCGGTTTCAGCTTGAAGTTGCTCTTCTCTTGCAGCTTCGGGATCATCCTCTGCTATTTGGGCTTGGATCTTGGCTAATTCCTTAAGCTTCTCTTTACGAGCCACCTTTCTGTAGGCTTTACTCTTGATCTTCTTAATTCTCTTGGCCTTCAATTCATGTCGGAACATCAACTCTCGCATCATGCGAAGCTCGTTTCGGCGAGCTTGGACTTCCTCAACAGACAATTTGTTCAACTCCAGAGCCTCAAATTCTTCTTCTTCCTTATCCTTCATGCCAGCAGCAGCAAGTGCCTCTTCGATCTGCTTTTCCATGGAAGTCTCGGCTTGGAAGGTTGAGGTGAGAGAAGCATTGCTATTGGGAGCAGCGGCTTTTTCCACCATAGGAAACGAGAGGTGATCAGCCTGATAAAGAGATGCACAGTTAATACCTTTTGCGAAGAACGTATCCAGAATACACACAAACTATACATTACCTCACGGTTCTGTTTAACAAGAGGTTGCCATTTAGCAACTTCATCCTTGGCTTCCTTGTATGCTGCTTGGCGATTGAGTCTATCTTGAATACGCTTGGGTAAAGGAGCGGACAAGGTATCCTTGATTTTGCTTTTTCCAGAGCCTTCTAAGGCTTCAAGATTCTTCTTGAGCCCACCAAAGCCAGTATCGTCATCCAAAGTTCCCATCAGATCAGCAAGGTCCAACTTCTTCTTCGCTCCACTAACACTGGCGGAATGGGCCGGCATGCTGAATTCGGATTCATCGTAGGCTTCTGTTCTCTCTGCCAATTTCTTTGATCGCTTAGATCTACCATCTTCGCCAGCATTTTTGCGCTTCTTGGTAGGAAGTGATGAGACAAAAGACAGTATGTCGCCTGATTCTTCTTCATCTTGATCCTCATCGTCCGAAAAGTCTTCCAAATCGCCAGCTTCGTCTTCACTATCCGAACCAGGAAGCAAAGTTTCGAATGCAGAATTCTTGGTTGTCTTTTCATCATTGTCGCCACCAAGCATCTCGGACAAATCCATGAATTCTTCTCCGTCTTCTTCTTCTTCTTCATCATCATCGTTGTCTTCGCTTTCGGCAGCATCTTCTTCGTCTAACTCATCGTCATCGTCAGCCAAAAGAGCCGACTTGCTACCTCGACTTTTAGAGCTCTGATAGAATAGTCAAAAGATTAGACTGCGTACAAAGGAAACGATGGATGTAACAGAGATAGTTCAATTACCTTGTCGTTGGAACCAGCGAACTTGAAATTCTCAAAGCGCTCCTCGTCTGATTCATTGAAAGCATCGTCACTGTCGATATCTTCGTCATCTTCGTCGTCAATGTTGTCAACATTGTACTCGTAATTGTCGACTTCGTCAAAGGTGTGACCACGACGGGCTAGATCTTGCTCATCGTCTTCGGCTTCGAATACATTTTCGAGCGTTGGTCTTGGAACTGTAGGTTGCTTTCCCTTTTTACTAGGTTGCTTGCTCTTTCCTCTCTTCGGTGCTGCCATTTGAGCAAGAACGGTTTGGCTTCTATATAGCTTGCTAGCGTCTATTGGCCATCGCTACAGGATTTTTTTTTTCGACTTGGAAAAAATGTGACTGCTAATGTCACGTGCTTCTGGCCCTGAATGCTCGTAGGACTTTCAGAAAAAGAACGGTATTTTCACGACATTTTACTCTATGGCGACTCTTTAAGTTTGTTATATTGTTTCAGCAAAGAAAGTTTGACGGTGCTTTGGAGAGAATAAAACGGACAAGCTTAAATGCTATGCCAAATTCTCAGTTCTGTGTATACTTGTGAAGGTGTCAGGCACGGTCATGAGCTTTGTCCGCTTCTGAGTGATAGCGGTTTTTCTTGCGAAAACATACAAATATGCTTCTTAGATTTTCCACCGTATTTTCTTTAAATAAGTGATATTTACAAAATATCGGAACATACTTAACCAGAGCGTTCGTTTGGCATATTGGCCGCCGTCCGTCAACCGCCTGATAACGATTTCCGCCCGAAGTGGTGATTGTCCGAGATATGAGTCAATCACCTGGACAGACTTTTCTATTTTATACATACACGCAAGATAGTGCTACTGAGTGAAGACACTTATATCAGAACAGGGATGTACGCCGTGTGGAAACAATAGATCGACACCGCCGGGATAGTGGTAACTTGACATCAAAAGTCAGTGGGATGCCCATCAGTCACCTCCGTTCATTTAACACTACAGTCCACTATAATTGCTGCCAACACTGAGAAATTTTTTACAACCAAAGCAAACCAAATTCCATTCAGGACAATGTTCAAGGATTTCGCTTGTTCTCGAAGAAAGCTATGGAGGCTTGACTCAAACCGTCAGTCGTCAAAACAGATACCCCACAAAGGTTCCAATGACAACTCACAGTACCAAGTAAACTGAGCCTCTCGCCAACTAACTGCGCAGAGAAACTTATCAACAAACATTTGCCTCTACCATAGCTGGCGAAACAGGATTTCATCGTGTGTGGCTCACTCCGCTGTTGGTTACAAGTGACTAGCACTTTGCCTCTCATCATTATGAGGTAGGTTTCAGAAAAATTAAGTGTGTGAGCAAAACAAACAAGTTAAAGATATTCTCGCATACATTTCCTCAAGTTCCTGTTGCCTGGTTCGTTTATTTCGAGTTGTTCGATCTCCACGCCCCAACATGTTGATACATGGATGTGCATTGAGAAGGAAAACGGGCTTGAAAGACAATTGGTTCTCATCTACGGTCCGTCCGTTGAGACCTCACAACTAGCGCCACCATCTGAGATTTGCTTCTGGTATCGCTGATCTTTTCCGTGGACGCTATGCATTGTATATTCATGTGTTAATGTCATTATTAAATGCTGCATATTATTACTACCCACTGAATGTAAAGAGGACATTGTTGTATTTGTTGCAAAGGGTCATGAATGGGCGGTGGTGCAGGAACCGGTTCATGGAACGATGTTTAAGCGGTAGCACCATCGCGAGTTGAGTACCGTCTAGAGCAGAGCTGCCACCCAAGGAACGCATTCTTGCCATATAAGTTGAATTTTCTTCGCTCGGCTTCGGGTTGAACTGCATAAGCGAAAATCATTGGATCCGAACACAGCCCATCCACTACGACGTGTGTGGTATTTTTTTTTTTGCCTCTTTCCCCTGGTTCTACACGAAGCCAAGCATATTAAATTACCAGAATCAGTGAAAATAACAGTCAAAGGGGTGAATGGCTCGATATGTGCATTTCATTGGATGAGTATCCATCGCACATGATCTCACTGTTTGGACTTTCTAACTTTCTTTCTGCCTAGATGTGTTTGCAAGAAGTTCCTATTTCGACGAGTAGGTTTCGTTGACTTGTTACAACGACTTTTGCGACCTTTCGGCTGGCGTTTCGTTGTGCTACCCGGTATCGTCTTTTGCCTGAATATGGCAAGGTGACTTCAGCAGCAGAAATGAGTATCGGCCGCCACCATACATCTTCAGTGGCTATGAATAGAGCTCAGCTACCGGATCTAGAGGTCCCACTTTTGCTGATCATCCTTTAACACGCGTGGCGATTAGTTGCTTTAGAGTAATAACGCTGGTAAGGAGTATGGCTGAAAGATAATCCAGCTCGATGGGGGGTCACGTTCTGCTATCGAAAGGCATGATGATCTGAATTGGGGGGTAGCCAAGCTATTGTCCTTGGGGAGTGAGATAGGCGGCGATGGTTTGAATGCTGACTAGAAAGTGTGTCAGGTCCCAGTCCCTTAGTGTGAACGTGCTCTCTTTGCTGAGCTGTCCTGGTTATCAGCTCTGTCCGCTAGCAAAAAAAAAAAAAACGCCTCCAACGGTCACGCTTGTTGGTTTTTTCTTTGCCTCGTTCATAGACAGAAGCCTCCTACTGTCAACATTGAGTTCCGGATCAAAGACCTTGGCGGTTGATTACTTGAAGACAAGTACATTGAAAAAAAAAACAGAACAATTTGACAAGATGATTCATCGCGCTGTAGTTCATGGAATGACGTGGGTTGTACAGCCGATGACACTGGAACAAGACGTTTAAAACAAAGAAGGTGCTGGCATCAAAAATTTGCATACGGTACCTAATGTTTCATATATTTTCAACATCCCTTTCAACCGGGATAGATTGATTGATTTTCAAAAGTGTCCTCACCACGCGAAGGTTCACCGGCTTGAACGTGCGTAACCTACCGTTCTTGTCAAGCTATGGATACGATGAGTTGGCAGGGGTGGAGTCGGTTATCTCGCTTCTGATGCCACCAGCGTCCGAAAATACTGAGGTTAAAAATATACACAAGAATAACATACAACAGTCCGAATTAGGTAGACCCAAAAAAAACTTTTGGCTTTGCGCTGGGCCACAAACGGGAAAACAAAAACAAATCGTGCACATATTAAAAGGCAAACCTCTCCCCACTTCAACCTGAATCAGAACGGTTTCCCCTTCCCTATCACTTTTTCTCTACTTCATCCACCATGGGATTGAAACGCACTGGGGTTATTCAAATCATGACGTTGGTCATCGTCTGGATTGTCTTTATGACCAGATGGATAGCAAAATCATATACAACTACCAGTTAGTAGTCATTTTTTTTTTCATTTCATTTTATTTCAATGGCCTTGTCGTGTTCTGAGGTGTACTAACCAACCTAAATTCGTCTCATTATCAGCCTTATCGTTTGACCGAATCTGCTCTCCACCCAGCCGATGCTCTCTAAAGTCGTTCCTAAACCCCGTCCAGGAACCCCTCCAGCTTATACGTCGGCCTGCGAATCATAAATACCCATACACCATTGTGACCGCTGCCAGTGGAAATCATTTCTGTTCATTGGAGAACTTTCTCTACAATTTGCACGACTTACGACAAGAAATCCCAGAGGAAGAATTTCCTCGAATCGTGGTATACAACATTGGCTTCAACCGCACTCACCTTCCCATTCTTGACCAACTGCAAGACCAGGGAGTCATTGACGAGAACGTTATCTTCGATTTCGATATATACCCTTCCTTCTGGGACGTCAATGTCCGAGCTGGCGAATACGGCTGGAAGGCCGGCATTGTCGAAGAGGTCAGACAAAAATATGGCGGCGTGATCCTTTGGCTTGACTCGGGTGATGAAGCCTCCGCGGACTTTTTAAGAACCATCCCACACTACATCCGTCGCCATGGATTCTGGTCTCCCCGGTCATCTTCTAACATGGGTACCTGGACGCATCAAGGTCTGTTTGATTACTACAATGCGAAGAAATCCGATTATGAGGAGTACATCAACTGCAATGGCGCCATCGTTGGCTTTGACGCAAACAACGCTACCGTCGTCAATGATATCATGACCCCTTGGTATCAATGCGCATTAGATAAGGACTGCATTGCCCCTCGTGGTTCATCGAGGCATAATCATAGACAAGACCAAGCAGCCCTGACATTCCTTGTTTATCGCAGTGGTCACCAATGTTTTGGCCCTCCACCTGTGTGGGGAGTGACAACTCATAAGGACGGCGACTGCCAAATAAACCTGCAAGAAAGACGATTGGCTAACAAATTGTTTTCTCTTTCTTCTCTTGGTAAGTAAACAGCCAGTGCTCTGGGGTTCATCCTTCCACTTCTTTTACTAATAAGCACTTCCGTATTAGATATGCCAAAATGGGAGAAAGCAGATAGCAATGAACTGGCTCAGCATCCAGAATGGAGATACCACAGTGACGAAATGTACCTTGAACACATTGCTACCCACCCTTTAGCCTAGCCAGCCGGCCTGACCTGTAATACCTGCCTGCCTCGCATTTTTTAATCTGGTTTCTCTCTCACAATGTATAATTTTGCTTTGTTTTTTCTATCCCAATCTGTAATTACTGTAAACATTCCTCTCCTTCCAAACATTCTGTACAAAACCTCAACTGCCATGCCCATTCCGCTTCATTATCGCAACCACCTGATACACCAATCTGTCACCGTTACAGTATTTTCTGTTCATTCTTTTTCTTTCTAATTCTGATCATTGTTGTTTATCGATTTGATTTTTTTTTTTTTTAATAATTTTTTCTTTTGGAATACACGAAATGCTTGTATGATATTTACATGGCCAAAAGGCATTTAAAATGGTTTCGCGCACTTTCTATATTCTATGACTTTGGTCTTCGGGCACTGCATTTCTTGCCACGACACAGGAATCATCGTTTCACCCGCGACACTTTTGGCAAAGATGACGCCGAGTTCATTCTGAGCGGTCGAGAGGTAGTAAGAGCGAGCGTCACCGAGGGAAATGACCTGGGCTCGAACGATATCACCTGGTCGGAAAGAATTGTAAATCTTGACTTTGTCTCGTTCCGTAGCCCGAACGTCTTGGACCCTGAAGAAAGACAAGATAGCATGTTAATCGCCGAATTCTTGGAACTCGTTCAAGGTGGATGGAAATAGACAAAAAAAAAAGGGTAAAAATAAACTCACCGAATGACGCCTTGGAAATCTTCTCTGCACGGCGTGCTGTCGACGACGTTGATGCTGACGCTGGCAAATCGAGGGTTCACCTTGGTTATTTTGCCTGTGATCTATGGGAACCGACCCCCAAGTTAGACCCTTGTTATGCGTTGGTTTTGTTTCATGCCACTTACCATGCTGCCGACCGAAGGCACAGCCGATTGCTCCTTTTCTCTGACAATGGTGATGGTCTCGAGCTGATGCGTCACCTGGTTAGTGATGAATGTTGACTTTTGCCTTCAGCATGGACAGTCACTTACATGGCTGGTAGCGTCCTTGAGCACTTTCTTCACGCCAACCACACTGGCGTACAAAAGTCCATCTCGTTCGTAGGTACCTGATCCTGCTGTGAAATCTTGCGCATAGCCTAACCGTTGGCCTGGTGTTACTATCGTCGATGCCATGCCGTACAATGGGTTGAAAAGAAAAGGCAAAAAAAAAAAAAAAATGTCGAGTCCAAACGGCAATCAAAGTCCGACGTCATCTAGCTGGGCCGCCAACAAGCCCTTCATTCATTCATTGGTAATGTCTGGTTGAAGCAGCAGCCTCAGCTTAGTTCAATTCTTCTACAGCTTCATGCCATGTTGATAATAAAATTATATATTCTTAACGCCCCAAAAAAAAAAAGTCAAGTGTACCAAAACAGCACCAAAAATTAGTTGGAATCTCCAGCATCAACAAAACATAAAAAGGCATAAAAAGTTGCGTGTTGGTACAGGGGAATAAAAGGAGGCTAAAAGTACAAGTGGAGGTAGTTAACAAACACGTGGGATTTCTCAGTCGCAATAGACTCTAGCTTTCTCCAGGAAACGTCTCTGTCCTGTGCGATCAATAAACGGTGGGTAGATACAGAACCGCACTGTGCCCGAGTCCTTGCCTTCTTCTTCTTCCATGATGGAGGGATCGAACGGTTGTTCGCCCACCATGATTTGGCCCGTGGTGATATCGACCTCCTGGCCTTTCATGGCCAAAGACAGGGCAAACGCTTGTTCAACAATTCGGCGGAACCTTGCCACAAATCTCTTTTGAGCATCGGCCTCCTCCTTGTCGAAATTAACAATGAACGGAAAGGCTATAGCCAGACGTCGACATAAAAACCGCAACACTCTTTCCTTCTCCTGCTTAATCACAGCATCTGTATCGTCTCCCTTTTGTCGTGAAGCCACCACCCGAGCCATCTCTTGACGCAGTCGTATGGAGAATGGCTCATCTTGTTGTTCCACCCAATTGAACAAGTCAGAGTACGCTTGGTCAATGGGTAACCCGGGGTATGTGACGAGAGAGAAAACACATTCTACAAGTTGGTCCATGATGTATTTCTCGGTGAGCATGGCGATATAACGTCGCTTCAATGGCGTGCCGAGTTTCGAGATACTGCTTTCCATGTTGACCCAGAATGTATCTCGCAGCGCTTTGGTGGCAGTTTTGCGATCCGCTTTGGCCACCAGGTCTTCCACTACATCGTGAATGACCGCCTTGAGCGAATGAATTCTATCATAAAGGGTGGCAAGCGTATCGGGAGTAGCTCGAACGGATTGTAAATATTCATCAAAGTTCTGTACTAATTTTAGGCGTTCCACCTCCCGCTTTTCGAGGGTGGTATTGAGAGCCTCCTTTTCGTTGACGAGTCGTCGATTTTCTTGGTGGTACTGGTCCAGCATCTGCTTTTTAATATTGAGTTCGCGTTGTAGTTCGGCTAACGAACGGACGGGATCCTGCATGGATCTCGTCTTCAAGTGTCGAGGCGTCGGCTCTATGGGTGGCAAAGAAGAATATGAAGCATCTAATAGGTCCTGACCACCACTAGCCGGGGTGGTAGGTCGAACAGACGATGTGGCCATAGACGAAGCATAACCTAAAAATAAATCCCAAAGGATGAATTAGTGACACATGCCCTGCCTGCCTGCCGTAACCGTCATGGTTTATAACTTACTCTCATTCGTCTTCATGGGTAGTGGCGGTTGATACTCGGAAGGTCCGCCAAATGGCTTGGCACGAGTTTGATCAAGGGGATAATAAGCATATGCGGCCTGTGCAATGGCGAGCTCTGCTTCGCTAGACCCTTGTGAAGCTCTACTGGTGGCTCTAGACCGTGTCTTTTTATCGCCGGACCGCTTAGCGTCGTCCTTCTTCTTCTTCTGAAACAAGTTGGAGAATGGCAGTTTGCTCTTATGCTTGACTACTTCTTCGTCAGACGGCGGTTCGCTATCAAGGTATTCGGGAGGTCCATAACTGCTGTCTCTACTGGCATGTAAAGGAGGGGCAGGAGGAGCATCATAGGCTGAATTTCGGTTGGAGGGTTGATTATAGTCGACTTTGGAATAATCGATAGGTTTGATGGATGGCACGTCGTCGTATCTGAGATTGCCAGCTGATTTACGAACATCACCAGACATTTGTTTGGATTGAGAGAGCATCAGCAAAGAAAGAAATGCCCCTTGGTATGATGAAGAGTCAGGGAACCGTTGGAGAGTACGCTGAGATTCAAGTTCTCAAATGGGCGGGTGGCTCCAATTTTGCTCAGCAAATGAAATTTTGGCCCTGAAGCAGTTTTAAAAAAAAGAAAGACAAAGGGGATTCACCCAACACCCTCTATTTTTCAAAGTCTCTTATGACCCGCACACTTATCGTCTGTATGCTAGTTATTGGGTAAAGCGTCGCCACCGGGTATTTGACGGCTGTACGACCGATGATGAAGGTGAACAAAGGCTACCATGGTGGAGAGACAACAAATACGGCCAATAGTCCTCCATGCAATGTCTTTTTGTTCAGCCACTGTTTACCAGCTCTAATCTCCTTAGCAATAGCGTTAGCTGACACACTGTTTCAAACAACGTAGCGGTTCGTTCTCACACTAGCTTCCTCATTGATCTGCTGCTGGCATGACGGAACGAACTATCCCAACCTATCACATTCAATTTAATGGGCCAGTTTGGCGGAATATGAATACAGCGGATTGACCAATCATGGAGTGGCCGTTTAGACGAGCCCATAGATTTCCAATTTTTTTAAATTTTATTAATGACATAGATAAAGAGCGTTTTTTGGTTTGGGCGAGTTCCCTAGCTACACAATCATAGAAATACAATTACAGTAACATACCAGCCATGGATGCTGATAAACAGGTGCACAAGGCACCGCAAAGCATGGCCGAGACGGCAAGACGGGAAATCTCACCTGTGCGCTCTGGAGCGAGTGCACCAAGGACACTGATTTGGATACCGATGGACGACAAGTTTGCGAAACCACACAGAGCGTAAGTAATGATGGTAACAGTACGATCCGTGATGGTACCCTTAAACGTAGTAGTAAGGTCACTGTAAGCGACAAACTCATTTGCCCACAACTTGGTAGCCAACAGACGTCCAGCAGGGACCAAGTCAGCATCTTCGATACCCATCAACCAAGCGACCTGTGAACAACAATAGTATCAAAATTTCGACCACCATCCAGACGCGGTAGAGTGTGACTACTTACAGGGACAAGAATATATCCAGTGATGAGTTCCAAAGTTAAATTTTGGATGGTGATAAAGTTGCCTATCCATGTCAGACCAGCATCGACGGCGGCAAGCAGAGCCAAAAGAGAAATGATATTTGCACAAATCAAACCACCGATTTTCAAACCAATGGCAGCGCCATTCCCTGCCGCATGAAGAATGTTGGCTTCATGCTCGGTTCTAGGGGGGATGGTGACTCGACCCGTGGTCAAGGACTCTTCGGTTTCAGGGTATCGGATCTTGCTGATAGCCAATGAACAAGGAATAGACATGATACAGGCTGTCAGCAAAGCGGATCCAGGGACACCCATTTGCATGTATGCATACAACACAGAACCGGAAATCGTAGCGAAACCTGAAGTCATGACTTGATGAAGTTCCGATCTAGTCATGTAGGGTATAAAAGGACGAATGAGAAGAGCCGATTCACCTTGGCCAATGAAAGGTGAGGCAACAGCGACAATGGATTCAGCTCCGGAGGTGCCCAAAATGACCATGAAGAACACAGCAGCCTTCTTGATAATCCATTGCAGCGCACCGATGTAGAACAGGATATAGACGGTAGAACAGAAGAAGATAACAGCGGGGACGACGGAGATGATGAACATTCCCATGTTAGCAATATCCTCGCTGAACACAAAAGCTAGACCATTCTTGTTAAAGCCAAGATAAGAACTAGCGAACGTCGACATCCAATTGAAGATATCGAAACCAACAGATGTCTTGAACACAAACAACGCCAACAAGAATTGCAACAGCATACCACTAGAGACGGTCAACCATGGCACAGCTCTTCGATTCTATTCAAGAGAGTCGCGAATTTAAATAAACAATGCGTAGGGCAAGTAAAAGTGAGTAGGAGTGTACTTACGTTGGAAGTCAACCAAGTAATGGCGATAAAGACAAGCATTCCAAACAAGGCAATTAGTTTACGCACTCGGGTTGACCCGCTGGCTGGATTGTCGGGCAGGCAGAAAATGGTAATGACAATGACGGCAAAGGTGAAAAAGCAATAGGCAAGCTTTCTCCATTTCAGTGGCATTTTCATGACGGGGCGAGACACCACCGACCAAAAGCGGTTCCATGGTTTGGTGACGACGGTGGTGGGAATGAAGCAGAACAAAAAGTATAAGGTTGTCCAGGCGTAAATCAGACCAAGAATAAGGTTTTCTTGACTATAACCTTTTGGCACTTGCAGCACAAGGGCAGCAATCAAGAAGCCAGTGAAGATGAGCCAAGTGGCAAGACTATTCGCGGGTTGTTACATTAATTCACGTCCCAACCATCATACCAGAGGGACTGTTTAATACATACCGAATCCAGTTACGGTAGCGTTCGAAAAAGTTGTCAAACGTCAATTTGCCATCAAACGCTTGCGCTTCCTCTTCTGTAGCTGCACCGGCGGGTATAGGGGATTCGCTCTTTTCCAAGCGTTCATCAAAGCCACCTTCTTTTTTGTCCTCGTTGTAGACAGGCAGAATATTGTCGTCGTCTATTTGAACTTCGTGGTGAGGGCTGCCAGGCGCGGAAGGCGTGCCCATTGTTTGAAGATGATCTTCACCAGGAGTGAGATGGCTGTCCATTGTTGAAATGGGTCGAGGAGGTCACCAAGAAGAGGGGAAGAGGGACGATTCATGGGCCAATGATTTTATTTTATATACCACTAATTTTTTTTTTTATTTTTTTTTCAATGGAACAAATCCAATTGACTGACATTGAAATTTAGGCAAGTTGTTAACTAGAACCGCCCTCCTTCCGTTTATAGCACAATCATGAGCTCACGTGCGTGAGAACACCCCAGGGTAACTCATACAACTAGCTTTCCTTTTGCAGCGGTAATCTCCATTCGCGTAAGCAGCGCCGTCGAACTTGACTCTGATCTGGTTCCATGGCTCCGTTGTGACTACCAGAAAAATAACGTTAGAGTGCCTTCCAAACAACACCATCAAAACAAATACCGCACGTACGGGTGTTGTACAAACTCTTCCACTCGTTCCAACGCTTCTTTTTGTTTGATAGCATATCTAACCAATTCCCAATGTTAGAATTCGTTAAACGCTTATCTGTTTGCAGCCCGCCGCTATCTTACTTCATGTTACGCATTTTCAAGTATTCCAAGAAGGATTCGTCCCGCTCGAGTATGCCATGCTCTACCACGCCGCATACCCTCTTTTGTGTCGTCGGTTCATCTTTGATAGCCTGGTTGACTTTCATTAGATAGTCGATGATGGCTTGGGGACGGCTGAATCGTAGTTTGTCACAAATGATGTATCTATAATGTCATGCATTGGTAAGACCCTCGGCTACATGCATTTGCCTGACCTTCGTAGTTTACCTCTCAGAATTCGCAGGCCGGCTAGTCAACGGCTTTGTGATACAAATACTCTCAAAGCATTGGTATAAAATCCATACTAATCCGGCGGTGGATTCTTGGGTGATATCAAAGAACTTGCATACGAATTTACCACCTATTTCGGGTCAGTCAATCTCGGGTTGAAAAGCATCCTAAAATGTCGTCTTTTTACCTTTTTGGAGGCTCGTAAGCATGGTGGCGATTTGGCATACCAACAGCTGTCGTGCTATCAGCTCCTGCTTATCTTGCTTGCCTTCAAAGCTGATACCCTAGAAGAACGTCAGGAAAACGAAGGCTACACCGATGATTCTCATTGGGGTACTTACTCCATCCGCCACCACCAAGTCAACGCCAGAAGGACACTCTTGCCGTACTTCGGCGGCAAACGCTGCAATGTTTTCGGGGTTGCAAATGTCTCCTGTTTGCAGAATGTTCAATAACACAACATCTGACCTCAGCCTTGTTAGGTGTCACTAACCAGTATGATCTTGACCGTCAATGATGGTAAAGCTTTCTTGCACATTGGCATCAGAATGGAACTTATCCACTCTCCACTCTTTGTCAGCTTCACCTTTCAACGTCATTCCATAGCCATGAATACGTTGGCCGCTAGTATGTGCGCGCCAGAGCAAGTACTCTGAAAAATTTGAGAACCCAAAAAAAAAAAATTTTTGGTTTTACCACGCTTTAGCATTGGGCTCCGATACCAAATTGTATCCGGAAAGAAATTACCTGAGAATCCACCTGGCCCGCCGCAAAGGTCTGCAAATCGAAAAATCTAAACAGCCCACCCAGTAAAACCAACATCACCCTATGTTTAGCATCATAGAACCCGTACTTCGTCTTACAATCATCTCCCTTACCTGAGATGGATCTGTTACCGACATCAAGTTAAAGGTCACGTCTAACACAGCCAGCTTGGTAGCCGCTCGGTTCATGAAAATAGCACTGTCAATGTGGTCGAATGGGTTGGTTCGGCTTCGGGCGAGGGTAAACACTTCATGTTGAGTCCCACTGAGTCGGTTCTAAGGGGAAAAGGTGAAAAGGTGATGGAGAAAGGAGTGCATATAACGCAGCTTACCTTAACTGCATTGACCTGCTGAACAAGGTCCGCGGAAGATACAAAGTCATAATCCGTGAGTTCATCCATACCGCCAAACTTAATTTGCAGGCATTGAACTATCTCATCCTCTGTACTGAGTTTGGCGGTTGCATCGTCTTCTCCGCATACGAGGAAATTGGTGTTCATTTCGAAATCAACCTCAATGGCTTTGGACGGCGGTGGTAGCCCTTGAGACGAGAGCTCAGGGTGCTTAGACGATGCAGCATAGTCTTGAGACGTTCTTGAATCTGGATGCCGGGGGTAGTCGTCTCGTCTATGTGAGTCTTCACGTGGCCTTTGCTCAGATCGGCGGGAATCATGTCGGTCGGATGGATAGCCGTGTCGCTCATACGGGTCTTCGCGAGGTCTATGGTGTTGCTCAGAGCGATGATATGGGTCGTCACGGCGGTCTGACGAGTGTCTCTCATCTCGATGGTATGGGTCTTCGCGAGATCGATAGTGCTGGTCAGGTCGATGATACGGGTCATCACGACGATCTGAGCCATGGTGACGGCCGTCATGATGGTCGAATCGATGACTTCGTTCGTCTCGATGGTCTGGACGTTGATACGGGTCGCGTCTCTGATCATTTCGTCCATAGGGATCATGTTGTCTTTCATGTCTGCCATACCCTTCATTGTGTCGTTGGTAAGGGTCGTCCTGTCGTTGGTAGGGCGCATCGTTTCGCTGTCTCTTGGGATTATACGACATTAATGGATCAGGTTGCCCACGCGCTGTGCCTCGAGGCGGTCCTCGCTCGTCAAAGTGCGGAATGGTAGATAGCGATGGTGGAGGAATTCCAGAATCGACGCGCGTATCTCGGTAATCGGGATCATCGTCTAAAGAAGAGGGGCATTAGTGAGACAGCGCGCTTGTGCCAGTGACCTTCGTCCGCCTGTGAATTAGAGTGAATAGAGGCGCGATCCACTTACCTGTGAAGAGTTCTGGCATGGTTCAGTTTTTTTCTTTGGATTGGTCCCAATGACAGAAATCACTGTCACCCCGATAATTCGAGATGCCATAAACCATGCCATCGAAGTCCCGGCATGCCACGAAACTTTGCTACAATCGATTCAAAACCTCTCTGAAGCAGAATCAATACCCCTAGACGTCCTTGTCGACGTCTCGAAATTGCTTGTTGCAGAACACAGTAACGTGCTGGCAATGGACGAAGATCAAAAAGAGACTACCTCCCACATATCCTCTGTAGACCCAACTCAATATTATCTTCATGAACTCATGAAGGGGAGCTCAATATATAGAACGCCTCTGAAGCGTCCATCAAGGGTACGTTGGCCGTCATCATTTTTCTCTATTTCATTTTCCTTTGTGCACCTTTCTATGCAGTGTCTGATTCCCGCATCCTTTAGAACCCAGAACTGCAAGCTCGCTTGGACAAAATAGCTGCCGACAATCAAAACAAAGAGTACGCGCAGATGGTCAAATCAGTGGTTGGTTCAGAGAAGGACAAACTGGCATTCAAGATACCGCATGATGAAATGCAGGAAATACGTGGTCATGTCACGGCCATTATCAATGTCCTTTTTTCCATCGTTGCCTGCTTTGGTGCTTTCTACAAAATGAGCAGCGTGTTGACCTCAGACATGGGAATTGTAAGTAAACAGCGTGCATGATCATGATATGTGACGACTAGGCTAACATTCCATGCCAGCGCGTTCTTTTGTCCCTGTTTGGAGCGATCATTGTAGGCATCGCAGAAGTGACCCTTTACATGAGTTATCTCAGAGTTGCGTTCAGCACACCCGACGACAAACCAAAAAAGAAAAAGATGAAGGCGAAGACAAGATAATAGTTTCTCAATTTTAAAAAAAAAAAAAAAAACCAAAGCATTAGGTATAAGCGCATGTAGATAGAAAATGAACAAAATACAAAGCAGGCAAAATAAAAGAGAGAGAGAAGGTGGACGCAAATGGCAGTTGGCCTATGCTTTGACTTCTATCTCTACACTCTCGTCTGTATCTATATCGGTTGAGGTGCTCAGCGATGTGTTTGTACTGGCCACGGTACTGTTCGTGTCTTGCTTGGTTGGCTCTGGAATTGACTCGACGTCGACCAGCATTCCATTTCTGCGAGAGAAATAGTTGGTCAGCCAGCACCCGCCAAAATGCCCCCGGTCAAAATCCCTTACCTTGCTAAAAGCATCTGTAACCTCAGTTGAACAGAGTCTTGGTACAAGTCATATATCGAGCGGTCACGGTATCGGTTGTGTCGAATGTTTCGTATAAACTGGTAAAAGGCATTGGCTGTGACAATACGGTCCCGACAGTGACGGTCAATGCATGCCCAGTCGTCAAAGAAAGAAATTCGGAAGCGGTGGGTGAGCGTGGCGGTACGTCCACAGGCCATACAACTTTCTGCTGTGGTTTCGGTACCACTGGTGGTAAGCATGTCCCAAATCATGCTTCGTGATGCTGAAATACGTAGTGGTTGATCAGCTGTTAATTTCTGGGTAAATTGTTCTTCACTAAAGCCATTGGGCATGACTTCGATGAAACATGAATTGGTGGCCATGGCGTCAACAATTTTCTTCGATGACATACGCGAAGAGGGGTTGAAACGCAAACATGGTTCGATGTCTTCAGCTAAGCAGTTGCGAACGAACGGAATGGTTTGAAGCTTTTTGGCGGGTGTAATAGAAACGGCGGCTAAGAAATCCTTGAACTCATTCATGACCATGTCGTCAATCTTGCTGTCCTGCTCCACGTCCTCGAACAGTTCAACCTGGACATTCTGCATCATCTTTTCTCGCAGTTCTTCCAATTGCTTTTGCTCGCCTTCCAGTTTCTGTTGAATCAACTCTAATTGAGATCGAACATGGCTACTCTGCTTTTCCAATTCCTGGCGTTCTTTCTGTTCGATGGCGACCATGCCGTTGGCTTCTTCGAGTAGATTTGTACTTAATTCCGCCAGTTCCTGTTCAATCTCGACCTTATCATTTTGAATTTTGGCCAAGTGGGCTCGCTCCTCCTCCAGTTTCTCCTTCAACTGGTCTTTGTCAATTATTAATGCCTCGGTATCTGTAATGCGGGTGGCGATGTCTTTAATCAATCGCTCTACGGTTTTTTGCTGCTTTTCTAATTTCAACTTCTGTCGGACTGTCTGGGTTGTCTCGTCTCGGACTCGCAACCGTAGCTCTCGGACTTGATTGAGCCTCTCTTGACGTTCTTGATGGTATTCCTTCAATTTCTCAAACGGTGTTCCACATAGAGAACATTGCACGCAGTCTTGTGAGGCAAAGGCGTGAATGCAAGCACAAGACAACGGTGACGTTTGAGAAAAAGGGCTAGATGGCGATGATGTAGTCGGGGAGAGGGATTGTCGGCTGGAAAAAGATGAAAGGTTGGGAGAAAGTGGGCCGTCAAGCGACAGCTGAAGCTTGGAATATAGACTGGCTATATCTTTTGAGCGATCGACAACAACAGCATCATCAGTGGTCATGGAGCCAAGGTGGTTGCTGAATTCGCAGGAAAAAAAAAAAAAAAGGGGAGGGCAGGCACTGTTTTTGTTTTCAGTCAGTTTATTCGAAATCACATTGGCCACTTTTTTGCGGCCACCCACCGCTGATTGGTCCGTGCATGTCTACATGGCTGATCCAGCTGCCAATCCTAGTACATCACGCCTCTGGTCTTGCCATCCAATAGCTTTGGCACTACATCCTCGAGGCCATCTAACGTTCCTTCCAAACAGCTGTTCCATCTCCCGCATAAACCCGTCAAAATACGTCCACTGGCGTTCTTCCTTTTGAGCTTTGGCAAGCCCGCCACCTGGCCAAACCATGGCACTATGATCAGTGTGCACCATAAAGACATTGTTGGCAACAAGGAACCGATACCCTAGAGCATTAAGCATAAGAGCGTGGGACTGCTTATCACCTCCTTGATTTCGGAATCGAGCATCGTAAAGGGGGGCGCTTTTGTGAACAATATAGTAGGGCTCCCATTGCGATTCGTAACAAACTTCATAGTAGTTGCCAGGTTTGAGAGCGTGGGATAGCCCTAACTGGCGAGTATGCGTAGGACCGTGACCAGCACGTGGGTCAGTAATAAATGCCTTGTTCTGTCGAAACAGGGAACGAATATCACTGGCCGTGTCTACACGCAAATAATCCAAGCTGGTCTCGGTCACGGCCAAACATGGCACCACCATGGCCACCAATTTTGACTTATTAAGGTGTGGTAATAATTTTGAGCGGCTATGTTGATATAAACTTCTGCCAGGTACAAAGTCGGCATCAATGACATATATGTAGTCGGTAGTAGAAGCGACGATGGCCAAGTTTCGCAGATGGTTGATAGGGTAACGGAGGCGTAAGTCTGAAGAATAGTTTGGTTTTACAATGGTGATAGTACATCTTGAGTACAAATCGCGTTTTCGTTCGTCGGTAAAGTAATTAATAAAAGTTTCGATATCTGAAGGGTGGGTGAGATAACTATTGTTGTTGAGAGTTAGTGAACCCCATCAGATTACGTTTGCGACAGACAGGGGATCTTACATGGAAATGGAGATGGGACCAGACCAAGCATCCAGTACTCTTTCAAATATTTCAAGTCTATTGACGGAGAACTGAGAAACAAGCGTAATGTCGTTCAAATTTTGATCGCTATGTTGTACGACCTCCCATGTCACTACAAGCTCTGTATCTTTTGTCGCTGGGCCTGATGTCAAAAGTTATTACCAGTCAACCACGAGCACCAACGTATTTTTTCAACTTACGATTCAAGTGATCTCGGACTTGAGTACCTGCTATATATAAGTTGGCTGAAAGAAAGTTTGTTTGAGTGGAATATCATTGGATCGCTTTGAATTGCCTAATTGAAATACGTCTTACATTCAATCGTGATCTCGATGACATTTCTGCACTTCGTATCCAAGCCAACAGAGTCATCGTTACAAGTCAGTCTTTCGTTTCCAACAGTGATCGACTCAACTTGCTCTGTCTCTTCTACTCGGAGTACAGCCTGACAACCAAATTCTACGTCTACCGAAGCGACGTCCCTGTAAACACTGTGATCGGCGAGTTGGTTCCAGTCGTAAAACCCCGGACCCCATAACGAGCAGACTCCAGACGGATTGCATATCTTCACTTGGCAGGACTGATGTGTAGGTGGTGAATAGTTGGGTTGATCATGCAGCGAGATAGGGCGTGGCTCGTGCACTTGTTTAGACCTGCCGTGCAGCATAGACCATAAAAAGAGTGTCAACACGGCGACGGCAATGTAGGTAGTGAATGACGTTGGCTTTTGTCTTGACCATGCACGCCATCTTCTACGTATCCGTGATCTTAACCTAGTATAGACATGGTTGACCATCTAAGGTTTTAGATGTCGAGGCAAAAGAATGAAGCCATTCACAACGGCTTTTTGCCCCGGTCACATTTTTGTGACAGACAAAATGGCTGGGATTCATTTCACTGGAACCCACCCACGTCTCCCATCATGTCACAAAAGCTAACCATCGGTAAGTTGAGTTAAAGCGAGCGTGTTTTGCGTGTTTAAGGATTAGTTGCTCATGGCATCGCCATCCAGAATTCGTCAAACAAGTCGAGGATACACCTGAACTTCGCCGAACCAAGAAGGGGTGAGTTTAGATGATCAAAGCATCGTGCACACTCCAAATAGACACCAACCTAGTTTTCACTTTAGTGATGTTTTGAGCATGCATTATACCGGCTACTTTGTCAAGACCAACAAAAAGTTTGATTCAAGTCGAGATCGCAAGCAACCCTTCGAATTCTTGCTTGGTGCAGGCGAGGTCATCAAGGGCTGGGATGAAGGTTTGGAAGAGTAAGCTAGAATTCTGCCCATTTATGATTTGATACGAAGCTCCCGATATTGACATGACTTCCTCCACCCTATAGTATGGCAGTAGGCGAGGAACGTAAGCTGACCATTCCCCCGGACATGGCTTACGGTGTTACTGGCGTTGGTCCAATTCCCGGTAACTCTACTTTAGTTTTTGATGTCGAGTTATTGGAAATCAAGGACAAGCGAACGCACGATCCCACTGCTCTTTTCATTCCACTCTTGCTACTTGTTGGTTTGATTGGTGGTATCTTTTATCTCAATTCTCAAAACCTCCTATTTTAACTACAGTCATTCGGATATCTACGGCGGCATGGTGTAGCTTTTTGAACGCCCATGCTGTGAAAATACAAAAAGGAAAAGGTTGACGTGGTATAGTGAGGGAAATTGAGTAGCTTTCTATACTGTTTATATAAAGTGTTCTTCAAAGTGTTCTTCGGTATGTTCTTTTGACTGGGTTCAGCTGGTAAAGGGGTTTTTGTGACTTGCTGTTACTCTGGCAATGCTGCTGCGATTTTTTATTTTTTTTTGGGGCCGAGCATACCTAGAGCTTCAGTAATTCTCCAATTAAATTAAATTCGCCAGCATGGGTAAACCAAAGATTCCAAAGTTTTCAAAAGAAAAGGAAAAGAAGCCGGCCAAAAAGCAATTCGAGCCGACGACGTTTGAAGACTTCATGGAAGGTATGTTCGAAGCATGTTGATCTCGCTTGATCCCTTGTGTGTTGACTGATTCATATGAATCACAGAGGGTGTGGAGCTAGAAGAGAAGGGTGAACGATACGGCGATGGAGATAAATCAAAACGCTTTTATGAACGAGCAAGTGAAATGTACGCCAAAGCACACGAGCTTAATAAGACGGACTCGGACTGCCTTTACAATTGGTAAGGAAACCAAGCAATACAACTGCAGAGGACTGGCCAAAATGCTAATTGTACTCTCAGGGGACGAGTGTTGTTTGTGCTGTTACAGTATCTACCAAAGCGAAGTGCTCCTGTCGACAAACTCAAACTTATCGACTTGTCCATACAAAAATTTCGACAGGCGCTGGCTATCGACAACAAAAATGCAGACGCTATGTTCAACCTTGGTCAGGCGCTGAATACTCGAGCAGAAACGGTCCAGGATGTGGATGAAATAGAAGATGGATACAGTCAAGCAGCTTTGGCAGTGCAAGAGGCTATTTCAATTTTAGAAGAAGCCTATGCCCTGCAAGAGCAAGAGCTTATGCCACAACTGGAAAATATGACAATTGAAGAACAACCGGATGAGGAAGAACATTCACATGATCATGACCATAGCCACGAAACGACTACACCAGATGCGTCCACTACCGTCACTGAAGTCATACCTACCACTGCATACACATTAATAGACACCCTTGTTGCCTCTGCTAATGCGCTTTCCACCATGGCATCGATGCTGGCCAATTATGAGAAGGCTGTCGATTTGTTTAACAGCGCTCAAGACAAGTTAAAGCAGGCCGAGAAATGGCTATCCCAGGCATCACGCGAAACCGAAAAGGATTACCAACAGGCAGTCATTCAGATCGCCCTGCAGCATGCACAAACGCTAGCCTTACTTGCCGATAGGTCAATGACGGCATCGGGCCAAGTGGACGACAAAACCTACACCTTGGCATTGGAAAAGCTTGACTTCGTCACGAGCAAAGTCGATAGCCGCCATTGTGAAGCAATGTGTGATCGAGGCGATCTCCTTAGTCAATATGCACAAGCTAAGCAGCAAACATTTATTCGGAGTGGGCGCAAGCTGGACGGCGACCCGAGCGGGAAAGAAGTTTGGCAACTTTATTCTCAAGCCAGTAAATCTTTTCAAGAAGCGCTGCAGATTGAACCAAAAAACAACAACATTCTACGAAAACTCGGAGACATTAGTTTGGTCAGAGCGCAACTTCCCATGAGTGTAGCCGATAAAAATAAGCAGCAATTGTTGAAAAACGCAGAGTTTTACTATAAGCAAGTGCTGGAGTCGGATAAGGAAGACTTGTATGGCGCGTGGCTGGGCTGGGCTATGAGCTCCTGGGCCCAAGGCGAGTGGTGTCAAACTCCGGGTAAAAAAGGTGAAGCGGAAAAGATTATCAAAATGTGGATAAAACGAGGAGGTCATGATGAAATTATTCAAGACGCTTACGAGGAATCCGATTGCTATCCCAAGGCGTTCATAGACTGGGTCATGACTGAATTCTTTGCTGATGAAGATGACAGTGAATAAAAAGACAAAAGGTTGTTTGTTGATATGTATTTGTTTCATTCGGGTATGGTTATTTTTGTCCAAAAGCCTCTGCTGACATTCCCCGGGAGACTGAAATAACAACGGCAAGCCTATAAAAGTGGCAAGGTACATTGGCCTCGCTTGCGCTTTTTTTTTTTCACCCCTTTCTTCCTGTCTACTTCGACATCATGGAAAAGACATTGTTGCGCTCGAGGTTGCCAATGACTTTCCCTACCACCGTGCCTGTACGACCCACTGGACCCAAGGTTTTCACCAAGTCCAGACTTGTCACCTTTTTAGTAGCTGGAATATGCTACTTGTTCATATCCCTTCTCATGAGCTGCAGTAGAATCAGTAACGAAAATGCACTTCCTGCGTCTGGAAGTACCATCACATCTTCAATGGAGTCTTACTGGTTATCTGATGGAGCCGCACGGGCATCAGCGTTTAAGGAACTCAGTAACCTTCGATACGATGCTATGGACATCATTCTCAAGGACGCTGACGTAGCCCTGCGCAATGATTCAGTATACTCTGTTGTTCTGAAACCACAAGTTGCTCCTAGTGGCGACGCTCACGATTACCTTAGTCTTGCAAAGTAAGTAGAGCGCCAGGGAGGTGGGCTAAGGGGAATGGCGCCTGCATGCCACCATCATACGTATTTTTCTTTTGTGTCCAAATATGGAAAATTGGGTATTTTTATACCAGCGTAGAAAGGGGCGGACCGATACAGTAAAGAGCCGTTTTACTAAGCTACATTTCTCTTCCGGTTTTTTTTTTTAGATACTTTTGGCGAAATCCAGATACGCCGGATGGTCTGCCTTACATTCGTCGAGACGGCTACGTGAATCCAGAAGTCGAAACAGTGCAGGATTACCGCTTACTGCGGCAGATGCTCCGCGAAGTCTACCGATTAGGCCTCGCTTTCCAGCTGACGGGAAATGAAACGTATGCCGTTAAAGCGAGCGATCGCTTGTACGAGTGGTTTGTCAACCCCGAAACCAAAATGAATCCACATTTCCATTGGGGGAGTCTTCGAAAAGGCAACACCCACGGCAGCCGAACTGGTATTCTCGATATGTATCCAATCTATAGGGTAAGATAGTGAACGAGCGAATCGTTGAGGGGAACACCCTAATCTCCACCACGGATGAACCGCAACTCATAACCTTTTTGTGATTTTTTTTTTCTCCTCCCGTAAACCCAGGTCATCCAAATCATGCCACATCTACAAAAGTCCCCATCCTATAGCCCACAGCTCCATGATGCCCTTGTTGAATGGTTTTCATTATACTGGGAATGGTTAAGCACTAGCTCACTTGCGTCACAGGAAAGTAAGGGAGTTAATAATCATGGTAAGCGCGTTCATCCACATCCACTGTTTAGCAACCGCTGTTCTAAAAAATTTTAATTGGATTTTTCGTTGATTTAGGCACTTACTATGATGTCCAAGTCATTCCTATCGCTCGGTTTTTGAACAAGCACGACGTCGCCAAGGAGATTGCAACGCATGCTCTGAGCGTTCGAGTCAACCGACAAATCAAAGCGAATGGTTGGCAACATCATGAAACAAGTAGACCAACATCTTGGTTTTACAGTGTGTTCAATCTACAGTAAGTTTGTGATGATGATCAGCCAAATTTTTTGACACTGTACATAAATTGCCCAAAATTGATCATTTGTATATCTTCTAGGGGCTTGTTTCTCCTCGCGCAACAATGTCAAATGGCAGGAGTGGATATGTGGCATTATGTTGGACCGGAGGGCCAGTCGATCAAGACAGCTCTAGATTACCTTATTCCCTTTGCCCTTAACCAAGGCCAGGGATGGCCATACTCCAATCTCAACGGATACCCAGTCACAAACCTCGTGCCTCTGGTTGAAATTGGATATCTCAAGTGGGGAGATGAAGCGTATCTCCACGCCATGCCTTTATTGCGTGCCATGGCAGAAAAGGAGCGTGACACAAACCATAACACTAGACCGCTGTCTGACTTCTTTTGTCAAATGAGCGAATTGCTTGGAGACAACGAGTTTGTATGCTAGAGTGCCTCTCCATTTATTATTGTATCTTTGTTTTTATTTTCTTTACGTTCATCATTGTACAAATTGTCATCATTTTTGTCACGCTCACTACGTCTCTTCTAAAGAATTGTAATATGACCTCACTTTGTCAGCCAAAATGCTGTCGAGCCGTAAATACAATGGCAAAAAAAAAGTTAGGTATGGGGTAGAATGCTATCATGGTATAGTTTGGTGGGTGGGAGGATGTTATGACGTCCATGAGTCATAGATGCTAGTTCTCGGTCTACTGGACTCGCTCATATATGGAAATAGCCGGCTATCGAAGCCAAGATCAATGCTCTCTGGTCGGGTGGTACGACGTGAGGACTGCCACTCTTCCGCTGAGAAGAGATCTTCATCCTCTGAGAGAGCCATACTGAGTCGGTGATGAGGGTACGGGCGTTCGTTGTAATCGGCGTCTCCTTCCAGATGGGACATTTCAATGAACGTATCGCTGGAGCGTGTGGTGTCAGAGGGATCCTTTTTCTCTTTGGCAATATCCGCCGCAAGCCCTGTTGCTACACCAGCTCTTGTACCCCAGCCCACTTCATGCAGTGTAAACAGCGCATAAATCTTCATGACGGCAAAGTAGTAGTTGAAGACGAGCCAAGCTGGCACCCAAATAATATCTTGCGGTCGCTTGAAGAAGTGGGGTAGGAGTTTGATGGCTCTGGTCAAGAGTAACCAAACGATGTATGAAATGGCGATATTCCATCCTGGAAGAGGTGGGTTTGTGTCACCTGCGTTACGTGCCTGTTGGGTAGAAAATACGATCACTAGAATCGGACCAACAAGGAGAGTGAATGGATTGAACAACTTGTCCACCATGGTGAATGCGACATAGGGATATCGTCGCCAAATATGTCGCTCTATAAACAGCGATCGAAAATCTGAGCGCCAGGTGTTGCGCGTCCATCGCAAAACCTGCTTCAGGAACCGCCAATTATCCTTGAAGGTGGAGCTTAGCTCGGCTTCCGGGGTAACTTGGATATGGGTATTCCATCCATGCGATACCATCCAACGGGTCAGATACTTATCATCTCCCGAGTTCAAAGGATATTTTCCCAACCATAAGTCGTTGGTAAATCCGTACTGAAAGGCCGGGTCCTTCAATATAAGTGATCTATACGCAGCCGTTCGACCTGACAAGCAACAAACTCCGCCGTCGATATGAGTAGAGGCGGCAATTTCGATATTGCGAATGGTTAATCTAAATCCGGCCAGGACTTCCCAAACAGTTTGATGGCCATTGGGATTGACGGCATGTACCGTTTGGCTGGTGCCTACTCCACCCATCTTGAGGTCTTCAAAGCAAGCAAGAATATAATCAAGCATGGTGGGTTTCCAGATTGCATCATCATCAGCAAACACAATTATCTCCGTGTTAGTGGCGTTAATCCCCTCCACCATCTGCAACCGTTTATTTGCCCTTGGTACGGTCAGGACACGAATTTTGTCTGGATCGATGTCGTCGGCTAGGGATTGTAGAGGTTTTCGCATCTTTGTTTCCGTCACAATGATGATTTCCTTTGGATTGCACGCAAGCCAGCTTCGTGCTGCGATTCGAAACTCTTCGCCGGCATCAATGGTAGGGACAATGATGGTGACGTCTGTTTTAGAATCATACGTTGGGTTGCTGGAAGGATGGACTGGTCGATAAACCGCCCATGCTAAGAGCTTGACGGCATACCATAAATAACGATAAAAGCCAATTAGCCCCAATGGCAAGAAGAAGGGCAGAAGGCCAATATCGTTTGTGAGATATAACATTCACCGAGGATAGAAAGAACGAAAAAAAAAAAAAAGGTGGACATAGTGGCATTACCGTGTTTATTTTTATAATTATTATTTTTTTTTCTAGTGTACCCATATGAAATAAAAGTCCACTCCACTGTTCAGCATTAATTTTCCCTTTTGCCATTATACAACAGGTTACTTCATCGAGTCGCAACCGGATCTAAACAAATCCGATAGTTGTACGACAAGATAGATGGCGGAAGTCGAGTTGAACAAGGCTTGCCAATGTTACAAAACAGGGTTTATCGACAGCATTCGATCCGAAAATATCAACAGACTCTCAAACATCCACAAAAACATTGCGGCCACTATCCTTTATTTAACAGTAACACTATGACGCTTTTGTGTATACCGAGTATCGGGAAATCAAAAACTTACATACCGGTTGGAATACAGCGTCATGAACAGCAGATCGATTCATATGTGGGCTCGTTATAATATGCTATGCATCGGTGAAACATCTGGAAGCACACATGCAAATTGTCGGGAAGATTCTCTTTTTTTATTGCGTCTACTATAATGTCATTGTTTTCATTATTTACAAGGTTTTTCAGGGATCGATGGGGTGATGGCTGCTAAAACTTTTCATTGTTGGGAACTGAGGCCTTCCTTTTGGAAATTTTCACTAGGCATCGATGGATTGCTTTTCCATCTTCGAAGCAAAGATAAAGTCTCCTTGTTGGGCTCTATATCCTTTGATCGCATCTCTTGATACACTTTGCCAACCATATCCCAATCTCCAACTTTAGCCCAGGCTCGTAATAAGATGGTGTAGGTGACAACATTGGGTTTGAGGTGGGTCGTTCGCTCTAGTTCTTGATGAATACGAGTGCACATGTTGGGATCAGGTACAAATGCGTGAGCCAGCATTAAAGTACCATACGTGACAATCGTGGGCTTAACATGGTGGTGAAGCATATCCTTGTACACGCTAATCACCGAGCTATAGTCATCGTGGCGAAGGAAAGCTCTCATGAAGCTAGTAAAATTGTAAGCGTTGCTTAGATCCGCCTGTTCGCTGATTTTGAGGTTGCGATTATGGCGCTTAGATGCAGGTAAAGTCTTGATGAAGTGCGTGTAATATTGGCCAGTCATCTCAGCATTGGATTCGGCCAAGATGGCATTCAATAGAACATTGTGCGTGTGCGTAGTTGGCTCCAATGGCGTAGCTTGCTCCATTGTGGTATCTTTACAAGAAGGCGAGAAGAAATCCGTATACAGTTTCCTTACCCCTGTATTGTCGTTATGCCGTCGATGCATAGCCATGATGGTGGTAGCAATAACAGAAGAGATTTTGTGATGATTCTTTTCCATCTCTTGCATCAATCTCCATGCTTCATCCACATTATCGTGCCTTGCATACCCATTGATCAAAATGGCGTATGTGTACGGATCCGGTTGAAGTTTAGCAGACCTCAAGCGAGCAAAAATTGCCTCTGTAGTATCCATATCTAGCTGTTGGGTGGCATGATACATCATGCAGTTGTAGGTGACAAGATTAGGTTGAATGCTGGAACTCATCATCTCGGCAAAATACTTTTCAGCCTGATCAACATCAGAGAGACGCATAAACCCGTCAATTAACGTCGTATATATGTTGACATCCGATTTGATTCCTCTAGATTGCATCCTCTTAAACCAGGCAACGGCCGAAGTCATGTTCCTTGACCGCCCAAAGCTTTGTACCAACATGGTATATGATTTGAGATCAGGTCCTTCTGTCAAACCTCGCTTCTGATTAACCTCCATCTCTCTTAAGAACTTGATAGCTGCATTGATTCGACCTTCATTTAGCAAAAGTTGCTTAAGTCGTCTATTGATGTTGACAGTGGTGGACACTATCGGTTTTGGTCGCTTATATCTTGTAAAGTAGACCGCTTCGGAAGCTTTTGGGACGGTATCCACCTTTCCTTTTTCAAAATATCGCTGAAACAGGACTGACTTTTTGCATTTGTTGTAAGAAGAAGCACCAAGTCGCATTTTCAACTGATGCCGTGAGTATCCATTTGGTTGAAGTTTTCGCATGGTGCCTTTGTGCTTTACTGGCGAGTCGACCTTGTCCATGTTTTCAGGTGGCCGGTCCGTTGTAACCTGTTTCTTTCCTACTTTAGTTGAGTGAAATCGTGCACCTATTGGAGCACGTAATGGATGACCAGTAAATCCAAACAATGGAACTTGAGGTATAGAGACAGGTACGCCATTAGGGGTATTTGCAAAAGGTGATTTGGGGAGGCAGTTCTTCTTCGCTGGATAGGCAATCGAGCCTCCGGGTCTTGCTACAATAGCTCTTAATACGCCAACTATGACAGAGTCAACTAAAGGTGCATGCCGCCATGGCATGTTTGAGCTGTTGCAAACAAAAAACTGTGAATGGGTATCCAAAAAAAATCATAGCTGGGTGATGTTGTCGTCATGATATTTTGTGATAAAATTATAATCCGGTGTTTTTAATTTTAATTTTTTTTCATCTCATTCAGCGAGAAGAATCATTTTGACAGGCATAATCATTTTGGTCCGGATTGTGACAGCAATAAAACATAAAGTGTACCTTATTAGCACCCTAAATGTGAACCTCTATGGCTCCGTTTATGTGTATCTTCCTACCTAGACACATATTGTGTTCCCATTTCAGGCATGCATCTTTTGTTTACTGCCTTATGATCTTAATTTCCCACCCGATAGGCGGCATGAACAGATGGGTAAATAAGCAACGGCGGTCCAGAAATCCCACCATTGAGAAGCTTCAATCAATATCAGCTAGTTCTGGTTGCCGTTGGCTCACAAGCAACACCATGATTTACACATCGGAAGCCTGGCCCTAATATGCACCAGCAAGTGGCCTGACTCGCCACCATTTAATACGGTCGCATCCAGTACCGCGGTTTCATAACATTTATAAATATCCCACAGTTTTTGGACCAACACCAATTACGTCCGAACACCAAGACAAGCGACTTCCTAACATGGTAAAATAGAAGCCTAATAAAACTGTTCCATATTTTTCATTCGTTCAAGGTTAATGTGAGAATATAAGCTATATGCTGATGCGCAAACCCACCATTGAATGTAAGCATCCTATAGGTGTTTTACATCTGCTCTCAGCAAATGCTAGAAGCTGATGAGAAAAACAGAATGAAGACCAAAACGGCTCATGAACGTCCGGTACGTTCTATGATTACTAGCAATCACAAACAATCACAACAATCCCAAGCTGAGCAAAGTGATTACGGCTGTACATTCATAAATATATTTATTATGTGCATGTTGTTACATCATAGATTGACGGTGTCATTTCCTTTCGTATTTCCTATTTACAATTAATCTCTCGATGACTCCAATCCACCTTCCTATTCCTCCAAATGGAACTGATCGCTGATGAGGATACAGTCTGGGCCCTTGGAAGTACGTCCCCAGATACGGAACCAGTATTCGTTCTGGTTGGGACCTTGGTTTTCGGGGAAGACGACCTCGACGGTCTTGGAAAGTTCAGTAGCGGGAGTTTGACCGACGTAGAGATCCTTAATGAGTCCAGAGCTGTTGAAGAGCTCGATAGCAGAGAAGTTTACGACCAGAGAATCACCAACCTGCCACTTGACGGCAACAGAGTCACCAACTTTGATAGTAGACATATTGAGAGGGTCGAGGGCAAATCCGTCACAGATAGCAAAAGGGTCTTCATCTCTAGCCACGGGAGCAGCCTGGGTAGCCACGAAGAAGGAAGCGGCCAAAGCGATGAGGTATTTGGGAATATACATTGGGGATATTGGTTGAAAGTGTTTGTTGAATTGAAGAAAAATAGCAGTGGCAACAACAGCCTTTTTATAAGCACAGACGCCTCCAGGGACAATGAAAATGTGATATGTTCGGTATGGCGGTGTTTGAAAGCACGGCAATGTCTAAGACCTACAGCCGGCTGAAATCGTTTGGCAAATCCACCAAAATCATCAGTTTGGCTTGACCAGCCCTTCATCCTTGCGCTATTCTACTCATTCCATCCCTCGTTTTCCTTTGATTTGCTCCTTCTTTGACCATTTGAAGCGGGGCATCAAAATGCGAATTGTTTCATGCGCATATTGTTCACACAGTAGAGCAGGATGGGGGCTGGATAGTGTGTGAATCGGAGAAGAGCGAAGTAGAGCTGCATTGAAGTCGGACGGCGCGGAGCTCTAATGGAAACGACTGAAACATGACGGTGATTATGGCTACATCTGACGCGCGCTAGCTAAAAGATTGGGAAGCTTTCATCATCATCTTATTTCTCATCCAATGTACCTCAGTTACAGACCTTAGCCACTTGTTTAACCCCACAGAAACCACTTTTCCTTTTATTCTTCTACCCGCACGTTCATGTCATACCAAGGCATATGAGCATCATCCTTGTATTCGTAGATTTATAGCATGGCACGTCATGTTATTTAGCACACTGTGCTGCAGTGACTTGAAAAGTTGGGCAATGGAAAATGGGCTGAACAGGGAAGTCAGTGCAACGTCACCTGAATTGTCTCCGCCAAACTTGGGATAACCATCCCCGCTCACTCCTTCTCCCAGCTGTTCCCATTCTAAATTTCCTCACTGTAAGCAACTCGGTATCCTTACCATTACTACCGATCAATTGCTGTACTGACTCTGATTTTTTTGATCAACTTATAATCAGACTTTGTGTTTGAGGCAACAAGACCATTTTCCGAACCTTCCAACAGTCACCCCAAAACAGCCCTTTTAACAAATACAGAATCGCAAATGGCTCACGGTCCCATGAGCGGCTTGAAAATAAGCGGTAAGTTCACAAAAGCTGAATTGCAGCGCTCAATCTCATGTTGTGCATGTCTTCTTTGCAACCTGCACAGCTTGCTGATAACATGCCATGACTGTGTGGGGATCCACTCAACCCTCGTTTATCCTTTTTGCCTGTGGGCGTGTCTCCTTGTCATTTCACCTCAGTATACTAAAGTTGTTTTTTTTATATTGTATAGGCGATGCTGATCCACTCAAAGTCATCAAAGTATCCGCAAAGGACGGAAGGTCGGGGGAAGATATACAGTTGCATTATTCCAACTATAAAGTGGCCGGAAATGGTTCATTTGGTGTCGTTTATCAAGCCAAACTACTTCGAACTGGAGAGGATGTTGCTATAAAGAAGGTGCTGCAGGACAAGCGGTTCAAGGTAAGATGCGTCATGACTTATTTGGCACGGTTTCTTCGTCTGGTGGTTGCGTGCGTTTTTTTGTTTTGTTTTTTTTCCTGGTTTTTCAGTTCCGCGGGGTGATATGCATTGTAGAACGCTTTTAGACACACTAAACTTATGTCTTCTCACAGAATCGAGAGCTGCAAATTATGCGTCTTGTGGTCCATCCCAACATCGTAGCGCTCAAAGCATTCTTTTACAGTCAAGGTGATGCGAAGGTAATGATGGTTTTTTTTAAAGGAGACCCCCATATTTTCCGTCCTATCAACTAACATACGCTCTTCCTCTCATCAAGCAGAAAGATGAAGTTTACCTAAATTTGGTACTTGAATATATCCCAGAAACCATTTATCGAGCATCACGTCATTATGCGAAAGCTAAGCAAGCCATGCCCATGCTCTATGTCAAACTATACACCTATCAACTGCTACGATCTTTGGCCTATATTCATTCTCTAGGGATATGCCACCGTGACATCAAACCACAGAACTTACTTCTGGACCCTGTCACTGGTATCTTGAAGCTTTGCGATTTCGGCAGGTAAGTGTCTTATGTTCGTTTGCAGCTTGGCAAATGGGGGTGTTCTAAGTCTTATCTTCCTCTAGTGCCAAAATATTAGTTGCTGGAGAGCCCAATGTGTCATATATATGCTCACGATACTATCGAGCACCTGAACTCATATTTGGAGCCACCAATTACACTATAAGCATTGATATCTGGTCAACGGGCTGTGTTATGGCCGAGCTGATGCTATCGCAACCCTTGTTTCCTGGAGAGAGTGGTATTGATCAGCTAGTTGAGATCATAAAGGTTTTAGGCACACCGTCCAAAGAGCAGCTGGTATCGATGAATCCCAACTACACCGAACATCGATTCCCGCAGATCAAACCTCATCCATTTTCCAAGGTAAGTTGGAAACAGAAAGAGGGGTGGTCCTTGTTACAGAATCTCACGCTCTTGTTGCATGGGCAGGTCTTCCGATCTCGAACTCCCCCCGAAGCCATTGATTTCATCTCACAGCTCTTGCAATACACCCCCACCAAGCGTCTTACTTCCTTAGATGCTATGACTCACCCATTCTTTGATGAACTTCGTAACCCTGAAACTCGCCTTGCTAACGGCAAAGAATTGCCCAATCTTTTTGACTTTTCTGTACATGGTAAGTAGTCCTGGTATGTAGATATAGGTAAACGCCGAACTAAACCGGTTCATGCTTCCAACTACAGAATTGTCTGCTAGACCTGATTTGATTCGAAAATTGGTTCCTCCTCATGCCGAAGCTGAGCTACTCTCAAGAGGCATTGATATCAATAACTTTACACCTTTACCTGTCAGTGAGCTAAGAGTGAAATCACTGGACTGAAGTAGCGGTCGACGTCCAGTTACTTTTTCCAAATTCCTACTGTTTCTTTTACCAGCTCTGCACATATAGTTGATTCTGTCTCTCTGCCTCCGTAACGTGCTCGCATCTCCCTTTGGTTATCAAGTGTCAAATGCTTTTTGGTGTATCTTTTTCTGTCCAACTTTCGGTCTACCTCTTTTATTTCCTATTCCTTCTTGTGTGTCTTTGCCAAACCGTTTTTTCTCATCATTTTCCCTTTTGCTTGATAGCTATTGCGTCAGGGAGTAGGGGGCGATGACACATATTGGTGTCTGTTGTGGATACAATATATAAATCTTTTTTCTTCCGCCTGCTCATTTACTTAGGATGGAAGCCCACTCCATGATGACTTGGCTTTTTTTTTATTATTATATTATTGTCTTTCAGCATATGAGAAAAAATAAATGCGATAAGAGAAATAACAACAGGTGCTAACATTTTACTTCTTGATACGGAAGACAGACCCCTTTGTGCGCTCTCCAGTACAACCTTGTTCGAATCATCTCCTGGGGTCGACGGGTGGTGCTCTGCTGAATCAAGACGAGTCGAAAATTAGATGTCCAGCTTCTAGAAATAAAATAAAAAAAAAAATGGGAAAATCTCCAGCCATTGGTCCACTCGCTCCAGATGCGATTGTCTTCTTTTCCATGCAGCGTCCAAAACATGGCTGGGAGCAATCCGTAAACGAACGTGGAAGAAGACAGAGAAAAAACTCACCTGTCGTTCGGCAGTGGCGACCTGTCGTCTGGTGGATAATCCCGACTTCCTCCATACGGGCTTCTTCGACGCAGAGGTTCTCTGTCATAAGGAGACCTTGAGCGGCCATAACCTCGTGGACTTCTCGACCGGCCTCGGCTGTAATAGTCAGGGCTAGGTGATCGCCCGTATCTCGGTGGAGTTCTGGATCGTTCCTGGCGGTAGTAGTCGGGCGGCGATCGCGGATAACCTCTTTCATATTGTACAGGTGATCTGGAGCGTCCTCGGTGATACCCATACTCTCTTCTACCGTAAGGCGGCGGTGAACGTCTGCGATAACCCGCGTATGCGGGCTCGCCACGACAATATTTAGCTAAATGGCCAGTCTGGCCACATCTAATGGCATTTCATCTTAGCTACAATGTCAAGGTGCAGGCTTCATTAAAGAGAAAGGTATATTCACCTGAAGCATCTTCCCGATCGGACATCCATACCACGTTCGTTTGCGTCTGGGCAATCTCTGGCCCAGTGTCCTGTGCCGCCACAAAGGAAACAGCCACTTCCTTCCCCGCCAGCTTTTTTCGAGTGTTCTACAATAAGACGATCACCATTCAGCGAATGTCCATTCAACTCTCTAACTGCCTCATCGGCGTCTCGGGCATCCTACAACACCAGCACAACATACGCTTAATACTATGGAATGCTGTTATCCAATTCGTCTTTCCATACTGACCTCATAATCCACAAACGCAAAGCCACCGTGCTTTATCTCTACATTTTGAACACGTCCATACTTGTCAAACTAGACAACAGTTAGGGTTAGAAAGGTTACAGGTACGAATCCGTCCATTGTGTGTCGAGCTGATCTTACTAGATCTTCGAGGTCTCGTCGTGTTGTACGAGTAGACACATGTCCTACATATACTATCGATAAGAGTGTTGGTTAGAAGGGAAGTCATAACCATAGAATGGAATGAATCCAGCTTACTTACATTTACCACTTGAAGTTGCCATCACTCTGTGAGTTTGATCGAAAAGACCATTCAAGTTGCCACTAATTTTGCCCGCCATTAGTTCCATTGTTTTCAAACTCCGTTGGGAACAATTGCGCGAGATCCGTTCAATTGCTTGCAAATTCGATTTGTAGTGCCGCCGCATGCTTTGCCTTACATCTCAGTCTCAAGTTCACTTGCGTTTTCCCGGCACTGGATAGAAAAAAAAAAGGAATATCTTCTCTGATTTCACTTGGATGGCATTGATGTGAAATCGTGACTAACGGTAAAGGTGTTAGTCAGGCTACAAACTATACTCTGACAGTATTCCGCACACGAGGTTTTCGCTCGTTCAAGTGGAATCCTTGTAAACATCAAACGCACCATTACTGTTTTATTACTCAATGCGGTATAATAGGACGCTGTGGTAGATATGATCGTGATAGTGACTCGGTTGCATAGCGTACAATGGAACATTACACTTTGATTTTATTATTATTTACAGTACGAATTTTGGCATTTTTAGAATGGGGTATATGTTGAGTGAGGTAGTAATGCTTTTGATCTCTAAGATTAAGTAGTCTACATTGATCCAAATTGATTTAAACTTGCATACCGTAGTCGAAAATACGAATTTCTCCATCTTCAGATGCACTAATGATTTTGGTGTCACTGAGGGAGACAGATGTAACACCTTTGTCGTGCTCCTTCAGGGTATGTAGTGCTTGTCCACTATCGGCATCCCAGACACGAATGGTACTATCTGAGGAGCCAGATACGAAGCGGCGCTTGTCAAAGGCAACACTCCAAACACCTTCTACATGGCCAAAAAGAGTACGGAGACATTCACCGGTTTCCATTGACCAGACTTTCAGAGTATTGTCAAGTGAGCCAGAAATGATGACTTCGGTGCTGGATTGACCATCTTCTGCCTTTTCTTGTTGTTGAATGGGCATCTGGCGCTCTTCACTAGTAGCTCTCTGTTGCTGCTGCTGATCTTGCCGACAGCTATGCAATTGCTCTTGCTCTATTTCTTCAGGTGTATTTACTTCGGGCTTTTGCTTTGGCAGCACAAATCGATGAGCAAATCCATGCATGCTGGGAATAGCAGCTTGAACTTGGCCGACATGTCCTTCAAGCACCTTTAGACATGTCCGAGTATTCAAATCCCATACCCGAATAGTGGTGTCGTCACTTGCGGAGACAACCATCGATTGCCGATGAATCTTGACTTGATTGACCCAGTCGGTGTGTCCGTGGAGCGTAAAGCATTCTCCAGTCAGGAAGTTCCAAACCTTCACATTCTTGTCGGCAGAACCGCTGACCAAGATTCTGGAATCGAAGTGTAAGCTGATAACACCGTCCGTATGGCCTTGAAGAGTTCGAATGCAGTGCCCAGTGTTGTAGTTCCAGATCTTGAGCGTGTTGTCCATAGAACCAGTGACTAGCTTTGCGTCATCAAATTGTAGTGCACGAACGCATCGTGTATGACCAGTCAGTACCTTGAGTATTTCTCCAGTCTCAAGGTTCCAAACATGAACAGTTTTGTCGTATGAACCACTGATGAGTCGATTCTTGTTTTCACAGAACTGGACGCACATAACACCGTCCTTATGACCTTTGAGTGTACGAACAGTATATTTGTTGGTTCTCCAATTTCGCTCGACAACAAGCCGTTCACTGTATACATCCTTCCATGGACGACGATGGGCGTCAGGTGTGGCTGACTTGATGTCAGTGTCTTGAGAAACTCTACGGCGTTTACTTGGTTGATCTTGCGGTGCGTTGCTATCACCAGTAGAAGATTCAACTAATTTTGTGCCACAGGCTGCCGTAACGCCATCAGATGATCGTTGACGTTTGCGCATAGCTTTCTTGTTGTATAGAAGAGGAAGTCCCCATCCACATTTTGTGCATTTCTTATCGATGTGTTGCTCGCACATTCGATGCCATACGATATCGTCATCTGCAAGATGTTTCCATGTTCGGCTAACTTGAGCAGCATGGCAAAGGGACTTTGCGTCTAGGTGTGAAAGGATCTTGAGGGAGACCTCATGAGGAAGAACAGCTAAAAAATCGATCCTCAATAATGGCTCTACAGCCGATGCCAAGAATGACAATTGGGGCATGCAGCAAGTGGAAACAATGCCTTGAAGCATCAGTAGTCGTTGATTCGCTGGGGCGGCAGAAAAAATAGACCATATATGTGATATAGCGTTTTGATCAGCTTTGGGTAAGTTTTCAAGTTGCTGTGGTATTGATCAAAAAGTGTTAAGACTTGCGCACAAGTATCATCGCAGAAGGATTCAAAAGCACTACTGACCTTTTGGACAGCTACACGGGACAGCTCTTCGGGAACAAGTACTCTGGCGATATCGGTTCTATGGCGATAACAGGTTTGACGAGGGCTGGTAAATTGTTTGGGTACATGGCGAGTCAAGAAGTCGGAAACGTTGTTATGAGCCAAGACTTCATATGATTTTTCTTCTTCGAGTTCTGACATGATGTTGAAGTGAAAGAAGCAAAGTAAAAAGGGAAAAGAGTAACAACTAAAACGCTCTCTGTCAAGGCAGCCATGGTTAAATATGATATTTGCACCTCATTAGCTCTGGCAATTGCGCAATATCGGAGATTTAAAAATATTGCGTTTGAAATCTTTGAGAGGTTCAGCGGTTGACTCGACCACCGGCATTTCAATTTCCCTTGCGCCATCTAACTTGACCATCACCTCAAGGCTGTCAGCTCAGCTAAATGATGTATAATGTGCTGTTATGAAGGAGCCGTTCATCTCATGTTCATGGGTGATGATCGGATTGCCCCTTAAGGAAAGATAAGCTGGGGGGACTTTTGTCAACCTTGGAAAAATTTTGCTGTCAATTGCGTGACTCAAGGCCAAAGTGCAAAATTTGCCGTTCCATAGCTGTCAAACAATTGGCTATTAGCCATTATGAAAAGCTCTGTCGCCATCATTTTGATTGAACCTTACTACTTTCATGCACAATAGCTTGATACCACTTTGGCCTCATATGGTAGTTGTATTTTCTGGAGAAGTAGCAATAGGATCATGTAATCGTTTGGAATAACAACCGTAGTCTGCCATAAATCTATCCACCCTATTACATTTTAATAAATATCATTGCTTCAATACTTGTTATACAGCTGGCAGAGGAGCGCTTAACAGAGCAAGCACAGTCAAATTTCAAGCAACCCCGCTCACTACCTAAAATTTCTTTTGTGCCTGAACAAATACCACCATGCTGAATGCCATTCGTAGGCTACACACTGCACGACAGTCTCTGCCAAAGACTATCAAGGCCATTTTGAACGAGAAAGTCCCTGGGGAAACCACTGTCTCCATTAATGGTTGGATCCGATCAGTTCGAAGCCAGAAAAATGTGTCATTCGCCAATGTCAACGACGGCAGTAATTTGAAAGGCATTCAAGCAATTCTAAACAGCGATCAAGCCAAGAGGTAAACCAGGTCCAATTTTCACATGCTGGGAAGGAATCGTTGTACTAATCAACCACCTTATGATAGCTTGACAACGGGTGCAAGTGTCAAACTCACCGGCCAGTTGGTACCAAGTCCCGGTCAGGAGCAGCAGCACGAACTCAAAGTTGACCAAGTGGAGGTACTGGGCGAGAGTGATTCCGTAAGTCTCATACAAGTTTTGTATCAGCCTTTGCTCTCACATTCTTACCCAGGGCCAATTCTCTTTTCTGCTCCATATTGTATAGACTTACCCTTTGCAAAAGAAACGACACACCATGGAATATTTACGTGAAATCGGCCACTTACGGTCAAGAGGAAACACCGGTGCCGCCGTTCTGCGCTTAAGAAACTCTGCTGTGCTTGGGTTTCAAAGGTTTTTCGAGGTATATGTTGTTTTACAAGCACGCCATGTCATACCATCAACCTCCCATATTCATCCCACCCCCTTCTCTCAAACCAGCAAGCAGACTGCGCGAATGTACATACGCCTATCATCACGTCGCACGATTGTGAAGGAGGTGGTGAAGTGTTCAAGATTCTGCCGGCATCCACCTACACTACTCAGCAGTCATCGAGCGCAATGGCACCGTCTGAATTTTTTAAGAAACCGGTTTATCTGACAGTGTCAGGACAGCTGCATGCCGAGATTCTTGCGTCCTCCATGGGTAGAGTATATACGTTGGGACCAGTGTTTCGAGCCGAAGAATCCCAAACTTCACGCCATCTAGCAGAATTTTGGATGATGGAAGCGGAGTTAGCCTTCATTGACCGTCTGGACCAACTACTAGATTTCACCGAAGAATGCTTGGTTTCCGCTACAAAATACGTGCTTGAGCACTCGAAGGAAGATCTGGAGTTTTTCAATCGCTGGACAGATAAGTCTTTGCTGGAAAGACTAAACAAGACTGTCACTAAGCCGTTTGTGAGAATGACCTACACGGAGGCCATCGAAGTATTGCAACGAGCTCATGACGCTGGGAAAGTTAAATTCGAGTTTCCTGTCAAGTGGGGCTCCAGCTTGCAATCGGAGCATGAAAGATACCTCGCCACTCAGCATTGTCAACATCCAGTATTTGTCACCAATTATCCAGCCCATCTAAAGCCTTTCTATATGCGCGCTGACCACGTACAAGATCCTTCAAAACAAACAGTGGGTTGCTTTGACCTATTAATACCGTCTATAGGAGAACTGATTGGTGGATCCATGCGAGAAGAGCGATACGACATATTGCATCAGAAGATGATCGACTCGGAAATGGACGTTGAAGAGTACAAGTGGTATCTTGATTTGCGACGATATGGCTCTGTACCACACGGTGGCTATGGCCTTGGCCTAGAGAGATATATGCTGTGGATAACTGGTCTTGAGAGTGTACGAGACGTTGTCCCCATGCCGCGTCACGTAGGTAGTTGCAGATATTAGATTGTTCCTAGAAGGGCCTTGTATAGTATAGAATTGAGCCCAATAGATCAGCTTGGGAATACAACGAAAATTGAATAAAATGGTCAGTCCATTTCATAGAGCATTTTTATCTATGTGATCAAAGTCTCGATATCAATAGCACCGCTGCTTGAAAATTCAATGACACTTTTTGAGATTTAAGGGAGCTAAATAAGCCGTTCCACACTACCAGACTGTTCCCGACTTTATGTTTGGACAAGATTAAAAGACTCTATGTTATTGAAATGCTGCGGGCTGGATACAATATGTAATAAAATGAAACATGAAGAAAATGCTATATGGTTTGCAAGTTTCATTTCTTAAACATTGACTTGTAAGCTTGCATGCCAACATCTTTGGATTTCTTCTTATCCTTGTCCGATTGGAACCATGTTCGAGCTGGTCGTGAGTAAATTTCATTTGCATGCTGCAAAAGGTTCTCACTCTTCTTCAACTCCATCTCCGTCTGTCGTATAACCTTGTCTTCCTTTTCTTGCTTCATAACATCCTTGACTTCCTCGGTAATGGCTTCTAACTTTGCCTTGTACTTGGAGATCAGTTCTGCTGGAACCACCCGGTGCTTTACTTGTTGTTTGTTTGATGACTTTACTGCCATCTTCAGCAGTTTGCGATCAGCTTCACCAATCAAAGTAACGGATCTGCAAATTAACAGCATAAGAAATGGAGCCTACGCAACCATTGAATATCCATGATGGCAATTTCTTACCTTCCATTACGACCAGCTCTTGCCGTTCTTCCGACTCTGTGGAGATATTGAGCGAACTGTTGAGGCATATTAAAGTTGATGACCACCTCTATACCCTTGATATCCAGACCACGTGAGGCAAGATCGGTGGCAAGCAAATAGTCAACTTCGCCATCTCGGAACTTCTCCAATGCTTCCAAACGTTGCTCTTGAGAAAGGTTTCCGTGAAGTTCTGCAGCACTTAAGCCGCATAGTCCAAACACAATCTTCATTTGATGCGCTGCCGCTTTGGATCTGAAGAAAACGATACACTTTCGTTTGAAAGTCTTTTTGCATAAAGCAAGAAGTACAGCAGGTCTGTCGGCTTCCTTATGGGCTCGAATTCGGACGAATTCCTGTGTAAGTTTCGCTGCAGCCTGATTGGAAGGATCTATCATGAGGCGCACAGGTCGCTGCAATGACATGCGGATCAACTGATCTACATTGTCAGTCATAGTGGCCGAAAACAACATAGTCTGTCGAGATTTGGGGCAAGATTTAACAATTTCACCAAGTTCGTCCGCGAAACCATCTTCTAACATTCTATAGAAATTCGTTTTCGTTAGTCTTATTTTTGTCCCCTTTTCACATCCATCTTATACACAAAGACCCAAAAATCTTACCTGTCAGCTTCATCCATAACCAAAATTTCACAACTTTCCAACGTAAAACTGGGAGAATTTCGAACGTGATCAATCAATCGACCTGGTGTTGCGACTACGACATCTGGCTTTTGCTTGAGCTCAAGTTCTTGACCCTTGACGCTTAATCCACCAACGCAAAGACAAAACTGTATGTCTGTAAAGCTGGCGAGTTTAACAGCAACACTGTGGACTTGGACAGCCAACTCACGAGTAGGGCACAGAATGAGCACACGTGTTGTAGCTGTTTGACGAGGGCGATACAAGAGTCGCTCCAAGATAGGGACAACGAAAGCTGCAGTTTTACCAGAACCTGTCACGGCACCACCGCAAATATCCTTGCCAAGCAGAGCCACGGGTATAGTTTTGCACTGAATTGCAGTTGGTGCAACAAAGCCGACAGACGCAAGACCTTTTTGAATCGGTCGTGACAGATTCATGGCCGAGAAAGATTCATAAAGCATTTCGGGTTGATCTGAATCTGGAGCAAAGTATGCTTTCTTTCGCTATTCACAATAAGAAGAGGGTTAATTGACATTACCACTCAAAAACATTCTTTCAAAATCCTTGGTCATACCTCTATTTCAAACTGGTTGACTTCCTCATCATCTTCGCCATTGGCCTCATCATCCGACTCATCATTCTGATCCCCTTGGTTTTCTTCTTCACTCTCGCTTTCTGAGCTCTCAGCCTCGCTGTCGTCTTGGGAGTCATTCTCAGACTCTTCTTCGTCTTCGACTACACCGCCTCCGAACCCGTCCACTGCCAGATCTTCATCGTTATCTGAAATGTTTGCACCTTCACCGTTGACGGCTTCGACCTCCTGAGTTTCATCTGGATGGCATGAATGCATTGTTATTGATTATCTCGACTAAATCCATTCAGTCGAAATCTACTTACCAGCTTCTATTGCCTTCCTCTTTTTTCCATTCTTCAGCTGCTTCTTTTCCTTGAGCTTCTTTGCAATAATGTCATCGATGTTTGTACGAGGTACCAATGTCTAAAGGAAGTGGGATGTCAGCATATTGAAGACACCATAGTATGCATTGTAGCTGATCTATACCTCAGCTTTCAGCTTTTCACGAGTTGTTGCAAAATCCCAGTCCATGGTATTGTTTTTGTAAGCACCTCCACCTTCAATGTTGAAAGTGAATGAGTTGTCCATATCCTCCTTGGTGGCATTCTTCTTTGCAGCCTTCTTCGAAACCTTTCGTTTCTTGTTGGTGGTGACAGCAACTTCTTCTTCGGATAACTCTTCGATAACTTGGACATTGTCGTCTTCGTCAATGGTATGAATGAAATCGTCGTCAAAACCACTCATATCTGTCTATCTAACTTGGTTCAATACGCTGATTGCCTTGAAAAAAAAAAAAAGTCAAAAATGTATTGAGTTCACGTGATGTGACAGTGGTTTTCTTTTTGAGAGTACTGCCAGGAACACCAGGTGCTGTTCTGCTACCTTCAGCACACCAAGCTCAACATTTTAGAAGGCAGTAATACTTCAAGTTATACAGATATATAGGCCTTGATTGGTTTTGTAATGGAAGTTTGCTAATGAGCCACAGATATAGCACTGGGGGGGGTTATGTCATAAAGCAAATACGGGTACTGCAGACTAGCGTTTTCTCAGCCTCGTCCCATACATTAAGCTTGAAATGTAGCTCTTTTCGTATTGCTACTTTTTGGAAACATTGTTCAAAACAGCATTTGTTGGAATGCTAATACAGCAATCGCTTCACAAGCTACCATACGAAGTTCTCTATATACTAAACTCCATCTTTCGTCCGACCAAGCACAATTCCATAGATATTACATCTCCTTTTCACTAATTAGTATAAGTGCTTAGCTTATTACATACTTGTTAATGCTGGTGCTCGATTGCCATACATTATTTAAAAAGTGTTTGCAAAGTCTATGTGTGTTGGTGAAAACTGTGATCTCACCACATGACGAAGGCCTCTGATTGGCTAGTTGTTATACAGTCTCAAAGCTGGCTTCACATATTCAAGCAAGGCGCTCTTTCATATTCACCACAAACAGACATGTCAGGAGGCACGTCGTTGCAAAAAGATCGTAACCTAATTGCTGTCATAGGTGACGAGGTAGCTTGATTATTATCTTTGTCTTGTTCATGACAATTTCTGGTACTTAAGGCTGACCATTACTTGCTAGGATTCAGTCACCGGATTGCTTCTTGCCGGAATTGGCCACACCAATCAGCAACAAAAGAAGAACTTCCTTGTCGTAGATGCTAGTAAGATCTGCAAACATGTTTACTGAGAGATTTTCATTTGAGACCTTGCATAACGATTTGGTTTTCAACTATCAGAAACCGCCCTTTCGACCATCGAAACAGCATTCCAAGAATTCACAAGTCGAAAAGACATTGCTATTATTTTGATAAACCAGCACGTAAGATTGCAAAAGTATCTGATTGTCACTATATAACAGTTCAGTACTTAACACATTGTTATCAAGGTCGCAGAAGATATCCGCGAGCTGATTGATGGACACAATCAAGCCTTCCCCACCGTTCTAGAAATACCATCCAAAGATCACCCATATGGTATGTTTAACCCTCGTTAGAATACCGCGACACGCTCTTCAATGCTAATTTCATATTTTTTTCATATAGATCCTGAGAAGGATAGCGTGCTGAAGCGAGTGCGAAGATTGTTTGGCGAATAATCGCTTGACTGTAGAATTACAATAAAAATCGTTGTGGTGTCAAGCGAATACTAAGCGACATTATTTTGTTTCAACTACACTGTTTATTCGTGAATGGAGGACTAGGATTATGCAGTTTAGTTGTTTTGTATGGACCTAAGGGTAAACGGTGATTCGGTTTAGTTAAAATGAGTCCGGCTATAAACAGGTCGCGTCCAATACTTACCGTGCCACGCTTTGAAATAGCCTCTCTATTTCTGGAGAGCATTTGGTGAAAGAATTACTCCAGAAATTATCACTTTTGATGAGCTCAATGAATGTAACAAGAAGACCCCAAGGGTGAGGTCGGTGTACGATAAGTCTATCCAGTAGAACACTGGTAGAAAAGTAGGACCATCAGTTTACATGATTGATTTCCATGGCGCTTACAGTCAATTCAGACTCACCGTGTTATCCTCTCCTTAACCTGACTGTCGTCAGTGCTTTCAAACAGACTAAGCATTAAGGAACTGAAAAAATATGTGTGTCGGTTTGGATAGCGCATGTGGTTTGCTACTGCATTTAGTAAAAGGTAGCAACCTGCAGGTGAAAAAGAGACGAAGTGTGTTAGCATATTGATAAAATTTGAATGGTGTCTGTTCGTTATAAATTACTTGCCTTCCGCATCCAATCTCGATAGTAAATGTGTGCAGATTTGATGTGCGTGACTTTGAGGGACAGCTCGGCTTTCTGTAACATCTGTTGCACCAACGTATAAGATGGCAGCGTTGATAACCGACGTATTGAAGCGAGAATGAAGTGTCTTCGTATCATTCTCCGCATTGTTCACGTTTTGAATTCCAGCCAGCAACAACTCTGAAAATGCATGCACATCATCATTATGTGCAAGCTCGTCGATAGCACCCATCAAACCAGCCTTAGTCAACATGGGCTGCGTAGATTGGATATCCGGAATCTGCTGGCTTTCGAACAAGTCACCCATTTTTAGGTTCAGGGAATAAGGGTCGGGCAGATACATGTTACGAGGGAAAGCACTTAAAATTAGATTGCGCAGTTGGACGCAAGTACTTGGTATGGCATCGCATATACTCCAGTAATACGCGCAAAGGAACTCCGGGAAATCATGCAAAAGGACGAGAAGAGTGCGTAGCGTGCCTCTGTAGAACGTTCTGCCCGATCGTTGCAGATGACCACTTTGAAGGATAGGTCCAAAGAATGATAATAATGCCAATACTAGCTTATGATACAATGGCCATCCCTAAAACATCACATAGTAAGTAAGCCGATTACCACCGCTTTGTCAGTTACACGTCTTTAAACTTACTTTGCTCTTTCCTAAATGCAACAGCTTTGGCATAAAAGATCGGTGTGAGACGAGTTGAAGCCATCCAAAAGCAAAGCCTGGGAAATAGCAAGGCTGAAGAGTATATAAAGTGTTGCTACAAACAAGGAACGTTAATATACGCTATAAAGATAGCTTACAGCCGAATTGTAATTCCACATACCCTAATGCCACAAGGATTTGCGGTACAATATCTGGAGCATTCATTTTGCAAACATTCATCATAATACCGGACAGCATGCGTAAGAATGGCTTTTGGCTGAACTTCTCTTGCTCTACCTCATGTCGTTGTGCCATGCAAAGCACTGTGATTGACAATATTTGAGTTGCAAGTACGACTTTGGCAGAATTATTGTCTTCGTCATTTGAAGCGGTTTCGCGAAGTATCATTTGCTCAACAAGTTTAGCAAAAGCATCGATTGGTGATGTAGCGTACTGCTTGGAAAGTCCTGCGTTGCCTCTGAATGAGATGTAATGTTGAACAGCATACTCGATAGCCAATCGAATGAACAAAATTCTGCCATCTTGTGAAACATCTTGATTGATCTAAAGTTGACGAGGTGAGCGGTGGTATATCACAGTACTTTTTTAGATACATGAACGAGATCCGAACCTTGTCTATAAAAGCTTGATATACTTTATCGCTAGCCAAAGGATGATCAAACAGTCTGATCCATTCCGCAAACAGCCTGTGGTAGCTCCACACATCTTCAAGAGTTGTGAGGCTGGCCAAAGGAGCATGAATTAACTTCTTCAGTTCACCGATTACGTCCTTCGCACTATAGATAAGAAATTACCGTCATTAAAAATATGAAGAGGGCAAGGTTGTACAGTCAAGTGGTAACATCATTTACCTTGCTATAGCATCTGAAGTCGGAGATGCATCATCGAATAATGCTGTCGTAACGATGAAATCATGAAGGTTGAACAATGGTTGCTCGCACAAAAGGCCATGTTGAATTATTGCGACACCAAAGTTGATTGCATTGGTATCATTACTTTCTATAGGTTGTGCTAATTGCACGTCTAAGCCTTTCAGAGGGACAATACCATTTTGAACAAGGGAAAGAACTGCCATTGCATCGTATTTACGCTGATCGAAAACACTCGGTCAATTGCAATAGTAAAGCTAATGGTTCAAAGTAATGAAACCTTACCTCATCGTTAGAGTAGGTTATCCAGCCATTAAGCTCTTTCAATATTTTCGGGAATGCTTGACAAAGCACATGTAGAAGTGACGAATAGCAGTCTCTTTGTAGCTGAGACTGTGACGAATACAACGCATTGACGGTCTTCTGGGACAAACTGAGAGCCAGTGAGGCCGGATCAGACGTGTTCGCGATAATAGCTGGCATTTGCCGAATAAATAGGGTGATATCATGACCGAGAGGAATTTCAGAGAGATGTTGTGCCTCAATCTGACTCACATATGCTGCAACCTTTGACAATATTTGCTGATTAAGAGAGCATCAGGGTCAATTTATGACTGACATTTATAATTTTCATAACACGATGGCGCATGAATTTACCTCGCACTTCGTCATGGTTTGATTTCGGTTGGGTGGAAGTCCACCATTGGGTGGGCTCTGATCAGTTGGTAGTACTCGTGCTGGTGCGGAATATGCTGGCAAGGACATTAGACATAGCAGCCACTTGCTAAATATATATTTTTAAATGACTTACCCAGCTCTGAATCTTGCTTATTCTTTCCCGGAACATTGGTGACCCAGTTATATACCTTCCGCTGTTGCGAACTATTAGAGCTCTGGTATATCTCGTTGACATGTGTCAGAAGTGTATGGAAAAAAAAAATTACCTGTTCAGCACTTAGGCCACGGGTAGGCTGAAGTATTTCCGGTAACATAATTGATGACGGCAAACGTCCTAATACATTCGCATCGTAAAACGGTTTGCTTGTCATAGACTTTTGGACGGTCAGGTATCATTGAAACATCTCGAAATGAAGCATGTAGCATAAACATACCTCCCGGTATTGCCGTCGAATAGCAAATGATGGTGCTAAGGCCAAATTCAATTCTTCACAAGCTTTATCCACAGAAGCTTTCTCTATGAAAGCACATACGGTGTCGAGATTATCCGAGACAAAAATCAAGGCAACCTCTTTAGCGTCAGCCTGTGTGACATTATTAGTTTTTTGAAGTGTGGCATGAAAACTAAAAAAAATCAAAAATTTTACCGCAGGCATTCCATGATGCAATAGTTCAGCATGAACGTTTTCCAGTAAGCTGTTTCGAACAGGCTCCTTACTCGTAACAAGTGCGAGATTTCCTGCCAAGCTCTTTACCATGGCATCACCAGCCGTACGTAGACTAGTTTCATCTGACTCGGATGCAAAATCTTTGCATAGTAACTCCTTTGAAGAGAGAGCTGCCACCGATGACGACCTAGCGATAACGGGCTCACCAATCTGACGAAACATAGAGTGCAATAAGTACAAAGTTGCAAACAAATATCAAATGGTTTACCGGTCTCACCTCTCGCAGTACATCACTGACTATACTTGCTATTGTCAGCTTGATGGTATTCTGTCCAGCGAAAACCGTCAGTGCTGGGTTGAAGAAAAGATACTGAGCAAGCCGGTTCGGATCGAGAACCCCTAAACGGAAGAGAAGAAGCTCAATATACAATTCAATGCAAAATGCCAACGCAACCCCTAGTCCATACCACTGACTCCCGCTGTAACTGGGCTATCTGCCTTTGTAGGTGGCTGACCTGCTTGAGAAGCATACCCTGAGGGCAGCTCCTTCGGAAATCTATTTTCAAGAATGGAGCTAGGCTCGACATCTGTGATCAATCCAGGGTCAGTTCAATGAAAGCTCTTTTCAAATTCAGGTTTTCCTTTTCGGTTACCTTCGATGTTAAGCTTGAGCGCATTAAGCATCACCTCAATCTCGAACTTCAGATTGAGCTTCAAATCCGCATGCAGATAGAGCTCCAATAGTAGTTTGATTACGTTCATTAACCATGGGTTTGGTGGACGGAAAACTTTGCTGTGGCGCGTTTGCTCAAGAACTTTGCACACAAAGGGAATGACCACCACTAAACGTGCCCCATCGTATCCGTCTATCAATAGATCCTAAAGATTGCTTGCGCATGAGCCAAAGTATACGAGGGTATGTGTACATCGTCGCTGAACTCACCTGGAATGAAATGTCTTTCTGTCGAATAGCAATATCCTTGGCAAGGGTCAAAGCTCCAAGCCAAGATCCAAGATTCTTCAAAAGTGCGCGCTCAGATGAGAGCTGCACGGTCTTCTCAGATTTGAGCAAAATATTGATATTTGCGTGCGTTTCATTGAGTATACATTCGTTTAACTGATGATTGTTAAGCGAATCCAGGAGTTGCATATACAGCTGGTGATAGTTTGGTTCTATGCTGACACGGCGTACAACTAGATATTGGCTGAACCATCTGAAGTTGGATTCTGTAAGCACCTCACGAAGCTCGTTTGTTTTGTTCTCAAGATTTCCTTGTGATATGTTGTTGATAATGAAAGAGACCCTATCTTGTAGGTGCTGCGGTGGAACATCGTAAGGTATATTGATAATATCCCTTTGTGAAAGGCCTTGACGGTCAAGTTCCTTTTGCATTACTCTTCCGCCTTTTTCAAGAAGTGGAGAACTGGATTTCGCACCACCGGCGTCACGATTCAGAAGAACATTTGGCGAAGTCTCGGATTTTCCACTGTTGCTATTATCCAACGCTTTCTCGATGCTTAATGCCAGCTTCGGATGAGTTAGTCGAATGCTTTCCACCTGCGACAGCTGTATGGCGTACTGCGGCCATTCCGGGAGTCTAGAAACGAATTGTGAAAGTGCAATTATACCAAAAGCATACAGCTTTGAATCTGGTGCTTGCTGAACAGAGTCTAGAACGTGCTTGAGCGCGGCACGCAAAGGAATATACGACACAAGATGTAGTTGAACCAATAGCCCAAATAAACGAGCAGTACTCGATAGCTCCTTTTCTGGATAATTACCGAAATAACGCACTTCGTCCAACTTATGGAAAGAAAGTTAGAAAAAATTGGATACCATCATCTGGAAACATCACCTTATTGAAATCATCTTACCAAGGTATGTACCATACAGGCAAAGATTTGCTGTTCTTTGGATATTTTAGAGTCCTTGAATCGCTGGAGAAGCATAGCGATACGTTCAACGGCTATTTCGTCATTATACAATCGCTCAAAATATTGCTTCACTTCTTCTTCGATCTCGGGGGGGAATAATGAGTCCTCAGCATTGGTAATATCCGGTGCGTTCATCTCGTTCGGGAACAGCTGCGCACACAGCGATTTGACTTGTTCGAAAAGTGGTTCGAAGGAAGCGACATAGTCCCTACATCAAAGAATCAGTGACTAGCTCGAAATCGAAAACGCGCGAACTGTACGCTTACCTTTTGCTTAGCGCATTCAGAAAGGACCTGACAACGTCTGCGCAAACGGCGACAGAAACAACGGATGTCTTGTCTTTACGTCGGACCAATTCATTGTTGAGCTTGTGCTTCCAAAATTCCAGCGATGCACCAACAAATCCTTCTCCATGAATATCGATACTTGACTCTATCCATTTCTCCAAATTAAGAAAATCCCTTCTAGCTGCCAACGATGCTAGATCCAAGATGAAGAAGTATGGCTTGCTTCTCAAAACTTGAGATAATATCTAAGATACAGTTGATTAGAATTACTTCTTTTTTGAATATATATGAAATTTTACATTACTTACCTTTGACTCTTGTATGATATCTAAAATCTGAGATACGCTCAAAGGGTCACGACGGTATCTGTCTAGAAAGCATTCCAGAAGAGTAGAAGGCGAACGATGCCATAGCAAGCTCACAACCAGGTCAGAATTTTCATGCCCATCCAAAAACATATCTATAAGACGCATGCGTTGTTTCTGTATATTTGGGCTTTCAAGTGGCTGTGAAAAAACTGTTTAGATTATGCGAGAGAAAAAGATTCCTTCCAGCATGATATCATACCTGAATGGAACAGAGTCCAAGGCACAAAAGCTCCGGCTCCTTCTGCACAAGATGATTAAGCATAAGACTTGCGTGAGTTTCAGCGTGTGTATCGACCAATTCAACTAAACCGCGTAACAGATCTAAAGAGTTGCATGGCTCGTTCATGATATGAGAGGCGAATGATTTTGACTTTTCGGTGAGAACCTCTAAATCTTCAGTGCGAATAACCTGTCGTTGCGTTACATCCAGAAGAACTAACAGCGATGATGGCGCGCTGAAGATTTCACGCAGCACACTAAATTGTCCTTGCACATTTTGCCATTTTTTGAAGAAGACTTGAATGGGGAAGGATTCCTGAAGTGCAAAAGTTAGTTCTATATCAAGGGGATTGCAGAAGTACACGCAGTAGTATACCTTTTGTGTACTTCTCCAGCAATGTACTAGAACGACTAAGCCTTCTTGGCTTTGAATAGAGAATCCTTCGTAATCAAGATTCTTATAAACCTCTAGCCAACTGATAGTGGGAGCCTACCGTTCCAAATTAGTTAGAGAAAGGTTACGCATCATTCACTTTGTTCCTTCTTCATACCTTTCGTACAATCGCTATACAAACACTTGCGATATGTTGAATTATATCTTGGGGTCCCCTGCCAGCAAACGTAAGATCTCTTGCGACTGATCCTATAAACCGTGCAGTTGCCGAGTGCCAATCTTCAATATTTAGTTTTTCAATAATGCTCTCCAGGGCTTGAACTTGCATAGTAGTTCCTGTATCGCATTTTTCGAGCGTTCGCGTCAAGATCCAAGGATCCGACATTTGTACCTGTATAGTAAGCTAATGGGTATTACCAGCGCAAGTTGTCAGTAGGTGGCTTGATGTGACTGGCGACCGAGCACCTTCCAATGAAGGTGCCTATACCAAGCCACTAAGTCACGTGTGCCGGTCGAGCGTTTTATTGCTGCCGGCACATACAAGGTATTGCCCTGGTACTGAAGCCATGGCTTTCCAGCGAACTTTACGTAGATATAAGCTAAAAAATAAAAACGAACTTCTTCCTGGTCAATTATTGACCGCCTACATCTGGGAAAGCCCAAGAATAACATGAATGCTAGCAAAAACCGTAGTAATATTAATTTAAGATTGATTTAAGCATGTAAATGGGCCAAGTTATCTCACAGAAACTTGGTACTTAATCAACGCATATTCACAAAAAAACAAAATTATCAAAAATTAATTTCTTCTCGCTGCAAGATGTTGATGACTATTTCTCAACTATATCATTTTTTAAAAATGGGTAGCCGGCGTTAACATTAAGAAGTATACAACATACTCTATTCTCACAGCCGCTGGTGACAAATTAACCTGGACACTTTCTAGAGAATTATTACAAGACGTAGTGAGTGATACCATAATCATTGTGTTTTAAGTAAATTTTTGACATTAGAGATGGAGGCTGCAGATAGATCAAAATATGCTAAATGTAAAATAACAATAAGTTGGATGTCACCGAAAAGTTCAATCCTGAAATTATGCCTTGAACATAGCCACAGTAAAAGTCCATTTATAAAAACCAACATTTTACAAGCATTAATAAATGAATCTTCATGAAAAACATCCAGGGTTACTTGAGCACTTCAAATCTTGCAACAGTTTCAGTAGGGCGTCACTGATACGAAGTCTAGCTAAACCCTTCATCTAACAGGTTGTTTAAACTACAGTATATTGAGATTTATTCTCTCTATATTTCATAATTATGAGGTAGATCCCGCTCGTTTATGTAGCCTATGTTAATACTTGTCCCAGTTTTGCTTATCATCTTTGTCGCGCACAATCTTACTGAGAGCCTGCACTACAGTTTGGTTCATAAGTTCCACCAGACCATTAGTCTGAGGACGATAAGCGGTCGTGGTGAGGTGGCGACACTCTAAACGGCGTAAGAAGGAAGTAACATACGAGCTAGTGAACGTCGAGCCTTGGTCTGTCAAAATTAAGGAAGGTACTCCCATGGCTGGTCACGACTTGTTCAAACAAAAACATAGCGGTTGTGATGTCCGACACCGCCTGAACGCACGGCCATCTTGTAAGGTGATCCACGGCTACCAACAAGTACCGATTTCCCGTTGCGGGAGTGAATATGGGACCGACTGCGTCACAACCAATCATGTAAAATGGGGCATCCATGACAACGGAGCTTGTCTCTTGTGCTTACGTTTAACTCTGGCCTGACAAGCTGGACAAGTCTTCGTACGTCTGGAATAACTGAAAACCATCATAATGAAGGCGCAACCTTCTCCAAGTATTGTTGATCCCCATGTTACCTTTGCTGTGGGCTTGAGAGACGACCTCTTCTATGTTTCCTTTGTGCAAGACTTCGCGTCCAAATTGATCACTACATATTTGCGGTACAGGACTCCATTCTGTTGAACATGAGCGCGAGCAGCGTTACGTATTTTCTTTCTATCAATTTCAGATATACATTTATTTGGGTAAAAATGATCTCGCAAGTAATACAAAATTCCACAATATTAGCAAAATTTATGTTGCCTGGATAGAGGATCCTTGCATGATGAAAAGAGAATTATCCAGTTTTTAACGACTTTGCTCTCTGATGTTAGCGACTTCACTGACAAGTTCTTAACAACGTCTGTGCGTCGGATTTTAACGACTTGATCTGTACGGCTAGATGACCAAAACAAGAGATATGACAAAGACAAGGAGTCCAAAAACAGTGATGGGTGACAGCTAGAGGAAAAGCGTCGGATGATTTTTCAGAGCAAACGAAACAGAGAATCAGCTGGGTTCATCCCTCCAGGTCGATAACGGGCATTAGATAATGCAGCCGCAGCAGCAGAGCGGGAACGGTTGATGTGTTTGCTGAATAATGAAACAGCAGCAGCAGACATAGGAACAGCGCGTGTACACGACACAGCGACAGTACCAGAACGCATTTCAGCTGCGTTTGGGGTGTGAGTGTTGTTGTATGTAAACAACGTGTCGTTGAAAACACCAAGTTTTACTACCATCGACAGGGCCACACCGGTGTAAAGTAGCTCGCCAGGAGCAGGGAGACAACTCTGACCACGGCCCCATAGATATGAAGCAAGATCGGAATTAGCCTTCATTCGCTCCATTACACCTTGCGATCCGCCTCCAACAAAAACAAAACGCTCAACATCAGCACGCCGCAAGATGAAATTGGCTAAACTGTCAAGCCTGTGGTCGTTTAAATGGATGAGCAAACCAGCAGTACGTGCCGACCGCCATGTACACGACACACCAGCCAGACCGCCACCAAGATCAACAGTGGAAACATCCTCAAACATTGGCAAGACAATTGTGTGTCCGGGTTTAGTGATAGGTCCAAAGCCAGCCTTGATAGCAGGGAAACATTCATCATGTGTTTGCAAGACTCCAGTTGGCTCAATCCAATAAAAAGGCGCAACAACCTTATATGCGAGATGTCTGTCCGCAGCAGCAGGAACAAGACTGAAGCACATTGTAAGATGCCTGACTGCAAGCCCACTATCGCCACTAATCGAAAAAATTAATGACAACAGTTTTGAATAGTTAGCAGAGAATTCACCTGACGCACCAGCGATCTTGTTTGCGAGTATATGTGCGTCAGCATCGCATCCGGAAGTTTCAACGCCAGCACCGTCAATCGAATCTTGGACTGAGAAAACGCTTGGATACAGTTTTCCGCCGGCACATACAAGCGGGTCAGCGGCTGAAGTAGCACCAGTGGTCGCGAGAGCAATGCTATCAACAAGCTGTTGATATTCAGCAAGAGTTGAACAAAAAGTAGTAGTGATAGTCATGAGATATAAAGTATAAACATTGTAACAGTAGAATGCAATAAACAATATCGAACCACTAGTGACCAGTATTATACATAAACGTAATCTTTTTGAAGAACCCCAAAAAATAAGAAGGGGATGTAGCTCAAATGGTAGAGCGCTCGCTTAGCATGCGAGAGGCACCCGGATCGATGCCGGGCTTCTCCACTTAAAATTTTTTTTTGTACATTTTTGCAACCCGAAAAAGTCGCTGTGAATAAAATCTCAGCACCAGGTGTATGGCTTCCTATGTGTCGTTTAGATTACTATACGACTTATTGTATTATTCTGCAGACGAGTGAACTTCTCGTGAGGTTTGAAACCCTACTTTTTATATCAAGTTTGGCCAAATTATCACTTTTTCCACCTTCAAGATAGGAATAAGTTGCCATGTTGAGAGCATCTACAGTATCTCAGAAAAATAATAACATTAGATGGGCAGTTACATTTATCACTTTTCGATCGACAGCTTCTTTGAGAAGTGCTTGGTAAGACTCTAATCGCCCAATCATTTATTTGCAGCACATCACGACGTTTGAATTTAGCCAAGTATTTTCTTTACTTTGATGTTGGTCATTGCTTGAAATTACCTGCCTTACTTTAAGGCAAACCAAACTTCAACAGTAAATTAATATAGGTACACTACCGTGAAGGTACCAAAAGATGCTATGATACCTTAAAATTGTGCGAGGGACGATGGGGTAATGCAAATAATATAGAAAACTGCATCCATAGGTTGAGATATCACTGATCTGCTGTTTGCCAATCGACTACTAGATTTCAATATGGTAGCTTTGCTCAAAACAGCCTATTTCTTTCGGCGTAATTAACAACCAGAAATAGGCTCATGATCGACATGTTTGGTTTGCAATTCAAGATATTTTAAACTTCAGAGGAGCAGTACGCTCTATTTAAATTCGGATAATACCTGATGGTATGAATAAATGAAAATGGCGGCTTATTCCAATACTTTTTTCTGACATCCAACTCTAGCTCCGTCATATGTAACGAGAAAGGATCTGTCCATGAAAGAGATACTCTAACCCCTCGAACGCGAAGTTCTCGCCTTCATTGAACATATTCTCTATTTAAACATGTAGATATACACTGCATTTAACAAAAAAATCTTGCAATTTAAATCGGATTTCATGTTGATTACAAAGGAAGACTAGTGGTTAAACCAAAAAAAAATTAAAAAAATAAGAAGCGTTTAGTCCAATAGAACGGGTATCCACTTCATTCATGTCTCCATTTGCGCTCAACCACTTGCGCTCTATTGCCTAGTAACCAATTCTTTCGTTCTCAGGTGTAGCACAACTTACCTGTATGACTTTCATGAGACTATGCTGGAAAATATCTTGCAATAAGTACATCGGTATTCCGGGTTCTGTAGGCAAACAATTCTCGAGTAATGTTGTACCATCCAACGGGTATAATTATAGAGTTTGGGGTTCTACACCTTCTTCCGTCACGTTGCGCACTCAGGAAGGTAAATGTACAATTTTCTTTGACTGGTTTTTTTTTATTCATTTAGATTTCAAATTGTAGCACAACTTAGTATACTGTTAGAACTTTCTTGCCGTTAGAAAGTCGCATCTCTATATATCAAACTTCTATAACGGCTTGCACGCACTAGTGTTTCATCAAGTTATATAAGAACAAAAATCATGGTTTGCGTTGGAAGTCCATTACATAGGTACATCGATGAGTTCGTATCAGCCTTTCTGATAAAGATAAACTATGAGAGCTGATACTATGACACACCGCAATATCCTTTTATTTATCCTGATCAGGGACTCAGAGGACAAAAGCAAAACAACATATAGATGCGGCTGTGTGAAATGAACACTTTAAATGGACAGTCAAAGTTAAACCTTGTAAATGTAACATACATTATAATGATATTGAAGATTGTAATCATGTAACAAATTGAATAGAAACGACAGCTTGAGCTTATTGCAATACAAATTAACGAACTCTTACAATTTGTATGAATCTGCTAACGGTGTATCCCAAGGCACTTCTTGACGATCCCAAACGGTATCGCTTATTACAATACCGCCTCTTCCAGAAGCCGCGACCTTTGCACTAATATTTTCTGTAGGAGTATCATATGCATCGTTTTGGGGCAGTCCAGCTGTACCCTCAAATCGTAATGCAGACATGGATCCTGTCAAGGCGTTTATCGTTTCAACATCATGAGCAGAGTTACCATAAAGCTGTTTTTGGTTGCTTATATACTCTGTGTGCGAGTTTGGCAAGAACGGTTCCTGCTGAAAGGAGTGTGACATTGGCGGTTGAAGCCAAGAATACTCTGTTTGTTGCGTTCTATGTGGATGCTGTCTATACATTAGAGAATGTTGCTGATCGTCGTTCCACGCCGCCGAATCCATATGCATATGTGCAGCGCCATGGTAAGACGAAAATCCTGAAGTTTCGGTGTCTGAGAAAAGAGATGAATGAGTGCTGGTAGACTATAATGCCTTTATATAAGCAAATTACCTAACATCCCGAGAGTCGAAGGTCCATCAGACAAACCAGTAGCGCCTGATACAAAATGGATGGATGGGTCAGTGAGCATAGAAGTAAAATGCTGTGGTTGCTCCATTGGATTCATGGTATATAAGGTCGAATCCATCATTCCCTGACTCTCATGCATCGTAGGATTAGCAAATGCCATGTGCGTAGGAATGATCATCTCGCTGACGGCCGTGTATGTCGGGAAATACGGTCGCACATTGCTGGGATGCGGAGGTGATTGGTACATCTGCATTCCTGCTACTGGAGGTACAGGCATTGGTGGATAAGACATACGCGATGAAAATGGAGGCGAATGCAAGCGCATTGGATCATGTAACCGTGTACGTAGCTTCGGTACGGCTTGCACTTGAGGTAATCCTGGCGCAGTTGAAGTGAACTTGTCGAAATACACTCGTAGTCTCCTTCCTTGATATTCGTAGCCATCGTAGATTGCTTTGGTGGAGATATGGCTCAGATCAGGTATAGCTCATTTTTCATAGTAATATATTGAACTTACCAACTGCATTCCTAGCATCTTCTGGTGTAGCATATAATACAGTACCAAAACCTCGACTCCGCCCATCTTGACCTTGCGCTATATCAGCCCTCAGAATATTTCCTGCGTTACGAAACAAATCTTTCAAATCCTGCCATTGACAGTTAAAAGGAATCTGTTACACATAGACATTGGGCGAAGATTAGTGTTTTGGTAATAGATAATGTCATAAAAGGACAGCCGTACTCACATTTCCCACGAACAACTGTCTCCCATTCGGAAGGTTTATGGGTGGAAGTCGACTCTAAGCAAACAGAAATGAGAGTGGTTCAATTAATCACAAACTCGACGCAAGCCAGAGTTACTAACCTGGTTCGCATACATATTACTATAGTATTGGGGGTTCATTGAGACAGTGTTGGAATGAGTAGCTTTTGTGTGGTTGTTTCCATGGCCATGTGTTGTATTTCCATAGTTAACGCTGCGAATTTCATTATCGATATAGCCACGATCCTCTCGTACTTCTAGAATACGTCCTTGCCATGTATAGTTGTGGAACATCTCTAAATATGACGCACAGGTATAAGTGCGCGTAGTGGTTGCTTAGTCTTAATGCTGAAAGATACTAACCAGCAGCTTGTCGAGCATCTTCAACACTCGCAAATAGCACCGTTCCATGACCCTTCGATCTATTATCGAAGCCTATCGCAACGTCGGCACGAACGACTTCTCCAGCCTTTTTAAACATATCTTTGAGGTCTTGCCATCTTACTCGGAAGGGCAGCTAGATCAAGAAGATAAATAACTCGTTTCCAGGATGCATGTCATTATAAAAAAGCCATACGTTTCCGACAAAAAGCTGCCTAATATGCACTTTCGCAGCAAATCCTGCATTCACGTCCGTGCTACTTTGAACAGCTTCACTATCTTTTACTGTCTCGGGGTTGTATATGGGATACTGCCGAAGAGACTTCATACTTTGCTCATTATCCGAAATACGTGCATTAGCATCAAATTGCTTCAGCAAATGCTTATCCGCATATGATTGTCGTAAGCTTTCGGCATTCGAATCTGGATTTTGAAGATTCTGTGGTTTGGTCATCTCAGCTATGGAGTCAGAACTATCGCCGCCAGGTCTGACTTCAGACATGGTGAAAGGGCCACAATCAGCCAATGTAGTTAACGAAACTGTATGTTGCTGCTCGTTCGTCGAGTATTCGTCTGTTGATTGCGGAATTGCGGTTCTCTTGGCGTGTAGGAATTTCGGTAAGGAACCTGTAGGACAGGGAGCCGCCGCCCAGGGCCATTTTGGCTAAAGCTAATCTAGGCGATGACGTGATATATAAATTTATGTACATAATTCCATAAATTATTAGTAGTACAAATTGCTATTACACATTTATTTTTAAAGAAAATATATATTTTTATATCATTTTATAAAATAAATGTTTTATTTTATAAAAACATAATACCTGTATTTTATTTATAAATTATTAAATTGTAATATAAATGTAAAAACTAGTTAATTTTATTATTTAATTTCAATTATAATAAAACATGTGTTAATTTTGTTTAATCAATATATAAAGATTTTAGAATTGCTGAAAAACGCCCCAAAAAATCATGACCTCAAAGAGAGCCAAAAAAAAAAAGATTCCCAAAAATTCACTGGCAAAATGAGGGGCAAGTGGTTTTTTTTATGTAGTCAAGGAGCTATTGATTGATATACGTATGTTGCTGATCATCAATGGACACTACTGAGGAACCTGATAGTTTGCCGGCAGGTGGTAAAGATCACGGATAAACATAACCATTGAACTTTTAAAAATATTTCCGATATTATACGCAAACCCGTTAGCGGACAACATTTTCACTGTCTGGAGCATATTATACGTTGTTATGACAGAGTCTGTCAAATTTAGCATTTCTCTCAGGGCGTTTGGCTATATCAAGTGAAGTATAGTATCTGTTCTTTATCGCTTGACACATTGACTATGCCCAATGCCAGACATTGAGCGCTGGACATCCGAGGGGTACTGAGCTACATCCATATCCGGTCCTAACCTCCTACTTATAATAGCATTCGGTTCTTCCAATATGCAGGATATCTATCAAGTGACAAGTATCTTGCAGTGCGCTAGCTTGTATATATAGACGTTAAAAAGCAATGCCGATAGATCTTCTGTGAGACAATTTTTACCTTCACTACGAGACTAGCCTAACTAGGGGATGGAAGTTTTAGGTTCCATCTGGTTCTTGCAGCTATACTACCTCCTGGTTCGAAGAAATAGAGGAGTTTCGAATAACGTCTTATGCGCGTAGCGATGATATAAGAGACTTTCATGAGTACGGCGTCCTTTTGGATAGATATTACATTCCTGACAGCCCAATGCCAGTGTCTGAAAAAACTATTCCTTTTCACCATGGCTAATACTATGGCATTGGCCGCATGCACAGCAGTTAGCTGCAAACCACCTCTGTTTAGTTGTCCTTGAGCTTTTCGTTCCACTTTTCTCTTGATTATCCAAAACCTCAGCTATTTGCTCCGCAAATAGCGTAATAAAACACGTATACAAAA